TAACCTTAGTATTCTTTATTTATATAGTATATTTAATAGATATTTAACTTAAGTTCTTAACTCGATATTAAGCTATATAAAGCGATAAATCTATATAATTAAGCTCGCTATACTATACTTACGTTAGGCGGCTTACCTATATAGTTTAGTTATATATATAATAATATATAATATATAGTCCCTTTCGCTCTCGCGAGCTTTAGCTCTTATTAAGCCTCTAAATATAACGCGTGCCCTAGTCCTAGCTCCTAGGTCGGGCCGCTTATATAGACGCGCTACTAAATCTCAGCTTATATTAACCTTAATAACCCTAACCTTAAGTTAATCCTAGCTAATTTATATAGGAAACCGACTTTAAGGAGACTAACTAGAGGTAACCTTAATATTCCTTATTTTATATAGTATAACCCTAAGAATTCAGACCTAATTCCGTCTTAATATTAGTTAGGGTTATAAAAAGGCTTTATTAAGTTAGTTATATTTAAGACTAAAAATATAAATAATTAATAACCTTTAATATACTTAAGTTTAAAAGAGATAATTATATTTATATAATAACTAACTTTTAGCGTTAATACCTTATTAAAATTAGCTATTTATATAACTTTAGCTTTTTAATATTATTTATTATAGCTTAATAATAAAGATATAAATATAAGTATATAATATTACTTTATTTTTTAATTAACTTTAAAGGATTAATTAAATATATATTAAATAAATATAAAAGCTTATTAATAATATTAGCCTTTATTAATAAAGTACTTTAAGGATTACCTTTATATATACCTTTTTATTTTAATAATATTTACTTTTAGGATTAAGCTATTATATTATAATTAAATAATACTTATAAAATAGTCTTAAATAATTCCTTTTTTATATTAATAAAGATATATATTAATAAAATTAGCTTTTAATACTTAAAATACTTTATATAAACTATAATAAGATATTAATAGCTTTAATAAGACTTTATAGACTTTACTTTTTAATAATATAAATTTAAATTAAATATATTTAAAACTTAAAGTAAAACCTTTATAAATCTTAAAAGGATTATACCCTTTTTTAAAGTTAAGCTTAAAAATAAATATATTAATTATTATTTAATTAATTTTAATATAAAGATAGATTAGCTTCTTTATTTAAATATTTATATTATTTAATTAAAGATAATATTATTTATATAAGATTTTTTAATACTATTATTATTTATTTTATAGGCTTATTAAAGGCGCTTTTAATAAACCTTAATCTTTAAGATATAAATTATTATTAAGATAAAAGGTAAGTAAAAATAGCTAATTATATAAATAATTAATATAATTAATATAAAAGCCTTATAGGTTATAAATATAAGCTAAGCTATTTAATAAAGGACTATAAAACTAATAAAAGTAATTAAAGATATTATTAAAGATATTATTAAAGATATTATTATATTAAAAGTAAAGGATTAAATACTAAGAATAATATTTATATAAAGGAAATTAGACTATAATATAGTCTAGAAGCTTAACTTAACCTTTATAAGTATAATAAACTTATAATAGAGCTAATAATTTACTTAATATAATCTTATACCCTTTACTTTATTAATAGTAATATTAAAAGTATTTAAGCTTTAATAATAAAAAGTTATATAAAGTAATATAATAATAAAGAAAATTAATACTCTAAAAGTAAGAATAAGGCTTCTTATATAAGTATTATTATAATAAAGTAAGCTTACCTTAAAGATTATATTAGCTTAATTAAATATACTTATTATATACTTAATAAAGATATACTTTTAGTAAAGAAAATAAGCTATTAAAAATAATTAAGTCTAGAATATAAAAATTAATAATATTATCTATAAAGATAATATTATTTTATTTATAGACTTAATTATAACTTAAGGATAAATTAAAGATAAAATAAAACTTATTATTATCTCTTTTTTAATTTATTTTCTATAAGTAATTAATAAGTTTATTATAGTCTTATATACTTTAATAAGTAATATAAACCTCTTTTTACTTTTATTAAAGGTAATAAATAATAAGTTTTAAAGTAAAGTAAAGTATTAAATTAAAGTTAATACTTTATAGTTATATTAATTAATATATTTTAATAAACTAAATAAAGAATTATATTTAAGTTCTTTAAGGAGCTTTATTATAGTAACCCTTTAAATATAAAAGGAACTTTATAAGTTAGATATTTAAATAAATAACTTTATTAAAAGGAATTTATAGCTAAAAGGTAGATAATATTAATAATAATTTAAAGTTATAGCTTTAATCTAAGATAAATAATTAATTATTAAAGAAGTATTTATTAAGAAAAAAGTATAGCCTTTAATAATATAAGCTTATAAAAAGAAAAATACTATAAGTAAAGATATTATAAGCTAAATAAATAAAGTATATATAAAAAAGGTAATTTCTTATTCTTAGAGGAGATAGAGGATTATACCTTTATAATTATAGTTAATAATAGATATTATTTTTACTTTATTTAAGTTACTTTAATTATAATACTTTATATTATAATAAATAGTCTTACTTTATAAACTTAACTTTTATATAGATTTATAGTATATATAAATATAAGAGTTTTAAAGACTTTATTTATTTAATTATAATAAGAGCTTTTATATAAGCTATTTTAAACTATTAAAAATACTTTAATTATAGAGATCTTATTAAATATTATAAATTACCCCTTTTCTACCCTTTATTATCTTTTTTCTTACTTTTAGGAGATAGTACTATATTTTCTAAGCTAAGACTAAAATATATTATATAATTAAATCTTATTTCGCTATTTAATGCTTTTCTTCCCTTAATAAACTAAATATAATAATTATTATATTTAAGCTAGCTAAATTTCTATTTAATTTATTACTATAATATTAAATAATTATAGACAAGGTTATTATATACCTCTATAGAACTTAATTCCTTATTATATAATTAAGTAATTATAACCTTAGCTTAATAGCTAGGCCTATAATTAAAGTAGCTTACTTTAATTAAGACTTTAAGATTATATTAAATATAGCCTTTATAGATAACCCTTAGACTTATTAATTAACTTAAGGGTATATTATATACTTATTTAATAGCTTAATTAACTAAAAAGTAAGAAAATAAGGTATAGTTATAACTTTATTAATAGAGGTAAAGCTACTAGCTTTTATATATATTATAAAAGAGGCTATTATAACCTATAGGCTTTTATATTAACTAGGGTTAGGGTTAAACGAGCCTATAACTATAAAGTATAATAACCTTTAAACGATCCGATTAATTACTTTTATATATTTAAGGATTAAGACTACTCTTAAATATATTAATATATATAGTTATTAAGCTTAATAAGCCTATTAAAAAGGCCTATTTAAGGTTTAATATACCCTAATAGTATATATACTTATAGATAGGCTTATTAAGGCCTTATTAAGCTAGAAATTTACTTAGTTTATTAAGTAATTAGGCCTTATTAATATTAAGGGTCTATTATAATAAGAGACCGACTTAAATATTAAAGACTAGCCCGAAAAGCTAGTCTTTAAGACTTATAGTTACCTTTATATATATAGGGCATATATTATATATTAATTTTATATATTATAGAACTTACCTAAGCTCTAGATAGGCTAATTAAAGCGTATAGCCTAACTTAACGATAGCTTTATCTTAACTATAGGTATTATTATAAGGGGGTATATTATAAGCTTATAGGCTATAATAAGAGGTAGGTATAGCCTATATATAGGGGTTATAGAGGTCGTTACTACCCCTAACTCTAGGGGTCATATATCCCTTATAGCAGGTGCCTATAGTCCCTATAAAGGGACCTAAATATATATATATAAGGGGCACAGGCCCTAACAGAGAGATAGAAAAACAAGGCTCCTTTACATCCGGATACAGCACTTTACAACAAACGTCTTAACAGGAGTGCGCACCACTCAATTCACAGCGCTACCCACCGATCAATCCGCACCAATCAAGGAGGTCGGGCCTGTATTTTAACTTCTTGGCATGCTAAGGAAGTAGCCTTAATGCACACTTTTCCCACCGTACCCGCCCACCCGGCGGCGGCGACGTCGATAGCACCGGCGGCGTCCAGCCTACCTCGCGATGACGACTGTTTGATCTAGGCTCCATAACCCACTCCAACTTAGCCAGGTAAGCGCGTATCGCCATCCCTCGCAACAGCGTCGCAACCCGGGATGTCGCATGTCTCGCCTGCCTGCGGTGGTGGCAGTTGCCTATCTAGGCAACTGTCACTGCCCAAACAAGCAAAACCTTTCGTTCGTGTATAAGAGATGCCCGATGGCTTGCAATATTGGAGTTGGAATTCCTCAAGATAATTCTCATTAATTGACTGGATGCCAAATATAGACGACGTGGACAAGATCGTCTGACATCCATGCCATGGCATGGTCAGGATCATGGCGGCAGGTGGTCCGAGCTTCCAATTTCCCGATCCAGCTAGAGCAACCAGGGATCCATGGAAACCGGCCGCTGACCACTTCCGAAACCCCTGCCAACGGGGTCGCACAAATTGAGTACCGACGTGGGTCTCCGTTGTCGACAGCCCGGCCAACATCAGCCATTGGTCAAAGGGGAAACGGGTGGACAGACTTGTTGGTTCTTCGACTAAGCCCCCCGTGCCGTCCACATTAAAAGATTGAGCTGTAAGCCCACCAGTGGGTCCAACTCACAACCGCCGCAACCCCTGAGCAGTGATTAAATTTCAGCTGTGGCCTTCGAGTCCAACCTTAAATCCAGCCATCCCACCCTTCCGCCATCGTCCTGTCTGTCCCCTCTCCCGGTGTATACCAATGAATGAGCTGGTTTTGACCAGTTCCATTGACATATTTACCACATAGTAGAACCAAAACATGGGTGGTAAAATGGAGGAATTAGACATTGTGATTATTGGTGCAGGTGAGTGCGCATGCCCTCAGCTGTGAACTGAAGCCACACTGACGGAAGGGCATGATGTCAGGCTTCTATGGCCTGGGAGCTGCCAAACAGTATCATTGCCAGCATCCGGATCAGTCCATCGCCGTGGTGGAGTCGGCCTCCAGTCTGGGGGGGGTGTGGGCCGCCGAGCGCATTTATCCAGGCCTGAAAAGTAATAACTTGCTGGGCACTTACGAATACCCCGATTTTCCAATGGACCCAAATCTTTTTGGCGTGAAGCCAGGGGAACACATCCCTGGACGGGTACTTAATTCCTATCAGGAGGCGTATGCAAAGCATTTCGGCATCTTCAACAGCATCAGGGTGAACACCAAAGCGGTCTCTGCCGAGCATAAACCCAACGGCGGCTGGGTGGTCAAGGTCTCTCCGGTCGTTGATGGCAAGGAGGATAGTTCACGTCAGTCAGACTTGTACACCAGGCGGCTTATAGTCGCTTCAGGCATGGTATCGGATCCATTCATGCCGAATATCAAGGGCCAGGAGGAATATCATCGCCCCATATTCCACGCCAAACATTTCGCGAAATACGGCGATACAGTTGATCCATCGCTGGGCGGAAGGGTGACCATATTTGGCGGCACCAAGTCTGCATGGGATGCAGTGTATGCATACGGCACCAAGGGGATCAAAGTAGACTGGATCATTCGAGGTCCGCCTCTGCGTATGGTGAACTGATCCCGAGACTAGCTAACTTGCAGAATAGCCTCTGGACACGGGCCTTGCTGGATGTCCCCTCCGTATGTAACTCCCCTCAAGAGGTGGTTGGAGAAGCTCGTCAGTGAGTCTATTCCGTAAACGTCTATTTTACCTTTGCTTACTCCATTCGTTGATATGCGCGTGCTGCACTGGTTCGGACCGTGCATCTGGGGAGAGGATAGCGGTTACGCGGTCATCAAGTCATTCTGGCATCGAACTGCGATCGGGCGAGCTCTCACGGAAAGGTTTTGGAACGCCATCGGCAGCGATGTGATCGGGCTAATGGGATTTGACAAAGATCCTGAGATTGGAAAGCTCAAGCCTACTTGCGACGCAATGACCACGGGCTGCACCTTCAGTATCCTCAACTATGAGACCGACTTTTTCGAGCCCATCCGCAACGGCACTGTAAGAATCCATCTGGCGGACATCTCCCACCTAAGCGAGGGCAAGGTTCATCTAGATGATTCTGACGGGACGGTACTCGAGTCGAACGCAATGCTCTGTGTGACTGGCTGGAAGCACTCGCCACCTTTGAAGTTTCTGCCCGAGGGTATCGAGAAGCGGATAGGTCTGCCATACTCTCGGTCAGCTGAAGATGCAGCTTTGTCTCCGGATGAGAGCCTAGCGGCACAGGCGAATCTTGTCGCACAAGCAGATGCTGAGATCCAGCAGCTGTTTCCTGGGCTCAAGGTGCCTCCGAAGTTCAACCCGAACTACGTGCCGCTAGCAGATACGAAGGCATTCAAATTTGCCAATGGTGAGACTCAGGCGTCGGCTATATCCCAGACGCCATTCATGCTATATCGCTTCATGGTTCCCGGCACGGCCGATTTCCTGCGCAGCAAGGACCTTGCATTTGCAGGTGCCATCATGAACTTTAGCAACGTGATCTGCGCTCACGCACAGGGCCTGTGGATTAGTGCATATTTTGATGGGAAGCTTGCGCGAGACCCCAGCTCCGCAGTTCTGGATTCGGACGGTGTTGACGGCCACCTCGTTGCGAATGGCAGCATCTTGACACTCAACCAAGTGCACTACCAAACTATTTTGCACAACCGATTTGGCAAATGGCGGTACCCCAATGATCCAGGAAGCAGATACCCTGATTTCGTCTTTGAGGCGGTACCCTATTTGGATATGATGATGGCTGATATGGGCCTGAGAGTTCATCGGAAGACTGGCTGGTTCAAAGAGATTGTGGACCCATATGGCCCGGAGGACTATTCTGATATCAACGACGAGTGGAACGCAAAGTTTTGCAAAGATTAGCCAGGTCACCTCTCCATTCAATCAAGTCAAGTCGGGGGGATCTCGGTTGTATGATTGACACATCGCTCGGCCTCAGCTTGATTGACTTGACCGGATTAATTCAACTCGAAAGCACATCCTGGCTAAGGTCGGTTCGGGGCCCCGTCCTACACTGCTCCTCGCCAGTTGCTCCGCGATTGTGGAAGTTTCGCGAGGACACCTCGCTGCGCTTTCTCCTGTTTCGGTCCGTACTTCCGGGGCCTCTCGCGCTTCTGGGGAGTCGTTGGCATGGCTGTAACTTGTCGAGGATATGAAAGCACATAACAGCATGGCATAAGCTCACTGCATACTGGTTACGCTCTCAGTACACGGCGTGGAACGACAGCAGAGGTGTCCGTAGTCCGCAGAATCGCTAAGCCGTGCGGCGGATCGCCCTTCGGCTCCAGACCTGGATTGTCCGGTCTATGATAAGCCCTGCTGTAGACGTGGTGGAGGCAGTATTACGACGTCGTCCGTAGCCCCGATGTCAAACTTCTCCCCACAAATTTCGAGGGCAATCTCCCAAGCTAGCTTGTGCTTGAGCGCGAGATACCACGTTGCAATGGTAGGGTATACCGTCGCCAATACTCCCCCCTGCCGTTCCGGGCCAGCGGGGTATTCTCCTTTCGCACGGTGTCCGATCTTGAGCCCGATAAGCGTCCCAATATCCATTGCCACCACGTCTTGACCACAAGGGATCTCAATAGCGCTGCTCTTGTCGCTTGTGTCGCTCGAAAACTTCCCCACCATGTGCTCTATGACCGGAAGGTCGATAATCACCGTCGCCGCCAGGGTACCGGAGTCGTCTCTGTCGCTGACCTTGATAGAGGTCACAGAGTAAACGGAAATGCGGATGCGCGTCAATTTAGCTCTCTGCGGGACGCTGCCGAGTTGTGTGCTGGAACCTGAATCCGGGCCCATGACGGGGACCACGCACACGCGGAAGGGAATCGGGTGGTGGTTTTCCAGCTGGATAACTCCAGGCGCCTGCACCTCAACCTTGCACGCGAGGCCGGGGACCTTGTTTGGCCGGACCAGCCTGGTCATACGCTGTCGCCATGTCAGTTCAGCATCGTGCATATGCGGGAGGAGCCGCTGTGTCTTCACGGTGCGCTCGAAATACCAGGTCTTCAGTTTGTGATCCGTAAGTGGAAGCCGAGCTAGGTACGGGACGATATTGAGGAGGAGCAGGGCTTGGTGTCTGTAACTCTTGCCGTTGGACTCGAAGGTTACCTTCGCATCAAGAACGTACTCTACCGCGGCCTCGACGGAGTCGCCGACGGCGAGTACATAGCTCGGCGGGAGGGGTTGCTTTTGGCCCTTTAGCGCGGTGGGCGCCGTGAAGCCTCTTCTCCCCGTTAATGGCCCATTGGCGCGAGTAGGTATTGTGAATGCGAAGGGCCATTTCTGCTCGCGTCTACCTGCCGGCATGTATACCGACCCGCTGTAGAGTGTCTGGGCTGTCTGGAAGAGCGTGTTGACAGAGCGATGGATGCCGGTGCGAGTGATGCCCCACGCGTTGTTGCTATGGATGTTGCCCCGGTGCTCTGTCCGATCTTCCTCGTTCCAAACCTCGCCCGTAAACATGATTGTGACGTGGGCATTTGTGCCGACGGCATGGTCGCGCCGGTAGACATGGCCTGTGACGTCGTCCCCGGGCGTAAAGTGGTGGCATGGGTTGTCGAGCCGGATGCCGAGGGACGCGGAGGATTGGTTCTTTCTGCGGGGCATGCCGATAAATACCTCAATTCTTGTTTAAACACTCTGCACACAGTACTGTTGCCGATATTCATTCAAGCCCCCGGTTCGCGGTACAGTTCAGTGTTTTCCGGAGAGCGTTCAGAGATCAGGCCGCTTGTTGTGTTGTGACGAGTGACCACCAGTTAGGCAGTGTATTTGGTTATGGCTCCAGGGTTCTGACGTATGTGGCGCTCGCCCGAGGCTCTCACGGTCACTGCCCCGTCTGTTGAGCCGAACTGAACCCCTCTGGTTGGCACGGAGTTGAGTTACGCCTGCCGGCCACCCAGAGGTATTGAGCGTCTGAGCCCCGACATACCATCCAACGAGGTGGTCACGCCAATGTAGCTAAAACATCACGCCCGTGCACTGTATCAATTGCCCCGAAGAGACTCTTCTTTGATAGGAGGATATCGGCACAGCTGCCGCGTTATTTCATAATATCTACTTTATTACGCTATATAAATAACGGGCAGCCCGGGCAGCGCCCGGGCTCGGACCCCGGGGACTAACCCCTAATATATAAGAGCTAAACACGTAGCGCATGATTATATAGCGCATGATCACATGGCGCATAGTGATATATCGCATAATAACCCCGCACTGCGAGCTTACAGGCAAGTGCGACTTCCAGACAGGGCTTAGAGACTAGATAAGAAGGGGAGATCTAGCAATAGACAAGCATGAGTCACTTCATGGGTAATTAAAACTTCCCTGCCTAGCTTGATTTGTTCGCCGCTACAAGGAAACAAGCCTTTTTATAAACAGTTTGCCGATCACTATGAGCCATACCCCTTACGACAGCTCGATTTCGGCCGCCCAAAGCGCTCTCAAATCCTTGGCACATTTACTCGAGGTTGGAGAACAGCAGTCCCGGCTGCCAGCATTCATCCAGACATGCTGCCTCTGACATTCCAAGTTCAGATGGCGACAGAAACAGTCATGAAACTGGTTGCCTTCCTGTCCGGCACCGAGCCGCCGCGGTTCGAGAACAAACTGGTCATTTTTAGTGATATATATGCTCGAATTGAGAGAGCTCAGGGAGTCCTAGCTAGCGCAAGCAGGTCTCTGATCAATGGCCGAATTGGGGAAATGATCCTTTTACCATCAGCTTCTAGTAGCGAGAGGGCGCCATTCTCCGGGTACGCTTTGATTATGGGTATAGCTTGCCCACGATTTATTTCCACGTTAGTATAGCATATAGTATTTTATGGAAAGAAGGTGTACCACTGAAGAAAGGTGACTACCTAGATAGTTTTGGGGAGAGGTTTTAGCTTAGCTAGCAGATGAAGGCGGAATCGAGAGCGAAAGCAGCACTAAGTAACTTCGTATGCAACATTGCATGTTAAGAAACAACTGACTAGGGGTAAACAGCGGCGAGGATCCATTTCCCTTGATATCAGACACTGAACCCAGTCTGCTGCATGGCGTGAATTATCGCATCTCGATACGCTTTCATGCCACTAGTGCGAGGGTGGAACGTTTCGATCAGCCACGTCGGCGAGAACCTCGACACTGTCAATGTAGCATGGCTGTAGTTTCCATACGCCTTGGACGTCCCAAGAAGATGAGCCGCTGGACCATTCGGGTCTTTGGTGGTGCCCTGCGCCAACCAACAAGCTTGAACAGCTGCAGGGTCTGCGTTGGGGCCGAGGTTGTCCGCGCAGGTGGCTCCATCAGGGAGCTGGGATGAGTAGTCTCGCTGGCCACGTGTATCCAGTGACCGGGCTTTCTTGTTTGAGTTCCCCGCCGAATCGGCCCAGTTGCTGAGAAGAAAGAATGTGTTGCTGTTGGCCTGGTCAGGCTCCTTTGTGCTGCCCTCGCACCAGCGATGTCCTTCGAAAGCACCAACCACATCTACAAAATGTACCTGATTTCCGCCAAACGCGGCGTTGGCGTCTTGGACGGCTCCGAGAATGCAGCTGTTTAGCTGTGCCACGAGGTCGTTGAGCTCAGCACGCAGAGCCTTTGTCAAGAAGGTTGTTCGGTAGGACGGCCAGTCGCTAGACGGGTTGTAGCCGCCCCACCAAAGGTGGAAGGATGAATAGTCGCAAGTGTCCGTGTCCGCGTTGAAAAAGGTCGGATAGCCAGTGACGTAGAGTTGGAAGCCTGGAAGTGTAGATTTCTGCATGATCTTGAGATATGCGTTCTTGAGATTGGCCCGCAGCCCATTGTCGCTGGAGTCTTGTAGATAACCGCGAGCCTTGTTCTGGACGTCCAGGCAGGAGGCGCGATTAGCCGATCCACCTCGCCAGGTAAAAGGCGTAATGACACAGTTTGCCACCAAGTCACTAAAGCCAAGGTCATTGCCACCGATAGTCAGCGTGCCGAACGTGGCTATGTTTTGGTTGCTCCATTTGTCAATCTGCCCGGCAAGTCCATCAAGGGTATCCCCCGAGCACGACAGCTGTTGATAGTCGAGGCCGTTCTGGTTGAAATGTTGAACGAGAAGATTGCCATAGTTATTTGAACCCACCCGGCAACCATCCTGGGACGTCGTGCCGGCGCCCAGTCCAGAGGCGTATGAGTCTCCGAAACGTACGTAACCGTTGACCTTCCCTGGGAGAGGGCCGGGGTCGATGATGTCGGGGTTACTGGGCGCGGGGCAGCTTGTGTCCCGACGGAAATCGAGCGATCTTTGCTGGATCGGAGAAAACGGTATGGGCTTTCCACACTTTTTCTCAAAATAGAGGCCCGTTATCAGATACTTGTATGTATCGGCGTTGTATTCGCTCTCGCCCGCTTTGCAAGGGCCCTCTTTCTGTGCATCTCCCTCCTTTGGACATAAAGGCTGAGGGGTCGGGGGGTAATCAGCCGCACAACTCCGATCAAACATGCCTGCCGCGAGCCGCATCGAGTCCACAAGGCCATATGCATAGTCTTGTGTCCTGGTCGAGTAGAACAGCGTTAGCATAATGAATATCAGTCAAATTAGCAGATACATACTTTGCCCTAGGGTACCCGATAAAACTCGTGTGAGTGAGTTCATGAATGACGGCCATGGCTCGTTCACTGCCTGCAGTATTAAGGTCCGGCACCCGGTTGTGGCAAATATCTAGCAGTTTCTGAGTAGGTTGCTTATTGTTGAAGAACTCAGGACAAAAGTTCATCCACCATCCGGGGTCATTCATAGTAGCTATAACACCGTCTTGTTTGCAAGCAAGTGTATTAGCGCATACGACTCTGACCTTACCGTCCTTACCGTAGCCGTTGCCGCCTTTTCCCTGAAGCACTACGTCCCACCATGTGAGAAAAAGACCAAAGGCTTCTCTTTCGAAGGGGCCTGTACGTATTGTAGGAAACTTACTTAGGGGTAAGGCATATAGCCTGTTTCGAATGCGGGTATAAAATTCCGTATTGTCGGTCAGGGCTTGAGGGAAAAGTGCTTTGGCGTAGTTCGAATCCGCCTTCCAACTTTCATACGCTGTCTGCGCGGCGTCCAGGGCAACTCCAAACTCCTCCAATATAATTTGTCTTTGGCCTTCGTTGCATGCAGCACTGGGGTCGTTCGGGTTGTTATACCAGACGAGGTCAACGTCGTTGATTCCAAGTGCTGTTGAAGTGGCCGTTAGGGCCAGGAGCCCAAGAACTGGAAGGAGGGCCACCATTATCGTGGTATCAGAGAGCCGTTCATGTTCCTGGGGCCTTTCTTAGAACACAGGATGGACTGGAATAAATAGTTCATGGCTACTGAGAGGAGCTCTCATTCTGTTATTCTTATGATTCCTAAAGCTAGACTTACGTCGAGGCTATTATTACATGATTTTAATCAGCATCCGCTAGGTCTTGTCTCTAATGCATTAAAGTCTGCCATATCATATGTTTTCTAGCTATGGAAAGCATAGTATTAATAGAAGCTTATGTTAGTTCCCTGGCAGATCGGCATCTCCCCTATTTACTTGCGACCTCTTTTCTGGATAACACGCACGACGAGCCTGGAGTCAGCTTAGAAGAGCCCTAGAATGAGGAATATTGAAGTGTCCCCTGTACCGCTAGCATTTGTCCCGATAACATGACATGGCTGACGTGAGCTTCATGCTGGCGAGCCGGATGATGATTCCACACACGGAGAAACCAGGACACTGGTACTAGTATCGAGAATCCAGCTTAATCAATATACTTAAGCCAGGAGTATTGCGCTCATGTTCTTGACATTGAACCTCTTTGTTCTGTGCACCTGAGGAGCATGGTTCAATTCAAAAGTTTCTTCCCCTTTTTGGCGAGCCAATCTTCAACAGCAGCACAGCAAGCAAAATGGTCCATCATGGAATATTACCAGCACTCTTCCTAGCTCCTACTGCCATCCTTGCCGGTCCCGCTGCGTGGGTATCTCCTTACCAGTGCAACATACTGGCCGACATCGAATTCAACTCTGGAGACCACTGCGACGGCGACACCCTCGTTAAAATCAATTGGCAGAATAGATGGACTTCCTACAATTATCAACACTCTAGCGCCAAATCCTTTCGACTCCCGGGCTCGGATTGGTCATATGCAGAATGCTATCTCTACAGCGATGAGAATGCCACTGGCAATTTACTAGGTACTGTGTACCGCTTGTCTGGTTTGAGCAATTGTGTAAGCTTGCCGAACGGGTCGTCGGTAAAGTCGGTTCGTTGCGCTGGCGACTTTTGCGAGGCAAACCCAAGTCGTTCTCCGCTTGGGTGAGTTGGAATGGCTGTTGTCGGTAGGAATTTCTTTGCTTGGAAGGCTTAAGTGAATCGTTTTGCAAAAGCCCACGTGAGATTCCTACATGAGGCACCCTGTCTTCTGGGTCATTTTCTGGACCTTCTAGTACCGAGGTGAATATAACGCATGTCACTATCAACACTAAGTCACCGATCTGTCTCTATTCAAAACCTGTCTTATGATACTTGTGATGATGATCTTCGAGATGCACCAGTCTAATTAAGCTCGTAACTCACCGGGTTGGGAGAATTGAACAGGGTGGAAGAACGCTCGTAGTTTTAGCTTGGCACTTCTAGCTCAACGAAGATATTCTAATCATATCCATGGTGGAATGAGGACATCGTCGAGCAGGAGGGCCGAGCAGGTCCGAGATGCGACAGCTTGCTCCCCTGATGGACGAGGGAACACCGTGGGGTGGTGAGACTGAGCCTTATATGCTTGGTTATAAGGGAAATAACAGCCATGAGCCACGAGTACTCACGGTGTGCAGGGGCCTTCCCTATGCCCTAGCGACTCGGAGCGTGAGTAGAGGAAATCGAGTAGAGGAAATCGAGTCGGGAAGTTCTCGGAGCGGAAAGCGGAAAGATCAGCCATAAACACCAGAGGAGATGAAGCAGGCGCAGGAGTGGGATACCGTAATGAGCGTCTCCTACGTAGGTTACTTCTCTCACTTTGCAGGCTAAGTAGTAGACACCCTCCCGCGCCTTTTGCGTCCGAGAGCTTGGTGTGTCTATGTTCTGTCACGGAATGACGTTATTCGAAGGGTGTGAACTCGGCATAGGGATAGCCGTTGCTTCATGGTCTTGGGCACGTATGTGCCGTTACCAGAGTGGGGTTCCTAGCCATTAGATTGGCCATGCATCGGGCCACCACCCGAGCTCTGACTAACTGGACTGGAAGCTCCTGAACTGGCAGGGTGGCTTACACGGACACACAATACACACTCGGCCGAATTTACACAATTCCACAGCGACTGGACGTGACAGCAGCAAGACGTAGCACGCATGCATAACCCAACATCTTGTCGCCACTGACATGGCTCCAACAGTGGCTGGTGGGTATCAGGGACGTGCGTGATAATCGTCGATTTTGCCCGGATGTAGGTACTACGCAATAACGTATGGTGGCGTGCCCACCAAGTATCGTGTCCTCGAAGAAGGTTTGGTCCGCTGCGGTCACTGGATACCGCTCTGTTACGCCTCTTGATCTTGGTATTGATGGACCAATTAAGGACTTACCCCCTGGCGCCCTCTTGATGCCCTCTGTTACCGCTGCCCCCTCATTTGTGCGTCTCAATTTGCGCCACCAGAAGGAGACTACACTTGACCTTCAACCCTTCGGCACCGTTAAGTCCAGCCCCAAGCCTCTTGAACCGCCATGGCGTCCGCATCTGAACCAACTCAACCCTAAAGTCTCATGCTACAAATCAACGTCCTTGTTCGCCAATGAGGCTGGCTCGCTACTATCCTTGTCGACATGAAAATCTGGCCGCTCGTGCCTGATCATCCGCACGCACACATCCCACCCGAGCGGTGATCATTGGATCCAACGGTTGGGTAGCAACCATCGGCCCCGTTTTCTGATTCGGGGAGAACCAGCGCTCTTGGAGCTCCGTAGCTTGTTCTAGCGTTATTTGGGTTAGGCCCCTCGAGTCTCGCTGCGGGATGGAAGGCAAGGTTGGTGGCTTTAAAAGGCAGCCGAAGACATCATAGCTACATGTATATAATCCCCCCCTCAGACCCGAGCAATTGATCGTACGTGAATTTTATTTAGTCTACGCTTGAACATATGCACTCGTTACTACTACGTAGTGACTGATTACCATGAAGTTCATACCCTCCCTTACCGGTTTCTTCGTCCTTCAAGGCGTTTGCGCCTCACCTCTCCCGGGCGACGGTGGGTTAGATGGTGTGTATTTATAACAAAGCGTTCAAGTTATTTCGATAAGACGTATGCTAACTTGCACAGCCCGGGGCAAGCCTAAGTGCCAGCACAAGGATAAGTCTTGCTGTAACTATGAGGACCAGTATAGCCCCGACTACGCAGATAACGAATTCTATGGCCACCGTCACACCATATATGTCCGCGCCCACGAGAGTATCCAGAGTGCCATCAATAAGGCCTCCCCCGGTGATAAAATCATTGTTGTCGGCGGCGTTCACGTCGAGCAGCTAACCATCTCCAAAGATGGCATCGAGCTCATCGGCAAGGGTGCCATTCTGGTCCCTCCTCAGAAGCCCAGCAAGAATCAGTGCTCGGGCCTAAGTGGCCCCAATACTGAGGCTGGCATCTGTGTGCAAGGGAAAGGCATCAAACTGGACAAGTTCGTCATAGAGCACCGCAAGGTGCTGTCGGTAAAGAGGCCCGTCAAAGGTGTTTCTATCATCGGCTTCGACGTCCGCAAATTCTCTGGCATTAATATTGCCATCGTCGGTGCTAGGAATACCCACGTTAGTAAGAACACGCTCACCGACGGTGCCAGGTATGGCTTCCTCACGGCTGGCTCGACCGAGACTCTAGTCGAGGACAACAAGGTCTCATATACGGGCCCGGGACTTCAGGCGATCGCTATTTGCATGGACAACTTCTCCGATGTTCAGATCAAGAAGAACGAGGTCAAAAATCACGGTGTCGGTCTCTGTGTCCAGACTAATGGCGCAGACGTGCATCATAATAAGATCTCGCAGTCCTGCTATGGTATCTTTGTCGATCCCGGCGTTACTCGCGCCAAGATTCGTCACAACTACGTCGGCCCGAGTGACCCTGGCTGCCAGGACGCTTCCGGCATACTCGTTGATGGCGCAGTCGGTTCGAGAGTTAGCGACAATGTTATTGAAGGGCAGAAGAACAAGGGTACTGCTGCAGGCCTGGTGGTCATTGACGAGGAATGCCTCCCAACCGATCCCTTATTCGGCCTGTCTTGCCTGACTCTCGGGCGCAAGGCCATCCCTTCAGACAACATCTTCCTCCGGAATACATTCAAGGATAACGATGTTGATATTTTTGTTAACACGACCGGCAAGAACAACGAGTTCAGGTGTAACTCTTGCAAAACATCGAACCTTAAGGGCCTGTGCGCAAAATGAAAGGTGCTGGATGCCATTTCTGGACGTAACTTGATGGAGACTATTAGTAGGAAGGAATGGACACAATGGGACCTCACAGAGTAGAAAATTAATTTATCTATATTTGATCTCTTTTTCTCTTTATCTATAGGCAGTCCCAGCTGCTACTAAGAGTTAAAACTCTTAGCTACGGTACGTAGTCATGAATCTCTAGCTATCCGTGAGAGAGCAGCTATTCGGACACCACCTGTTTCCGTGCATGTGAGGGCAAACACTCTACTTGCACTTGCGGCGGATGGCAGTGCCGTCGGTATGGACTATACATAACGTCGAGGCAGATACGGTTCGCTATAAAGTGAAACAGTTTGCGTTTAGGGCAGCAAAGCTCCATAAATACCCGCGGGGCTATATCATCAGATGTCAAAGTCCTACCTAGGCTCCAGGTCTCGTGCAAGCACGCGGATTTTCTCTTGCCCAACTCAGGGGTGTTCTGCTTAATGTAGTCCCTGAATCCCTTAGATTTCAAGAGCATGAGGCCTCCTAGAGCCGCATGCAGGTATGTGCGTCTTATATCGTGATCGGGTCTAGGGCGTATGAGATACACGTCTCCTGGACGAACGAGGTATGATCATAATGGGAACTCCGGAGGCTGAACTCGGTGGTGTACTCGAGAGATTTTCAAAGGGTTGAAGGCTATCCTTTGCCAAGTCGTGGAATGAGGGATCTCAGCAATGCGAGGTTGAGGCGCTTCGTGGTTGCTAAGACGGCAAGCACCATGCATTACTGGATGGAAACTGGCCTCGCAGATCAGCCGCGAGGTTACGTCGCAAGTCGTGCTTGCTAAACAATTTGTCATGGGCTTACGTCTAGTGCACCACATCATACCTGTTGTATATCCTACCTCCTTCCACCATAGCGCCCAATGACCGCCCTCTCTACATCACTGGGAATCCTCAACTCACTCTGGGTCTGTTTGCGTTTCTCATGGCACCTACGGCGCATACGACGACCATCTCTCAGTTACTGTGGTGGCTGGCGGGGTTTCACCCCTCAGAGAACTTCAGTTCTGTAGACATGTGAAAGCATGGGCGCCCTGGAGTCATGTTGCGAGACTAAGCTCTTTGACCTCGCTTTCCCTCTAGCGACCCGAACAAGGCAGCCTACCGGTCTGGGCCAGTTATACGAACCTGAAGAGCCTTCGAAAATTATCCATTCTGGAACATGGACTGTCAATAGACGATTTGCGCTGGCTAGCTAAAGCCTACCGTTTTTGTAACCTACTTCTCCTCAGCACCATGGTTGCGACCAAAACAGAGGACGAAGAATCGTCTTGCGAAAGGTTCAAAGCTTCAGACGCCTTCTTTTGTGCCCTCCCATGTCTCGAAGGCCTTGCCCTCTACATGTACGCTCACGGCCATGCTCACGAGCTGATGTCTTGTGTCCTGCCGGGCCAAAACCTTGTCCGATGCTCAGGAAGCAGCAATTTATCGGACCACTGGCAGCATATATTTCCTTTCAGAGCTCGTGTTGTGCTGGGGTGCTGCTAATATGCTGACCAAGGCGTTATTACGGCGAAACGACCGAGGACCTCCCAAGAACCTTGGAATTACATGATCTCGATTCACGGCCATTCATAATCACAAAGAGGGCCACTGGGTCATGCACAATAGACATGTTTTGCGAGCTTTTCGCCAAGAGTAGTGTTATTTGTTCAGCCAAGTTTTGCTAGTTGCAGAGCCCATAGAGCAACGAGAGCAACGAGAGCAACAAGTAGCGCGCCGCTGCCGTCCCATGCCTGCGCCAGTGCGCAGTACATCATCGCTAGGGCAGCATGGGGGTAGGCGTGCGGCCGATAAAAAAAATGGAGCAGAGATCTACAACTAGCAAAAGTTGGCTCTACGAATAGCACTCCTCTTAGCCAATTATGCGTTGGATGAAGCTCTTGCCCACTCCATCTGAAATACTATGATATAAAGCGGCGGGCATGGACCCTTGATAAGGTGCGTTGGGAACTGGGGTCACCAATGACGGCCGGTGACTCACCGGCGTCAGCTTCGGGCTGAGGCCATCACCTTTCGAGACGGGGTGCATGGACGGCACGGCACGGCGATGACGCCGTGTAATCACGACACTGACAGGTGAGAAAGCTAAGCGTAGGGTCGGCCATCTGGCCCGCAGGAGGCGGAACTTACTCCTTTGCTCACCTTTGTTCTGCAACCCACCATTTGTCCTTCATCGAGCCGCCTGCTCTGTCGCTCGCGTCACCCGCTCGGTCCAGAACCGCTTCGACAACGATTACGACCAAGATGCCGTCCGTGCCTCTCGACGAATTTGTCAAGCACCACGACTTCGACCCGGAGCTGGTGGAGCGCATCGCGGTGCGCAAATTCCACCCCCCGGTGGCCATCGTCGAGGCGGACCCGAGCTGGGCGGCGCACTTTGCGGCGGCCAAGGCGCGCATCGAGGCAGCGCTCGGCGATACGGCCGTGTCGGTCGCGCACGTCGGGTCGACCAGCCTGCCCGGGATGCCGGCCAAGGCCATCATCGACGTGGACCTGACGGTGCGCGACGTGAGCGACGAGGCGGCGTACGTCGGGCCTTTGGAGCGCGCGGGCTTCCTGTTCTTGCTGCGAGAGCCACACTGGCACGAGCACCGCTTCTTCTGCCAGGGTGGCGAGCGCGGCGAGCAGTTCCCCGTCAACCTGCACGTCTGGGGGCCGGGCTGCCCCGAAACAGAGCGGCACCGCATCTTTCGCGACTGGTTACTCAAGTCGCCCGACGACTTTGCGCTGTACGCGCGTGTGAAGGGCGAGGTCGCCGAGGTGTCGGCGCGCAACGGCGAGAGCATCATGGAGTACAACCTGCGCAAGGAGCAGACGATCCGGGAGATTCTGGACCGGGCGTTTCGCGACCTGGGGTACGTGGAGTGAGGGTTTGGCGACGACGATGGCGGTGACAGGACTCGCAAGGTCCATGGTGAATGGGTTACTACTAGAGGTACTTCGTACGTGAAAAGGAGTCGTAGATGGTGCCTGCTCCGACTGCTGGAACTTTCACGCGGGATTGCTGCCCAGGCGCTTCAAGGTTCTGCTCTCATCAGTGCTCTGTAGCGGAGGGCTCCCCTAAAAAGCCCATCAATCATCCCGGTCCGCCAGGGACCTCGCTGACTGATGAGGCGCGTTCCTGTGGGAATGACCACGACCGGCTGAGCCCGCTGGAGAACAGCAGTCAGGGCTTGCAGGGCTGGGCAGCAAATCGACGCCCCAATTTTCTCCGCATGCAAGGCCGTCCACCCCCAGGCTCCGCCCCAGTCCCCTCCGCAGCCAAAGTTGCCCACCAAGGGTCCCACACGCTCTCTCCCGTCTGATCCCCAGCTGCGGTGCTGCCCAGGCCCAGCGGATGGCGGGGGTCCGTCCCCGTTGAACCGCATGGCTGGCAACGGCAATGGGCGGCTTTCTCGGTAAAACCAACGCGCCCGCCCAGCGACTGCCACCCCGCGTGCCTGCCGTCACGTCGGCGCATCCTGTCTCAGCCCGTCTTCTCCCTTCCGGGCTTCTTCTTCTGCCGTGATGGAGCCGGAGTCGTAATCGTCAAGCAGTTCAAGATGAGAGTCGCAGTAACACGCCTGGGCGGTCTCGCCCAGAGGAGGGGCTTTGCCAGCACGGCGCGCCGACTCGACACCTACGGCTTTGTCGGCCTCGGCCAGATGGTTGGTTTCCCGAGTTTGCAGCGTTGCGCTTCGTCAGGTTGGGCTCGACCGCTGACCTGGGATCCAGGGCTACCAAATGGCCAAGAACCTCCAGGCCAAGCTCAAGCCCACGGACAAGGTCACCATCTTCGACATTAACCCGGAGGCCATGAAGGGCCTCGAGACGGAGATGAAGGCTACGGGTAACGGCGCAGCCGTCGAGCTGGCAGCCAGCGCCTTTGACGCTTCCAAGGACGCTGTGAGTCTTTCAATCTGGTCTGTTCCTCTTCGCCATTCCCTTCTGACGCACCATCGCGTGTAGGACACGGTCATCACGGTCCTCCCCGAGCCGCAGCACGTGCAGGGCGTCTACAAATCGATCCTGGCGGGATCGCTCCCGAAAAAGGACCGCGTCTTCGTCGACTGCTCGACCATCGACCCGTCGACGTCCCGGCAGGTGGCTGCGTCGGTCGCGTCCGCCGGGCAGGGCACGTTCGTGGACGCCCCCATGTCGGGCGGCGTGGTGGGCGCGACGGCGGGCACGCTGACCTTCATGCTGGGCGCGGACGAGGGCACGGTGCCGCGCGTGGAGCCCGTCCTGCTGCGGATGGGACGCAAGGTGCTGCACTGCGGCGAGCAGGGCGCAGGCCTGTCGGCCAAGCTGGCCAACAACTACCTGCTGGCGCTCAACAACATCGCGACAGCCGAGGCCATGAACCTGGGGATGCGGTGGGGGCTGGACCCCAAGAAGCTGGCGGGCGTCATCAACGTGAGCACGGGTCGGTGCTGGCCCAGCGAGGTCAACAACCCGGTCCGGGGCGTCGTCGAGGCAGCGCCGGCCGGCAGGGACTACCGCGGCGGGTTCGGCATCTCGCTCATGAAGAAGGACCTGCGGCTGGCCATGGTGGCGGCCGAGGAGGCGGGCGCGCGCATGGCCCTGGCCGACACGGCGTACGGCGTGTACGAGGCGGCCGAGAAGCTCGACGAGTGCAAGGGGCGCGACTTTTCCGTCGTGTACCGGTATCTGGGGGGCAAGGAGGAGTGAGCGACATAGACCTTACAGCAGCAAAATCCTGCTCGCTTCCATGGCGTCGGTGTGCACATGTCTTGTTGCTAGGTGGTGCTTCGCGTGGAAGATGCTATCATTGCTATGGCACTTGCGTGATTCATGCAGCGGAAACCTGGAAAGAGAGTTTCCAGCCACTTCAGAAGTAACAGCACACAGCTCGGCGACGGACCAACCCTGTCCCCTCGACGGACCAACCGTCAGCGCACGCCTCGCCAGTGGAACACTGCTGCGCACCAACAATTGCGCCGTCGCTCGGCCGAGCGCCGGAGCACCAGTTCCCGCTGCCCACCTTTGCACCCCTTTCACAAAAGGGAGGCGCCCGGGACGGCGCCGACCCGAGAGCGCTGGACCCGCGCCGTCGCTGCACGTCAACGACGCACGCGCGCTGGCCCAAGTATTAGCGCCCGCCACGTCGGAGTTGTGCTCGAAGGATGGGAGAGCGAAGGCAGGAGTTCCTTCGGCCGTGTACGGTAGTCGGACACGATGTCGATTGTTCCTGGGCCGGGGGAGGGCAATCGAAAAGACGAAGAGGCATGGCAAGCCGTCCAGGCACAAACCCACATTGATCGAATTCTGCCGCTGCCATCGAGTCAGGGTGGATCAAGGACCATTCAACGACATCCATGATCCATCGTCCCCATCCATCCATCCCCGTCCCCCACGCCGCGCGCCGTCAGCTCACCGGACCCAGCGGACTTGGCGCGGCCTGTGGCTCGTGGTTCCAGCAGCAAGCCTGCGGACTTTTGGCCCCATTTGGTCCCTTCCAGTCGCCCTTCTCCCCCTCCCAACAGAAGAGTCGCGGCCGTCATCGCTCAGGCTAGGGAGGAAGTGGAAGCGCGAGGAGCATGAAGGGCCGGCAGGCTAGTACGTAGTGCGAGTCGCAGCAGTCACAATGTCAGATTCTGCTCCTGGATGAAACTAGTTGGTTGATTCGCGGGACATTCATCTATATTTGATCCCCACGTTGCCGCCCGCCCTCCCGTCAGACACATGAAACTGTGGTGGTTTTCTTGGATATCGACCTGCTGCCCCGTGGCAGCGCGCATATCCCCGAACCGGCGACACTCATTCAATACTCTTCACTTTCCCGATACAGGTCTCTGTTCTTGCACCTGTCGAAACTTGTCTTCTACTATCTCTCGTCTACAGCGAGCAGCGACGACGTATGTAATCTACTCATCGCACACCGACGACAGCCCAGGCGCGACACGAAAGCACCAAGCAGCTCCCGGCAACACCATCGAAGAGGCGGTAAAGCACAAGCTCAACGAAAGGCATACACATCGAACAGAGACCGAAAGCCGGCACAGCGAGGGGAAAGGGGGAAAAGCCGCCCACCATGTCATCCGCCAACTCGACCGGCGCGCGCATGAAGGACTGCACCGAGGTCTCCTTCGCATGCCCCGTCGAAGGTACCGTCCTAGGCTACTACCCCAACCTCGGGTCCGGCATCTTCTTCGCCATTGCCTTTGCGCTGTGCCTCTTCGCCGCCGCCGGGCTGGGCGCCTGGAAGCGCACCTGGACGTACTGCGCGGCCATAACCGTGGGGCTTATCCTCGAGACGGCAGGTGAGTTGCATCCTCCAGTTCTTGTCGTCCCGCGAGTGCCTTCCTCTTAATCTCATGTCGCCGCGCTTGCGCTCTCTTTGAAGTCGCCGCAGAGAATGGGTTGCATTGCGACCGGCCATGGAAAGAAAGAAGACAAGAAAGAAGATGTTGATTGAACTCAACTGACGTGCAACAGGCTACGTCGGCCGCATCCTCCTCCACTACAACCCCTGGAATAACGGCGCCTTCGAGCTGCAAATTTGCGCCATCATTCTCGCCCCGACCTTCATCTGCGTCTCCGTCTACCTCACTCTCAAGCACGTCGCCCTGCACCTCGCGCCGCACCTCTCCCGCGTCCCTGCCGCCTGGTACCCGCGCATCTTTCTCCCCGCCGACCTGACCTGCCTCATCGTCCAGGCCATCGGCGGCGGCATCGCCGCCGCCGCGGGCCACGAGAACCGCAAGCTCCAGCGCGCGGGGAACCAGGCCATCATCGCAGGCGTCGCTCTCCAGGTCGTTGTCCTCGCCCTGTTTGGCCTCATGGGCGCCGACTACTGGCGTCGAGCGATTCGGTTCGTCCGCTCCGGAGAGGCGCCGCGGGAGACGCTCGCGCTGTGGAACAATTCCAAGTTTCGCCAGTTTGTGTGGGCCGTCACGGCTGCGTACATTGCCATCCTCATCCGTTGCGTGTACCGGTGAGTCGAGCATCCTCTCTCCCTATCCACGTTTTCCTCCTTTTCCCCGGCAGGCGCTCACAGCGAAAACGCAGAATCGTCGAGATGAGCGGTGGCTGGGGCAACCACATCATGCAGGACCAACCCAGCTTCCTCGTCCTTGACGCCACCCTCGTGCTCATCGCCGTCTACCTCCTCACCATCTTCCACCCGGGCCTGTTCTTCCCGCAGATGCGCAACGGCTACGCAAAGGAAATGGCCAAGGCGAACTCCGCCGGCGGCGCGACTGGCACTGACGCCGAGCGCGACGGTGAGAGCGACGAGACCAAGAGCGAAGCGACTGGCGCGGCCAACAACAGGCGCAAGGTCGAGCAGCCGGCTTGAATCGCCACAGGGAGAGTCTAGGAAGAACGCAAAGAAGAGCAGAACATTTCGAGGAGCAGCAAAACTTGGCGTTGGATAGACGGCGTTGAAGCCTACTTTTGAGATGATGACATGTATTTACTCTCGCAGATACCAGACTGGAGTCGCAATCAAGCGTTCCCCAGGTCAACCGGACTAAGACTTGGACTCCATGCCTGTCGCCTGCTATGCCTGTTCCTGTGATGAGATGCTACCTCACTGTTTGACCAACCTGTCATTTTCTCCATCGTCGTCACTCTCCTCGTCCTCCTCGTCCTCCCCGTCCTCATCGCTCTCCTCCTCTTCTTCCTCCTCCTCGTCCGTCTCTTCTTCCGTCTCCTCCTCCGTCTCCCCACTGTCTTCCTCCTCGGCCAGCCAGTCGTCCAGAGTCTTTGCACCAACCTTGTCTCCGAGGCCGTTGGCCTTTTGCGGTGGGACCGCCCGGGCCGCATCGTCGAGCCTCTCCATTGCCGGTACAGACTTTTCGTTGTCGTACCGAGATGAGTGCCCGCCTCCGTTTTCATCTCGTAGTCTCGGATCTGGCTCTTTGCCGGCCTCAACCCAGTCCGGCAGCGTCTCGTATCCGCTCAATCCGTGGATACCGCCTCCGCCAGCCAAGACCAACGTTGACGAGCCAAGCAGGAAGCCCTTCCTCGATTCGGACGGACTGGGGGCCTGCGGGGCGGGCTTCGGGGCCAGAAGCATGAGCGTCGCCAGCTGCGGAACGCCCAGTAGAGATCGATACATTCTGGCTCGGTCCCTGAGATCATACGACGTATCGTATCGCACAAGCAGTACCACATAGTCCCACAGCCGCTCGATGGGATGCGTCTCCAACTCTTGCGGCGGATCTTCCTCGGCTGCCCTCTCCTTTTCGGCCTCGCTCTTGCGATTGATATGGTGGAGGTAGACCTTGGCTGCCAGCAACAGGATCTGGCGCTTGGCAGCCTCCGACTCGCTCGCAAAGTCCTTGAGCAGGATTCGGAGAACGTCTGGTGCAATGTTGTCCTCGCCGTTGAGCCCCGAGAACTCGCCCACAAGCCAGATGATGGTGGCTCTGGCCTGCGGATCCGTGGCGGAGTCGAGGTTCTTCGCGAGCCTGACCACGGTGCCAACGTGGCCATCGGCATCTTGCTGTATCAGGTGCCGGATGACCGTCAGGGACTCGGCAGCGAGAGTTCCATCCAAGCTGGTAATCTGGCCAAGCAACAGCTTCAGACAACGCGGGGCTGTCGTCGCGTCGGACTGCGCGCATCGCCCGATTGCGCGGACGGCTTCTCGCACCAGCGCCTTATTTGACCCTTGCGAGAAGTGCTCGAGCTCCTTCAGGATGAGACTCTTGACGTGGACAGGGCTGTGAGGGAAGATGATGGTCAAGACCTCCAATTTCAGCTCCCAGACGGGCGCTGTGTCTGTTGACTTGACCAGGAAGTGGCTCGCGTATGTGACAAAGTCGGTTGGCCGAAGGAGGCAGACGGAGACGATGTTGTAGAGAGCAATCTGCTGGATGTCTTGCGCCCCTCGCAGCAACGCAACGAGCGGACCAACGGCGAGCTTGACGTACTCGGGCGTCCCAACGGTGACGTAGCAACGCGCGACAGCGACAACGACAGCAGAGTTGCGGCTCTGGAGTAGTGGCCGTATGGCGTTGAGAAGCAGCAGCAGATCTGGATTCGTGGAGGAGCCGTGACCCGAGGCGGCACCAGTCGACTCACCGTAGAAGTCATCGGCCGAGGTATCTTGCCTGGGCTTGTCCGACAATTGACTCCTCGGAAAGCACTTGCGCGCGTAGTAAGTCATCAGGCGCAGCATGGCCAGCTGACTCCACTCGTCCATGTCCACGCTCTTGCGCACCAGGGCGCGATAGTGCTTGTGTATCAGGTCGATGCGCTCGGGGCAGATTTCGAGGAATGAGGCCACTGCCGCGCCGGCGACGTAGTATTGCTTGTCGCCTAGCAGGGTAGACAGGTATTCGATGAGCTGCGGCGACTGGCTCGGGTCGAGGCGGTAGCACTTGGGGATGGCGAGGGCGGCGGCCTTGCGGACGTAGGGGCTCATGTCGACGACGCCCTTCTTGATGGCGAGGGAGACGATCTGGCTGATGACCGGGACACGGATGCCCGACATGGTCTTGAGAGCGAGGGCGCGGACCTGGGGGTTCGTGTCGGACAGCGACTTCTGGATGGTGTTGATGGAGAGGAGGGCGAGGTCGGGCTCGTGCTCGGCGTGGTGGATAAGGTAGATGTAGACGAGCTTCTTGATTTCGATGTTGGGCGAGGCTACGTTTTTCACGACCGAAGAGAAGAAGGGTAGCGTCTTGTGGTTTCGGTACATCATCTGGAGAGTCGTCAGCGGTCGTGGTCGGAGGCAGATCGCGTCAGCGCGGCAGCAGTGCGTGCTCACCGAGATGACCCGTCGCAGGCCATCGAGAATCTCTCGGTCATTCCTGCTGTCGAGGAGCTTCCTCATCTGGTTGCGATCGAGCGGGCGGGTGCTGGTGCGCATGTTGCTCATGTTGCGCGTCGCCTGGGCGGCGTCGAGGGTCAGCTCTCTCGCTGCGGGCCAGTCGTTAGCACAAGGCACGGGGTGGGCAACGAGAGGCGGGATAGCTCACCAGTCTCCATGAGACCCGAGATCCTCGCGATCGACTCCATGGTGGCCGGGAGGAGCTGCGCCCGCGCGGTGTGTGGATTGGACGACGCTGAGACGGAGTGGTGTTGAAGCTGGAAGAATGACGACGTGACGATTGGCAGCCGAACGAACGACCCCACCAACCCTGAAGCCGTCGGGTACGTACCCCTCGCACCCCCCAGCGTTAATCTCTGCTGCACCTCACTCTCACCATGAGCGAACGCACCCGTCGTCACCGCCCGTTCGTGCCCTCCGGTCCAACGATGCGTCTCTCCCAGAGCTGCGGTGCGACTCCTCCGCGACTGCGGAGAAATGCGTGATCCTCGAAGCTACCCTTGCCCGTTGTCTGCCTCTCGCATCTGGGGTATCAAGAGTCGCCAATACACACAGGACCCCCCAGCCCTCCAGCCAAGAGTGAACCAAGGCAGTCATTAAACTCGCATGCACCTCCATCTCAAGCACACGGGCACGTATTGTATGCGACCGAGACTTACATTGGCTTCAGTGTACGGGGATACTTCCGTCTGAAGTCACTCTCAGAGTCGCGGTGGTCAAAAAGCCCAGATAGATGGAGTCTCTGGGCGGAACGCTTCGGGATGCCTTGCGCCCATAACTCACTTCGTTATCTCAAAGAAACTTTACCTGGTTGTCGGCACCGTAGGTGCCACCAGCTTGAAGGTCTCCCAAAGCTATATCAGACTACCCTCGATAGTGGATTGGACGCGCATGTGGGTGACAGAAATGGGACTTGGGCTGCGACACGTGTGCCGCTGACATCTTTTGTTTGACAAGGGAGTAGCTTCGTGCGCGAGACGAATAACGGAGTGCCTTAGATTGGTCAGGTCGGCTTCGGACTTCTCATTGACTCCGATAGCGCGTGCTGCAAAGGAGTCCGAACGACCCTCGTTCTGAGGCGAGGTTCGAATTTGGACAAAGGCGCACACATTTGCAGAGCCGTGGTTGCCAGAGCTGAATGTGTAAGAAACCGATGTGATGAAGAAGCCAAGCTGCCATGCTTTCAAGGTCAATGGAGTCAAGGAAATATGGCGATCCTTGTCCGCCCTGTGTTTGACGATGGCATAGCTCATCTTCCCACAGGGCGGGGACAATTTGAGTGCTTTGACTTCAGGGCCGGGCAGTTCAGTTCAGTCCAGTCTGGCCGACAAAGAATTCCGTGAAGCTTGTCCCAAATGACACCTTTACATCCGAGTTGGAGCAGGCCACCACCGAGACCAGAATACTTCGAAGCTGGCCACGGTGATTCATGAACATGTGGCCTGAACTGTAAGCCGCCATTCACACTCATAGCTCTAGGTGGTGACTCGTGGTGCGATTGCGACATGATCTTGCCATTTGCAAAAGATTCCTCAGCGCCATCATTGCCGATTCCTGCATTGGCGCAGCGCTCTAGTCTGGCTCTCGTGGTTGTCATGTCTCTCGTGGCTCTTGTGGCCCTCGTTGCCCTCGTCGCGCTGGTGGCTCTTGTATCTCTCGTGGCTCTTGTAGCCCTCGTAGCCCTCGTGGCTTTCGTGGCTTTCGTTCCTCTCTTGCTTTACCTAGGTCTTTGTAGGCTTTTTGGTCAGTTTGGAGAGTATGCGTATTCGGCAGGTGTTTTATTGAGTGCGTGAACGTCAACGTGCGGGGCGGGACGGGCCATTGAAGACAACAGAGCTGTCCATGTACGGCCTTTGTGCAGCTGGCACTTGTTCACGCGGACAAACGGCCATCATGGCACCTGCCTCCAGGTAGAAGCTACATAAATCAGGTTCAACGCCGCTAGATAGTCTCATTTCAATCAGGTCAACCGGATATGATTTGACTTCACAGCCAAGAACCACAGTCTTTACTTCCATATCATACACCGCCCAAGTCTTCGGCGACTTCACAGCCAAGAACCACAGTCATTACTTCCATATCAGACACTGCCCAAGACTTCGGCACACGGTCGAGTTCGCAACCGCAATCATGGAGGACTGCTCCACGTACATTCTCCCGTGCGACCTGCGCGAGGCTGACCCCAGAATCCTCCAGTTAGGCACCATCCTCTTCCGCCCGACCGACACCTACAACGTGACGCATTTCAGCGCAAAGGACCTTGCCAAGGCCGCAAAGGTAGGGATACACCAGTACGTCGAGCGCGACGTGCACATCATGCAGCCTCTGCTCTTCGACGAGGTCAACTACCTCTTCCCGGTCCACCCGAACCAGCTGGGCAAGTTCAAGGGCGCGCGCGTCCCGCGGTACCGCCTGAACACGATCGAGGTCGTGCACTTCACCGACCCCCCCGCAGGTAAACAGCTGGCTGCCATGCTGACGGCGCACCCGGACATCAAGGACCACCTCAAGGTGCATCGAGCACCCATCTACATGGTCACCGGCATCATGCTGGGCTGGGGCGTGCACTTCCGCGCCGAGCCTACCCCGATGCCGACGAGAACCCTGGAACGATATCAGCGGCACGAAAGCAATCTTCGTGTCGAGCCAGAGGCACAAAACGCTGTGAGTTTTGTTCTCAACCAGTCGCGGCAACACCAGGACAAGGGTCTCCCAAAAGACTTCTTCCATGTCAGGCATGGAGAGGACCACACTATCCCACGGAGCATGAGTATCGTCCCGAGGCGCGACACTGACAGAGGCGTCCGCATGGCGCTCAAACCCGGGCGGGTGCTGTTCGCCTACAAACTCACCAAGATCGACATTGGCAAGTGGATGGGCACCACCGCGAAACCCTCGGCGGATCCAGTCCTGACCAGGCAGGGCTACATGGTCCGCTACCGGGACTTTCCTACTGGGCATATATACCACGACCGTGTTGAGGAGCCCAAGTTGACCAACTTTGACTGCGTTTACGGCGGCTGGTGAGACGAGCATGGGTGCCGGGGCGCTGGGGCGCCGGGTTTAGGGGCTGCAAGCATCCTCCTGCCCGGATCGAGAAACAATTGACAAAAGCACCATCATGCATGATACCCCAGTTTGGTTCAGTCCATGGCTCTGAATCGTGCGTGAAAATCTCGGTGACGACTAACAGTGCATGTGTATGTTTGTTGGAATTGCCAAATCCAGTAATCGCGAGCAGGACCCACTCCCACCATCGAGAACCTTCAGTGTTCAGAATCAAGCCTTGCCGGGTTGTCCATCTCCCATCGTCACTCATCAGCCCCGAACACCACGACAAGACGAACCGGAAACCCAGATGACGATGCCAACACTGGTCCCAGCCGCCCGCTCGCGGTCCGTCAAACCGTCACCATGACTCACGGCGGCGCGGCGTTGCCGCCGTCGCCGTCACCCCTCCTGCACCGTCCCGCGACGCCGTCGGAGCTCCTCACGCACACGCTCGCGCATCTGAGACACCCGACCACGCTCATCGTTTGCTGGCCCAGGCAGCAGTTTGTCGAGGCGCTCGTGCAAGACATTTGCCAGCAGCAGCAGGAGCAGCAGCAGCCGAGAGCAAAGCCGGGTGGTCGACAGGCAGGTGGAGATGGAAGCGAGGATGAGGATGTGCACGCGGGCGACGGCAACGACGGCGACGGCGGCGGCGGCACCTCGCAGCAATTCCCGCAGCCCGTAATACCGGCACACCAGCTCCTCTCCGCGACCCTGCTGCAGGTCTCCATCTCGCGACACATTCGCATGCTCTTCGTCCCGAGCGTGGTCCACCTACGCGCCCACCTTGCCGCTCCCCCCGCCGCACCTGTCTCGCTGTCCTCATCCACCCTTCCGCCCGGACAGCCACCGCGCTCCAAGATCACGGCTCCACCAGACAACGGCGCCGGCGCCCACGCCGCATCACCCAACAGTAGAACGCCAACCCGGCGGCTGCGTCCACAGCAGCACCGTCAGGCCCCCCTCCTCCTCATCTACGGCCTCTTCGAGCTGCACCGCGACGGCACCGACTGGTCCGCCCAGGGCCTCAACACCTCCCTCGCCGTGCTCGTCGAGTGCGCCGCCCGGAGCGGGCTGGTCCCCGCGCTCGTGGAGCCACGACGCATGGAGCGCGACGACAGCGACGTGGACGGTGGCGTTCAAGGCGGCGGCGGACGGGGCAGTAGTGCCGAGCTGCTCGCAGCGCTGGCCGAACCGATCCCCGTCTTGAGCGGCAGTGAGCGCCGACGAGACGGCTCGTGGAGCGGCAGAACGGTGCCAGTCAGGAGGGTCCTTGCGAGGTGGTTTGCCCTGCCTTCCTCACCCACCGGATGACGAGCAGGGTAAGAGCCATCGATGAATTTATCGCGGGGCTTGGCCGAAGCTTGGAGCTGAACAGAATGTAATGTAATACACGAGCGTTGCCAGCTTGTTGATCATACTCCAAGCCTATGCAAACAAATTGTTCCTATGCAAACCCGACGCCCACACAAGCGCCCCAACGCCAGACCATGGTATAATATCGCCCGTTCGTGCACTCATACAGCCTTCATCCGAAACGCGCAGTTGTCAGTGCCCGCGTCGGCATTATGGGCATGCTCACTGCCCAATCGTTTGCTCCATCTCGGTTATGTACAGCTTGATGTGGGCCTCCATCTTGAGGTACTCGTCGTACGCCATGTGGACCTCGTTCTCGATGTTCTCCTTGAGATCGAGCATCTAGTGCGGTGTCATAGTCAGCCAAGCAAGCCCTCTTGCATGCGTCCTGGGAAGAGGCAGATAGAATCGCGGATAGGGAGGTGACGCGGCTTACCTTCTTCTCCGTCTGTTCAATGCGCACCCTCCGAATCTCCATCTCCTTGGTCTTCTCCGTGTGCTCCTCCGTCAAGCGCTTGTGCACGGCCCGCAGATCGTGCATCTTCTCCTTGGCCTCGTGCGCCTTCTGCCCGCTCTGCTCGCGCAGCTTCTCCGTCCGCTCCGTCCACTTGGCCAGCTGCCGGCGCAGCATCTGCTCGGCGCGCTCCACCTCGCGCGCGTTGTTGCCCCTCTCCGAGAGCGCGTCGCGCTGCTTGGCGTTGCGCGCCATCTCCTCCTCCTCCTTGCCCAGCTCAGCCGCGATCTCGTCCAGAATCTTGATGCACGACGCCACGTCCGCTGAAACGACCGTGAAGGAGTCGGCTGACGTCTGTAGAGCGCGCGCCCGCCGGTCCAGCGCGTCGATGTGCGCCTTGTCGTTGTTGAGAATCTCGCGCAGCTCTGCGAGGTTGTCCTGCAGCGCCGACGGGCTCTGCAGCATGTACGGACGCAACTTGGCGCTCTCTTGTTTGAGGGTAACCTTGTCCTGCGTCCGTTGCTCGAGCGCGTTCGTCAACTCGCCCTTCTTCTGCTTGGCATCCTCGAGGCGCATCGCCACCTTCTTCTGGTTCTCACGCAGCTCAAGCAGCCGACTCTTGAGCTCTTCGTTGCGCATCGTCTTCTCGCGCACCTGCGCCTCCATGGCCTTGCGGTTGTGGCGCATGTCCTCGAGCCGCGCCTCGTTGTCCTGGTTCTCGGCGTAGAGCGTCTCGATGCGCGACTTGGCCGACTCGGTCTTGTTGAAGTGCTCGTCGATGACGCTCGTCTGCGACTCGCGGAACCGCACAAAGTTGATGAGATAGCTGAAGATCTTGACGAGACGCTCGTAAGTCGGCTTGTACAGGTCGTTGAATGTGAAGTCGGTGATGCCGCACTCGAACAGCAGCCTCCGGAGCGACACGTAAAAGCCCATGAGGTTGCGCGTGTCGGGCGGGATCACATCGGAGAACTCGGCGCAGACATCTTCCGCCGCGGCGCGCATCGCCGGCTCGACCGTCTCGCGCGTCGCGTTGAGAAGCAGCTCGGCGAACCACTCGAATATTTGCTGCACGTGCGCCGGATTTGGTTTCTGCAGGTCGGCGACGGTAAAGTTGATGCCTATGTCGGTTATGCAGCCCACGATCTCGCGGTCGGGGAGGCGCATAAACGCGTCGGCCTCCTCCTCTTTCTTGCGAGACCGACTCTGCTGCTGATTTGTCGGAATTATGCTCATCCGCGGATTGTACGCCATGTTGGAGGTTTGCGCGCGGCGCAATCAATCAATCTGTTGGTGTCGCGTTGTGTGTTCGCGATGTGATGCATGCTAGGTTCCGCTGGCGGGCGGTAAACACTTGACGCGTTGCTGTAGAAACATTTGGCCCCGCGACCTCACGTGACGCAACTCACCCACACATTCAAGTTCACCATCTCACTCGCAACACACGAGCGGTCGCGTCAGGAATTGGATTTCACACCTAAAAGAGTGCCGGTTGACGGCAGCTGACCTTATTTAGTTTCATCGTTTGTGAGCGTGGCATATCTCACGCCCATCTTTGTATGGTTGTCACGGCGGTCTGACAACTCATAACACGCCCATATGACTGCTATGCACACATTGTCTATCGAAAAGAACATAGACGTCTCAATCCCGTATTCGTACACTGCGCCCCGAGATGGCCGCGACTTTACTTGAGGAGGTTCCGCAGACCCTCGACCAGCGCCGGCGGGTTGGCGCCCACCACCTCGCCAACCTTTTTCCCGCCCTTGAAGAAGAAGAACGTCGGCATTGCCCGCACGCCCAGCGCTTGCGTCACAGCCTGCACTTCGTCGACGTCAAACTTGACGAAATGCACCTTGTCCTTGAATTCGGCCTCCTCGGAATGTCTACCCCGTCGTCAGCAATCAGCGCTTTGTGTAACAAACATACACCGCCCTCGGCGATCAATCGCCACTGGTCAAAGCACCAGCCAGCGACAAGCAGAGCAAAGCTGCCACGAGTGTAGATAAAAGTAGTGAGCGGGCGGTGTGCGTACTTTGCCAGGATGGGCGCAATAGCCTTGCACGGCCCGCACCACGTCGCGAAGCAGTCGACGATGACGTTTTCATTCTCCGACACGACCTTTTGGAACTCCTCCGCACTGATTAAGACGCACCACAGAGTCAGCATAATGTCAACACAGTGGCAGGAAAGACCGACGACTTGGCGCAACTCACCTTTTAACCTCGTGGACGATCCTCCGCGCAGGCGTTGAGTGAAAACCCCGGAACGCGGCCTGGGCTGCGAGGCCGCTTGGCCGCGCCAGCGGGGCGAGAGATCGGACGAGGCGGGCTGAAAACATGGTTGTGATCTTGTTTGCTGCGGGCGATGCAGAGGGGAGATGGAGTGTAGGATGTGCTTTGGTAGAGTGCAGGTGCTCGATGAATAATGTCATGACGCTCGGTTCAATGGAGGTTGAGACGCGGATGAGCTAAGCAGTTCCACCAACATCCCGGTGTTGGCCGATCCCGGCACTTCACCTCCCACACCTTCGAGATGGGATACATCCACGCGCGGTTCACGACATTCTCATACAATCATGGCTGGCGAATCTTGGGAACGGGCCAAGCCACCCTACCGTCTTCTGCGGAAACCGCAACTGCTTGCATCGTTTAAGCCCGGGCGGTCAAAACCACATAGTGCCTTCACTGCTCTGGTTCTGCGATCAGTCCAGTCAGGCACGCAAGCCTACTTGCACGAAACTCAAATCAGTCATTTTCTATCCGCATTCCGAGTCCTTGGAGCGCGCCTCGCTAATCCGGCCAGGCACGCTCGTAATGCTCGACCGACCCATCCTGCAGGCCAGGATCCCTCGCGTTCAATGCTACATGTAAGCCGTGTCCGCCCTCCCAAACAACAAAAAGCCCAAAGGACCATCTCTTTCCGACGCACGGGTATCATATGCGGTGTATGTACGAATAGTATAAGGAGGCAAAAATCACAAAGCAGCCCAGCGCCACCTAGCTGCGGCCAGTCCAGAGGATCGGGGTCCGTGAGATGTGTCGTCGAAAGAGCAGAGTCAGGTGCAGCAGCTTCCCGTTGTAGTTTTTCCTTTTTCAATGTTTTGTCTGCTTTCATCGTTTTCCAAGTGTTTTTTCTTCGGGTTTTTGCTTTATCCAAGGAAATGGTAAGGAAGGACTTCGGTCAGTGTCGAATGCGGCGGACGGACAAAGGAAATATGAGACCGCATTCTTCGCCCAGTTTGTCGAGTATGAAACTGCGTCACCGCCAAACAATCTTTTGGCTGCCGGCGCATGGAAACTGCTCTGCATCTGACTCTGCTCATGTTAGGACACTCATACTGTATCGCCCGCCATTCTCTCACGCCTGGCGCTGTTCGAGGGGTTCTCTCGGATAGATATCCAAAAGCTTGGCGCTCCCGGCGCTAAAGTTCCTGCTGTGACCTTGCCCTACGTTCACGCTCCTAGCGCGCTGCAGGTCGGCCTTCTCGAGGCTCACCGGGCTGACTGGCGACACGGGCGAGATGGGAGCCTCGCTGTCGTCGTCCCCAGACTCCATGTTCATCAGGACCTCGTGGCTTCGCATGGTGTCGCGATTGTGCTCGTGGTACTGAACCAGATGGGGTCTGGCACCGACGGCGCCCCATTTGACGTCGCCCTCGCGCATCGGCTCGTCTTCGTCACTGCTCGGCCGGCCTTCTCCTGACGGACGTCCGGCCGTCATGACGCCAGAATGGCGATGGGGAGCTAGCCGCGACAAGTAATCGTCGTCGGTGATGGCAGTCTCGTCCGGCGTGCCGCTGGAAGGAGACTCGGTCATGGCGTGGTCCCGATGGCTGGCCTTCGCGATGCTGTCACGCAATGTCGTGGACCGCTTGCTGCCGATCCGCCCGGACAACCACGATCCCTCGGAGTCGATGGAGGCGAGCGAGATGGACTGGTAAGGGTCCTCCGCAGACTGAGCACCATACACCTTGTCGTCGGAGGTGGCAGCGGGTTGCGCACCTTGGATGTGCCGCGGGGCAGACGTGGGCGTGCCCAGACGACTCGACACAGTAGGCCGCGATTCCGTTTCGGGTGTCTTGACCTCGGCGACCATGGGCAAAGGCAACGGCTCCGACTCGGGTGACTGCACGCGCGAGTCGGGGGGCGACAGCGGAAAGTCGGGCAGGTCTTCGCGGAACCGCGATCGCGTTCGTTTCGGCGCGGCACCGGCTTTGCTCGCCAGGTAGTTGCCGTGCGGAACGTCCTCGCCTTGGAGCTTTGCGAGTGCCTCCGCCTGCGCCTGGGCGGCTGCTTGCATCTCCTCGCGGGATGTGTTGGAGAAGGAAGACGGGCCCGAGTTGCGTCTGCTTCGGCCTCCCCATCTCAGGAACGACGAGATGGACAGGCGAGCATGCTTGTTGCTGCCCACAGAGTCCTTGCGCGGCTCATCGTCTACTACCATGCGGTCCTTGTCCGAGCCGAGCGTCGACTTGGACAGTGACTTTTTGGCGCGCAGGAGCCCTCCGAGGAGGGAGCTCTGCGATGCGGTTGACGCTTGGGCCTCACGGGCGGTGGGTGGCTTGGGATGTGGCACGGGAATGACGACCGAGGCGGCGGCGGCAGCGGCGGTGGTTTGGGTTTCGAGTGCGGAAGGCTCCTCTTTTGGAAGGGTCTCGGTCCGGTGAAACGATTCAAGCGGCTCTTTGGACGACGTCTGCTCCAATTCGGCCAAGGGCTCTCGCGTGGGTGTTGTCCGTCTCTTGGAGGAGGTGACAACAGCCGAAGGTGGGTCGATGCCCAACCCAACCAGCTCACGGCCCAGGACACCACGTTCGAGATTCTCGGGCGGCGGTGTCCCCGTCTTCCGGGCCTCTGCCTCGTCTCTCCGTTGCTTCTCGGCCCTGCGCGCCAACCTTCGCTCGACGCGCTCCTGCTCGAGCTGGCGCTTCCTCTCACGCCTCCGGTTGTCGCGCTCCATGAGTTCTCTCAGGTCTCTGGCGTCCAGCCCGTCAGCAAGGTCATCGATACGCTTGCGGGCATCCAGTGCTCCCTCCGGTATGGCATCCCATTCAGCAACCCGCTTCTTCTGCATCCCGGACCCGGCAGGGTCGGAGGCTCGCGAGGGCGTCCATCGGGACCCTTGGGCGTAGCGAAGCGTCGGCCGCGGCGCCAGGGAATCGAGAGCGGAGATTTTGTAGGCAACAAAGTCGGAGTCGGACGATCGGCTGGAGCGGATCGAGTCCGGCAGCGGCAGCGAGACGTTTGACGTGGGTTTGTCCCATTGGCCGGCGGCAGCGTTCGTCTTGGCCCTCTTGCTGCTCTGCTTGGACAAAGCTCCGCCGGTGGTCCAGGCGTCGGCCCCCGGCCGGGTGGGCATGTGCGCGCTCATGGCCTTGATCTCGGCCTCTCTCTCGTGGTCCTCCCGCCTCCTCTTGCTGCTGCGTCTCCTCGAGGGGACCGGGTTGTTTTTGTGGTGAAGGGTCGGCGTGCGCGTCCAGGCGAGCTCCTGCTGACCGGTGTCAGCGGCGCCGCCAGCGCGACCGGCTGGCTGGCGACCTGCATGGGGTCGGTCTACTCGGATCGAGTCGTTGCGACCGGGCGAGAAGCTGTACGTCCGCGGACGGCGGCGGAGCTTGACGGGCTCGGTTCGCTGCTTCTTCTTGGATACGGCCCTCGCGGCGACGCCCTCGGCATGGCCTTGAAGCGGCGGGCCCTCACCGTCCGAGAGGGCGGCGCCGCTTCTCGAGCGCTTCCGGGAGCTCTTGCGGCGAAAGGGCCACAAGGCCATGGTGGCGTCGGTTCGTGTGGTTTCGCGTGGGATCAGTTGCAAGTCGTCGTTGTACGCGAGTCGGATGCTATGGCGGAACTAGGCGGCTTGTACGGTTGCATTGTGGTCGTGTAATTAAATGTCGGGTCTCGAGGTCATGCATTCGCCAGGCAGAGCGTTGGGCGCGGCGACGGTGACCGCCCGTGCGGGTGTTCGTCGCACGGCGAATACGTAGGTGCTATATCGGTCTCGGCGACGACGGGGAGGTCCCGCTGAAGAGACAGGCGAGAGTCGATCAATGGACCGTGCAGCGCGTGTCGGCGAGACGCGTTGGGTGCCAGAGGAGCGAGGCGCGACGCTGTGGTATGCAGCAATTAATCGACGCTCGCGGTGCTGCGCTGCGCTGTGCTGTGCTGTGCGGTGCTGTGCAGCGCCGTGCAGTACCCGACTCTGCGGGTAGGGTGAGTTGGACGTTCGCTTCGTTCTTTCGAGGGCTTCTTTGGCGAGGACAGGATGCAACTGCGTGGTTGCAAAGCGAGTTGAGTCGAGTCGAAGCGGTCCGTCTGTCGGTTAAAAAGCTCCAGTGCGAATGTTAAGGTTCGAGGCCGTGGCAGCAGATGGCCCCGGATGAGACGTGCGTGCGCGTGCGGGCGAGCGAGCGAGGATACGATACGAGCAGACGAGCAGAATCGAACAGAGGAGCCGGGCCCAACGCTATTGGGGCAGCGGGTGGCGGGAGGGAATGCGATTAAAAATGGCGGCCATTCCGCCGGGGGGGCTGCCAGGATGGGAAGAGCATGGGTGGGAGGATGGGAGGGCCCTCGACTGTGTCCCGCGTGGACTCTGTGTGGGCGTCCCATCCGCGTCTGTGTGAGCGAGGTGGCTGTCGCGGGCCCTGCCAGACCAGACGTCGTCCTCTCACCTCGAGGGAACTCGCCCGCTGGTGGACGACGGACTGATGGGACTGGACGGATGGAGGTCCCGTGGGGCGCTAGGAAAAGGTACCTAGGTACCTCACCTATGGAGTGCCTTCTGTTGGTGCCGTACTTTAGGTACCTGCAGTACAGTTCGCAAATGCCACGGCAGCAGCTCGGGGGCGGCACCGGACAGTGCACTTGCTCCGTAGCTCACTGTTGCGCTGCGCCGCCTCCTCATCTGCTTCCTCCGCCGCCTCATACTCCTCCTCGCCTCCGCCTCTAACCACTCACGGTCGCGGGGCAGTTGTCTCCTGGACGCCCGCTCCGTGCTTGTTTCTCGACGGATGGCTTGGGCGGCATGGCTGGTGGGGATCGTGCCCTCGATTGGCGGGCAAGCACCGGCTCCATCCAATTCCACTCCAACACTGCGCCGTCCACTCCATCAAGTCCCCTCCACTCCTGGACCGGGCCTGCCTACTGCCGCCGCCGCCCACCCTGGCAAGCCTGACAGACGGGCTTGGCCTCCATTTGCTTGGAACACTGAAGCGTCCGGGATGGAGCGAGCGCTTGGTTCTTAGCGTCCTGCTGGCTCTTCCCACCGATCGGGAGCACGCTCGGGAACCCGCCGCCACGGACACAATGCATCGTTGGCGGTGCGGGCTGACGAGTAGCGCGCCCCTGGTGCCCCCGCGGGCGAGAAGCCCGTCCCGCAAGTACGTAGGTCCTCGTCTTGTCGTCGTACTGGAAGGTCAAGATGGCCTCCGCCCCCGTGTGCTGGTTTCAGTGCGACGGAGTCGTCGCGCCGGGCACGCAGGCGTTACAGCACGCACACCTGGAAGGTGCAGCACGGGCGCTGGGGGCGGCGATGGAGACCGCTGGGGCCGCGACCCAACAGTGGAGGAGGGGATTGGCATCCGTCAGCCGGGGCATGGATGGTGGGCATGGATAGCATGGATGGCATGGATGGATGGTATGGAAATGGAACCAAGCCTCCGTCCGCCGCCTGCCGGTCTCCCGTCATGCAACCCGCGCAGTGCAGCCGTGCGGAGGCCACCTCAGCGACGACTGGCCTGGGAGGCGCCCACCCGATCCGGGTGCGTGGCCTGTGCTTGCTTGGGACAATTTTGGCATCAGCCCGCCGCGGCCGAGTGATCAAACGTCAGTGCTGAAGTCGAAGCCGTCCGAGCTGTAGCCGCTGCTCGGCCAGAGGGGCCTGCTGAGATGCGGGAGCCCCTGGGTCCCAGAAACAATCTCCACCACGTCCCTCAGAAGACGAGTGCCCACTTGACTGCCTCCACGAAACTCGACGTTTGAGCGAACGTGGTGGTGGTGGTGGGACGTGCAGCTCCATGGAAGTGTACTTCGCACGGTACCACTGAGGACCAAGAGCCGTACCTACATGGGCCAGCGTGAGGTACAACATTGTACCTCGCAAAGCCAGGCAGCACAGCTCGCGGTGCTGGAGGGTCCCTTACTTCGTGCCTGGAGACGGGATAGATGCCCGAGGGTTACAGCTCACCAGCGCCTTTGCCCAAACTCTTCCATGTTGTCATCAACGACGACCAACCCGCCTCCATTGGCCGTGCGAGACGTCGTGGAGTTGGGGAACCACCTGCACTGTGATACCTACAGTACCCGTGCTGCACTCGTATAGGCGGTCCACGACAGTACTGGGTAAAGGTGCGCGGGCTTGGGGTCCGGCTGCCTGGGGTGGCCTGGCTGGCGGCAGGCGCTGGTTGTCCCTCCCCTCTTGCTCCTACCCTTCCCATGATGATGATCGATCCAACACTCTGCCGGCCCCGCGTTCCGGCCAGCCAGCCCAGACAAATTTTCACGTCCTCAGGCCACCGTCGCCATGCCATCTCATCCCATCCCCAAACTTATGTGTCGTTGGCTTGTTGGCCCAAGAGTCTCGGATTGCGCAACAATATCACCAGTCCCCGTCCACCTCAGCCACCAACCGGTGCAAAGAACCAGTACGGATACGGTACGGTACAGTGCTATATTCACAGTAGGTACGAGGGACGCACCGAAGGCACAACAAAGCACAGTATCACACCGCACAGCACTTCGCCAGCAGGCTGGAGACGGCTTGCCTGCGCCTGCACCACTCTTCTGTGCCACGCCCGCAGCGGTCCAGATTCGCCTGCCCTCCACGCCTCGCCTCCTTCTCTGTTTGACCCGGACCTGGCACAACACGGCGGGCTCTGTCCTCAGTAATACGAGTACCGAAGAAGCGTCCCATTCTGGCTGGGCGCGAGGGGCCGCCTCGCCGTCCCGGCCTCCCTCGAGATTGGCCTGCGACAGCTCCCGTCTTCAAGCCCAGCGTCCCGCCCCTCCCTCCCATCAATCCACGCCCGCCCAGGTTCGTCAGCGACTTGCGTCCGCTCGTGTCCTCCCTCTTTGCCGTCTGTCCACGGGATCACGCGAGAGGGGGAGGGGGGTTGGTGAGCCGCCTGCACGATTTGACTCGCTGCGCGTTGCCACTTTGCAGCCACGCGCCCTAGTGTGCGCCTCCCTCTGCTGCTCACCGTGATCCCGTGCCTCGTCGTCTCTTCTCCCCAGGCGACTTGCTCGTTTCCCTGCTTTTGTTCCCGCGGGCCAAAAGGAATTGGTCGAGGTCTGGCTTGCTGCTCCCCGTTGGTGCAGAAAGTCGCCGGCGCTGCAAAAGTGTGCATCATGAAACCCTTATTCCTTTTTACCCGGCCCGGCGTCGAGGCTAACACGTCGAGGACTGTCGAATCGTAGCTGGGCCGTCGTGGAACATGGGGGGGGGGGCGATTTGCCGGTGCCTGATTCAGATCAAGCTGACAATGTCTCGATCCTGTCCTGTCCGGCACGATACATTGATTGACCGACCAGGCACTGCCTGCACCGAACTGGATCAGGAACCCGGCATGGTTTGGTCGCGCGTGTTCGCCACACCTACGAGTCCCGTACTGTACTCCATTCGTTTGCGCCGCCCAAACAGACGACCCGCCCGCCGCCTGTACGAGAAGGTGGAATCGTTCTGCTTTGCCCAGTGTAAGGCATCAGACGTCTCCCTGCCCGAAAGGAGCCGCTTTCGTACTGCCCGGCTGCGGGACGGCTGCAGGCCAAGAACAAGCAGCGTGCGACCGGCAACGAGTCCTTTTCGTATCACCCAGGAGTTGCGTGCCTGAGACCCGCTGTGGCTCCTTCGTATTCGCCCGCCTCGCCCTTCCCGGCCGCCCAATGTACGAAGCGCCTCGTGGCACAGAGGAGATGAAAGAGTATTAATTCATAAAGGGCAAAAGCAATGGCTCAACAGCACCAGCGAGGGCTGAGGTCGAACCACGGGGCCGACTGCGGAGGGGCGAGTATACGCCGGCACCGCCGATGGAGACGAGGCGCGCCGAGCCAGGAGCGGGACGAGCTCTGGATGCCAATGCCAACGGGGATGCTCCATGGACGATCCCTGGCAAGCTCCGAGCCCTGTCGTCATGGGCCTTGGCTCCCTCGCTGCCCACCGGGCCACCCCAGTCGTCTGCTTCCATGCCTGCTGGCTGTCTGGCACCAAGGCACTTCCTGTCCCCCCGGCTTGTTCTTATTATTAGCAGGCTGACCAACGTCATGCATTGAGGCGATGTCCTGGAGAAACCTGTTTGAATACTCGTCCGTCAGCGCGCGCCGGAAACGCAAAGATCGTCGTCATGCCTTTCCGCTTTTGTGGCCTCTCTCCATCGACTTCGGGCGTGTTTGCATGTCATGCCACCGCCGAGCTGACGACGGTGGCTGCGTACGAGCAGCTGCCCGTGTTTGGCGGGCCTTGGGCATAGGTGGACAGGGCCCAGCATGCGTCGACAGTGCTGCCGTCCCATTGACCCTGCAGGATCCCGCCCGCCGTGCCTGTCCGGTGTGACGCTTCCATTGGCGTCACAGGAGCAGCGTGCTTGGGGGACATTGGTATGCGGAGATTGATTGAACAGATATGGTTTCGCTGGTTTGCGCCTACGGCGCCTGCTTCCTGTATTAGTCCTCTGCCCTGCTCAAAGCGGAGAGTGACATGGACTGCTCAGAACCAACTGCCTCTGCTCTCGGACAAGGTTACGCCGTGCATGCCTGCAGCAACACAGGCAAACAGACGAACCTTGGGCAGCCCTAGCCTTTCATCTCCTCCTCCCCGGTCACGCGGCCAAATCCGGACTTGTTGGAACCGCCGGCCCAACCCTCGGGTGATTCACTCGCTCCATGCATGTCATGATGTTGATTCTCTATACGATGACGACGCGGAACAGGCTGCTCGTAAGTAGAATAAAAGCTAAAGTCGACCTCGCCGTTGATGCATCGGAGTCCTGCCATCGCTTGCCAACAGGCAGCCAAGACTAACTGTGGGAGATTTGGGCAGACGAGACGCACGGGGTTCTCTTGCCATTGGCGGCGCTCCCATCCTTTGGCCCTGTCACTTGTCATGCGTTCGACGGATATTGCGCCCAACTCTGTAGCGGTGGAGAGTGGTCGCCGTCCGTGCGTTTGAAGTATGTGATGCCAGCGGCATCATGCGACGACCTGACAACGGAATGCAAAGTGCGTGAGCTTGCCGTAGAGGCCAGTTCAAAGCGCAGTAGCAATGTTGCCCAAGCCCTCGAATCCCGACTCGAATGAGGTTGGATATCTGTGTGACGAGTCGAGCCAGAGGAGACGCTGCAAGGCGTGGGAGACAACGTACTATTTGTACGGCTCCCCGCGTCTACCAAAGGCCGTTCCTAGTCCTCTGAACATGGCTGCGTTTCGTTTCAGAAGGCTAAAAGGGCCTCGCGGCCTGGGAGTGCAAGAAGGGTAGCTGCTCAATACTCACCAATTCGGTCGTAATGGAACGTGCCGCCCATCGATTTCCATATCTCGAGTCGACAAGAAATAGAATGAAGAAGAAGGGATCCCAAGACAAGGATCCCGGCGCCTCGAATGGCTCTCTCTTTCAGTCGTCCCCCTTGCCAACTATTTGGAGCCTTTTTCATGTGTCGGGCAAACAGGCGGCGGAGACTACGGCCGGGGCGGGCGGTCGGTCATCTTAGTTGACATGAGGGGAATGGGCGGGAGGGAGAGCAGAGGACGCTTTGAAGGGGCGGGCCTTCTTTTGATATCTACATAGGAGCACGTCGATCTGGATTGCCGCCCCTTACTCGAACCATTCCTCGGAGCCGTCAAGGCAAAGGAGGGCGAAGGAGCGGTTCAGAGAACCAAGCAGCCTCAACTCCCTGAAACGAGCGGTGTGCGGGCAAGAGGCAGGCCTGTATTTTCACCAGCCGGGCCCGAAGTACACAGATTACTGGATATAGTGCCCAGATGCACAGACCTGTAGGCGTCAAGCGGACAGGCAGTTTCACGATTACGAAGGGCATTGTCAGACCGATGGTCGTGACGACGGGTGGTCTGTCTCGAGCGTATAAGTGGGCGGGAGGAGAAGCTTACCCTGCACCCACCGACAGCACAACATCGCGTGGGGCATGCTTGCATGATTTTCATCAACATCCAAAATGCAGGACCTTTGCCTCGTGGCATGCCTGATTCGAATGCACCATCCAGACCGGGCACGGCAGAGGCGTCAAGGTAATGGAGAGTCGGAGACTTCCCAAAGCCGTGGCGACCCACAGGCGGAGAGTAGCTGAAGCGGGGATGGGGAAGGCGCGCGTGGATATCCCGTCGCTTCTCCAGCCGACGTCTGCCGACGTGACTCCTGGCCGTCGCTCCTCATCCATCGTACAACGACATGATATGTTGGCTGTTTCACTCCTCTCAACGCTTTTGATAATAGACTCGTTAGCACGACAACTTAGAACGACATCCATCTTCTCAACATGGAAAGCACTATTGTCGTGGTCGGGTATGCCTCCCAGCGCCCGTCCAGCTCCGTCATGTGCTAACACGCCGCCCAGCGCAGGCGTCAGTGGCCTCACCTCGGCGCTTCTGCTCGCGAGGGTGAATGCCGGAAGCATCACCGTGGTAGGCAAACATATGCCCGGCGATTACGATATCGAGTATGCGTCGCCGTGGGCTGGCGCCAACTTCTCGCCGTATGCCCACCGCCTAGTCCCCTCCACAGGACTTGGAACTGTCCGCTTCCTGCTAATAAGTCTTGTCCAGAATGGCAAGAAAGTCGCACAACAGGTGGGAGATACGAACCTGGCCAGAGCTGAAGCGCCTGGCCGAGGAGGTTCCCGAAGCGGGAATCCACTTGCAGAGTAGGCTGCGTTGCACCTTTGCGCGAGGCATCCATGATCTCTCTAACTGGTGGACAACTAGAGTATCGCATCTACAGGCGTGAGAAGGACATGGAAGGCGGCTTGTGCATCGCTGACCCCATGTTTGACGCTGATCCCTGGTACAAGGGCATGTTTCCGGACTATCGTGAGCTCGGCGCCGACGAGATCATCCCCGGCCACGACTCGGGCCGCGAGTTCACCAGCGTGTGCATCAACACAGCGACTTACCTGCAGTGGCTTCTTGGGCAGTGCCTCAAGTGCGGCGTCGTCGTGCGGCGGGCGGTGCTGACACACTTGGCGGAGGCCCGCGAACTCAGCCATACGGGCCGGCCGGCGGACGTGATCGTCAACGCGACTGGGCTCGGGTCTGCGCGTCTTGGGGGCGTGCAGGACACGGCCATGACGCCAGCGCGCGGGCAGACGGTGCTGGTGCGCAACGAGTGCACGCCCATGGTGTCTACGTCGGGCACCGACGACGGCAACGCGGAGATTCTGTACGTGATGCAGCGGGCCGGCGGCGGCGGCACCATCCTCGGCGGCACATACGACCTGGGCAACTGGGAGTCGGCGCCGGATCCCAACATCGCTGTGCGCATCATGCGGCGCGCGGTGGAGGCCTGCCCGCACTTGGTGGGGGGCGCAGGCCGGGGCATCGAGGCGCTCAGCATCGTGCGGCACAATGTAGGCCTCCGGCCGTACCGCCCGTTCGGCGTACGCATCGAGCGAGAGAGGCTGCTATCGTGGAAGGAAAGGGACAAGGCGGAGGCGCCGTGGGTGGTGCACAACTACGGGCACGCAGGATGGGGATATCAAGGGTCGTACGGTTGCGCGGAGCTTGTCGTCGAGCTCGTCGGCCAGTGTCTCCACGACAAGGCGGCGGCGGCCTTCGAGGGCAAGTCGAATTAGATACGCGACCGCCGTCTACGCCAGAGCTCGGGTTGACAGAGCGTGCTGAAGAAGACGGATTGGAGCTGCTGCGTCGAGCAGAAGTAATGAAGTAATATACATAGGTAAATGTGTCGAGTTTGAGATGCACGACAGCGAGGCACCGGGGTGGAACTGCGCTGTAGGCAGTAGTGGGGCAGACCCTGCATCCACCCCTATCGAAAAGCTCCCCATAGCTTCAAGCTCCCATTGGAGTCTGCGTTTCTCCAACCTTCATCTTCGCACCATCGCGCATCCTGCGACAGGTCCGCCCAGGATGCCGCCGCCGCAGCAGTCTGCGCCAATACACCTGCGGGCGTGGCGCTTCGCCTTAGCCGTCGCCACCGGCCAACATGCCCTCTCGCAGCTGGTCCCGCCCGCGCTGTGGCTTCTCGACGCGATCCTCTGCGTGCTCGTTCTCTGGAAGGTGCCCTGTACGTGGAGCACTCTTCCCCCTCCCTGGCCCGATTCCCTTGCCTTTCTCTCTTGCGGACTGGCGTTGCCCTCGGGATCATTGGCGAGGGCCGGTATCGTGATGGCTGCCCTGTCATGCTGATACTCCTTGCGCCGCAGACACCGAGATCGACTGGGTCGCGTACATGGAGCAGGTCGCCCAGTACGTCGGCGGCGAGCGCGACTACACGCGCATCGAGGGCGGCACCGGCCCGCTCGTGTACCCGGCGGCGCACGTCTACATCTACACGGGACTGTACTACTTGACGGACCGCGGCAAGGCCATTTTGCTGGCGCAGCAGCTGTTCGCGGTGCTCTACATGGCGACCCTGACGGTGGTGATGCTGTGCTACTGGAAGGCCAAGGTGGGTTCTGGTTCTTCACGCCGCGAGACGAATGAGCTGGGAAAAGCTGACATAGGAATGATTTAGGTCCCGCCGTACATCTTCCCGCTCCTCATCCTGTCGAAGCGCCTGCACAGCGTCTTCATCCTCCGGTGCTTCAACGACTGCTTCGCCGCGCTGTTTCTGTGGCTGGCCATCTACTTCTTCCAGCGGCGCCACTGGACGCTCGGCAGCCTAGCGTACACATGGGGCCTCGGCATCAAGATGTCCCTGCTGCTGGTCTTGCCCGCCGTGGCCGTGGTGCTCTTCCTCGGACGCGGCTTCCGTGGCAGCCTGCGCCTGGCGTGGCTCATGGCGCAGGTGCAGATCGCAATCGCGGTGCCGTTCCTGGCGGGCAACTGGAGGGGATACCTGGGGCGGGCGTTTGAGCTGTCGCGGCAGTTCAAGTTTGAATGGACGGTCAACTGGCGCATGCTAGGCGAGGACGTGTTTTTGAGCAGGGGCTTTGCGATCTCGCTGCTGGCGGGCCACGCGCTCGTCCTCCTCATCTTCATCACCACGCGGTGGCTGCAACCCGCCGACCGGCCATTGTCCGCCATGATCCCGGCGCTTCTCAAGGGCAGGTCCCCCTTCTCACAGGCCGAGGAGCTGCGCGTATCCAGTCACGTCACGCCCGACTACGTCATGGCAGTGATACTCTCCGCCAACGTCATCGGCCTGCTCTTTGCGCGCTCCTTGCACTACCAATTCTATGCGTACCTGGCGTGGTCGACGCCATACCTGCTGTGGCGGGCGGCGCCGCACCCGCTGCTTGCGATTCCGCTATGGCTCGCGCAGGAGTGGGCATGGAATGTCTTTCCGAGCACGGACGTGAGTTCAACGGTCGTAGTCAACATCCTCCTCGTCACCGTCGTGCTGGTTTATTTCGGGACCGCAAAGGAGGGAGACGCGGTGGCGAAGCAGAAGGCGGCCGAGGCGAAGAACAAATGATCTGGATCAAGAAAGGCGCTTCACTCGTCTTCGGAGTCACTTGGGGGCATTTTGCCGACGTTGGAATCGTCCTCGGAGTCGGCCAGGTCGTAGGCATTCTTGGCAAACTCCTTTGGCCTGATCATCACGCACGTGTCAGCTTTCGGCGGTGCATCGCATGAGGTTCAAAGGCAGCAGGATCGGGCGCACCAATACGGCTGCTTGCGCCAGAGCTTCTCGTCGCGAACAATGTTGACAATCTCGCCGTCAGCGCGCGTCTCCTCGGCGCTCTCGCCGTAGCGCTCTGCGACGACGAAGCCGCCGCGCTTGACCCAGATGGTGTTGCGGAAGCGCTGGGCCAGCTCGAGCAGGACGAGCTTGCGGCTCGGCAGTTCGCAGGTGAAGAGGTTGTTGCCCTCGGGGCGGACGACGCGCACGAGCGACTGGCTGGGCTCGAGGGCGTCGGGCGGGCTGAGGGCTGCCTCGGCGGCGGCGAGGACGTTGCGCTTCGGGCGGCCCATTGTTTCGTCTCGTCAAGAATTGGGATGAGAGTTGGCGTGTGAGGCGGCGCACGCGCGTTGGATGTTCCGGCGATGCAGAAATTGGAGACGGGTGTCGGTCAACTCAGAAACGTGTGAAATTTTGGTGGACCGCGGGGTTGTGGTGGAGGGGCAGTGAGGAGCGAAGCGCGCCAGCACAAGCCAAGCCGCCCTGGTGAGCCACCTCAGACAGGGCACCTCCAGGGAGCCCAAATCTTTAGTTCAGGTCCCGGCGACAGGGTCTCCTGGGCCTGCCTTGGCGGACTTTCCACATTGGGCGCCACCGAATTCGGCTCGATTTATCAGTTCTTTACCGAGTAGTCCTTCACAACGCCACCAACTCCGTCTGACGGCGAGACCGCAGCCCGTCCGTCGCGTGCAGAGTGAGCCCTACTTCAGGCTGTTGCGCGGGGTCGGTCTCCCCAATGACAGCCAGCCGTGACACACCGTTTTTCATTCACAGCTTGCGGGCTGGTCGGCAAGGTTGGGTGACTGTCATCCTCACACGGGCCGCCTGGCCGAGAGGGTGTCTGGCCGGCAGCCTTGAACCTTGATACCAGAGCCGGTGCCGAGATCGAACGAGAGCTTGTCTGTGCGGCCCGCACTGGGTCAAGGTCGGTGGGGACGCTCGAGGTGATTCAGGCTTTTTCTCAGAGAGAATTGCGATGCTGAAAGCTCCTGTTTGCCACGGATCTACACTCATGCATGTGTAAAATGCACTACAGGCGTTCCGCTATGCCTTTGCTAGACAATCATGCAGCCGTGGGCGCGAGGTAGTAGAGGAACGAGAGGTGCGGGAGCCAGGAGGGCACCAGGAATGGAGATAGGCGGAAGAGCTACGACAGCCACGGGAGGCACGAGAGGGACGAGAGGGGAGACCAGCCAGGTGCGAGGAGCTGCCGCGGATAGTTGCGCCAACTCTCAACAGCAAATCCTCTTTTGCGACAGTGAATGCCAGAGCGACGGACATCAGGCGAGGGCGTTGTCCACTGTGGATGGCTGTGGACACACTGGGGATCCGGTGGGTTGGCATGCCGTCCACCATCCCCATACGAGAGCCAACCCGCCCGCTCACAACACGTCCAGGTGACGAGAAGAGATTGACTGCTAGTAGCTGCCGCCGGCCGGCACGCTGTCAACCTCGTACGCAAAACACGCCGATAGACGGACAGACGGGCCGACCGATTGAGTTGGGGGGGTAGGAGGCCACGGGCAGGCATTGCTTCCTCTGCCCCCGACGGCGCCTGCTTGAGGGGTGTTACCCGAAGCAGACATTCCTCCTCCTCCATCTGCTTAGAAATATCGTGGAGCACCTCTCGTGGGTTAGGGACGGGAGGAGTGTGCTGGGCATATAATAAGGTGCTCGCGGTCGCCGTTCCGAGCCCCAGATTTTATACCTGACATACCACTGAGAGCGAATTTTTTTGTATTCCTCGCCAATGTTCTATTTTGACTGTGGGTGAGGCCAGTTTCCTGCGATTCCAGGGCCGCCAATTCACATACGCCTCCGCGCATATATGCTTCCGCGCATTCTCATATATATACATATATACATATATATATATATATATATCTAAGACAGACAAGACACATCGAGTGATCAGCCGACGGCCATGGACTCGGCCATGCTGCGCACCCTCGTCGAGGTGCAGTCCCGCGCCTCTGCGACCCACGGCGGCGGCGACGAGACGACGTCGTCGCATCCGCTCGCCGCGCCGGCCAAGGCCGTGCCGAGGACATACCCAGGCGCTCCTCACCGGGGCGGCGACTCGGTCGAGCTGCAGCGGCTGCCGACACATGGGCAGGCTGCCGGCACGGCATCCGGCCCTGGCTCCGGCGCAACGACGCCGCGCACCGCCGACATCGAGATGAGTCGGCCGGCAACACCGGACGGTGGCAACACCCCAGTCGCGACCGTCGCGACTGTCTGGCACCCGTTCATGAACCGCTTCCGTCTGCTGGCCATGTGCCTCACGAACCTGGGCAACGCGCTGAGCGACGGCGCGGCCGGCGCCCTGATTCCCTACATGGAAGAGTGAGTCTGTCTTGATTCTCCCATTCTTGGTAACCTACTTCCTCTGTCAGGAAGGGACCAAAACCCTAGTCCGTGGAGGCGGGAGCTGACAGGGCCACCCGCAGTTACTACAACATCGGCTACGGCGTCGTGTCGCTCATCTTCGTCGGCCAGGCGCTGGGCTTCGTCGCCGCGGCTCTCCTCCTCGACACGCTGCGCGCCAAGCTCGGCCGGGCGCGGCTCCTGGGCCTGGGCCAGGCCATGATGACGCTCGCGTACGTACCGCTCGTGGCGTCGGCGCCGTTCGTGCTCGTCGTCTTCGCCTTCTTCTTCGTCGGCTTCGGCATCGCCGTCAACGTCGCCATGGGCAATACCTTCTGCGGCGGGCTGCACAACGGCACGCTCATGCTCGGCCTGCTGCACGGGTGCTACGGCGTCGGCGGTATCGCGGGCCCACTCATCGCGACGGCGCTCGTCACCGTCGCGCACGCCACGTGGGCGCGCTACTACATCCTGACGTTGGCCATCAGCCTGGTGACGCTGGTGCTCGCGCTCTGGACGTTTTGGGGCTACGAGAAGGAGGAGGCGGAGGAGGAGGAGCAGAGGAGGAGGCAGCTACGAGAGTCGGGCTCCGACGACGAGCAGCTGCAGCAGCTGCAGCAGCAACAGCAGACGGAGGCACCTCCCTCGACACTGCTGTTGGGAATGTTCACGGCGCTGCGGCTGCGCGTGGTGCTCCTGGGCGCCATCTTCATCTTCGCGTACCAGGGCGCCGAGGTGTCTATCTCGGGCTGGGTCATCTCATTCCTGATCCACGGGCGCGGCGGCGACCCCTCGTCGGTGGGCTACGTGTCGGCGGGCTTCTGGGCGGGCATCACGCTGGGACGCTTCTTCCTGTCGGCGGCGGGCGCCCAGCGCCTGGGCGAGAAGCGCTTCGTTTACGGGCTCGTGGCCGGCGCGCTGGCCTTCCAGCTGCTCGTCTGGTGGGTCCCCAACGTTGTGGGCGACGCCGTGGCCGTGTCCATCGTCGGCCTGCTGCTGGGGCCGATATACCCGTGCGCGGCGGCCGTGTTCATGCGCGGGATGGCCTCGCGCGACGTGCTGAGCGGCATGGGCACCATCAGTGCGTGCGGGAGCCTGGGCGGTGCCGTGGCCCCGTTCATCACGGGTCTGCTGGCCCAGGCGGTGGGCACGTGGGTGCTGCACCCGATTGTTATCTTCCTGTTTGTCGTGATGCTGCTGTGCTGGTACGGCATCCCGCTCGAGGACAAGAGGACGGAGTAGTAGGATAGGGGGGCCACATGGTAGTGAAATGGAGTGTCTATATGAAAAAGGTAATCTGCACGCCACCTGGCGTAACTCTCTTTCTCCTCGCTCTTCCTGTAGGCGGGCGCATCTATAGGTATCCTGCTCTTCTATGTCATGCGACGCGATGAAGATACGCTGTCGTCTATATCCAACGTGGGTTCGACGCTGCCTTGCCCTTCGTCATATGCTCACCAAGTTTTTGCTCGTTCGTCCAATGTCGTAATGCCGTTTAGATGCGGCCCCGTGCGGCGTCCTGGACCGTGATGTTCCCTGCGGCAATGTCCTTGACCGTCTGGGTGATGCTCGTCCAGTCGCGAAACGTGACGAAAGGCACCTTTTCGTTCTCGCACCAGGTGACGAGGTCTGTGCTTCATGTCAGCGCTGGAACCTTTGCAGTTGTGCGCGCGGGAGAGCAAAAGAACGTGAAAGCCAGGAGAAGGAAAAACGTACCCTTGTCGGCCTTTGCAAACAGCAGGTCCGTCTCCTTGGCCGCCGACAGGTCCGAGACGCCGTCGCCAGCGTAGAACATGGTTGGCCGGTTGGGCAAGGACGAGTACTTGCGGATCTCGATGGACTTGTCGTGGCCGTGGATGCTGTCGTCGTGGAACTCGATGCGCCAGCCGCCCTCCTGCTCCAGCGTCTTGCCCTCGCGAGCGCGCACGTCGTTGCTGACAATCTGAATGTCCCACTGGCCCTCGCCCAGCAGGTTGTCGAGCAGGGCGCGGATGATGGGCTGCATACCGCCGCTGAGGATGACGATGGGGACGTTGTTCTCGCGCGACCAAGAGTAAAACTCCTTGAAGCCCGGGTCGAGCTTGATGTTCTTGAGCAACGTGGCGACGCACTCCGGGTAGGGGGTCTTGATGCTGTCCATCATCTCCTGGAACGAGTCGCGGAAGTGGACGCCGCCGTAGAGCACGTCCTTGTTGCCCTGGACGCGGCGCTCGCGTCCGAAGCCCAAGTTGTCGGTCATGTAGTCATTGGAGTCGGCCGTCGTGACGGTGCCGTCAAAGTCGGTGAAAAAGATGAACCGGGGGTTCGTGGCGAGCGCCGGCGTGTCGCTGTTGCTGATGGAGCCCATGCTGACGGTGGTGGTGTCTGTCACTTGGTCCTTGAGGGTATCGCGGCGTAAAGTGAGTCGTGCGGCGGCGGAGGAGGAGGGGCAGAAGCGGCGGGATGGAGGGGTAATGCAGCGAGCGAGGTCGGAATGAGTGAGGGGGGAAAGAGAGCAGCGATGGATGCCTTTAATCAAACATGCGTATCGCCCGAATCCAAGCCCAAGACGCGCGACGTCAGTCGAGAGAGATTAGGCCAGCCGGTTCCCACATTTTGATCATGACCCAGGCCCATTAAAAAACTCGCGCCGACGAGTGTCGTTGGAAACCACTCACCGGCCGCGCGAGGAGGTTCTGACTGAGTTGTCGTCATGGAGGGTCGTCGCGCGCTGTGGGTGGATGCATGGCGGGCACCTGGGCGTCAAAGCCGCCCCCTGGAGCGCCCGCGGGCCACGCTCCACTGTTCCCGACCTGCAGGGGACCAACCTAGGTAGGTTCCAGGTTCCTCACCTGCTCCGAGTCCAGCTGCCACACCGCTGGCTTTGCAGGGGCCGCCGCCTGTGCTCAATTTTTTTCCCTGAGGACCAGGTCCGGGTGCCAGCCCCACCGCGCCGTCCGTGCTGCTGCGGCCGCTACAGGACCGGCCGCCCGACCACCTGAACGCCACAGAAGGCGGTCAGTGGCCCTCCTCCCCCGCTGCTGCCGCCCTCGGTGCCTGGCCTGGCCTGCCCGGGCAGAATCTCGGCATTGCTCGTCCTGGATGGACCCTCACTTCTCCGACTCCGACATCGACGCTTCCCGAACCCGGCAGCCCGCGCCGCCGCCGCAACACCGCAAACCACACTCGCGATGCAGCCCTTTGGTCGCCCGGTTGCGCAGGCAGCCTGGGCTCACGGCCGACGGCTGCTCCTCACGGACCGGGCAGCGTTCCGGCCAAGCGTGGCAGCTACCGCGGATGCCTTCCAGCCGAACAAGTCCCTGTACTTGCCGTGCGCAGCGCGCGGAGCCATTGCCTCCCGATTGCGCCTCTACTCGACGCAGAAGCCTCCAAACGACACAGACAAAGCCCGCAGTATGGACCCCGACCTAGATGCTCCGACTCCCGACCCCCTTCCGCACTCACCGGAGCTGCCCTCGAGCAGGGACCGCCGCCGCAGCGACCTCAACCAACAGTTCAGCCATCTCATGGACAACCTCCAGTCGCGCGTGCTGACCGCTTCACACACCCTCAACGACATCACCGGCTACTCGTCCATCGAGGGCATCAAGGCCGAGAACGAGGCTCTCGAGGTGCAGCTCGCGGACGCGCAGTCACGTGTGCGCTCCGCGCGCCAGGCCTACAAGACGTCCAATACCAAGCGCGCCACGACGCAGCGCGAGGTCACGACGCTGCTCGCCCGCAAGGACTCGTGGTCGCCGCACGACCTGGAGCGCTTCACGGAGCTGTACCGTGCCGACCACGTGCTCGAGGGCGAGGTCGCCAGCGCGCAGGAATCGCTCACCGAGGCCGAGGCCGACGAGCAGAAGCTCAGCCAACGTCTCAACGCGGGCATCCTCAAGCGCTACCACGAGGAACAGATCTGGAGCGACAGGATACGCAGGGCCAGCACCTGGGGTACCTGGGGCCTCATGGGCATGAACTTTGTACTGTTTGTAGTGCTGCAGTTTGTCGCCGAGCCCTGGCGGCGGAGGCGACTCGTCAAGGGCGTCGTGGCCGAGGAAAAGGCCGTACTGGAGGAGGTGCGGAATGAGCTCGAGGCCGTGAAGCTGGGTCTTGCCAAGAAGGACGAGGAGCAGGTTCGCCAGCGAGAGCAAGAACTGGCCGTGGAGCAGTCTGCCACTCTGGCGGCGGAACAGGAAGTCTCTGATGCCCAAGGCATGGGGCCCGAGGGTACATGGCGAGAGATATTACTAGACCCGGGACGGTGGCAGACGGCCGTTCGAGACTTGGGTAGCGAGAGGAGGATAGGCCTGAGGATGAGGGACGCGTCGGTGTTGGTGTTGGAGGCGGCGCTGGCGGGCGCTGCGATTGCCGGGAGCATAGCGCTGCTTCTGGCGCGGGGAGCATAGGGGGCATTGCATTGCAAGCGAGCGAGATGACTCTACTTTGTATCATAAGGCACGGCCAATGTAAGATACGGCGGAGAATCTAGACAGATCTGCTTCGTACGAAGTGTACTTGGGACGATGTCCGCTGAGGGGCAACTCATTGTTCCACGCAGGGGAGCATGTCGCTGAAACCTGAGCAGCAGGACTCGGTTGACCTATTTCCAGGACTCGCTGTGACATCGGCGACGCTTAGCTACGAGAATCGGGGAACGCAATCGACGAATATTTCTGCACCTGCGCATCGGCTACGCGCGGGAAGGCAAGCATCACTGTGCCGAGAGGGCTTTGTCGGAAGACGAAGCTCGGGCAACTCAATTAGGGGTTCCGTAGGGTAGCGTCACGTTGGGCCCGGCACGCCAGGCCGACCGTCTCAACGAACGGCATACCGACCAGAGCCGCATACTCCAACCAAACAGCCACAGTCACTATGGTGTGTCGAGGTTGCGGAGGGCACGCTCGAAAAAGCTGGAGACACGAATACGAATCGACGTCACGCAGGGTCCAGCGAGCACCGAAGATGGGGACGGTGAGGCGCAGCTCGTCAACGGCCACGCCCCTCCCTCAAGACCCGTTCGCGACCCCGTTCGACAACGCTCGACACGAGGCCGTCACGTGGAGAAGTGCCGCGTCTACGGAGGTTCGTCCTTGGGCAGCGCCATGCTGTTGCGTCACCGGGAGGCCGCACACGTCCGTCCAGCGAGCGGCCTTGGTGCCCAAGTCAATCAAAGCGACGCGGCTGGCGGCAGCTGGGCTGCCTCTGCCTGTGCTACTGCTGTCCTTCGCGAGGGCGGAACGGCGTCGCCGTAGAGGCGGTGCGCCCTGAGCCACCATGCGGCTATGGGTATTGCAGAGGGATGACTCGTCTGCCGTTGGAGATTGATAACGCGTGCCGCTGCTGCAGGGAGAGTCGACGACCGGAGGGGAGGGCGTGATATCAACAGGCGCCTGCGGGCGGCGCGTGTGGCGCCAATGCAGTGGGACGCGGGAGAGCGCGTGCGTGCGCTGCAGAAATGGCCAGATGGTGATGGACGATGCCTCGTGTGCCTTATGTATGTAGATGTACCCCCTTGTATGTAAGTGCAGCCATGGCGTGCCGCTGGTGCCGTGAGACAGGCGGGATTCACAATTTCACAAGCACATGCTCGACGGTGGCGTGCCGATGACACGGCGCCCGAAACCGTGCGCGACTGATGGATGGCCTGGCGGACGGCATGGCTGCCTCGGGAGCCGCTGCGCTGGCCGATGTTGCTGCTGCTTCGCTTGGGTTCTGGTGGCGACCATTGCAGTCTGCTGGCGGCGGCGGCGATGACGGGTGGTGATTGCTAATTGTTGCCAGATGATGATGGAAACGAGTGACGGGAATCCCAGCTCGGTGCCTGGCGCAGAGACTGCATCCATCGTGGTCGAGGGGTGATCCAGGGATTCCAGGTCCAGCAGCAGTGTCGAACCTACCCCGCCATCCGCCAACAGAGATCAGATGCCTGCCTGCCCGGCGCGCTGCAACCTACCAAGCCCATGGAAGGCTTGCATCCGTAGGTGGATGCGGGAAGTCTCAAAGTCCTGAGCCCGAGTCCTACCTGGAGGTGTGTGCAGTGCTGCGCCCACCGCCCAATTGCCATTGGATTTGCTAATGGGCTTAGGTCGCTCTCACTGGACCGCCCACTGGACCAGTGCCCACCGCCAGCCTGATGAGCCGCCGCCTCTACCTCCCCCCCCTGTCTCTTATACACATCTAGATGTGTATAAGAGACAGGTGCTGAGCTGGAGGCGCCTGGGCGGTCCTCGACGGCCCCGGGCCCTGCCCTAGGTGCCCAGCACCTGGCCCGCGGCGGCGCCAGCCCAGCCCCTGTCTCTTATACACATCTAGATGTGTATAAGAGACAGCCTCTGGTATTGAGCAATCACTGACGACATTCGCTGCCGCCGCCCATTGCTTCCCTCCGCCTCCATCAATCGCCCCCCCAAAACACAAAACCTCACCACCACCACCACCTCCCACACCACCACCACACCCTCTCTACAGGAACGCGCGCACCCGCTTCCTTTCTCCCTCCCGCCCTCGCCCCCTCGACGCCTCTCTCCCAGGACTTTACCACCTTCGAGGGGCGCTCTCTCTTTTCCTCCCTCTCTTCTTCTTCTTTTTGGAACACGGTCACGCGCCTGTCCATCCTAGCTGTTATCCGCCCGCTGCGGCAGAACCCCTCTCTCGGCGTTGCTCCGCAGTCATTTGGATCCTGAGCCGCCCCTCGGTCCCCCGCCCGCCCAACGACTCGTCCCGCGCGAACGCATCGCGCCGCACGCCTGCCCATCATGAATGACGATGAGGCCATCCGCAGTATCCAGGCCAAGATCGACCGCGAGGAAGCGCTCATGACGGCCGCCATCAGCATGCGTAACCTCCCCATCAACGAAAGCCACCGTTCCCGCATCGATAGCGAGCTGCGCGACAATGAGCGCAACATCAAGTTCTTCAAGGAGCGCCTCGAGGCGATCAAGCAACGCAAGGTCCAGCAGGGCATGGGGTCCATGTCCCTCGCCGACGACGGCGGTCCGCCGCCCGCGCCGCCGCCCAAGGATCCCAATGCTGCCTGGGGAGACCAGGGCTCCTACGGCGCCGGCTCGACCCAGTACAGCCAGATCGGCCAGCACGGCGACCTGATGCCGCCGAGACATCCCTACGCGCCCCCAGGGCCTGGCTCTGGCATGCCCAAGGCCCGGCCGAACTATACGAAGCTTGGTGTGTTCCTGCTCGCTAGGCTCTACCCCGAGCGCGACCGGACTGTGCCTAACTGACCCATTTACTCTGCAGACCTGATCAAATACGACACACCGCACCTCGGTCCGCGAATCCAGCTCATGCTGTCCCAGATTCAGTTTAAGCTCAACGTCGAGGAGCAGTACCTCAAGGGTGTTGAGAAGATGGTGCAGCTCTACGGCATGGAAGGTGACCGCAAGAGCAAGGCCGACGCCGCCGGTCGCCGTGTCGAGAGCAAGCAGAAGATCGTTCTCTTGAAGCAGGCATTGAAGAGATACGAGGAGCTGCATATTGACATGGACTCGGCCGACGCCCAAGACGGTAAAAACAGCTCCCCTACCCCGCTCGCTCGGTATGCGGGATCGTCACTGACACCGACCAGACGACTCCATAAACACGCCTAACCTGCGAAAGCCCCTGAGCGGACGACTCGTCATTCGAGTCATGGGCGTTCAGGGCGTCGACCATGCCGCCACCGGCCGCTTCGCGCGCGGCCCCGAGACGTTTGTCGCCGTCAAGGTCGAAGACACCGTCATGGCGCGCACCAAGGCGTCCCGCACCGACCGCTGGGATAATGAGCAGCATACTATCGACGTGGATAAGGCCAACGAGATCGAAGTCACCGTGTACGACAAGCCCGGCGAGCACCCGATACCCATTGGCCTTCTCTGGGTGAGAATATCCGACATCGTCGAGGAGATGCGCCGTAAGAGGATCGAGGCCGAGATGAACTTTTCCGGCTGGGTCTCGGCCGACCAGATGGGCAACAACCCTGGCTCGCCGCCGGCCCAGTTCCCTATGAGCCCTACTCAGGGGCAGCACGGAGGCGGCTTCGGTGGCCAGGGACAACAGCCGCAGCAGGGGGGGCAGTTCGGCGCCCCGGGCCCACAACCTCAGGTCAACGTCGGGCCCATCGACGGCTGGTTCAACCTCGAGCCCACCGGTCAGATCCAGCTTCAGATGAGCTTCGTCAAACATAACAAGGACCGACGCCCCGTCGATGTGGGTCTCGGCCGAAAAGGCGCCGTCCGTCAGAGGAAAGAGGAGGTGCACGAGATGTACGGACACAAGTTCGTCCAGCACCAATTTTACAACATCATGCGCTGCGCCCTCTGCGGCGATTTCCTCAAGTACTCGGCCGGCATGCAGTGCGAGGATTGCAAGTACACTTGCCACACCAAGTGTTATCCTAGCGTTGTGACCAAGTGCATCAGCAAGAGCAACGCCGAGACGGATCCGGACGAGGAGAAGATTAACCACCGCATCCCCCACAGGTTCCAGCCCTTCTCCAACATGACAGCCAATTGGTGCTGCCACTGCGGCTATATCTTGCCGTTCGGCAAGAAGAACTGCAGGAAATGCTCTGGTACGAGCACACGGTCCCCTTTTCGCTCCATGTTTGCTAACTGTGCGCAGAATGTGGCCTCACGTGTCACGCTCATTGCGTTCACCTGGTGCCTGACTTCTGTGGTATGTCCATGGCTGTCGCCAACCAGATTTTGGAAGGCATCCGCATTCAGAAGCAGAGGCAGGCCAAGGCCTCGTCCATGTCGGACCGCACCCTGCGCTCCGGCACGAGCAAGATGAGCCCCACGAGCACGACGCACTCTTCGACACCGTCGTACTCTGGTTCGACCCCGTCCCAATATGGCGGCGCCGTATCTTCCGAGGCGACGGAGGCCGCCAAGGTCATGTATGCCAACCAGACGTCGCCTCAACGGCCAGCTCAGCCGGGGCGAATCCCGTCGAACACGGCCGCGGCTGCCGCGGCGTCGGCAGCAATGTCTAGCGCGGCCAGCGGCTACCCGCAACAGCAGCGGCAGTCTGACTACGGGCGATATGGAGGCTTTGAGCAGCCGGCCCAGCAACCGACGCAGGAGGACGCGTACGGACACGGCCAGTATGGCGGACAGCCCCAGCAGCGCAAATACAACCCGGCCGACTATGCCAGCGTCAACGCCCCGTACGGGGGGCAGGCACCTGTGCAAACCCGACCGGCGCAACAGCAGCCGACGTCTCCGATTCAACAGCAACCCCCGCAGCAGGCCTACCCCACGCCCGCCCCCATCGCGAAGCCCCCGGTCCAAGAGCCTCCCGCGCAGAGACCTGCCGCCGGAGCGGTCGCCGGGCAGCGAAAGACACTGCCACTGGCTACGGACCCCGGCACCGGCCAGCGCATTGGCCTGGATCACTTCAACTTCCTTGCTGTGCTGGGCAAGGGCAACTTTGGCAAAGTCATGCTCGCGGAGACGAAACGTTCGAGGCGGCTCTACGCCATCAAAGTGCTCAAGAAGGAGTTCATCATCGAAAACGACGAAGTGGAGAGCATCAAGTCCGAGAAGCGAGTCTTCTTGATCGCGAACAAGGAGCGGCACCCCTTCTTGACGAACCTACACGCCTGCTTCCAGACGGAGACTCGCGTGTACTTTGTCATGGAATACGTTAGCGGTGGTGACCTGATGCTGCATATCCAGCGCGGTCAGTTTGGCACCAAGCGAGCGCAGTACGGAGACCCCTTTCCGATTTCTTGAGATGGGATGTTGACATTTGCAGGTTCTACGCGGCCGAGGTCTGCCTAGCGCTCAAGTACTTCCACGAGAACGGCGTCATCTACCGTGATCTCAAGCTCGACAACATCATGTTGACACTAGACGGTCACATCAAGGTCGCTGATTACGGTCTCTGCAAGGAAGACATGTGGTATGGCTCGACGACCAGCACGTTCTGCGGAACGCCAGAGTTCATGGCCCCCGAGGTTTGTATCGCCCATGAATTGTGCAAAGGGCCCAGCTAACGAGCCTAGATCTTGCTGGATAAGAAATACGGCCGCGCGGTGGACTGGTGGGCTTTTGGCGTTCTGATATATCAGATGCTCCTGCAGCAATCTCCGTTCCGCGGCGAGGACGAGGACGAAATCTACGACGCCATTCTTGCGGACGAGCCTCTGTATCCGATTCACATGCCTAGAGACTCGGTGTCAATCCTGCAGAAGCTCCTCACCCGCGAGCCCGATCAGAGGTTGGGAAGCGGACCGACAGACGCTCAGGAGGTCATGAGCCAGCCCTTCTTCCGGAACATCAACTGGGACGACATTTACCACAAGCGCGTTCAGCCGCCATTTAAGCCTACGATTAAGAACGCCACCGACACGAGCAACTTCGACTCGGAGTTCACGAGCGTCACTCCGGTGCTCACGCCGGTGCAATCTGGTAAGTCTGGACGCACACGCCAAAGCCAAGCCCTTACTGACCTCCTACAGTGTTGTCGCAAGCCATGCAGGAAGAGTTCCGTGGCTTTTCGTACACGGCGGACTTTGAGTAGGAGGAGAAGTCTGCCGAGGCCTCTCTTGAGGCCCATGCGGGTTCTGACGGGTGGTCTTTTCTTTCCACGGACAAGACACACTCGGAGACGACTTGGGGTGGCGATGGTGGCGCAAGTCCTTGTTTCGAAAGCGGTAGCCCGTTTGAGCTGGTTGATGCGGCTTCACCGGGTGAAGACTTGTCTGGGTCTGGGTCCGAGGACGAGACCGTGACCGACGTCGGAGATGAGGAAGAATCCAACGATGACGAGGCCGACGAGCGTGACGAGGACGACGAAGGTTACGAGGCCAACGACGGTGACACGCTGGCCGGGTAGGACGACTGTGGCGACGTCAGCGACGACACAGGCGACGACGAGACGCTTGACAACGATGGCAATGGAGAGTGAGGAAGGGTCGGTGAGGCGGCGTACCGCCCACGCTGGCGTAAGGGTCGGGGCTCGGTGGCGCGACGCATGGAAGGTGTGTCGTGCAAGGTGGATTTTAACATTCTCGCTCGCTACGATTGTTGATTACGTGGAATGCTTTCGATATCAGAGCAGCGGCTGGAGAAAAGTACACGCCTTGGGCTTGACGCCCGGGAAAAGGGGGTGGGGTTTGCATGAAGCGCGAGGCGAGGTAGCAGAATACCATACATCTTAATACGAACGGTGACGAACGTGCTGTGCAGGCAACGCCTGAACGGAGAAAGGGGAGAGTACAGTTGGGCCCAGAAGCAATGTATTCATGCGACGGTGATTCTAGATGTAATTCTTGTACATGATTTGGCCTGATGCCGACGTTGGTCCTCTCCAACGTTCCGAGGTCCGTTTAGTTGGTGTACTCCTTTTGCAGGAGCTTGGCGATGGTGTTGAGCCTGCGAGGAGGGTTGTCAGTCAGCACGCGTGCCTTGAAGAAAAGGGGGTGAGTGTTAGGAGCATGGACGTACTGGATGTTGCTGGTGCCCTCGTAGATGGCGCCAATCTTGCTGTCGCGGAAAAACTTCTCGGCGAGACCCTCACGGACGAAGCCCATGCCGCCCATCCACTCGACGGCCTGGCCGCTGACCTTGCCGGCGACCTGGGCTGCGTAGAGCTTGGCCATGGCGGCGTCGCGGACAAAGTCCTCGCCGGCCTCCTTCTTGCGGGAGGCGTTGTAGACGAGGGCGCGGGCGGCGGCAATCTCAGTGTAGGCCTGGGCGATCTGGTGCTGCATGCCCTGGAACTCGCCCACGAGGGAACCAAACTGGCGGCGGTCGTTCCAGACGTAGCGGACGGCGTTGTCGAAGGCGCCGAGGGCGAGGCCCGTCATCTGGGCGGCGATGCCGATGCGGCCCTCGTTGAGCAGGCCGATGGCGTACTTGTAGCCTTGGCCTCGCTCGCCCAGCAGGTTCTCCTTGGGGATCTCGACGTCGTCAAAGTTGAGAACGCAGGTGCTGCTGGCGCGGATGCCGAGCTTCTTCTCCTTCTTGGCGATGGAGAAGCCCGGGGTGCCCTTCTCGACGAGGAAGGCGGTGATGCCGCGGTAGCCCTTGGAGGGGTCGAGGTTGGCGAAGACGATGAAGAGGTCAGCCTCCATCGAGTTGGTGATCCACATCTTGCCGCCTGAGATCTTGAAGCTGGACTCGGTCTCGGTGGCCTTTGTGGCGAGGGCGAAGGCGTCGGAGCCGGAGACGGGCTCGGACAGGCAGAAGGAGGCGACGGTGTTTGTGGCGAGGCGGGGCAGCCACTTCTTCTTGAGGGCCGGGGAGGCATACTTGATGATGGCGGTGTTACAGAGCGTGTTGTGCACGTCGACCATGACGCTGACGGAGGGGTCCGCGCGGGCGAGCTCTTCGATGCCGATAATGGCCGACGTGAAGTTCATGCCCGCGCCGCCGTACTCCTCGGGGATCTCGACGCCCATGAGGCCCTGCTCGAAGAGTTGCTCCACGAGCGCCGGGTCCATGGCCTCGGCCTCATCCATGTCGCGGGCCTTGGGGAGCACCACCTCGGAGGCGAACTTGGACACGGACTCGGCCATGGCGGCCTCGACCTCGGACAGGTGGCTGATGGGCGTGGGGGGGATGTCGGTGATGTCGACGGGGGAGTCGTTGCGGCGGGCCGAGGTGGTGGAGAGGGTACGGGAGCAGGCGGCGGCGCTGCAAGATCCATTGTCAGCCAGGTGGCCCATGTGATGATGCCAGCTGCAAGAGATGTTTCAATCTCACGGGGAGGGACAGGACGAGGGAGACTTACACGTTCGCCCGCGGGGCCTGCCTGGCCACACCACTGCTGGTGCTGCTCGCAACCCGCGTCGCGAGCCCGCGCCCGCTCCGCAGCGCGGGGCGCAGGACCCTCGTGAAGGACGACGACATTGTGTGTGTGTGAAAGAGAGGGGAGGTGTAAGCCGAGGGAGTCGTCTACAGCCGACAGGTTTGCCCGACGCTTCAAGGGAGAGAGAGGGAGGAGGAGGAGGAGAAGGACGGACAACGAGCAGGATATAAGTCAGGGATCAAGTCGACGAAGAGGAGGGGAAGAGCGAAAAAACAGACGGTGTCGTTCATGCAGGGTGTGGCACTGGGTTCGGGGACTGATGGCCGCCCAGGTCTGAAGCTCCGCGGCCTGGAGGGGCGGCTGGCTCACTGGCTCGCCTGCCATACCATGCCATGGCCAGCCGCCCTCCTCCGGCCGGGGCCCCGTCTCAAAGGTGTGTCGCGCTTGCGCCGACAAACCCGGGGGTGGTTTCGCGGTTTGTGCCGAGGATAACCAGGCCGGGCGGTGGGGCCCCTGGACGGTCGGCCGCCTCCCGCGGTTTATCCGCTGACGTCAGGCTCACCGCCCCCGTGGGGCGTGCATGTGACATTCCCCCGAGGCTTGGGGGAAAGCCCGGAAGTCGGCGGATGGATTCGCCGTGCTGTCGCGCATGCACGTGACCCGGCTGAGGCCCGGTTGACGGTGGTGGACCCTGCCCGTTCTGGGAAGCTGGGCAGGGGAGATTTTGGCAATGGAGTCGTGGAAGCAGCGTCAGTAGACCGCGAGCATCACCACCACCAGCCGGCGACACTTTCAATTGCGCGCCATCATGGTCGGCACCATTCTGCGGCACCTCTGGTCGCCTCCCGCGAGGCGGGCCGTTGCGTCTTCCTCCCAGTCAGCCGCCCGCCGGGCCCTCTCGACGACATCACGGCACTCATTACGGCCCTCGCCATCCTGCCTCTCCTCCTCATCCTCCTCCACCGTCCTCTCCCGCCTGCCGCAGCCGCCTTCAGCCCCCTGCTTGGGACTCACAGCTTCCCGCGGCTTCTCGACGACGACCACCCGTCCCGCGACGCTCAACCAGGTCCTCCGCGGCATGCGCAAGGGCAAGCGCGCGCGCCACGCCGTCTCTCCCGCCCTCTCCAACACGCGCTGCCCGGCCCTCAAGGGCGTCTGCCTGCGTGTCGGTGTCGTCCGCCCCAAGAAGCCCAACTCGGGCGAGCGCAAGACGGCCCGTGTCAAGCTCTCCTCGGGCGCCGTCGTCACCGCCTACATCCCCGGCGAGGGCCACAACATCCAGCAGCACAGCGTCGTGCTCGTCCGCGGCGGCCGTGCCCAGGACTGCCCCGGCGTGCGGTACCACCTCGTTCGCGGGGCTCTCGATCTGGTGAGTTTTGCTGCTATTCTCTCTGTGCCCCTCCCCTTGCCCACCCCTTTCACCCTGTTGGCTGGTGCGGGTTTCCCTGCTGTTGCTGGTTTCCTCGCTCTCAGTAGCTAGGGCTGCCTTGGGCGTGCGGGCGGTTGCAGACCTGCCAGCGTGGCTGACTGGATTGACAGGGAGGCGTTGCGAACCGGACGACGAGCCGAAGCAAGTACGGCACCAAGAAACCCAAAAAGGCAACCGTTGGTTGAGCGAGCGTTAGAGACGCAACATGGAGATGAGCAGCGGAAACATGGATGGACAACATCCCGAGACGGCCATGAGTCGTCAATCTTTCTGTATCGTACTGTAACAATACACACGGAGCATCGATCATCAACAAAAAGACACGCCGGCACCGCCGCTGCTGTCCAATTACAGCCTATATGTACATTGCCACACCCGTCGCAACAATTTGTGCGAGTGGTCTTGAACCCAGACAGACGCCGCCTTTACCGCAATGTCAGACCGTCATCCCGTTAGTATAACCGTATGCTTTGTTTGCTTTTCCCCGTGTCAAGTCGTGGTGGCCAGTGGCTGGCCGTGTAGAGCTCTTGTAGCCAACGGCTGCGGGTCCGCAGCCATGCCCGGCTGGCCGTGTTGATACACACACAGTGGCACCAGGCCGGTTTGCCTGTGCCCCCTTCCTACTCATCTACGTGCCTGAGCGTCCTCATCCTTAATCCTGTTGGTTTTCGTAGCCCTCGGGCTTCTTCATGCCGTTAATGTCAAAGAATCGAGACGTGCCTGCGAGGGTCAGACGGTCAGCTGTTGCGCTCAATTCGATACAAAGGGAACGGGTGCGTACAAGAGTAGCCCTTCCAGTCAAAGTTCTCCTTGGGGTTGCAGTGGCAGCGGAGGGCCAGGCGCGTCTTCTCGCCCGTCGGGCAGTGCGTAAAGGGCACGTGCCAGTAGGCAATGTCGTTGAAGAAGTGGATGTCGCTCTTGTTGAGCATCAGGCCGGCCGCGATGGAGTGCACGGGGGCGTCGCCCCAGCGCTCATAGAAGAAGCCACCGTCCTGGTCGAGCGACTCGAAAAAGTCAATGTACTGCTTGCTGCGCAGCCAGTTGAGGCTGCCAATCTCAAAGTTGGACCACTAGAAACAGTCAGCGGATAGATCAGCTTGTGGGGGAAGCCGGGACGCACAAAGTGGCAGTGGTTGTACGTGTCGCCGCCGTCGTCGCTCAGGAAGCCCATCGAGTTGTCGGCGGCAATGTGCTCGGGATGGTTCTTCATAAACTTCTTGGTGCTGTCCCAGAGGGTCTTGATGGTCTCGACGTATTCGTAGAGGCTGAGGACGAAGCTGTACTTCTTGCCCTGCTCGTGCATGAGGCGGAAGGGGTCGTAGTGGATGTCGCAGTAGAGCTCGATGGAGGGCTCGACGCGCCAGTAGTAGTCGTAGTTCATCATGAGGGGCTGCCGGAAGAAGAAGCCCGACTCGAAGCGGCACATGTGGCGGTAACTGATGGAGTCGCCGTAGATGATCTTGCGCTCGGCCATGTCCTCGCGCACCTTCTTGGCCTTTTCCTGGTCGATCCACTCGGGGAAGGACCAGTGCTCCTTGGGGATCTCGCCATAGTGCGTCTTGCCCGAGACGAGCGAGGCCGTTACCTTCTTAAAGGTCTCGTCGAAGGGCTTGTCGTTGAGGAATACCCAGTCGTAGTTGTAGCGCTTGTTGAAGCGGTCCTCGACCTGGCGGATGGAGCGGGCGATGTCCCAGACGTCGCTGTTGCGGGCCAGGGTGACGAAGGTGGCATTCATACGCGGGCCGGGGGCGATGCCAGTCAGGTCATTGTCCCAGTTGGGGTCCTCAGGGCTCAGGGCCAGGGGGTATTCCTTGGCGTCGCCGGCGGGGGGAGGCCGCTTGGTCGTGGACACATCGGCGGGCTTTTCGACAGGCTTGTCGGCAGCCTTGTTGTCTGTGGCTGGCGGCGGCGACTTGGAGTCCGTCTGCGGCTTGGGCTTCTCGGCGGCGGGCGGCGTCTTGTCGGAGGCGTGGGGGATGGCGTCGCGGATGCTGGCGGCATCGTATTTGGAATTAGAGACGAAGTAAAAGAGGGCAAGGGTCTGGGGTTCAGAGGGTCGTCAGCGTCAGTCAGGGTCGAGGCGAGACGGGCTCGCAGGGGCAGCGTGCGGGCGCGCATGAAAGCATATCGTGACAAAAGCGGGAACTGGGACAACGACGACGGGGCCGCGAAGCGGACGTACGAATATCGCGATGGCAATGTAGCGCACATAGCGCGAGTTTCCGCCGGCCATCATGACGGTGAATCACTCGTCTGCAATTGCAGCGAGCGAGGGCGGCGGCGCAGACAGCGGACAAGCGGGTCGTGGAGGAAGCGAAAGTAAAAACCCAAACAATGACGAAGGAAGGGGAGAGGAAGGGAAGAAGAATGAGTGGGAGGTACGAGGTCAGCAGGAGGGAAAGGAAATGGACGCGGCCCTCGTATTAGGGGTGAGCGTCGGGTCGCGCGGTCTCAGCAGATGCCACGGGGTCGTAGCGTACAGGTAGGTACCTTAGCGTCTCCAGCAGAGGCTGGGCGGGGACTCGGGACGGGAGGCGCGCAGCTGAATCCACTGGTGGTCGGTCTAGCTGTAGGTTCCTCTTCGCGGGCAAGGTCTGCCCCGGTGTCTTTTCCCCTTGGTGACAATGGAAAGCCCAACGCTTCAGGTTGGGGTGTTCCAGGTGTCGAAGATTTAGCTCAGCAGGTGCTCGTATAGGGGGGCCCGCCAGAAGTCGACGGTGGCTGGGCGGGTACTTAGAGGAAGCGTGCTGGTGATGGGGGGCGACTCCCGTCTAGCAGGGCAGGTCAACCTCCAGTTGTAGGTACTAGGTACGTGCCAAGCGTACCTAAAAGTACCTAATGGCCACCACCTCAGTGCCTAGTAACCTGGAACAGTATCGGCAGCCAAGGAGAAATGTCCAAGCAACAGACTGGATGAGGTTGCGTTGTCCACAGACTTCGTAGCACGAGCACGAGCACCAGCCGCATGTACGGAGACCACAGCTGGTCAATGACATTGAGTCCGGTCCGTACTTCGTGTGACGAGTCGGCAAGAGCAGCGGCAGCAGCAGCACGACCTCCTGCGCCGTGCCGGAAAGGGGCGCTGGCGAGGCACGGTGGCTCGGGGTGGCCGTGGTTCTGCGCGCGTACAAGACTGTAACGAGGACTTCCAAATTGCCTCTGCGCGCAATCTGGACGCTAGGTATTCATTGTCTGTACATGGTATCTCTGCTCGTACAGCATCTTGTTTCCATCAACGACGGGACCGATAAGCCTGCGTGTAACGAACGAACACGCCTGCTGGTCGCGGGCCTGACGGGCACACCCCCCCCTGGCGACAGCACCGACGCGTGCAGGTTCCCTTTCCCTTTCCCTTTCCCTGTCCCTGTCCCTTACTGTTTAGTGGCACCATTTTTAGGGGTCGAGGATCCATCCCAAGCCATCTCAGAATGCCAATCCAGACGACGGATCCGCGCTTGTCTCTGCAACCGCTGCCTGTAGGGGCGGGCGCCTCCATCTCGTGGGCGGCCTGGAACCCGTCGTCCCATTCCACGTCGGCTTGCACGCGGCCTCCCGAGTCGAGCCCGTCGCCGTGATTCGACGTTGGAGCGTCGCTCGGATCTTGCTTTGCCTCACCAGGTGCTTGGCTTGCTCTCTCCCTCGCCCGTGCTGTCCAAGCGACGCCTGCAGTGCCGACCGACCGACCGTCCCCCAGTTTCGCCAGAAGCATTACGTGTACAACTGCGACATTGGTGGCGCACACGCCAACATGGCCTTCCCATTGCGTCTGTGGTGTCCCCCGTTGCTCTCACGACTTGCGACCCCCTGGGTCGTGGGTCGTCGACGGGACGGACGGCCTGGCGGCCGGCACACCCGCCGCGGCACTGCCAGGCGGTGATCACAGCCAACGGCACACCATTGAAACGCGATCCGCGATGGACCATCAGTCCATCCAGGGTGCGGTTACAAGTACAGTGAAGACCAGGCAGTGGCTTGTGTCCGCCCACCCATCCCAGCGTCGAGTCAACCTACCTCAGCACCTTGTCGACGCCCCTGCCAAGCCACAGCAACAGCTCCGAGCAAACAGCTCCCGTCATTGGCGCCGGCCGACCTCAGCTGTGGCCGTTGCGTGTGTGCAGCTATCAGCCATTGACGGTTCCCACGTTGTGCGGCCACCGATGCGCCAGCGTTGGGAAACGGGGCGACGGCACCGCAAAGCGATGCCAGGTTCGGTTCGCCGGAAGGCGGGTTCACGGGCGCAAAGCGAACAGCTGTCAAGGTATGGCCATGGACCATGCTCGTGCACTCACGCTGTCGCCCCCTTGGCTTATAATGTAACGCTCTCGCTTGTTTGAGTTCGTGCCTGCGTGGCGAGCGCCTCGCTGCTTGCTGAATCAAGCGCGACGAGCCGCCAGCATCTCCCGTTGGAGCAATTATCCCAGGCCCGAGGTGCAATCAACATCATGTCAACTCCGAGAGGTGGCTCTCTGGCGTGGCGACCTTATTACTCCGGAGGTCGGGCAGGACCACCGCCTGCCACAGAAGGCCACTGCCCGTTCATCAATCATTGAGGGCCCTGACTAAGAATTTACCTGCCCTGTGCGGGCTTCGTTGTCTGGGGGCTGCACGTGACTTGACCTCCCTTGATGCTCGAGCCGGTGCACTAACGACCGCTGGGTGCCCTGCTCTCCATGTGTTGGGTGTGCTCCGGGCGCTGCTGGTGCCCGCTGCCGTGCCGCACGCGGAATTTGCCAGCTCGCCGCCGCCGCCGCCCAAAGACCTGTGGCCGCCAAAGACCACCACCACCACCAGGTGGGGATCATCGTCAACGTCAGTTCCTCTCCCTCACTGCGCGCCTTCTCACCTCAAGCCGCAGCCGACTCGCATCACCGCGGCGCCAGCACGTCAACCTCAACACCGCGCGCCAACTGCATTTCTCCGTCGCCAGTGTCCCAGTCGCTGCAGCATCGCCCAGCCCCAGGTGGCTTCGTCTCTTTTTGGTATTTTCAGAGCTCCTCTGAAGGGCACCATGATAGATTTGTGCGACCTGGCATCTCTCGCGACTCTCTTAACCTTCTAGTGGTGAGTCGACCTGCCGCCGCTCCATGCCCTGCATCACCCTCGCCGGCGGCCTGTGGCCCTGCGACCCGATCCTTGCCTCCCTCGCTGTCGTGCGTTGCGCGGGTGCCGCTGGCTCCCTGCTCTGCTCCCGTTCGCAAACTCGCTCAATCTTGGGCCATTTCTCGCCGCGCCAACTCTGCTCCCGCGACATCTGCTGACTCTTTTGCAGTACTGCTGAAGCTTTCCCCACGGCTCTGCTCTCCGACACTCCAACATGTCATTTTTTGGCTTTGACACCAGTGGCCGCGGCCACAACACCGCGGCACCGGGCTTCTCCCAGGCCCACGATCCCTTTGCTGGCCTCTCCGGCCGCGACGACATCGGCGACGACGCCCTCGAGTTTGAAGATACTTACGATGGCCTCGGCGACCAGCTCGACGAAACCGACGACGTCTTCAACGACGATACTTTTGGCGGCGACACCGGCCCCACTGCCAAGGTTGGAAAGGACTTTGACTTCTTTGGCCAGACGGCCAAGGTCGCCGACGCCATCGAGGAGGAACATGTTCGCTACAATCGTCAGCAGCCCGTCGCCAGGTCCAACGTCCAGCAGGCCCAGCCCGCCATGCAGACGTCGTCCTACTATGGCCAGCTGCAGACCCAGCGGCCGGTCCGATCTGGCTACGAAAAGTATCGCGACAACGAGCCGATGCCCGACCTACACGTCGACCAGAGCATCTGGGGAATTGGCCCTTCCAAGGCCGCTGCGCAGCCCGCCGCGCAGCCCGCCCCTCAGCCCTCGGTTGGGAGGAAGATCATGAGCCTGGAGGAAGTCGAAGCTGCCATGCGCGCCCAAGCTAAGCCCGCCCAGCCGCAGCCGTCGTTTACCGAACCCTCCTCGTACCCGCCTGTCGCCGCCGGATACCCTGCTCCGCAGCAGCAGTTCCAGCAGCAGCAACACGCCCAGCCTCATCCGGGCCACGGACATCCCGTCACCATCCTGCAGCGGCCACAGAACCAGCATGCCAAGCCGCCGACGAGCTCGGAGAAGCTGCCCACGCCGCAGCCACAGCACGCCCAACGTCAGCAAGCTCCCACCCAGCCTATGCAGATCCTCCAGAACCCGAACCGCATGTCTGGCGACGCCGCTCGCATGGGAGTCCATGGGCACCACCCCAGTCGCTCCCAGGGCTCGCTGCAGGGAATCCAGCAAGCCCTTCACTCGCACCCGCAGCTGATGCAGATGTCGGAGGACGAGAAGGCTGCCTTCCTGGACCAAGAGACGAAGCGGGCCAAGCGCAACCACAAGATCTGGCTGCTGTCCAAGGACAACGGGCTGATGACTCCCCAGGACAAGAACTTTATCACGCGCATCCAGCTTCAGCAGCTCGTGTCTGCCACGGGCAACGTCGAGCAGGGAGGCGATGCCCTCTCCGAAGACTTCTACTACCAGGTCTACAGCCACATTCGTGCTGGTCAGCGCCAGAACCCCAGTCAGCCTCTCAGCAACTTTGCCCAGACGTACCTCTTCCAGACGGGCAGCCGCCATGGCATGCGGAGACACGGACGCCCCGCCGAGAACCACATCCAGCGCATGGAGCAGCAGGTCCAGCGCGCTGTGGAGGCGGCCAAGAACAAGCCCAAGAACCCGCAGCTTGTCATCGCGGGCAGCCTGGGCAAGATCTCCTTCAGCAACGCCAAGACGCCAAAGCCGCTCCTCAACATCAAGCGGACCGAGAGCGAGTCGACCCGACCCGGCAACGGCAAGAAGTCGCCTACGCAGAGCGGTCTCGACCGCAAGAGCATTCTCCGCAACGTCGAGAAGGTCTACGAGACTCTCATGAAGATTGAGGATCACGTACGCCTGCTGCCGCCCCCGCTCACCGGCCAGCCTGACGCCGAGCTGGAGGAGAAACATAAGGAGTGGAGTGCCATCCTCGACGCCTACAACGCCAAGCTGTGGAATGAGCTCAAGGTCCACGAGCCCATCGGCGCGACTGTCCCGCACCCCTTTATCGCCTTCCTTTCTTGCGCCAAGGGCAAGAAGGCCATCCCTCGCATCTTCCCGCACCTCAGCTTCGAGCAGCGGACCACCATCTTGACAATGATTGTCTACCATCTCGACCAGTTGGACGTTGTCGACGGGGCGGCCGTCGACAACGGAGAGCATCTCAACTCGCGGATGCGCGAGAATATTGAGCTGTTCATCTCTACCGTCATGCCGTCGTTGATGCAGTACTTCAACGATACCGGACTGGATATTGTGGATGGGCTCTTGAACCTACTCGCCACCAAGCTGAACATTGACTTGATCGCCCGGACCAGGATTGGAGTATCCATGCTCACCTTGATTTTGAGCCGCGCCGTGCTGCTGAAGCAGACGGGCGCGGGTAGTCCCGAGCAGTGGGAGAAGTGGTGCGTTGTACACAAGCCAACCCTTTGATGCGAAAGTATGCTGACGAAGCTGTAGGGATCAAACATTCGAGATCCTGTTCAGCAAGCTCGAGCCTTCGCTGCCGTACATGTTCCCCGGCAGCGTCAACGCCGGCGTCGACGTGTACGTGTGGCAGCTTCTGGCCGCAATGGGCGTCACGGCGACGCACGACCAACAGACGCGGCTGGTGCTGGCCGTCAAAGACCGCGTTCTCGACACCGTGGCGCTATCCAAGACCCTCCCGCCCGCCATGGCAGCAGAGCGACTCGGCAGCGTCAACCTGTTTATGCGCTCCATCGGTCTGGATGTCGAGCTTCTCCAGTAGAAGCGAGATATCATGTGTATTCGCACTCGGCCGCTTGTGCCGGCCATCTGTGCTGTGCACATTCTTCTTACTCATTTCATGTCAGGCTGCTTGACTAACGCCTGGGCGCTGCCGCTATTTCTAGACATATCGGGCTGGGGTGTGCTCTAGGAGGGCTTGCGCGCGGGATGAAAGAGGGCGGGCCATGTACTGAACTGGATGGGCGACACTACGGTCATTTGGCGGGAAGGGCCTACAAGAGGGGAATCTTGCGCGTTATGTTGCCGCTGTACACTACGGAAAGGGGGCAGGAGATGCCGCGTTCTGGGGCATCCCGGGCATGGCATGGCGTGGCGTGGCATGGATGGAGCCGTCGTGTTTTTATCGCAGGGAGCGTGGATTCCGGTGTGCGGGTGAAGGGTGACACGCGAGTGCTATTGCGAGTTCATATCAAAAAAAGAATCTATTTTTTTCCGCGACCCGATGTTCATTAGCCCGTGGTCGATGATGATGGCTGATGTGTCTGCTCTGTCCAGTTCCGTGACTCCGTTTGCGCCGACCCATGCGAGAGCACGTGCGTGAGGAGACACACGTGGCAATTTATAGCTAGATATTGCAGGTAGATCCTTTGCTTGCCAGTCGCGGCTGACCGGCGGCTCAATCAATGTTGACGGTCGTCCTGGACGTCGACGCCTTTGCCCGGCCACCTCTCCTGGGGGCGGCCGCCGACGCACTTCCGCCTCCCGTCACCCTCCCCCTCGGAGCAAGTTCGCTCTGCTTGCCCTTGGGCTCCGCCTTGACGACGGGGGCCTCCGGCTCCGGCTCCGGGGCGTCGGGCTTGACGATGCCGCTGACAGCCTCGAGCAGCTGCTTGTCGGCCCACTTGGCGCCGAACCTGGGCACCGCGTCCTCGAGGTGCGACTGCTGCGTTTGGGCGTCTTTTCCCTTGTCGGCGGCGGTGGGCTGGCCGTCGCCGCCCTTTGCTGTGAGGAAGAGGCTCTCGTTGTACACCTCCCAGGCGGCCTCCTCGTTCTCGTCGGTGTAGCGCATCTTGCGCCAGGGTTCGCTCTGTACGTAGCGCAGGCGGTCGGCCATGGTCTCGGTGGTGACGGCATCGCCGTCGCCAGCGGCCTTGATGGTCATGTGGATGGCGCGCGCGGCTGTGGATGAGGCGCCCCCGGCGCCGGCGTCTTTGGAGGCAGAGGCGGAGGCGTTGCGCTCCTGCTGGGTGGTGGCGTCGATGTGATGCAGCTGAGGGCGGAGGTGGACGAGGGAGGAGACGGGGGTGAGATGCAGGTCCTCTGTGAGCGCAATGTGTCAGCGAGGCTCGGACTCGTCATATCCAAGGGTAGGAAGACACTTACTGCCTTGAAAGACGCCGACCATGTATTGCACCTCGTTGGTGTCCGGGTACTGGCCGCCGAGGGTTTGCGTGCGCAGGACCTTGTCCTGCCTCACGGCGTCGTTCCAGTCGAGGAACTGGTCGTCGTCGTCGGCGCCGGCAGCATCGCCTTTCTTGCGGCCCGGTCCTCGCTGCTGGACGGCGCCGAAGCCGAAGCCGCCGGCGAGGCCGTGGCTGCCGCCGTTCTTGGTAGCCATGGAGGCGTTGAGTGTGCGCCCCCACTTGAGACCCTTCTCGCGGTCGTAGGCGACGCCCGTGTCGAGGGGCATGTCGACCTCGACCATGCCCGAATGCGCCTTGACGCGCATCTCTGTGGGTGGCGGGCGCGGTGCGTCGTCGGTGCGGTTCGGGTGCTGCAGGACGAGAAGCCGCCGGCCGAGAGGCAGGGCCGGGTTGAGGAAGACTTGGTATGACGCCGTGATGGGGTCCGAGTCGGCGGTTGTGGTGTCGTCGACGTCGACGTCGTCGAGGTCCATCTTGGCCTCGTCGGCCTTGTGCGCTGCGGCTGCGGCCATTGCGCACGACTGGGATGGTTTGTAGGCGGCTGGATGTTCTCGATGCGCACCCACCCGCGTACGAGGGACAAGCGATGTAAAAACTTGTCGGAATCACAAAAGGCGCTGCATCGGACGTGGGCGAGGTTGGTGACGAGGCGGGGTTCAGTCGCACCCGGCGGGCGCCTGGAGAAATTTCATGGCGGCGGGCAGCTCTTATCTTATCAGTTGTGATGACGGGAAAGCACTCGTGCCGCGCTTTCCACAACAGGCGCGCATGGAGATAAATCCTTTGCTGCAAAATGATAGAAAGCAATTCGCATCGTCGGCGCACGTCCTGCTCATGGCGTGAAGAAGAGCTCAAGGCATCAGCAGCCGGGTGCGTCTTGTTGCGACTGAATGTGGCACCCCTGCCTGTGTGTCTTCTCGCTCCGACCCGTTTGCGACGCCCAGTACACGGTGAGATGGACGACACCTGCTTCGCCAGGCGCAGCCTCGGTATCCCAATACGCGTACCTCAAGCGTCGCTTCCGTCAAGCGAATCGCACAATCGACACTTGACATAGTGATACGCTGATGCCTCGCCAAGCCGGCTTCCCTGCTCCGGCTCCACGGCACGCAGCAAAACTTGCTGGCCTCAGCTTGGCAGTGTAAGCGGGCAGGATTGAAGAGACTGTCGTATTGACGAGGCGAGAGAGCTGGCTTCCCAGCCGGCGCGCCGTCGGCATTTTACCGGGCGTCAATTCTCCTTGTCCTTCTTCCTTTTTGATCCCGGTCGTTGCTGGCGTTTTCCCTACAGCTCTCCTTCGCATCGTCATGGTGCCTCGAGACGATCCGCGGGGAAGCATGTCACACACGAAGCGTACGTTTGTGTAATTGCTGCTAAACGATGGCAGTACGCCCTCGTACGGATATTAGTATCCTTGGCCGCTTGGCTTGATCACATCATGGCCAAGACCAAGACGAGACAGCGATTCTAAATTGCTTGGGCTTGAGCCGCCAGAGGCAATAGCGTGTTCGCTGGGAGACCATGCAAGGCTGGCACACCACATAGCTCACCCAGGATCCACCAGGGTCTTCTTGGTTTCGCGTCCATCACGATCCATGGCCGGCATCACGAAGCCCCACGAAACGAAGTCTGGACTGCGGAGTCCAGGTGCTATCCGACAATGGTCCTTTCCGCCACGACGACCCGGCCTTGCCTACTCGGCCGGCCTGCATCATGAGCACCTTCCCCGAGCGCATTGCATCTGCGCATTGCACAGCTCGTCCCTCCTCCGTCCATCCCACCAACTCCATGAGCCAAGATGACCATGTTAAGGCTCTGGTGCGCCCGCGCCTCAACGCGGTCCAGGGGCCTTATCGCGGTGTCCTTCGTGTTGACCACGCTTCTCCTGTCCCTCTTGGCTGTGAGTGCGTCGGCTTGACACTCCAGCGAATTACAGCTGACCGTTTGCATAAGCCTGTAATCCATAAAGACGCGGTTGACGTACTCCAGAGGCCGTCGTTTAACGGCAAGCAAGGACAGTCCACGGCGGGCACCCACGTTTTCCCAAATCAGTCCGGGCCCCCTTCGGGCAGAGAGTACCTGGACGTTGCCACGGGCAGCAAGCTGCACATGTTGCTTCCGGCAACAAAAAGCAATGTCAACTTGTGCAAAACTCTCCTGACCCTGGCAATCTTAGGGTACCCAGCTCCTCATATTGTATCGTGGGGCAAGGAGGACGATGCCAAAGACCTTCTCGGAGGGGGATCGCACTTTGCCAAAATCACGGGCGTGCTCGAGTACATCAACGACGAGAAGCGACGCGACCAACAAGACTTCGACGACGAGCTCGTCGTCATGATTGACAGCTACGACATTTGGTTCCAGTTGCCTGTAGAGGTCCTGATCGCGAGGTACAGAGCCATCGTCGCCGATGACGACGAGCGAGTCGCACGACGCATGGGCCGCGCATTCGACCGTGAAGGCATCCACGCGAACATTGTGTTCGGAGCCGGGAAGCGCTGCTCCCCGAACCAGATCCATACTCTGGCATGTTATCCGATTCCCGAGTCACCGTTGCCCATGGGTCTCCATGGCGGCAACACGGACACCCTCATGGGCCGCAACCAGTACAGCAGTTTCCGGACTCGCTACCTCAACTCGGGCTACATGATGGGTCCTATCGGCGCCATGCGGCCTCTGCTGGAGAGAGCAAAGGTAAAGCTCGACGAGTGCGCCAATCGCACCGGGGCGTCATTCGATAACGGGTCCGGTGATTCGGACTACTGCTACCACGGTAGCGATCAGAGCATCTTCGTCGAGATGCATGGAGAGCAAGAGTTCCACCGCGAGGTGATGCGCCGTCACCATCGGAGCGGGATGGATGACTACTTGGATCGCGTGATGCCCAACCGAGCAGGCTCCCGAACCCCGCCGTCTCACATCCAGAACGCGCCCATCGAGGACTTCCTTAACCCAGCCTTCACACACCAAGCGGCTAGCGACACCTACCTTCCGGATAAGCCGTTCGAATTCGGCATTACCCTCGACTACTGGTCCCTGCTGGGACACCAGACGTCCAATGCGGAATATGATACTCGCTATATAAGACATGACGCAGCCCTGGAGCCGCAGGTTGGGGACCAAGGCATGTTTGACTGTCCCGCGAAGGCTCAGATGCCTGACGACCTACCGATCGAAGCGCCTGGGCTGTTTCTGGAGGATGCTCAGAAGAATTCCTGGAGGTCAATACCCCTGTACACGGAGATATGTGTGGGCACGGTGCCCGTCATGATTCACCACAACTCTGTGGACAAGTGGTGGCGGGAGGCGCAGTGGGACAAGACGTGGTGGCATGGACGCTCACGGGGGCTTCTGGAGGAGAGGCGAAAGGCTGGTCTGGCACAGCTGAACGAGGGAATACCCACGGATGCTGCGTTGTCGATGAGTTGGGAGGAACTGTGCCCGAGGAGCGTGGAAAAGGAGCTGTTTCGAGACGTCGAAGACCCGTCGCCGGTGGCATGACGACATCAAGTGCAAGACGGAGCGCAGCGTCGCATTGTATATCTTGTCTCGCGCGACGCTACTGCGCTCTGTATAAGCGTCCGCGAGACCTGTAGAAATTGCGAACACTGGCAAATTCTCTGGAGTAGTGGACACCGTCCTGGGATACACGGTGTGGGAATGCCAGATCATGGCGGACACAAGCCAACGTATGAATGAATCGTTTCTCCCATATGAATAAACATCACACAGGGACAAGCAGGCACACGCTGGTACATATAAGTTGTATTGGAGCGACCCGGGCCGCAGCGACTACCTTCGCTTTCCCCTGTCCCGCCGCCCGCCCTCCATAACCTTGACCTTTTTCTGGAATCGCTCTCCAATCTCCGGCCCGTGGCCGCTGCCTCTCGGGCCATCGGACGTGTCGAAGCCACGCTTGCGGCTCTTGTCGAGCAGGGCGCGCACGCTGCCGCCGGCAGGCCCCTTGCGCTTGGTGAGGCGGTCGATGCGGTCGACACCCTCGCCGAGGTCGCGCCACTCCTCGCCGCCAAACTGCATGCGGGCACTGCGGCCAGCCTCCTTGTTCTTCTTGGCGCGGTCTTTCTTGCTGAGCTTGGGAAGACGCACGAGGTTGGTTTCCTCGTACTCGCGGCGCTCGTCCTCGTCCTTGCGCTCCTGTGCCGTCTTCATCTTGCGCCCGCCCTGGACGATGGTCGTGCCGATGCTGGGCTCGGCCATGGGCGCGGCCGACAGCTCCGAGTTGACGAATTCTTCCATGGTGTGGGAGCGCTGCGGCCGGCGGCCGTCGGACTTCTCGCGCGGGCGAGTCGTCTCCATGACGGCGCGGTCGCGCTTGGGTGGACGGTAGATGCCCGAGGGGTCGTCATTACGCTCGGCCGGCCGGGCGGTCACGTCGTCCACGAGAGTGTTGAGGTTCGGTGCGGCCGCTCTGCCTGGCCGGCGGGCGTGGCTGGACTGACGGCTTGGGGCGGCCGTCGCCTCCTCCTCATCAGACTCATCTTCGTCTTCGTCTTCGTCGGACTCGGAGTCCGAGTTGTCTCCGGCAGGCTTTTTCTTGCCATTCATTTGCTCATCGCGCTGCGCGTCCTGGGCCGTCCGCAGGAAGCGCTCAATGGAGAACCGCAACTTCTCCTCAAGCGGGCGCGCGCCCTTCTCGAGGTAGAGACGCAGCTCGACGAGTTTGGCGCGGACGGACTCGTCCAGCTGGGTGCTGCCGGCGTCCGACTTGGCATTGCGCAGCTTGAGCAAGATGAGGAAGACGAGGTTCTGGAGGTAGGAGAGTAGCAGCTCGTTCTTTACGTCGAGCAGGGAAATGCCGTCCTTGGGGTGCTCAATCTCGGCGATCTTGGGCGTTGCTTCCTGGGTGAGGGAGAGCGACTGCGTGAGAGAGGCCAGCAGGGCTGGCAAAGTGGTCGGCGCCGCCATGGCTTGTGTCCGCGGCCGGAGCTGCGATGGTGATGGCGATGGCAATGGTGATGTCGCACGGGTGCAGTGGAAAATTCGCTTCGCACCGCGAGCCTCAAACGGCACTTTTTTTGTCGAGACTTTTTAGCGGGGCCACCAGGCTGGTCGCAGCCGCCCGGCTGTTTCGGCGGGGCGGCGAGACACGCAGCCCGGCGCCTGCTGAGACCCTGACGGGGGGTGGCGGCGCCCCCGCCAGCGGGCACATGGACGGGACGCTGCCCTGCGGTCCGGCTGCCCAGGTGGTGTCCACCTCAGTACCGCAAGTCAGTCGCAAGCGCTGAAGAGCGCTACAGTACACAAGGTAATAGGTACGCACCGTCGGCAACGCTGCCCACAGGCAGGTGCTCGCATTGACGATTATAGGTGGAGGTGGAGCCCTCCATGGAGCTGGATGTGCCGGCACGGCCGCTGAGGTGCCAACGTCAGCGCTCCTGACTAAGCCCCTTTGGGCATCTTGCCAGCTCGCGACGACAACCTGGCCTGCGAGGCGAGGGAAGCTGCGGCTGCCTTCCGCTTCCATTTCTGCCTCGCTAGACCACCGCACGACAACTATCGCCAGCCCGGTCGCTGTGCCCACGATTCCCACGACCACCGCAAGCTGCGTCCGCCCGCGACGCGCCTTTTCTCTTGTGTTTCGCTGTGTTTGCCGTCCGTTGCGTACCGGCCTCGATCGCATTGACGCACGCCTCGTAACCCGCCCGCCCGTCCGTGCTGGTCCGGCCCCGTCCCTGGGCTTGCTCACCAACCCAAGGCGACGCCGAACCTCGAGCCGCCGCCTCCCTGCGACACTCGCAACTCCGACGCCCCTTGTAATGGTCTGAACAGAGCAAGCCATGTACTTCCGAGACGCTGCGCCCCCGGCGCTCCTCGCGGCGCTCCTCGCCGCGCCGCAGCTCGCCTCCGCCTTCTACCTGCCAGGTGTCGCACCGACCTCATACAAGCCTGGCGACCGCGTTCCGCTCAACGTCAACAGCATCAAGCCCGTCGCCGCGCTGCAAGATTACCGCTTGCATTCGGTCATCTCCTATGACTACTACCACCCGGCGTTTCAGTTCTGCCAACCCAAGGATGGCCCGGAATATGTCTCGGAGAGCCTGGGCAGCATCCTGTTCGGCGATAGGATCATGACCTCTCCCTTCGAGCTCTACATGGGCAAGAACGAGACTTGCAAGCCCCTGTGCAAGTCGGCGTACCCGGAGAAGATGAGGGAATTTGTTATTGAGAGGATCGAGCAAGGCTACAGCCTCAACTGGCTCGTCGACGGCTTGCCCGCCGGGCAGAAGATCCAGGATGATCTGACCGGCACCACCTTCTACAGCCCCGGATTCATGCTTGGTGGCTTCCTTGGCGAGGATATCGAGGATGAGGAGATCTTCTTCAACAACCACTACGAGATCTGGATCGAATATCACGAGGTCAGCGGCGACCCCAACCAGCTCCGCGTCGTCGGCGTCGTGGTCCAACCCGGATCCAAAGACTACCCCGGCGAAGCTGACTGCAGCGACAACCACAGCCCCGTCATCTTCAAACCGGGCGCAAAGGACCAGGAGGTGCAGTTCAGCTACAGCGTATACTGGAAACAGTCGGAGACGGCCTGGGCCACCCGTTGGGACAAATACTTGCACGTCTTTGACCCCAAGATCCACTGGTTCTGGCTGATAGACACGGCCATTATCGTCGTCATCCTAGTCCTGACCGTCATGTCGATCCTGGTGAGGACGCTCAAGAAGGACATCACCCGCTACAACCGCCTGGACTCGATCAATCTCGAGGACCTCGGTGGCACCTCGGCACTCGAAGACGGGGTGCAGGAAGACTCGGGCTGGAAGCTGGTCCACGGCGACGTCTTCCGCACGCCATCGCGCCCCCTTCTCCTCTCCGTGCTTCTGGGTAACGGCGCGCAGCTGTTCGTTATGACCGGCACCACCATCGTCTTTGCCCTGCTCGGCTTCCTCTCGCCGTCAAACCGCGGCTCCTTGGGCACCATTATGATCCTGCTGTACACGCTCCTCGGCTTCGTCGGCGGCTACGCCTCTGCCCGAGTGTACAAGGCATTGCAGGGCGAGCAATGGAAACTCAACATTGCGCTGACTCCTTTGCTGGTGCCTGGCATCGTCTTTTCCGCCTTCTTCCTGTTGGACATTTTCCTGTGGGCCAAGGGGTCGTCAGGTGCTGTTCCCTTTACCACGATGCTCGTCATCATTGGCATCTGGTTCGTCATCTCGATCCCTCTCTCCGTGGCCGGCTCGTGGCTCGGATTCCGCAGCCGACAGATTGAGGCGCCCGTCCGCACCAACCAGATTCCTCGACAGATTCCCCCGTGCACGACGTACCTGAAGCCCATTCCCAGCATGCTCATCGTCGGCCTCTTGCCTTTTGGCGCCATCTTCGTGGAGCTCTACTTCATCATGAGCTCCATCTGGTTCAGCCGCATCTACTACATGTTTGGTTTCCTCTTCCTCTGCTACGGCCTCATGATTGTCGTCTGCGCCGCTGTCACCGTCCTCATGACATACTTCCTGCTCTGCTCCGAAAACTACAACTGGCAGTGGCGCTCGTTCCTCGCAGCTGGCACCAGTGGCGTCTACATCTTCCTCAACTGCCTGCTTTACCTGGTGACCAAGGTTAAGCTCGCCACCATGGCCGGCACCGTGCTGTACATTGGCTACAGCGCGCTCATCTCCTTTTTGTTCTTTATTCTTGCTGGTGAGTCTCAAATCCGAGTAGCCGCCGTATGCGCCGCATCGTTACTAACCGACGTCAGGCTCCATTGGCTACTTCGCCAGCTGGTGGTTCGTGCGCAAGATCTACTCTTCCATCAAGATCGACTAAGATTGGGGAGGATTCACGATGACCTTTTCCAGGCTGTGTGGTACTCCCTTACGAGGGTGCTACCCAGGTCTTGTACAAATATTGTTTGCTTGACCAGCGCTGTCACCCGTCACGGATGCCGCGCGGGTGACGTGGTCTCAACGAGGGCTTCATTAGGGTACGCCGCACGCGGTGCAGGGTGTGTGTGAGGTTAAAAAGCGAAGTTGATAGACACATGATTGAAGACGTTGCATTTATAATACAGCCCGCTCTGCGGCAATGCACCAAACGAAGACGACGCGACTTGATCGACAAGGGCGTAGATCAGAGCCTCACCTCGAATGCACACTGTGGGGCGGCTTATTGCGCGTATGCTGAAAGCGGCCTCGATTGAGTAGCCAACGCCCTGGGACACAACAATTACAAGAAATCCAAGAACATGACTCTTTTCGTTCGTATTCACTGATTGCAACTGTGCTATGGCCGCTGATCATTCGCTATCGTGAAACGCTCGAGTCACTCTTCTTCAGCTGATGACGCAGCTGTCCACTATTCATCGTCATCATCGTCGTCGTCCAGGTCGTCCAGGTTAGTGAACTGGAACTGCCTCCTCTCGCCGGCGCCCGTGTTGGTGCGCGGCAGCCCCGGCGCTTCGGGCGGGTTGCCTGCAATGCTTGCTCGCCGCCATTCCTCCTGCTCCCTTTCGCGCTGGCGTTCCCGTTCCACTCTGAGACGCTCCCTCTCTTCGCGTATTTGCTCCTCGCGCTCCTCGCGCTCCTTTTGCTCCTGCTCTTCCTTGGCCTTGCGTTCCTCCTCCTCCTTGCGCTTGCGCTCCTCTTCGGTGACGGGGTCGTATCCTTTCGGGTCGATGCCCTGTTCGACGAGCATCTGGTACGACGCAAGGGCTCCGGAGCGAATCTTGTCCTCGAGCGGCCATGGGAAGAATAGCTGGCCCGACAGGGGGTTGAGGTACTGGCTCATGCCCTCTGGGAGGCTCGTATTCATCGACAGGGCAGTCTGCTGGGTCGGAGGCTCCGAGAGGGGCGCCTGCGACGGAATGCCGTTCGGGGCAGGGCTTTGCGTTCGCGAGGGGGTGCGCGCCGAGGGTGTGACAGCGGATTGCGGTTGCGAGTCGGCGGCGGCGGGCGTTTGGCCCTCGGGGGAGGCGGGGACCGTGCCGGCAGCGGTCGCTGCGTTGATGGTCGCGGCGGGCGGGAGGGTCGTCTTGCTGATGCGGCGGGCATAGCTGAGGAGCTTATCGTAGGCTATGGGGTAGTTTGGCTCGCGGGGGAACGTCGTGGTGCGCGTTGTGACGATGCCACGACGCGCCTCGGCCAGACTGGTGAGGGTGTCCTTGATCTGCGTGTCCAGGGCGGCCGAGGTCTGGCGCAGCTGCTGAATGCGCAGGTGGTTTCTCTGATGTTCTTGCACTGTTGACACGTCAGCATGCGGGCCCTCGACGACGGGCTATGCACAACAAACCTTGCTCCAAGCCTTTGCCGAGCTCTGTGTCGGCGGCTTTGAGCTCCTCGGCTTGGCTGACGGAGGGGTGATATTTGGCGACCGAGTCGATCAAACTTGACAGGGCCTTTTCCAGCCGCTCAAAACGGCTGTCAATGTACTTGTCCATGTCGCGGGATGGAGGCGGCGCTGGCGAGGCAAGGCGGGCAGATAGATGCTGATGCTGCAGAGACAGAAGAGGCGGATGGCAAGGCTGATGCAGATGCACAACATTAAAAGGCCGAGCCGAGAGCTTGAGTGGGTCCGTAATTGCCGGCGTGTGGTTGGCTGAAATTTTGGTGCACGCCTGAGGCACCACGACCCGGGCCTTCCCGCCCGGCAAACTCGCGCAGCCAAAGCGACATTCCTACATCATCGGCGACACTCTTTGACGAGCGATTGACCAGTACACACGGCTTCGACCGCCCGAAAATCAGTCATCATGGTCTCTCCTGTGAGTTTCGAAACGATGGCACGCCCTGAGCTCTGCGCTGCTGGCTCACCTGGGGTTGCGCCGCGGCCCGACATGTTCGAGCAACCGGTGGACTGACTGTGCTTTCTCGCAGACTCCTTTCCGCGCCGCGGAGTTCAAGAGCGCATACGGCCCCAAGTACGTTACGATTGCCCGACTTCGACGCGAGTCCAGACCGAGCCGCATGGCGCCGAATGGACGCGACGCCGGCACGGCGGCGTCCCGGCCGGTCGAGACAAACATCCGCACGAGAGCACCAGAACTGACCGAGCCGTCCACCAGATACCACTACCAGCCCAACTTCCATGGCATGAACAAGACCTCTCTCTTCCGGCTGTAAGTGATGACTTTCTCCTTTATTGCATATGGCGGGATGGGGAGACGGACGAACCAACGGGTGCGACTGTGCGATCCAAGCCGAGGCTGTAAAGACAGGGTCCTGTGCGGACGAGCGGACAATATCTGGAAGCAGCTGATAGCCTTGCTGAAGCCGCTGGAAAGTAATGATGATTGGCCTCGGGCGGGCTGAAATAACAACGAAGCGCCAGCGGATTTACATGGACACTGTCACTGACACAGTTGCAGAGGCCTCCGCACCGCTTCCTTCGGCGGTGCTGGAGTCATCGCTGCCCTCCTCTATGTCTCCGGCATTCCTCGCGTCCAGCGCGACGTTCTTCAGGTGGGCGACCTCGCGAGCATCACGAGGTTCCTGGGTGGTTGGCTGACATGTGGCAGCAAATCCCCGTTGTTGGCAAGTACTTTATCAAGGAGGAGCTTCCCGCTTCGGACAACGTACGTCGGAACTACTATAAATGCCAATATGCTGGTTTACTGACTGGATGCAGCCCTTCTAAGCAATTGCCTTGGATGGTGGATGGTAGAGTCTGTACAACAACCCTGTCGAGCGCTGCCGGCGAATGGGTCTGTTTCCTTTGTATAAGAAGAACAAAATAGAAACATTCGACAATTCTTCATGGCACAGATGCGATCTCGGATGGGCGATGGTATCGTGTGAGTTGTCGGCTTGGCCTGCGCATGCTGCGCAATGATTTCGTTCCCGCCCCAAAAGTTCGGGAACAAGCCCTGGGCATTTCGTTGCGTCCATTGTAGTGTCTCCCCTCTTGCAGCAGCGACGATTGTCCCAAGTCTGCGAGACCTGGATTGGCCGGAAAGTTGTGGTGCACGCAGATATGAAGGCGGAACCGCGGTATGGAATACAGTGCGAATTATCGAGCCCTCATGCACACTGTACCGTCTCTCATCGACCGTCCCATGTGGACAGCTAATCTCCTGGCAGCTGTATGAACACTCAAGTGACAAGAACCCCGACAGGCAAACACAAGATGATGTAGCCTTGTGAGTAACCAATCATGCACAATCTAATTCTCCAAGGCGACGATGGCTGATTTGCCGCGCGCAGCTGCGCTCGAGGCACGAGACCTGACCACCACTAGCACACAATGGGTCTCGCAGAGACGGACACGCCCACGCTCACCACCAGCACCGGCCCCAGCACTCTGCTGGTCTGCTCGCTGCCGCTGGCTCTGCTTGTTCACGCCTCTCTCTTTCACCCAGGAGCATTCCGTGCCAGGCCATGGACCATCGCCTTCCCAGCTGCCCTCACGGCGGCATGCCTTGCTTGGTCGCGCGTCGTCTCACGAGAGGTTCCTGAGCCATACCTTGTACGCCCAGCGTCTCATCAAGCGCTAGAATCCAGACTGACAGTTCTGGATAGGATGAGGTGTTCCACATCCCGCAGGCTCAGAAATACTGTGAGGGCAAGTTTCGCGAGTGGGACGACAAGATCACGACCCCCCCAGGACTGTGAGTGCGTCAGGCGACGGGTTCACGTCACGCATGCTGATCGCATCTGCATCAGGTACTTATTCTCAGTATTTCTCCCGCAACTCTGCGGCAAGCTCGGCATAGACTGGCAATTTCGCTGCGATGCCACGAGCCTTCGTGCAGGCAATGTTGTCAGCCTGTTTGCCCTTGCGTATCTCGCGCTGCTCTGTCGCCAAGAGATCGAGGCGCAGCTATACGGAACACGCTTGCGTTCGCCATCGCGTCCATTTTCTACATACGCGCTACATACGGCATTCAATATTGCCTTGTTCCCCCTTCTGTTCTTCTTCTCTGGGCTGTATTACACCGATGTGCTTTCTACGGCCGTCGTTGTGGGCGCCTTTCTCAACCACCTGAAGCGGGTGGCGCGAGACAGAAGCTCCGTTGCGAGTGACCTCTTCACAATCGCAATCGGATTGCTAGCATTGTTGATGCGACAGACGAACGTGTTTTGGATCGTCGTTTTCATGGGCGGCCTGGAGGCTGTCCACGCGGTCAAGACCCTCCGACCCGAGCGAGTAGATCAACCGTTCATGACGACCCTTTGGGCTCAGCTCAAGTATTTTGCCTGGCGATACTCAGTCGGCGACATACATGACCTACCGCTAAGTCATGCATGGCACGATGGTGAGTCGCTTGTCGTTGGTGCTGTAGCCGTTCCTCACACCGTCCAGATATGCTCTACACGACAATCAGTCTCGTCATTGCGGCCGTCTGTAACCCGCTGCGCGTTGTGCGGCAAGTATGGCCGTACGTAACGGTTCTCGGCTGCTTCGCCGCCTTTGTCGCCTGGAACGGGGGTGTCGTCCTAGGTGAGTCCTGCAACGCAGACGCAGGGAGGTGTCGCTAACGAAGCGCAGGAGACAAGTCGAACCATGTGGCCACGATCCACCTGACCCAGATGCTCTACATTTGGCCCTTCTTTGCCTTCTTCTCGCTGCCGCTGCTACTTCCCTATGCCGCTCCATTCCTATCTACGCTCAATCTCATGTTCAAGTCGCAACAGTCACAGTCGCAGTTCACGGTCCCTGTCCCCAGCGAACCTAGAAACAAGCCCTTTAAGGTTACTGCCTCGAGTAGCAGCAAGTCGACAAGCCAAAAGCAGGGTACGGAACCCGAATCAATTGCAGCCAAGCAGTCTCAGATATCCACCGCACTGGGCATCGCCGAAGCGTCCAAGCCGCTGTCCTGGCCTTTGTACCTTATCGGGACAGTCGTCATCTCGGGCCTCATGGTCCGTTTCAACACCATCATTCACCCTTTCACCCTGGCGGACAACCGCCACTACATGTTTTATGTCTTCCGGTACACCATTCGACGCGCGGGCTGGATCCGATACGCACTCGTATTAGCTTACACGGCCAGCCGGTGGATGGTCTGGGGCATTCTGGCTGGATACAGCGACTTTTCGACGGCCTTTTCGACGGTATCTGATGGCGGCCCGTATGTGAGTTATCCGTTTTGGATCGCGTATAGTGAGAAGAGGCAGACCGAGGCCAAGTACCCGGCGCAGTTGCCAGCAGATGACTCCCCGGCGGGCGACTCACAGCCACAGCGACAGCTGGCGGATGACCCATTCACCTACTCGACAAGAACTGTGTCGACGTCGACCGGGTTGATCTTCCTGCTCGCAACATCTTTTTCGCTCGTCACCGCGCCTCTGGTTGAACCCAGGTACTTTATCATTCCATGGTTAATGTGGAGGCTATTTGTCCCTGCATGGAGGTTGCCGGATCATCGATCTCTTGGCGGCGAGGGTACGGTTGCCGACAGGGCGATTCGGGTCTTCAGACAGTATGATGTACGTCTGCTCTTGGAGACTGTGTGGTTTGCGGCGATAAACCTGGCGACGTGCTACATCTTCATCGCGAAGCCGTATGTGTGGCGCGCCGAGGACGGGACGGTGCTGGATGATGGGCGTATGCAGCGCTTCATGTGGTAGATGAGTTTGGGGCAGCAGTCATGTGCCCTGTTCGAGAGCACCACAGAGATAGAGCGGCGGCTTAGTGTCAAAGAGACGTAGTATTTTGACGATAGATACAGAAAAGTATGTCCCTTTTCATTCCTTTAGCCTGTCCCATGCCGGCAGGTGTGTGCGTGTAGCAGAACAATGAAACCCGCTGCGCCCGAAAGATGTCCCATGATTCATTATATACGTTGTACGGCTGCATGAGTCCTGCGGCGGCGGCAAGACCGCCACGAGCCATCTCGTAGCTGTTCCATCATAGACTCAGCCGGTCGAGGCTCAAGCCGTCGTTGCTGCGCACGCGGCGGACGACGCCGAGCTTGAAGAAGCGCTCCTCGCCGCCGGCGGTGCGCCCGCCGATGTACCACTTGTCCGCGCCGAGTGCGTCCCTGAAGCCCTCGCTGCTGCTGTCGCTGCCGCGACGGCGGGCGCCCGAAGGGTTCGGGATCGGGATGCCGTTCACTGCCGAGGGGGAGCGGCCGGTGGTGTGGGCGTTTTGCGGCGTCGGTGAAGACGAGGGCGTGATGTTGGCGGCGGCGGCGGCTGCTGCTGCTGCGGCTGTCGCGGATATGGCTCGTGGGGAGGATGACGAAGTCGGCGATGTTGATGTTGATGATGACGATGCGGTCTGGGCGTGGGCGTGGTGGTGGCTGTGGTGGTGATGGTGATGCGAGTAGCCAGCCGTCGAGTAGTTTGCCGAGGCGGATGGGCCGCCCGACGAGGAGGCCTGGCTGCTGTGCTTATTTGGCTGTTGCGTGGTCTGCAGGGAGGGGCCCTGCTGGCGGAAGGCGGAGATGAAGGAGGAGAGGAAGTAGGGTCGTTGGGACGGCATCGTGGCTGTGGTTGTGGTGCTTGTATTGTTGAAAAGGGGATCGGGTGGATGAGACTCGAAGCCGGTAGCCAGCTCTCGATCGTCGCAGGTGCCGGATGCGATGCGAGGGCGCCTCAGTCCCCGCGGCGAGGAGACGCCGTTGAGACGTCGGCTGGGTTAAGCGCCGGGCGGCCGGGGAAGCGGAAGAGCCGCAGGGCAGGTCCGGGTCGCTCTAACGGGGCAGGAAGCTTGCCGTATCGGACCGGCGGGATGGCGGCCTCGTCGGGATCGTGTCCAACGTCGAGTTGTCCGCTCGCAGTGTTGCAGCGCGTGCTCGCTGTGTGGACGTGTCGTGTCGTGTGTGCAGGAGGGAAGGACGGAGGCGGGGGTTGATAACCGTTCCTCGCGGGTAGGCAAGGTAGTTGAAAATCTCGGATGCCTGCGGGCGTTCTCGCTGCGACGGTGGTGGTGGTGGTGTGGTGTGTGGTGTGTGGTGCGCTGCTCTGTTGTGCGTGTGTGTGACGGCAGAAGGAGGAGAACCTGGCAGGCGCCTCCCACCCAAGAAGCCGATCCATCGAGCGAAGCGTCTCTGACGTCGCGAGCGAACGGCTGGGCCGGGGGAGGGGGAGGGTCGAGGGCTCGGTAAAAGCCGGGGGCCAGCGACAGCAGACGCAGTGCCCGAGTGTAAAAAGTGACTAATGGCGGGGTCGCGATAGGCTGGGGTTTTGCGCGGGGAGAGGCGCCGCTGGCTTGTACCTCCCGTCCTCCACTGGGCGCTGAGTCCACCTACCTCCGCGGCCTGGGGGCAAGTACCTGGATGGGTGCGGCGTGGTGCACGGGGGACCTCCACGGCCGCTGAGAGGAGAGCTGCCCGTGACCCAGAGCAGCTAATAACAGAGCTGTGTGACCAGAGGCCAAATCCACCACCCACCACCTCACGGCCGCCCAATGCCTGGCGAACCAACCCATCCGCCCTCCCCTTTCGTCAGCGGGTCTGCACGCATGTACGACCTACTACTGCCCATGGACCAGCGAGCCGAGGGTTGTGAGATGTGATGGAGAGGGGCCTGCGCTCTCCTCCTCGGGCAGCCGGATCGATCGCCCTCGGAAGTCACGGCGAGCGCGCGCGCGTGTGTGTTGGTCGCCGCCGCGTCTGCTATCGCGGATGACCTGCACGGAGGGGGCTTAATTCCCTGCAGTGGCGTGATGTCCTCAACACGCAAGTTGACTATTTGAGATGTCTCCGACGGGCGCAGAAGAGCCCTCGGCCGACATCTCATGTCAGGCCAATGCTTCTTGAACTCGCGGGCCGGACGGACCTACCCTAAACTGGCGCAAGGAGCCAGCGGGCCGCCCGAATCGACTGCAAACAGCTTCAAGCCAAGTCTTTTTCGTAGAAACTCCGGCTCCGATCACAGGGCACGGGGCCAAAAGCCGTTGGACGTTTGTCAAGACAGGTGGGTTGGACATTCAGGGCCGGGTATGGGCTGTCGTGAGTGGGCTATTCCGGTGTGCTGACACTGAACCGATCGTTTTTGCACAACTCGGTGCCCAACCTTCAGGGGTGGAACACGACCACTGGTAAGGACTAAGGACCAAACAAAGAACTGTTAATGAAGAATCTACCCCGGGTATGTAATCGCAACAAAGATCCGTCTAGGTGAAAACGCCGATGTGCTGTGCCGCCGTAAACAATGGCCCAGCGCCCAAGCATGCCAATCAATGTCCCTGGGCTACTTGTCGCCCTCGCACTTCTTCTTGATATCCTCATTGAACCCCTCGAAGCCCTTCTTGGTCTTCTCCCAGAAGCCCGTACCCTCGGCGATGATGAAGGTCAGCACGCCGAAAAAGTCCTCGCCGTGCTCGAGCGTCGTGCCGCCGGGCGTCTTGTCGCTGGGGCGGAAGCGAAAGTAGTGGTCACCCGTGAAGAGCCCCGGGACGCTCCACAGCTTGCCGCGCCAGCTGAACTCGCTCTCCGAGTTGGTGAGCACCGTCGGCGACATGGTGATGCCCTCGAGGGCGACGGTCAGGCGCGTGCCGGGCGCGGCGGAGGGGTCCGCGGGGGTGATGGACTTGATGAAGCCGTTGGTCCAGGTGGGGAAGGCTTGGAAGTCGAGGAACTGGTAGTAATCGCTGCTGTTAGGGTCGGGGGACTGCATGCAGGGGTGCGAGCGAAGCTGCTGGGGCAGTGGGAACGCACTGTTTTCCTGACCTGCTCCGGGGGAGCGGCAATCTCGATCTCGGTGCGGATGGCCATGTTGACTCGAGTGACTCGCTTGACTCTTTGAGTTCTTGGTAGATGAGACTGGATGAAGCGGGAGTGATGGGGTTGTGCTGCAGAGTCCCATGAGATTGAAAGGGACTCATCCCTCTACTTATACCACCGTGGCCAGCTTTCAACCGCCTTGCCCAGTTGCTTCATCCCCGAACGCCACGGCGCCATCCGCGGCGCAACAACAGCCCGCTTCCCGCCTGGCCGCCCGCCGGAGTGGGGTACATGGGGCCGTGGTGGCTTGACGTGGCGTCCGGAGCACGGCGCGGCCACGATGCCGCGTATCGGGCTGCGTTTGCGTTCTGCAGGGAGGGGGAAATTGCACCGTAACTTTGGCATCTAATCCCTTTTCTGTGGCAGCGGCCTCGACGACTACTGGGGTCGTTCTCGCGTCTCTTTGCTGTCGCATTCGTTTCCCTTGCAACGAAGCCAGACGTTCACTGTATCTCGTAGCTTAGTGCCCAGCGCAGTGGAGGGCAACCCCGTAATACGCGGCCCGGGACGCCACAGCCCGGCGCGTTCCTTGTGCCAGGCACTTTTTCTTAGGCTAATACTTACCCACGAAGGATGCCACTAAAAGATACGAAGCAAGATTCACGATGATGGAGGCTGCATGATGCGTCGGCCATTGCTTGGTCTTAGCGGCGTTCCAGGGCCACAACCCCGGGGTGACTCGCTGGATGGACGAGGCGCAAAGGCTGGCTCGCGCTCGCGTCATTCATCTGCCCGGCCCAGCAGCCCGCGACGGCCATAACAACCGGTGACGCTACGGTTCGTGTTCTGGGCCCTTGTCCGGCGGGCCGAATACCCGACCGGTATTCCTGACATTCGCGCTGCGATAAGCATTTGCTCGCCTTCAATCGGACGCGAAAGAGTCAACCAATGCTGTACTTGTTCTCGTCGTCGGTGTAAATTTAACAGTGCTGGCGCGACGGGGGCACAGGGGCCACGACGGCCCAGCGTATAAGTTACAGCGCCTCCACTGCTTCCAACCTGTCAAGCCCGGGCGCGGCTGCCCTGGCGGGGCAAGTCGCGACAGGCTCAAGCGGCTGACAGGTTCCAGGTTTGCCTCCAACATCCGTACATGACACAGGACGCGCCGGCCGGCAACGGCCATGCCTTGCAGCGCATGCACGCCAATGACGCCGACATAAACGCGAGCGCCTGCGCCCTGTGCAACGGGCTCGTCGATGCCGTCCCGCTGGACCATGGCCACCGCCTCACGTTGCTCCGGCGCCAGGCCGCGCAGGGCTGCCGGACCTGCGAGCTGGTCAGCGACGCCGTCCTGGCCATCAACCAAGAGGAGCAGCCATCCGAGAACCTGCGAGTGGGCTGGGACACGATGCGCATACGAGGGCTGCGAGTCGTTGTGGGCGCCGACGTGACCGGCCTGTTTCTCTTTGGCATTGACCTGTACTCCCCGGATGATGGCGATGGTGCGGACTTTCGCGGGCAAGTGTCGAAGGATACGCGCAGCTGACAGTCGCTACCTAGACAAGTCGTTGCCCTGGCGCATGGCGACCGAGTGCGAGCGGCCTATTGCCATCTCGGGTGACACGAGCTCTGACGAGGCGCTCGGCACCTTGGTCCGCTGGATTGACGATTGCTCGCAGCATCACTCGTGCAAGGGATCCGCGCCCACGCCGCTGCCTACGCGACTGATAGACGTCAAAGATGCCGGGAATATCCGTCTACACTGCACCGCGCCCGGCGAGACGGGGACATACGCGTGCCTAAGCCACTGCTGGGGCACATGTCAGACCCTGCAGACGACGACGGCCAACCTCGGGCAGCACCGAGACACGATTCCCTGGCATGACGTGCCGAATGTCCTCAGGGATGCCATCGACATGGTTCGCAAACTCGGCATCAGGTACCTCTGGGCCGACTCGCTGTGCATCGTCCAGGACTCGGAATCCGACTGGCGGCGCGAGTCGGCAAGCATGGCAAACGTCTACGCCAACAGCACAATCACCATCGCCGCGTCGCTGGCATCGGGGGATGCCGAGCCGCTCTTCGCCACAGCCCCCGTCGCCCACCTCGCGAAAACGCTCCATGCGCACGGCGTGTATGCACGCAAGACACTCGCCCACGGACACGGCGCGCAGCCGCTCCCGCTGATGAGCCGCGCCTGGGTCCTGCAGGAGCGGCTGCTGTCGCCGCGCGTCGTGCACTTTACCCCCGAGGAGCTCGTGTGGGAGTGCATGGAGGCGCTGCGGTGCGAGTGCGGGTGCATCCGCTCGCTGTGGTCGCCCGGCCACGTGCCCTTTGACAAGGACCTGCTGAGCGCGGGCGTGCTGCGCGGGGCGCCGTCTCGCGCCGCCGTGAGGGAGCGCTGGCTGCGTTTGGTCCAGGAGTACTCGCGCCTCGAGCTGTCCCTGGATCGCGACCGGCTGCCGGCGGTTGCGGGTGCCGCGCGCCGGGTCAAGGACTTTGCGGGTGGAAGGGGCTACCTCGCTGGCCTGTGGCGGCACGGGCTTGTGGGAGACTTGCTGTGGGAGAGAAAAGGAGATGGCGCCACGAGGAGGTTGGAAGGGATTCCGTCATGGTCATGGGCGTCGCTGTGGGCCGAGGTGCTGTATGACGAGGCAATGGCAACGGAAGAGCTGGGAGTGGTGCTGGAGGCCAGCTGCGACTTGCTGAGGGACGATGACGAGTTCGGTGAGGTGCACGGTGGCACCGTACGCCTGTCAGTCCTCACTGGTACGGTTTCGATACGTCGTCCGCCAGAAGGGGACTTGCCGTCGGTATCGCTCAACGCAGGGGGCATGAGCCGCCGGTGTGGTGACGAGGATCTCGTTCTCGACGGCGATGGCCAGCTTTCCGGGGGCGACAGAAGTCTTCTCTGTGCCAAGATGGCTCTGCGGAGGAGCGTGTACCGCACAGGGTCGGATCAGGAGGTCTGGCTGGTGCTGACGCCCGTGGACGGGCAAGAGGGGGTGTTCCAGAGAGTTGGTCTATTAAGGACGGATGTCGGGGATGCAGATGAGTCGGGGGGCGAGCAGCCGGAAGCAGAGGTGGTTGCAATCATTTGACGATTTGACGATGGCTGCTAGGGGTCGATGGTGCGGAGAGACATAGTGAGTTGTCTCTGGCTTCCCCCTTTACGTATCCTCCTCTCATGGATAATCCGTAAACCCTGCCGACGGTCCGTCCCGATTCGACATGTAGCCAAAGCGCTCCGGCTCCGCCAGCACCAGCGGCGGCATGTCCCTATTCCCCTCGATTCTGGTGAATGTGTCCACGTCTCTCTCCCAAAGATCCCTCCCTTCCCGCACCGCCGCGGCGATCCTGTCCCTGTCCCTGTACTGCTCGGCGTTCATCCACCCGTGGGAGAAGCTGGAAATCTTGTTGAGGAACTGCTCCATCGTCGCGAAGCAGCTGCTGCAGTGCCACCCCGCATTGCTCAGCACGCCCTTTTCTCGGCCGCGGAAGGGGGCGAAGCCGCCGTCCCCGTTGCGCAGGTTGGTGGGCTTCAGGGTGCGTGACCCCTCGTAGTACGTCGCCTGAGGGTGCGGCCACTCTGGCCCGGCGTGAAGGAATTGGAAAGAGTAGTAGTAGAACTTCGAGGCGAGCGTGAGGCGCCGGGGGTAGTTGCACGAGCGGAGCACGAGCAGGGATTGCGGACGCGGGATCTCGTCGACGTCGGCCACGATGATGACATCGCCCTGTGTCGGAGCCCTTTGCCCTTGTAACTTCACCAGCACCTGCTCGTACGTGGCGTCCCGCTGCAAGTCTTCATAGTCCCACGCACGATGCGGGTCGAAGCCGGCCGGGAACGTCAACTCGTGATAAACCATCTTGGCGTGGTAACGACGGAACCTGGCCCAGTTGTCCTTAATCACGAGGGGTTTCTTCCCGCCCTGAAACGTCTTGGCCGATTCCACAATGATAAAGTAGTCAACGTAGTCGTATAACGCGTTGAGCCGAATCTCCAAAAAGTCCAGCTCCGAGTTCACCATGATGAGGTCGTATACTCTGCGCTCGCCCGAGACGCTGCGCGGCGTGAAGACCGAGTATCCATGCGCGGCGCAAAACTCCCGTGCCGCCTGGGAGGCGTAGTACTCGGCGTGTTTCCAGTCGCGGCCTGAGGCCGCCTTTAGGAAGTCGAGCGGCGGCAGCGGCGTGGTGGTGGTGACCTGGTGGAAGCCACCGGCATACGGCGAGGGTCTGAAGAAACTCCACCATATCAAAGCCAGAATTGCTATGCCAAGAATTATTCTGGAACGCGGCTTAGCCGCCATAATTGGCGACTTGAGGGTGGATTGTTTTGAAGATTTATACTTCCATCAGTTTTCACCAAGTGTTCGCGCCCCTTTATTAAAGCCCAGCTCGGCACCGGCTGTTGGTGCCACAGGCCGCCGGACCAACAGTCATGCGCTGGCCAGGACGATCTGCATAAATGAAGTTCGAGGACCAACGTTTTACTGTGCACATCAGGTAAATTCATGTATTTATGCTCCATTGCGCATGGCCAAATCCAACGCTTTAAGATTGAGCTCGGCCAGTGCGGCAGTGCTCGATGTCACGAGAAGCCAGCCGCGGCAGCAGCAACCGCGCCATAGGGAGAGTGAACGAGCAGAGGGCTACGAATATCAGATCGCTTCTCGCGACCACCGAGTACGTCGTGCCGCAGTGCCACCTACATGTATCGCCTGGTGCTTTGAGCAATGTAGATCCGGAAGTAGTCGAGATATCGAGGAAATACAGGTGAGCCAACGGCAAAGCACTACTCAAGGGAGGAGAAATTGTGTCTGTTGATCATGAGAAACGCAGGATGCATGGGAGGTCCGGGGCAAACAAGCCAAACATTCATGTTCGCAGCCACAACGGCTCCAGCGGGCCCGTGCCTAAAAACAGCTGAACAGCAACAGCCACCAGACGAAACGCTCAAGATTCAGTCGCTAGCAGGACATTGTGTCCCAAGCTGCCGAGCTTCCATCCCGTCTACGTCACTTATATTAGCTAAAAGAGCAGTTGGGATCCTGGTTCAGTCGAAACTTACCCGCTGTGTGGTTGGAGGCACCGCATCTGACGAGTCCCCCCATCGGGTATGCAGATGGACCTGCAGCGGTTTCCGTCCCAGGTGCAGACTCCATGCTCCCCAAGCGTAGCCGCTTCCATGGCCGATGGCGCAGCCGCCGCCAAGATGAACGCACTCCCTGCATCAATTTTCTAGTCCGACATGCCCAGGGGCCCGTTGGTCGGTATTGTCAGGACAGCCGCCTTCTGCAATAAAAAGTAGATAGCCATAGTACAATATCGCAGACCAGGGTCATACCATCGCGCTTTGTGACCGGACCTATATCCCCAAGAGTAGTGCTATTTATAGAGCCAGGTTTTGCTAGTTGTAGAGCCCATAGGCGCAATAGCATCAACGAGAGCAACGAGAGCAACGAGAGCAACGAGAGCAACGAGAGCAACGAGAGCAACGAGAGCAACGAGAGCAACGAGAGCAACGAGAGCAACGATACCTATAACAGCAACGAAAGCAACGAGAGCAACGACAGCAACAAGCAGCGCGCCACTGCCGCCCCATGCCTGCGCCATTGCGCAGTAAAAATCGCTAGGGCAGCATGGGGGTAGGGTGCGGCCGAGAGAAAAACATAGCAGGGCTCTACAACTAGCACAAGTTGGCTCTACGAATAGCACTCCTCATCCCCCAATGGTAAACTGACTGAATTAGCAGCGACACCTGCAATGGCGGGGCATGCCAGGGCAACGGCGGGAAGAACGTAGGTCTTCACTGCCGATAGCTCGGTGTCTCCGCGTATACTGTGGGTATACTAGGGGAGGAAACAATGTTGCACCGTTAGTTATCCTTGTCGTCATTGAGTTTTAAGGGGTGGGCCGCGGGATTTCTGACATGGAAGCTGGGCAACGTCGTCCTTTGCATTTCACTTCATGCAATTAGCCATGGGCTGCGTCTGGTAGGTAATGCGATAGCAACACGTGCACGTCGGTGTGCGGTTGTCCTTGAGTTTCATCATCGGGAGCTCTCGGGAGCTCGTCTTCGCTACGATCGATGGTCTACATGGCAGCAGCTCCCCCGGCGACGGTGCCATCGTCAACGATGTTATCGAAGCCTCGGCTGCAAATGAGTTGCACACGCAAGGAAAGCACCATGCGCCGTTGTTGTCCCCAAGTGCGTGGCACAGCAGATTGCCAAATTGTGGGAGATCCCTGTTGAGGTCCGCCTGCAGTCGCAACTCCATTGGCACTTGGCTGAAGGTTCTGCATTGAAATGCGACCCCAACTCAACATCCCTGGACTATTTGGCGAGCAAATAGCCGAGCTTCGTTGCGTGTCGGATGGCTGGCGGTGGCATTGATGAGCTGGCATTAACGACCTGGGCGGCGCTTGCTCGTCCATCACACCGGGGTGCGCAGTCATGGCCCAAGCCTGTGCTAGCATTGAGCAACTGGCCACTGTCTCCTGATAAGCGCTGGCGAAGGTCTCGTTGGCTGCCCCGGCGTGAGAAGCTCGAGTGCGATTCAGACTCGAGAAGTGACGATTCTATTGTATTATTATTCGAGGACTCATATGCAAGCAAGGCGGCCTTGCGCACGTGTCCCGTCTATTGATCATTACGACGTCTTGTATATCGTTAGTCGCCAGGCCGTATAAGAAGCAAATGCCACGCTGCTGATGAAGAAGCAAGATTTCCAAGCCCCGTCTATCATGAACAAATGATCACTGGACCATCGCGCTAAGCACCCTGCGACGACGCCCATCCAGACGACAAAGAAGCCCGTCTCGAACCACGCCTGCCTGACGCTGTCCTTCTTTGCCCTCTCGCCGCTCGCCCGCATGCTCGTGCCCCAGCCGTCGGCCGTCAGCGTCAGCATGCTCCAGACGTGCACGGCGGGCAGCGGGATGTGGTAGAATGCCATGCCCGGCACCACCCACTTGAGGGACCTCGGCTCCAGGCGGTGCGGGTTGCGCAGGACGTTGTACGCAAAGGCGGTCACGCAGCGCAGCAGCAGGTCCGCCCCGGAGATGGCGATGAGCTGTCGCGAGGTGAAGAAGTAATACACCACGGCGAGCAGCGCGATGGCGGGGCCGAACTCGCGCTTGGACATGGAGTAGAACAGCAGCGGGTGGTTCATGGGGTAGACGCGCGGTTGGAGCAGGGATTCGATGTGCGTTGCCCTGGCCCAGCGGACCTGCTGGCGGATCCAGCGCGCGAGGGTCGTCGGCGTGTCGGTCGATGTCAGGACGTCGGAAGCGAAGACGATGCCCCAACCGCGCTGGAGGAGGTTGGTCGTGAGATGGCGGTCCTCGTTGATGATCTACCGATACCCTGTCAGCTTGTAGTCTCGCCGGCTTGCGTCTCCTGTCAAGCAACTAACCATGCGCTTCCCGAATATCGTCTGCAGATACCAGGGGACCAATATCGGCGGCAGCGCGGCGAGACGGAAGAGCGTGCTCGGCCCGCTCTGGCAGTCGCTCGTCGCCGTCGCCGCGGGCAGCGACCTGGTGAGGTACAGCTCTCCCCAGTACACCGTCTCGGCGAGCTTCGTCACCGCAGTCTCCTGGCCGTTGTGCACGACAAGCGCCGAGCTCGCGCCCCCGACGGCAGAGTCCGCGGCGACGGTGTCGACCGTCCTGCTCAGCGAGTCCTCAGCGACGATGGTGTCCGAGTCGGAGCTCCAGAGGAACTCGATGCCCAGCTCTTCGGCGATGACCAAGGAGAAGATGTACGTGGAGAACATGATGCCCTTTTTGTGCAGGTGCCGCTGGCGGATGCAGAGCTGGCTGATGGCGTCGGGGCCGCTGAGCGAGATGTCGGCTTGCGCGATGAGACCGCGTGCGAGCTTGGCGCAGTACTCCAAGGCGATGCGGTCGACTTCGTCCTTGTCGACCGCCTGGCCTCGTCGTTGGCGGATGGCGATTTGCTCTTCACGAACGCGCTGGGCGACTTCGCCCAAGGGTTCCGGTACGTGGATGGTGGCTGATCGATGGGGATAGACCTATACCGCGTTAGAACTCAGGGCTCTCTTGGATGTTCGACGACTAATTGCGACGTACTAGGTTAAAGACGTCAACCATGTCCTGATCCTGGGCTTCGTCGCCATCGATGCCGACCATGAGAAACACGCAGCCCCTCGCCGTCTTGTAGCTCTCCAGCGCCCTGGTGAAGAGCGCAGGGTCCTCGCGCCATCCCACCACGGCCGCCATGCAGTCCAACTGGGGACTGAAAGGCGACAGCAGCTCGAGTTCCAGCGCAGCCTTCTCCGGGTCCATGTCGTCCCGCATCACCGGCGGCCGGAACTCCTCATAGTAGGCCATGCGCCGCCCCTCGTTGACATACCGGGTGAGCTCCGTGAGAGCAATTGTTAAAATGAGATCGAGTGTCACTGGCCATCGGCAGTGAACGGTGGCAACCCAATAGATTGGGAGGCAGACGATGCAGCCGGCGACGTTGAGCACCTTGCGCAGCAGCGAGACGGGAGGCGAGACGGCCTCTGCCGGAACAGGGGCCGATCCCGCCTGACGATAATCCTCCGCGATGGCCATGTCTTGTTCGTAATGAATCACGCCTCGAGCAGCATGTCTGCGAAGTAAAACGAGTGACTGCAGACACGGACAACCGCAACAGCGCGCTGCTCACACTTGACGCCGTCAGACGAAGACTTCGCGGGAGCACATGGCGATAATAAGAATTTCCCGCACGGGAAGCGCCATCTTGGCGAGCTCCATGTTCGAGAAGCTCGGCCTGGATGGGATTTTCTCTCTTGGGCAGCCGCCGATCTTTGCCATTGCCGTCCGTGCGAAAAGCGAGTGTCAGGGTTGCGGCTGACGAAACCCGCAGGGACCAGAACCCGCCGGTGGGCCATTGCAGCCTGCGGAAATGACACAATACGAGCAGAGCCTCATTGATGGCCGCTGTCTGGAGCCGTTGACGAAGACTTTTGCGTCCCGTTTTCTCGCGGTCGGACCCAAACTCGGAGCGTGCCCGTTTTGAGTGCTACGCCAACTCAGCACCCGGCTCCGCCCTGGCCGGGTCTGAGGGGTGAGGCGCCAGCTTGGTGCCTATCGGGATCTGACTCTTCACGATCAACTCTCCGGCGTGGCGTATGAGACACGGCACGTCTTCAGGCAAAGCCCCCACCACAGAAGCCTGCTTACGCTCTGCTCGGGGTCACCCGGTCATTTGTGCAACCGCCACTTGGAAGAGTGACGCTAGAACTCTCGGAACTGCCGCCCTGTCAGGGGAGCGTCCACATTTAGCAGGCGCCGACCCGAAGATCGGCATCTGGAATCTGCAGGGACCGAAGGAAAACCTGTACGGGACGCAGCCTGAAGCCGAGCACAGGCTCCACAAAAGGATATGGCTCTCTCGTCCCTCCCAGGGCCTCTCTTGCTTCCGCGACCGATGGCATCGCTGTCTCAGACGCAGCATCTCGTCGGGCGGACATGGCTGTCACTTACAGGAACAACCGGCTGGTCCCGGCGGTCATCATCGCGATATGCATCATCTTGGTATTCAGCTTGATTGACCCGACCGTCGAGAACTTTGGACTCCCGGCTCCCAAGACGACGGACCGCGATGCGACGCGCGCGGGCGCACCTCCAAGCGCGGAGCCAGCTCGTACACAGTCGGCCGGAAAGCCAGCCGTTGAGCCGACACGGCAGGTTTCCCACAGCGAGCCGTCTCCCAAAGCTCCTACAACGCCGCAAAGGCTCGGAGAGGATGATGTTCTGCTCATCATGAAGACGGGCGGGACGTCCATGTGGAAGCGCCTCCTCGTCCACCTCACCACGACGCTCTCCGGCAGCCGCATCTCCCCGTCCAACATTGTCATCTACTCGGACAATGCCGAGACCATCGGCTCATTCACTGTCGTCGATGCCCTCGCCAACATGACCGACGAGACAAAGCGGTCAGCCGACTTCGACGTCTACCGGCAGCAGTTCGAGTACGTCGCCCACAACTACTACAGCGAGGCCGCTGGCGTCGACGGCGACGAGTGGGGTCCCGTCGGCGGCTGGATCATCGACAAGTACAAGTTCATCCCGCTTATGGAGCACGCGGGGCGGAACTGGCCGCACGTCAAGTGGTATATCTACATGGAGGACGACGCCTACCTGTTTCTTCCTAACATCCGCAAGTTCCTGGCGGGCTTCGACTGGCGGAAGAACCACTACCTCGGCAGCTATGCTGCCAAGTCGGATGCCGTCTTTGCGCATGGTGGCGCGGGCTTTGTGCTGTCCAGGGGCGCGTGGGAGGCTTCATTTGGCAAGAACCCAGGGATGGTGGAAAAGTACCACAAGTACGTCGCGGAGCACTGCTGTGGCGACCAGGTGCTTGGCCTGGCGTTGAAGGACCACGGAATCCGCTTCGGAGAGAACGGCGGCGACGAAAAGTTCACGTGGGGGTTTAATCCCCTCGTCCACTGGACCTTTGCCTTTAGCAGGAGTAACTGGTGTCATCCTCTGCTGTCCTGGCACAAGGTCCACAACCGCGACGTTGCCCGGTACTATGAGCTGGAGAAGAGCTGGAACTTTGATGTAAGCGCAGGTTTCCCACCCTTTCCAGGTTTTTTTGCTCACCACCGTTTCTAGACCCCGATGCTGTACCGCGACTTCTTCAAGAGCATGATCCTGCCCCGCATACAGAAAAACGCCCAGTGGTGGGACAACATGGCCAGCCTCTATGAGATATCCTCTACCAACAGGGAATGGGCCGCTGTCCCCAAAGACGGCAGCAAGTACGACGCCGCGCTGTGGAAAAAAGCGTGGAGATCCGTTGAGGCCTGTGAGGCTGCCTGCAGAGGGTGGACGAACTGCGTAATGTGGTCCTTTGTCGAGGACCTCTGCAAGATGGACGACAAGATCACCATGGGACAGGGCTATGCCCCATCCATGTCCCAGCGAAAGACGTCGCTCATGCATACCAGCGGGTGGATGTCGGACAGGCTAGAAGGTTGGAAATGCTAATGCGTTGTTTTGTGGTTTGTTATCTCTTGGGCACGGCGCAATACAGGGTTAAGGTGATGCGAGGGAGGAAACTTGGTCTGCAGAGGAAGGCAAAGATGCCGCCATTTCCCGCTTGCAGAGATGGGCGGGCAGTGTACATCTGCACGTGAATCGGGAGCAGGCGTTCCGTGTGGGACGAGGCCAGCGTATACATGGGTGGTTAGACCCTTGCATATGTTGCCGACACGATGCATGATTGTCTACATAATATTATAGACAGAGCTACAGCTATTAATATCCGAGAATCTTGTTGGCTCTTTGCACAACCTTCTGCTCTCCAGGGCTAGCCCCTTCCGCTAGAGCCAGTCTGTCTAGCCCAAATGCTTGTCTGCCCATGGTGTTTGTGCAGGTCTGCAGCATGTCCTCGGACGGCCTGTCAACATGCTCAGACTCGCCCTCGTCACCAGGAAAGTCGGGAGCTGGAGTGCCCCGTCGAAAGGTGTCACGCTGGCGAGCCAGATATTCCGCATTAGATTGAGTGAGCGGACAGACAGGAATGTACAAGACACTCGAGTCATCTTTGCCAATATGCTGCTTGTCGACTGCGTGGATTGCTGTTGAGGAAGATTAGCACCGCGCAGCTGATAGGAACATGCAGGAGACGTACAGTCGCAATGCCATGCAACAAAATCGCCGGGATGCATCTTCGGGATATGGACCATGGTCTGACCCAAGGCAAGGTGTGGATGGAGCTCTTCATTGAGCTCTTGCCGGTGCTCTAGGGATGCCCCCTGAAGTTCGGTAGTCATATTTGCCTCGTCCAGAAGCATCCAGTTGCTGGCGTTTAAGAACCCTTCGTGCCTGGAACGGCTAATTGGCGTAAAAAAGGGACGCAGAAGCAAGTATGCGGTCGAGAGCTTGATCAGTGGATTCACCAGTAGTGTTCCCTCCAGAGGGCCACACTCGCTCATGCTCAGCCACCCCTGCCATAGCCTGAGCATAGAGCAGGCCCCTGGTCCATCGTAAAGGTTATTGACGGCATCTATCCTGGTTGTTGCGTCAAAAGGGTCGTATTTTTCCCAATCTCCTTCGAAGATCTTGTCGTACACTCCTCCTCGTCCGTATCCCTCCTTTTCCCAACGTTCGACGCTCCCGCCGTCGATATGCGGTCCGAGAGCGAAGGATGTATCACCGGGCTGGCGGATGCGGAGTCGATCGGCATATGTGAATGGATGGGACAGAGATATAGGAGCGTCGAGAGAGCTGGTCCAGAGAGGGGTCATGAGACGTTGCTGAACCTCCATCATGGCTGGGTGTGAGCGAGCTTTGAGTTGCGGCGCTGACCAATAGAGCTCATAGACTTGCGGATCATGCTTCGGAAAGCCTGCTAAACTTTAGTTGATGCACCGGTGTTTTCGCCCAATAACTCTCACCTCTCGTTTGAGGATTCTTGCGGACGTATCCCTCGACTTCGTCCTTGTACGCTCTGGCTTCAGACTGCGGGATCACGCCCCTGACGACGACAACTCCCCTTTTCTGGATTTCATCTTTGAGTTTCTCGCAGTCACTGTCCAGCTCAGCGAAGCGCACTTGAGGAATGACGTCAGACTTCCTTGCTGCGATTGTCTCGTTCTCGCGCTCAAGTGTTCTCAGCAACCGACACCAGCCGTCCCAAAGCTTCTGATGCTTGCCTCGAGCCAAGTGGCGCTTTAGGTCCACGAACCTGTCCGGAAGAGGGGCGGCCTCTGCTCCAGAGATGGAAGTAAAAGAGTCCCCTATATCACCGCTTGTGCCCATTGAGCGACCGGCTGCCACGGTTGAAGCAGCGCGAGCCAATGTCGGGGCGCGCCGCCAGGTCGTGCAGCAGCTGCGCAACATTTCCAGGGCAGAGTCTTAACGCAGAACTGTATAAATCCGCACTCGCTAACTCTGGCGGCAATTGATGATCAAAACTGATTGTATTCGTTGGAGGCGGCGACCTGTGAGCGCAGATAGCGACGCTTTAGTCGGACAGGCGACTTGATTGGAACAACAAGCACGGATCTAAACGGCAGACAAGTTGGCAGGTCAAATATCGAAACCATGCGACCGACGGAGGACAAGGGCTTGTTGTGGAGGAACCCCAAAAGGCAGGAGTCTCAGGAGCTCATAGGTTCACCATCGGCCCAAGGGCCTGAAGCTGTGGGGGACGCCGCACAGGGGCCGCTTCCGACTTACACCCCAGGGCGCCGCGACTTCCCCAAACAAGTTGCCGCTGTGGGGCCCAGGCGGACCACGGATCTCAATGCGGCTTACCCGCACTTCATCGGGTGACTGTGCGCCGACCCTACATGTATGTGGCACTGGGTCCAGACCACATCAACCTGGACGGTCGGGACCCAACAAATGCAGAGGCTTTTTAGACGCAGGCGCCTGTCTTTTTTGGGCGGTAGGGGCTATCGGTATGGGCTATCCGGGGGCGAATGGCTGGCGAGCATAACGACAACAAATACGTATACTATTGAGTAGTGCTGTTTGTAGAGCCAACTTTTGCTAGTTGTAGAGCCCATAGGAGCAGTAGCAGCGATAGCAGCGATAGCAGAGATAGCAACCAACGAAAGCAACGAAAGCAACGAAAGCAACGAAAGCAACGAAAGCAACGAAAGCAACGAAAGCAACGAAAGCAACGAAAGCAACGAAAGCAACGAAAGCAANAGCAACGAAAGCAACGAAAGCAACGAAAGCAACGAAAGCAACGAAAGCAACGAAAGCAACGAAAGCAACGAAAGCAACGAAAGCAACGAAAGCAATAGGCAGCGCGCCGCTACCGTCCCATGCCTATACCGCTTATGCAGTAAAAATCACTAGAATAGCATGGGGATAGGGCGCGGCCGAGAAAGAAAAATATAGGAGGGGTCTACAACTAGCAAAAGTTAACTCTACGAACAGCACTCCTCATAATATTACTTCCAACGGCTTGGAAGGATGTTTCTTGCGGCTCTCGTTTGGCTGGTATCTCGTCCCTTGTCTATCTGCCAGTCGCCCCGGTCGACACCCTTAACGGGAAGGAAACCTTCATAGACGTAGGCAATACCAGTGCAGGTACTGTAGGTACCCTACACATTGGGACAACAGGCGTTTCAAGCAGTGATCTTCTTGTTCTCGGATTGGCTCTTATAGCCACATTCCCTTCAAGAGATAATAGGATTGGAACGTCAGTGAAGAAAGACGGTACAGAAAATGATAAGCAGCGTTCATGATAACTAGCTTCAGAAGCGGCGCACCATGACCATGTGCCTTAGCCTCACGATTCTGCCATGCCAACTACCTTTGATGGGCGCGGTGTGGCGCCCTTCTCCTTGTAACCACTCTGCTCGGACAGGGTCTGAGTCTTTTTGAACCTCCAAGCCGGGATTTTCCGCTCGTAGAGCTCGTCAAGCTCCCAATATGTGCGTCCGTACGTCTGAAGATTGTCAGCGGCAGACAAGGATTCAGTGTCAGAATCACTCACCTCAGGATAGTAGAGATAGAGCAGGGCCACCGTAGGCACTAACAGGCCAGCCCAAACGTAGACTGCCTTAACACCTAGATTTGCAGCATCAGGGCTGATCATATAGGAGATTGTCCACTGGAAAACGACACTAAGATCGGGTCAGCAAGAGTTGGGCAGTCATGAGATCTGAGCGTACAAGCCAAGGCCGTAGCAGCCCAAGTTGAACCCAGTTGTCTGAGCTCGCAGTCGAGGAGTCGAGGTCTCCCCGGCTGCAACGTAGCCAATCGGACCAGCAGAACAGCCATAGCAGATGACCCAAAGTAGCAAGAAGCCCAATGCCGCCTTTTCCGAGGACACGGTCCTAAAGAAGCCTGTCGTTCCTAGGGCGATGTTGAATAGCATCATCAGAAAACATCCCCTGGTCGACTGCGTTAGCGCGGGGTATCAGCGGAGTGTTTCAAACTTACCCGATGAGGAGAGGTCTCCGTCCAATGTACTCGCATGCAACCAACGACAGAAATATCGAGACAATGAGCAAGACAAATCTTGGGTGTGCTTAGCATGCCTGGTGTGTTTTCCGACGAAATGTCGAATATGCTTACGTGATGATTGTGACCAGAAAGGGATCCTTGATTCCGGCGACTTTGAAGAAGTACTGCAGGCGAGTCAACTGACTTGGTCGTCTCTCGATGTTCTGAAGAACCGTACCGTAGAGTATGCAAAAACGATGGGAGCGCCAGCGGTCCACTGACTGCAGATGCCCATGCAGCCAGCTAATGTTCTGCGCCAGTTGTGGCGGTTAAAGATCTCCATGAAAGAGGACGTCTTGGCTGATTGGCTAAACTCTCGCTCAGCCTGGATACCATGTTGGATCACGCGGTATTCGTGTTCCTGCATGCCATCAGTAATATTCCTGTTCCAGATTCTTCGTATATCACGTACGACATCGTAACCAGGCGCGTTTCCATACAACCTCAGCATGGAACTCTTTGCCTTTTCATGGTCGTCCCTCCGAGCGTGATAGAGATGAGACTCGGGGACAAACCATATGAGAATCAGGAGAATCTGTAGAGCACGGCGGATCAGGCACGAGCCCCTCAAGAGTCTGAAGCACATCATTTGGAGGACTTACACCGCTAAAAATGAACTCGGTGGCGATCAGGGGTCTCCATTCCATGGGACGATGGATCACGACGAGCTGGGTGGATATCGCGCTGAGGAGCTGGCCGACAGCAATAAACAGTTGATAGGCGCCAATCATGAAGCCTCGAACTTGGAAAGGTGCTAGCTCCGAAACGTAGACGATGAGGATAGACTGCGCCAGGCCAACTCCTGTACGAATGAGAATGGCGCCACCGAGCCAGCTCTTCCAGTCAAATGCACAGATCTCGGTGATGGAGCCACCAAGCAGCACGACTATGGCGCCAAGCAAGGCCCGCCTAGAGTGAATCAGCGCATGCGCTCGAGAAGGGGTGATTGCCCTAGGCAGGCTCACTTTCGACCAAAACGGTCGGCAAAGTACCCTCCGGTGAACATGCCTAGGGTCTTGGACATCTCAGCAAAGCCTTGCCAATACGAGATGACCTTGGCACTGATTGCTGGGGCGCCATCGACGGTAGTGTCTGCCATTGTGTTGATGAAGGCCTGCATGGGAATCACGTTGCCGGGAATTTGCTGTTGGAACTATAAGACAGTTAGTAACTTGGCCGACGATGAGCAAGAAGGGGTATGTCTGACGCCGTCATTGAGGGCTGCCCAGTTGAGGATCATGCAAAAGAGCATGGCCCTCCAGAAGGTCTTTACTGCGGTCCAGCGTCCAAGTGCTGCGTATCTGAATTAGAACCGTTCAGTCTTCGTAATATCCATAAGTCTTACCGGCGAATCTTGTTTCCAGGACCTCGTTTCCATCAACATTGCCGGCAGCCTTTGACTGACGGACATTGTCGCAGTGGTCAGAGGTGGACTGATTCGAATCCTTGCTATCCATGGCAACCATGGGTACTGATGGCTTGAGGACGGTAATTGAAAGGTTATATGGATGGGATATGTAGCCAAAAGTTTGATCTATCAAAGTCCCTCTGGTACCCCAGATGTCAGATGGAAGCGCGGGACTCCAGAATTTAAACTCACTAGACAACAGAATCCGGGGTACCATACGGCACAGGACTGTGGATCCGGGGAACAGGACCTGGGTCAGGGAAGTGACAGCACGGCCGAGAGAGCTCCGACGACGTCGGAGTGGAAATCCCGAGTGGCGTCGACACATAGCCGCTGAAACGACAGGGTGGCGTACGAGTCCGGTGGCAGCTTGGCACGTTTTGGGATGCCCGCTCTTCGAGGCTGGCGCCCACAGTGTGCACAGAACGGAAGTTCACTTTGCAGTCTCTTGCGACAAGTACATGAATGCAGCCATGGCGTTTTGCAATCCAACAAGACATGAATCAATTGATTAGACCCAACACGCTTTCTTTACTGCCCGTAAGAGCGACCACGAGCCTAGACCTGATATAAGTTATCGACAAGGTCATTGGCCTATCCATGAATGAGTGCTTTTACACCGATGCCGGGCCACACCTCCGCCACAAAATGCGGAGGCTACTTCCCAAAATGGTCTCGGCGCCGCAACAGTGGTCTAGCAGCCGGTGCAGTATATACTTGACACTCGTGCTTTCGGACGGTCGACGCCATTACTCGAGCACTGCGTACTTGACACCACTCTCTTATTGACCATGAGTCTTACAAAGCTAGCGCGAGGCGCAACTTGTTGGCTTCATAAAGGCCAGCCATTACGTGCACTCACAAGCACTCAACCTTGTCGGACCGCCGTCACTTGGGCCGAACAGGACCACTGGGAAGACCCCCGCGGTCCTTTGGGAATTGACAGGCCGAGTCCCAAACTCGCAGCTCTTACACCTCAGAGTCCGCAGTGGCTGCAGAATCTTCATCGTAACGGCGTACGTATGCCTCCAAGTTGCCAACGGACTTCGGCGGGTTAACGCAGTCTGAAGTGGGCTCTCGTCAAAGGGGCGGTTCCTCGAGGCAGGGCCTTGAAGTACGCGGAAAAGGCCGAAGATTGGCTTGAAGGTTTTAATATGGGATATCGGCGCAGTGACCAGCCAACGTGGAAATCCACTAATATCCCCCGACACCGGCATGGCGGGCTTTTCGATCAGTACGTTTGGGTGGAGCTTGTTGAGGCCTTCGTTCTGATGGGATTCCAGCTTCTCTTTTGCTCACGCACAATTCGTTTGGGACTGCAAATCGGAACCCGGAGTCAGGGATATTTTTGCCAAGATCTGGGGTACCGACAAGCTCACGGTCTCCTTCGGTACGAAAACAGGCTCGCTCTCTACATACTCTCTCTAATCGTTACAGATGGAGGCACGCTGGCTTTCCCCACCCCGGAGGAAGCGAACCACGGCAAAGCACCCTGGCCTCACGTAAGGGCAAAGTCTTTTTGTTTCGAGGATATTGTCGATGCCAACAATGTTATAGTCTGATCAGAGCGCCTACCGTCCTTGGCCTCACTGCATTCAGGGTCTACTCAACCTCGTATGTCGCTCAACGCACTCTCCATGTCCACAATCACACCATCGCAGAGTCTGACAGACTGCGTAGCTACCCAATGGCCCCGACGACGGTGGGCTCGCAGTCCTGAACGGATCTGCGCCCCTCTTTGAGCAGTATTTCAAGGAACACACTCAGGTGAGCTTACAGCAATGAAGCATTGTGTTTTCTTCCCTTTTGTATTAACAAATGATAGCCCGACGGTGGCTGGATCAAGAGGGATCTCTTCGACTGGACAGACGAGCAGCTTCAATGGTTCAAGGACCGCGGCTGCGAGTGGATGAAGCCAAATATGGAACCTGGTGACTTTATTCTTTGGGATTCCCGTGCTGTGCATTACGGTGCTGCACCACTTGGGACTAACAAGCGCATGGCTATCTGTAAGGGTCTAAGAGCTCGAGGTATGATCAACAGCTTACTCGTTACAGATACTTGCTACAAGCCCATCGAGTTCTTGAGCGAAGAGCAGAGAGAGCGCAAAGTCGAGGCCTTCAAGAGAGGGTACATGACGGTAAGCCTTTGCAAACCAAAATTATATGGGTATTCTTCTAATGTAGCTGCAGTCTCACGACCCGACAGACTTTGTGCTGAAGGAGGAGCAAATGGCAGAATGGAACATTCTTCATCCATATGGAAAGCCAAGTATCAACAAAGAGACTCAGCAAGCTATTGGTATGGTCCCATACGAATAGGTTCGTACGAAGGCTTGGGTGTTGGAATCACAGGTTCTTAAATATGGGCTATGTGATGCTCTGTCGACCCGCTTCAGCATGCCGAGACCGGCCATTAAAATTATGAGAAGGTCGTTGCCGGTGGATTATCCGTCGACGCTCAGAAGTGGGAAGCTGTCAAAGCTTATTGGGTTCTCGGCATCCAAGTACATCCAAGAAATATCATCCATGCCAACGAATAAGTCCATTGCTTCCATATCATGCTGTGTTTCGAGCTGAGCTCCCGACATTGCAGCCGCATCAAGATGCCAGGAAGGTTCCCGGTCGTTACACTGCCCGGCCGCAGCTCCGTGCCTCTCAATGGATCCTCGGGGCCTGTCCACGTGAAGTAGACGAAGATTTGGCAGCTTGTCAAGCGCTGCAGATATTCGATGCGCTAGTGAAGCCATGAGATCTGCTGCTTCCCACTTCCTACGAAGCGCCTGCAAGATATCGCAGGCTGTATTGAAGTCTCGGTGGGCATCGTCCTGATCTGCCGCGAGCCGGCTGTACCGCAGCTGTTGATACGAGACTGACAGGGCGAGAGAGACTGCGTACACAACAATGGGAAGTGGATGAAGGGCATTCAGGAATTCCGAGTCCCGCATGTAACGAATCGTGTGCACCGAAGACAGCTGCTGCCGTAGTCTTGACGGTGTGGGGGACGGAAGAGACTCAATCGTTTTAAGCCGATGGGATAAAATGGCGGTGGCGAGGTAAAAGACCTGCAATGTAGCTGTACCGTTAGAGTCAGCTAGTAGAACAAATGGATGTCTACAGAATCAATACGAGCTCCACGTACCGATGGTAGATGGAGGCAGCTGCCAGGCGTGCATTTCATGTATAACTTGCTCAAAACTCGGAAAATCCGAATCCAGTCCAGAAGGGGGTATGACACTGTGTGGTGGACGATACAGTGCAATGACCCGGTTGAGTAGCCTGGAAATACGGAACCAAACATCAAAGGCAACGGAGCCCGACTCAGCAGGAGTGATGTGCTCGATGGCTATATCCATGTCGGCCATGCAACACGGCCTTGAGTGAATGGCGGCGTTCAATCTGTCCAAGGTCCACAAGCACCAGAATGTCCTTTTTACATCGTAGTTGTGATCTTTGGGCCGGTGTAGGTGCCATGCCATGGATTGAGCGTAATGCACAGCCAGTGCGATGTAGCTGGAGGCCTGTTCAGCGCCATCGCAACCTTCGTGATGGAGGGAGAGCAGTCCAAGAATGCGAACCAGGGTCATCCTCTTGATGGACGTTGGACGCAGCAAGGCCATGGCCAAGGAAGCGTGGAGTTGGCTGCAGAATTGCCGGACAGGTACCGCAGCATCTCCGGACTGTAGAAGCTTGAGGTGTGTGCCTGCGTCGCTGTCCTTTGCAACCACGAGACACACAGCATGGACCAGTGGCATTGAGGGACAGAAGTGCGAGAGGGACCGGCGATACTCTTCTTCATTCAGAATTGGAATGATGGGGTGGACTTTGGCAAAATAGAGATCCGACAAGGCTCGGACCGTACTCTCAGGAAGAAGATCGGATGTTGGTGGTCCAGGGCGAACATTTTGCTCCTGAGGCTGGGGACATGATGACGGGGACTCTTTCTGGGCACCAGTGCTCCAGCTACTGCGTGGACGAGGCTGCAACCAGACTCCAACCTCGCCAGTCGCCGTATCCGGCGGGTCTTCCGGCGAGGTTGTCTCGTCCAGAAGCCTCGCCTCGGGGTTCAAGTCGCCCACAAACCGCGGCGTCGCGGGGTTTTCGAGCGAAACAGACGTTGAGTGTGCATTCCTTGATAGGGCTGTGCGCGGCGCATCGTGCCTGTGTTTGCGGGGATCGTCCTGACTCGGCGACGGCAGTTCTCTGATCACTGACGAGCGGTCGTTGTCGTCATGGTACGAGCCCGCGGCAGAACCCTCAACTACCGTAGACTCCCGCGGACTGGGTTGCTTATCCGCTCGTAACGCCCGATGCTGATGCGGACAACGTCTCTACAGTGAAGGCTCGGGCATCAGATGTGGGCGAGTCCAGGCGGCGAAGGCCCACTGGCCAGAAAGACGGACCTTCTTTTGACGGCAGGGCTCGCAGGCCTTCCGTGACCGTACGCGCCCTGCGCGCTGCTTAGGATCGGATTGGGGGACAAACGTGAAATTGGTCGCCATACGTACATCGGTTGGTAGGGCCATGCTTGGGCAGAAATCGCCCCAAAAAGAGAGGAGCGAACCTAGAAATATCCCGACCGTCTGCCTGTGCTAAAATACCCCAGCGGCCAAGCCTCTGCTTTTGCCGTACCCAAAATTTCCAGCGGGGGATCAGGGCGGATCGGGGGCACAACCGGCCGGTTGGCAGTCGGCCGAACGAACCTTGGGCTGAGGCCCGCCGCGCCACACAGGGCGCCAGCGGGGAGAGAGGAGCGAACAGAGGCTCTCGGAGTGTCAGCCTCCGTCCGCCGAATGAAGCAACGCAGGTAGACATACCTAACACGAGAGAGTGTTCTCTGTGAGTCTGAACACGAATGGCAAGTCAAAGTGCCTTGGTACCACGTGGGCGATAGAGTGCAGTGCGTTCCAGTCGGAGCGAGTATTAGCCCATGGGCAGAGCGCTTTTCCACCGACGTGTGGCACGGGGCCCCGTGCTCATATCGCACACCTGAAGTCCATAATGTGCTCTTGGGGACTGGTCTCCTCGAGGTTGGGCAGACTCCGAACAGCCTTACTGGGAGGCTGATCGGTCCCACCCACTATCCTCCAGAGCTGCATCTTCAGGACTCGTCACACGGCATCCGCCCGCGCCTGTGGCGCCCTTAGCGTAGTAGTCGCCGACACCGGGCTGTCCGTCCATGCTTGGGCCTCCCGGCTACTTAGCGGGTTGCCGTCTGGGGAAGTAAACGCCGCTCCTACAGGAAATTCCATTGCGCAGTCCAGCCCGAGTGACCCCACAAGAAAGGAGAGGCATTGTCCACGGACTTACTCTCAGTGAAGTCGGTATCCCTTCGTATTGTCGGAGGCTTACTGACGGGACATGCGCACAGACAGAACGTAGAGAGCTGAGAAAGTATAAAGGACGCCAGAAAGTTCGCGCCTGTAGCTCCTGACCACGTGAAGGCGCGTCAGAAAGCAATTGCACGCAACAATTGTCTGTTTTACTGCACCCAGCATGCTCTCCAGATTTGTCTCCCTCTTTCTAGCTCTTGCAGGCTTTACCCCCATTCTGCAATCTATTCTGAGCTACTTTTGGGACGCCAAAGGCCTCCGAAAGTATCCTTCCGCTTCGGCGGTAGCTGCAGTCAGTCCGCTTTGGCGTATCTGGCATAATGTTCACTTCAGACATTACGCTGCCGTCGACGACGCTCACAAACGACTTGGATCCCACGTTCGAATCGCCCCAAACCACGTCTCAGTGCTCGATCCTCGCGCCCCCTATGACATCTATGGGCACGGTGCCAACATGCTCAAGGAAGAGTGGTACGACGCTGGCGCTGGTGCTCATCGCAACCTAGCCGATACTCGTGACAAGGCGGAGCATCAGGCAAAACGAAAGATGATGGCCCACACCTTTGCTGCAAAGACAGTGTCCAAATTCGAACCGGTTCTACAAGAACAAGTTGGTGCCCTCATGGCACAGCTTGATCATCACATAGACTCTGGAACAAGAGCCAACATGCGGCGCCTGATCAACTACTTCACTATCGACCTATTTGGCCAAGTGCTTTTCGGGCACAAACTGGGATGTTTGCGCCGCGGAAACGACAATCTTGTGGCTGAGTCAAAGGCTGGCCGTCTGTATGAAGCTCCATTCATCCAGTCGCTGCTGGACGTGACTGTCATCAACACAGTGCTCGGCATGGTACCAGGTCTTTTGTGGTTGTCTCGACCATTATTTAAAAGCCATCCATACAAGAGAGCTGGAACTGATTGGGAGAATATTGTCTATTACAACACCAAGGAGCGCATATCGAAGCAAGTGCAAGAAGACGACTTGTTCCAGAGACTGCTTCAGGACACCAAAGGCCACGACCTGCATCTTTCCATGGGCGAGATTGTCGCCGAATGCTCGGCAATGATGAATGCAGGCACGGAAACAACGACAGCCGCCATGACGAACACAATCTTCCTCCTTTTTACACATGCCGAGGTCCTCGCGCAGCTTCGTGAGGAACTCGACAAAGCGTTTCCTGGAGACGAGATTCCGACGTACGAGGCGGCTTCCAAGCTGCCCTACTTACGCGCTTGTATCGAAGAATCCCTCCGAGTGCGCCCAGCCAGCTCTATGGGTCTACCCCGAATTGTTCCTCCAGGTGGAAGAGTAATCGCTGGACAGTTCATTGCCGAGGGCGTGACGGTTTCGGTGCCCACGTATTCGCTCCTCAGAAACGAAAAGGTGTTTACGGACGCAACAAGGTACCAGCCTGACAGGTGGATGACTGAGGATCAAGAAAAGAAGAAGGAAATGATGAATAGTCACCTGCCCTTCAGCACAGGACCACGTGCCTGCATCGGTCGCAACATTGCGTACTTTGAGCAAACCGTAGTCATCGCTACGATCGTCAAGTTTTATGATGGCAAAATTGCTGACACATTTGAGCTAGAGACTCAGGAGAGATTCAATTCGAACCCCGGGGACTTGCCCGTGGAGTTCAAGCGCCGCCATTGTTGAATGGTTTGCACAGAGAATAGGGAGACATGCAGCGTGTTCTAAGTTTGGCAGATCAATAAATGACGTCATTAAATACACTGAGCCATTGCTTCTTCTGAACCTGCCTTGCCTCAGAACTTCGATGTCATGCCATCAGAAGACCGATGTAGACACAGTGGCCGCACTGGGCCGGGTCTTTGGTAACAACCAGGCGAACTTCGTGAACGCCGCCTACCGTACGGTGAGCTCCCTGCATGTTGGGTTGACCCACCCCGAGACACTCGGGAGACACTCTGCGCCGGAAGGCCAAGCTTGTGCTTAGTGCGGGGGCGGGGCTGGTGGAGATGGCGGGGTCATCGGCGGGCTCCACTCCGACGTGGCTTGAACTGATCCGCGAACAGGCCAGGATGCGCAAGGTACTGAAGCGAGACCGTCATGTTCGTTACACTGCATGCCGCTGGAATCAACTCTTCGGCTCCCAATGAGCCGATCGGAGTGGGGGCGACCGACGGCCCCGCGAGCGCTTCACGACAATCTATTTGCCGGTATAAATTACTTGGAGATAATACTCACGTTGCGGACATCTACAACGTTTAGAGCTCCTCCTGTCCCCTGCCCACACCAAGTCGTTGAGCGCTACCATGTCTATGACGGTTGAGGACTGCGCCGTGGTGCGGGAAGGGTTCCCCCGCCCGTTTCCAACGACCCCGTCAAAGGTTCTCGAGCAGTTTCGGCTGCACGGGAAAGTCGTGGTTGTCACTGGCGCGGCAGACGGAATCGGCCTGGCAGTCGCAGACGCCATGGCAGAAGCCGGTGCGAACGTCGCGCTATGGTACAACTCGTACGTTTAAAGCTCGCTCCCTTGGCATTTATAGTCGCTCACACGTTCTAGTAACGATGCCGCCCTGCAACGATCCCAAGAGTTGGCTCGGGACTACAATGTAAAGACTGTAGCGTACAAAGTTGATGGTAGGCAAATATTGCTTCAGATTCCACGCAAACCTTGTGCAGTGCTTACCGAATGATGCAGTGTCCGATGCTACTCAAGTGGAGGAGACCATATCCAAGGTGGTTCATGACTTTCGGAAGATTGATGTCTTCATCGCCAACGCTGGTAAGCCGCATTGAACACGAAAGAATTGCATGGAGTCATAGCTGAACCAACAAAGGCATGGCCATCTCAAAGCCAATTCTTGAACAGACTTTGGACGAATACAGGAAGCAAATGTCTGTCAATGGTGAGACATCTTCACTCTCCCATCATCATGAAGTCGCTAATACTTCTAGTCGACGGCGTCGTCTTTTGCGCCAAATATGCCGGCGAGGTCTTTCGCAAGCAAGGATTTGGCAACTTGATTGTGACATCCAGCATGAGCGGTCACATCGTCAATGTGCCGGTTGATCAGCCCGTCTACAACGCGACCAAGGCCTGTGTTACGCACTTCGCCAAGTCTTTGGCCCGTGAATGGCGGGAGTTCGCCAGGGTGAATATCGTTTCGCCCGGGTTCTTCGATACGAAGATGGGGGCTAGTCCGCTCGCACTCAACGAGGCATATCGCATGTCGGCTATGGGGAGGCAGGGCCATGTCAAGGAGATCAAGGGCTTGTATTTGTACTTGGCGAGCGACGCCTCGACGTACATGACGGGGAGCGACGTTCTTATAGACGGGGGGTATGTACTGCCGTAGGCGAGCTCTCAGTTTCTGCCGCAAGTCTGGTCTGAACGGGACCACCCCACGAATAGACAAGTAGGACCAACAATTTATTTGGAATGTTGTGAGAGTCACTAGCTTGAAGTAACAAATTAAAACAAAGCATGCTACCTGGATGCGCATGCTATTGCTCGCCACGGCTCCGGGCGCTGACATTGTATGTCCATGATGGACGAGTCACTACGTTGCGTTGGTCGGACACCAGCTTCTCACTATTCACGACTGGTTGCAATCGTGTCAAGGCGGCATGCAAGTCAAACAAAGGAGAGTTTGGTGAAACATTCTCTAGCTAAGCTGCTCTACAATACGATACCGCCGCCGTCCACGACAATGTCCGTCCCATTGATGTATGAGCCTGCATCGCTTGCCAGTAGTACAATGGTACCCGTTAGCTCCGACGGCGACCCCATCCTTCCGATCGGGTTCCTCTCTGCCCACACTTGACGATGTTGCGCAATCCCATCTCCTTCGTTGAGGATTGTGTCCATGTAGCCCGGGCTAACGCTGTTGGTTCGGATGCCGTATCTGGCCCATTCCGCGGCCAGACAGCTTTTAAGCATAAGAAGTGCTGCCTTGCTGACATTGTATGCGGCCTGAGGTTGAGGAAAGTTGACACGGTGGGCTGAGATGGAGGCTACAAACGTGATCGAGGAGCCGCGCTTGCCATTCTTTACCATTTGTCGCGCCCCCGCTTGTGCGCATATGAAGCAGCCCGTAGTGTTGATGTCGATGATTCTTCTCCACTGCGACACTGGCATGTCAATCGTTTCGATGCATCCAACCACTCCAACAAAGCACACAACGTGATCGACCGAGCCAAGCTCCTCTACGGTCTTCTCCATGGCCTGGTTGACGGCCTCCTCATCTGTGACATTGACGGCTATTGCGCTAATTTTGGCTTGAGGAAACCTGCTGCGCAGCCGCAACATGTCCTCTTGACAGCCTTTCAGGTTCGTGTCGAATATCATGAGACCTTCAAGGCCATGGTCAAGCAGCGCTTCGCAAGACGCAAGCCCAAGCGTCCCAGCCCCTCCAGTGACGACTGCATTTCCCTTGACGGAGAATCTTGTCTTAGCTGCCACTGTCGGATCGGTGTTGTTCTCGACTTTCGGTGGTGGTGTCATCGAGCTGACGCTTCCGTCGCTGAAGACCATCGAGGGAATGGCACGAGCCTTGAGGGCTTCGCGCGCCGCAAGTTCGGCTGATGGCGCCATTCTGATGCCAGATAAAGTCTTGGGGTTTCCGAGTATGATCGGTGGCAGGAAGCGCTCGCATGAGAAAATAAAGAAATAAGATGACGATTGGCTGGACGTCCTCGTTGAAGCCAGGCGAAGAATACACCACGAACTTTGAAGTCACAGCGACTGCGGAGGCTGTATAAGCTTGGCAGAAAGAGATGGCCTTTTGAAGAGGTAGTAGCCATGAGCGACTGGTCATTAATCGGAGCTGTGTCTTCCGATCTCTGCCGCATTCTGGAAATTTGCGCCCATCTTCAGGGTTGGCTTGCCAATCCCAGACTCGCAGGGCCGGGGCCGGTCAACCGTGTTCGATGTTATCGGTGTGGAGTGCTCCGATGGTCTGGTGTCCACCGGCCGCTTCGGCACTGACGTTCGGCGTGGACTTCATCGGGCATGATGTCGGTCAATCAAACGCCGAAGGGTCTTTAACCAGTATGGGTTAGTCTTATGGCCGAGAACAAGAATCACTCTCAAATGGTGCTTAAAAAGGATTCCCTCTTTTGCCATCATCACGAAGTGCACATACAGTGAGCATCTTTATAGTTGACTCTGGCGTCCTCCGAAATGACCGATGTGTGTGAGCCCACCGAACGGTCCCTCTGCTATGACTGACAGGCTCCAGTCAAATTTGTCGTGCGTGCTGCTAGGGCCGGGAAAAGTACGTTTTGAACGTCGCCCGACCCCGCAAATCGTCGACCCTCATGATGTTCTGGTGCAAATTGGTTATGTTGGGGTTTGCGGAAGCGATGTAAGTTCTCTACTTCTTTTGACAACTTCCGCTGACGTCCAAGGTTCATTTCTGGATGCATGGGGGGATCACGAGGAAAGTCTCCGAAGAAAGTCCCCTTGTCATGGGCCACGAGGCGTCCGGGACAGTTCATTCCGTTGGATCGGCTGTGACCAGGCTCAAACCTGGAGATCGCGTCGCGATTGAGCCTGGCATTCCATGTCGACGATGCAACAGATGCAAAAGCGGAAAGTACAACTTGTGCCCTCGCATGCGCTTTGCGGCCGACCTGCCCAAGACCGACGGAACTTTGTGCCACTTGTTCAAAGTTCCTGAAGACTTTGCCTATAAAATCCCGGATAGTCTCAGTCTACAAGAGGCAGTTCTCGTCGAACCGCTGAGTGTCGCCGTCCATGGCGTTCGCCTGGCGGATCTAAAGGCCGGTCAGACTGTGTTGGTGCAAGGCTCGGGAACAATTGGTCTCCTTGCTGCGGCCACTGCCAAGGCATATGGAGCAAAAGCCGTTTTTATTGCTGATATCAACGAAACAAAGCTTGGCTTTGCAAAATCCTTCGGATATGTCGCCTTCGTTTCGGACACATCTTCGACGCCATTTGAAGACGCTGAGAGGTTCAAGAAGGAGGCTTGTCTTGAAGATGGCGTAGACATCGTGCTCGAATGCACCGGCGTGGAGTCATCTGCACAGACTGGCATTTATGCATCCGCCCCCGGTGGTACGATGGTACAAATTGGGATGGGGAAGTTCAATCAATCCTTGCCGCTGGGAGCCATGTGCGAGAAAGAAACCGTGCTGAAGACAGCCTTCAGATATGGCCCTGGGGATTATGACATTGCACTTGAGCTCTTGGTCTCCGGTAAAGTTTCTGTCAAAGCAATGATCAGCAGCATTGTTCCTTTCGAGGACGCGCCGAAGGCATGGGAGAGGACCAGAAAGGGGGAGGGTATCAAAAACTTGATCGAGGGAGTCCATGTGTAGACAGATTTAGCCTTCAATGTTCGGTATCACTACCATCAAGGCGTCCAAGGCGTTGGATCAACACAGTCAGGTCCAACATGCGATAGCAGCGGCCTCTCTCTGCAACCAATGATGCTGACCGTGATGACTTCCAGCCGCTTGTTCTCGGGGTATTCTGAAGCCTCAACATTCCTCTTTGGAAATTTAAGTAGCCCAGTCATTGAGTAGGAAGTCGAGAGGCATATCCATAAAATCTTGAGACACCTGGCTCATGAGGATCCGCAAGTCTGGATCGCCGACATGCTCGGGGACAGACTCTTGGCCTCCGCCGTGAAACGCGAAGCCATTCTCGCTCTGTGGGCCTTCGTAGTACGGTTGTGGATGCTCAATGTCGCCTCCAGGGGCTGTTGATGCATCGCTGTCCGGAACTCCAACGTTATCGCGGGTATTGCCTCCCTCCAAGCCAGCCGAAGGAAGGGTTGGGAGCCGGCTCTTGATATCGTTGAGCGATTTCAGGCAACGGCTTGCTGCCCTACTTGTCGTCGCCAATTTCTGCAAACAGGATTGAGCTTTGGTCACCGAGTATTCGTGTGCCCATGGGAGCTCCGTTCGCCCCGATGCCTCGGCTTGGCCATTATTGGCGAGGTTATGCGCCAAAAGTACAAGGGCCGCCTGAAACATGAAATATGTAGCGTACCAAGCGAGGCCTTGATGTAGTGCAGACGCGTAGGACGTGCAAAACTCATCGATATCGTGGATAGTCTGCATCGCAATATGGAGACACTTCTCTTCTGCGTCCTCGGACGTGGGAAGGAAGCTATGGCACTTCTGAGCCCCACGCCAAAGCAAGATGCGAAGGTTCTGCTCTTTCCAAAGAACGACAGCGCGAGGTGCCCGGAACCAGAGAGGAACATCTGTGGCGATAAAATAATTTGGCAGATTATGGCGCCAGACATTGAGGTCTCTCTCCCGAGTCTCAGCTAGTCGATACTCAATTTTAGTACCCGCTAATTTGGCTTGAAGAAACTCCGCGTAGATTGCATCAGCGATTCTTGCTAGCTGCGCTTGAGCAATGATGGCAGAGTATGTCGTGGGATGATAGGTAGCTGCGGGGGCCGATGCGCTGGGCGGAAGTCCCTATCAAGGTTTATCAGCAAGCTTGGAACAAGCACAGGGACTACTGGAAATCTGATGTACCTTGTCATCGATATTGCATGGAAATCGAGCATCAACGAAATCACCGAGCATTGTCGGGGGTCGACCTGTGGTAATGTTGAAACCGCTCTCGAAGCAATACGTCGTCCAGAATAATTGACGACGCCGCTCGTGGCCGATAGTACCGTCCGTCCCTGAAAGTTCTCGGTGTAAACCCAGCTCCAGGGCCATTCTGCATGCCAACCCAATATAGTTGTAACCTGTGTTTGTGCGATCTCTCTTCTGGAGGTAGTTGCCGATGAGCAGAAACGCTTGCAGGGTCTCTATTGTTCCAGATTCGAGCATTTGAATAGACAGGTTGGCTCTCGCAGCCGCATAGTACTGGGTGTAAGAGTGCTCCGTCTCGCTATTTGTAAGCCAGTGCCCGATGCTCAAGACCATGTAATACACCACCCGCCATGGCGATCGTGTCGGTGCATGTTGTTGGCCGGTATTCATCCGATCTCTGAACGTTTTTTCGTGTATGATAGGGTAGCAGGTGTTGTAAAGATTGAAGTATGCATCAACAAGACATGCAGTGACATGCGACTGCTGCAAATCCGGCGGTTCGGGAGGTAAAAGCTCAGCCGAGGGCGTAGATCGACTACGTCCGTGCTGGGCGCTCGTGTATGCTTTTCTTGTCCCGCTGGATATTACTGTATCAATCTCCTCCAGAAGCTGCGAGCCAGAGCTGCTACCTGCGTCGCGTTGTAAGACCGGAATTACATTCGCGCAGTTTAGATGAGATGCATCAAACTTACCTAAATAGCCAGCATCTCTTGTGGCAAGCGCCGCCATTCCGTCAGTAGCAGTGGATAGGCCATGCTCTGCAGAGCCAACTCCAGGCGACAAGGACCCCTCATGCCACTCATACCGGTTGGGCGGGGACGCATCCAGTTCGCCGTCATCTGGCTCATGAGAGCTTGCCGCGGCTGATGCCGCGCCGGCATGCTGCTTCAGTGCCGACTCGATGTCTATGTCCGGGTTAAGTGACCGCAGAAGCGACCGGAGCTGTGCGCAACGGTATTCAGCAGCGTCCAGGTTTCGCCTGGTCAAGGGTGTTCGGTCGGGAGGCGAGTCAAAGCTACACAACTTGCCCGCCCTGGAGCAATACGAACAGGGCCCATTCCCGGTGTTGCTCCGCAGGCACCTGGTTTTTCTCCTCTGGCAATTGAGGCATGCGCGCATGGCGTTCATGCAGATATATGGAGGAAGTGGAGGATCTTCCGTCGGCGATAACGGCGAGCGCGGAATGCGGCGGGAAACATCAACTTGATCGAGTGATGTTGCAGAGTGGATCAATCACAGGTGGCGAACCGGGAAGTTGTACCAGCAGGAAAATTGTGGGTCAGCGGAGCACAGTCAACCTCAACTGGAACCCTGGAACGTTGACCTGCATAGACTGGAAGGACCCAAGAACAGAGCTCCGCCACAATGCACGTGCCACACTTACATCTGCTCTCACCGGCACGCGACAACCCAACTACCAGCTGCCTTCCAACTTGCTCCAATCAGTACCACGAATCGGGACCAAAGTAGCCCCTCTCAGGCAGGTCCTGAAGGAGGGCATTCCGCCCAGCGCCGCCATCGATAGTTTTGCCGTTGACGTCATTCCCCCACCAGTGGAGTTCTTTGGGGTAATACTGGACGGCGAAGAACATGATGATGGCAGAAAAAGCCAGCCCGCCCGTGAAAGCTGCCGATAGAAGATAGGTATACTTCTCCCACCACGCTGTCTTGTTCCTTTTCAGGTAGTACATGAAGAAACAAGATAGATAGAAAGCACCGGTGACGTAGGAGAGATTCAGCGGCGCCCAGACCAGGAATCCACTTAGAAAGATCGACGGGTGGACGGGCTTGAGCCACGAGATGGGAGTAAAGACGGTGGTGTTGCACAAACGGAACATGGGTGCCGGCAATGAGTCCATGCATAGTCGGCGGAAATGCGGCCCAAAGTTCTTGACAGTCCACCATACCACGGCAAGGAGAAACCCTAACAAGAAGCCATACTTCATAGCGGGGTACATCTGCGAAAACGTTCGCTGCGGCCCGATGGCGCCCTGTGCCGACATTAGTATGGGACAAACGTTGGGCATTCACGACGTACCCAGACTATGGATGATGAGAAGTATATGACGGAGCCACTTGTACAAGTGAACTTGGACGCCTGAGTCGGGGTGCATATCCCTGGGAGGGTATCCACGAATTGTACCACGACGTAGCAGACGATTGCCGCGATGATGGAACTCATCAGTTGGCCACGATACATGGCACGGGGAGGTATCTGCGCGTAAAGGCCCATCTTCTGATCTGAAATGTAGTTGTCCGCTTGAGTCCCGATGATGTAGCCGAACGCCTTAACAAACATCATAGCCTCGGGATGCCCAGGCAGCGCATAGCCAACTATCAGTTCAGAGGGAACGTTGAGGCCCATGGGACTGCCTGATATAGCGTAAAGGTATGCCAACGGAATAAGGAAGACAAGGTTGAGCCCGATCACGAAAAAGATTGTCCACACTGGTGTCTGGAGTTGAGGCCAGTTGCACAAAACGACGATGCCAAATACGAAGGCACAAAGGGTAATGACGAAAAACCACCAGTCGGGAACCTCTGGATATTGTCGCATCATTTTGGTGAAGGGATCATCAAAACCGTCGTAGACGGAGCCGTCGTCGCTAAAAATTTCGCATAGTTCCCGACCAGCCTCTTGAAATCGGCCACTTAGAGCTGCTGATGTGGCATTTTTGACTCCAATGAGTGTTTTCTTCACCGATGACATGGCTGTCTTAGCCATAGTTAGGAATGTCTTGAGGAATGGCCGCCAGAGGTCGAGCGTGATAAACACCAACGTAAGTGGGAAGAACGCGAATTGGGATGTGTATCCGACAACGCTGGCAGCAGAATAAAACACCGGAGAGTAGGCTTTATACTTCTCCTCAATCAGAACGCCATTTTCGATCACCTTTGTAATGTTGTATCGTTTTCCGGTATTGTCGAATATTGCTGACGAGTTGGGGGGGAGGTAACCGGTCCACCTAACATTGGTGTAATAAACACCCATGATGATGAATCCGCAGAGAAGAAACCCCAAGCAGAATTGCAGGGTTGCAAAAAAAGGATATACCAGGGGCTGATTAGTCACTGTAATTACACTCCAGTCGAAAGATGCGATGGGGTTGATGCCGAACCCGAGTTGTGAGCCGGTTATGATGTTCAAGTGAAAATTGTTCGGCGCAATCCATGTTATCCAGGCAAAGGTACTTAGTGCGGTAAATAGGTAGCCCGGAACCCAGAACCAGACAAACATGGCGACAAAAGCAAGAAAGAAGAATTTATAGCGTGAAATGCTCCATCCGTTGATCGTTTCTCGCTTTTCTGGCACTAGAAGTGCCCGATTTAATGCCACTGTCGGTAGGATACTCGGCCACAATGCTTCCACAGGATAGACGACGAATCGACGGAGCATGCCCGCAAAGCCGAGGCCCATGAGCTGCGTCGATAGCAGCAGAAGAATTCCGTAACCGGGGGTGAGCCATTTGTCCTTGTAAAAAATGGTTTGGGTCTGGATGTTATAGTAGCAGTACGCCGTATTCAACGCAACATTGGTGATAATGGTAGATAGCATTTGCTCCTTGAATGTCCAAGGCCCGGGGTTGAGCGAGACACGTTGACCACGAAGCATGAAACCCCAGTCTGGTAGCACCTTGGCGAGTAACAATCCGCACGGATACAAAAACAGTTGTGTGACGGCTGAGGAGATGGTGATTGAGGGGAAACGAGACGCGAAGAGTGCATTGCTGAACTGACCGATAGCGGCCCAGGCGAGTCCTAGGAAGTGTGCACGTATTGTTTCGCAGGGTATGTTGACATCGTCCGTTGGAGTAGAAACGGCTCGCACCTCTGGATATGGCGAAAAGAATCTGTTTACCGCAGTTTCTGTTTTCAACTGCAACTCCCAGTCTTCCGTGCTTTGCCCATCGGCAGGACCTCGCGCCAGAGCCGTCAGCCTTTCTCGCAGTTGCCCCGAGAAATTGTAGTCATTCGAGTGATCCTCCACCATCTTCGCAATAATGCCCTTGCACTCTTCTACCGTGAGAAGCTGAACTTTATCTAGGACGTACTGAACGTCATCAACTGGGGGTACCTGTCGAGCATTGTCCCCCAGCTTCTCCATGATGTCTTGCAGCATGGCATCGGCACCGCCTTCCGTCGTCGTCGGGCCAACCTTTTCATTCGTCGCGTCGGCAGGTTTCATGTTCGTGGAGTCTTGCGTGTCATGTCTATGAGAGGCCATCATGCCCTGCTCAGGCGAGCTACAGCATCCGCCTTCCACTGAGTACGAATACGCCAAAGAAGAGTGAGCTGGTGGCAGACCCCGACGCCGTTCGGGCCGCAAGCACCTATTAATGTCTACAGAGGTCACACGAGGCCTTCGGGCAGTTACAGGCCGAGTACACACCCCGTAGCACGAGGGTAGTTCCACGAGCAGAATTGCCTTGTTCGCGTACGTGTGCCACGTGTTGCATGTGCAACCATCTATCACTACCGAGACACTTAGTAAGGACTCGAGTTTGTGTAGACCAGCCAACACCTTCCCTTTTAGCGGCCGGTCTCGGAGTCGAGGCCCAATGGTTTGCTTGATGATATTCGTTATGGGCCTATCAGCTCTCCGGGCGGATCCAGATCACGGCACATTGACACGGGCAACAACTTCGACGTTGGACAGCCAAAAACGGACCAATGCGTTGATACTGCTCTGCTCGCGTGACATGACAGCATTGCTGGCACGTGGCGGTATCTCTATAAACGCTGACTCAGTCCGTTGACCAAGAATCCACCTACAGCTGCAGTATGTGGTCACTGTTATGACGCATAAGGAAATATAGTATGGTGAATTCGAGATCTGACACCAGCCGGCGAACATGCTCCAGTATATGGAACATCAGTCTGAACTGGGGCGATGCTCAATGAGTTAGCTCCGCCATCCAATAACGACTCTTCCCTTGTCTACTCTATAGACATCCGCTACCCTAGTCGACCTGCATTGGCTCGCAATTTGTGCGTCATAAGCAACCCCAGCCGTTGCTGTCATTGCTTTCATCCCTCCGAAGACGAGCTTAAATTCAGTTGCATACACAGGCTTGGACAGGGAGCTGCAGCGCTTTACGCTCCCACGGAGATAGCTTCGAGGACGATCGTAAATCTAAGTATTACAAGCGGGCTTCGAGTTTAGGCACCAGAATTGGCTAGGGTGGCTGGACTGACATGGCCCAGTGGCGCTCAGCAATGACGCAGATCTTGTCGGCATATGCTAGGCTTGACCATCCGCGTATCCGCGCGATTCTAAAAGCTGACTTGCCTCAGTAGTGCCTCAGTAGTGCTACGAGAGTGGGATCCATCCCAACAAAGCTAACACTGACAAATCCGGAAACATGTAGCGCCATAATTGTGCAGCGACGTCACGTCCCGGCAATGATGTATATAGCTGACATGCTCTTGCTCTCCATTGAGGTGTCCGATTTCCTTTGCACGACCTAACGTCACTTTGCGTTTACGCATAAACATCAAGTGCTTGCTTTAAACCGCTATTGAGACAATGGCTCCTCCACGCACACACTTATCGCTCTTGCAGGACCGTGCCCGTACACATGGATCTCTTCGGGCACTCCATGTGGCCGAGCAAGGACCTGACAGTCGAGTCTGGAAAGAAGTTACATACTCGCAATTGCTGAGCGATGTTGAGATGGCTGCCCGTTTTTGGGCTCAAGAATTTGCCTCAAAAGGGTTGCAGGCAGGATCTACAATCGGCGTTTGGTGAGTGTCTTGTACGCACCTTGCCTTTGCTTCGTCTCTGATACAGTCTGCCCAGGTTGAAAGGGTTCTCATATCTGGATCTTATTCACCTGTGGGGCATCTCCAGAGCCGGTTACGTTCCTCAACCTATATCCCTTCGAATGGCAGATCCCAAGATTTTGCTCGACTTGTTTGCTCGCTCGGAAGCAGTGGGGCTAGTCGTTGACCCAAGCTGTGCATCGAGCATCGCAAATAGCGGACTGATAACATTCGTGGCGAGCGATATATTCCAGCTTGATACCGACAACCTCCCACTCCCGGAATGGTGCGCACCGTCCGGACCTGATGACATTATAATGCTGTTCCATACTTCTGGATCCACATCCGGCAAGCCAAAACTCGTGCCCGCAACCGCGGGATGGCTTGATGCTTCTGTGAAGAAAGCCATGGACTTCCTGACTAAGCCAACACACGGTCTGCGTTCACAAAGACAGGCAGCGGTAGTTGCTGCGTAGGTGCTCTATCCTGCTACAGAGACTTACAACTGACAGCTTGGCAGTGGCAGTTTCTGTCACGTTGCAACGACGCTGATGTTCCTCACCTTCATCAATGACGGAGGTTGTCTCATCTTGCCAAATGCAATCCCGTATACGTCCGTCGAGCTGAGGGAGATGGTTACTCAATGCGGGCTGACGACACTGAACATGTTTTCGGGCTTCCTGTCCAATCTTTTCAGGGAGGCTCGTCAAGATGAATCCCTCCTCGCTTGCCTGAAGGACTTTGAGCATGTGGTGTATAGCGGGCTACCTTTGGACACAAAGGATGAGCTGTGGGCTTTGGAGCAAGGTATAAGCATCGTCAATGTGTTTGCTTCCACCGAAGTCGGCATCATGCTTCGCTCAACAGCGCCAAATGGGACGCACACTGTGCCGCCTTTGGAACCATTCCCAGGCACAGCCTACGAGTTCAGACCTGTGGCAGACGGCTTGAGTGCAGATGGGAGCCTATTCGAGCTTGTTGTTACGGCAAAATCAGCCGATTGCCCTCATCCATCACTACGGGATTGCAGCACCGGCGACTTCTACACGGGTGACCTGTTCACCAGGTGCAAACCCAGAGGACACCTGGCAGCCGGCCGAATGGATGACTGGATCAAACTGGAGTCGGCATTCCGATGCGACACACGGTCCATGGAACAGAAGGTCATGGAAACTTGCGGCGACGACTTGGTTGGACTTGCTGTTGTGATTGGAACAGGACGGGCACTTCCAGCGTTGGTAGTCGAGCCAAGGGAAGAATCTAAGCTTCCCGCTGAAGACTTGAAAACGGAACTACTGAACAGAATCAGCCAGTTCCAGTCCCAGAGATATATTCATGAGCGAGTCGTTTCTCCGAAGCGTGTGCTAGTAGTGCCACGAAATGGAGTCCCACGCGTCATGACGGCAAAAGGCACACTACGGCGGCAAGACGTAGAGATGGCTTTCAAGGACGCGTTGGATCGTATCGACATCCCCGCAAATGAGGACTCATAGACACCAATGCACTTTGTTATGGGAACACCAACCTTTTGGAAGAAACTTGAGTAAATTACATCATGTATCTGCTAGCAATGGCTGCAACGCGGGCCACAAGATGCTCTGGGGTGAGTTGGCGTTGATGAGTGATTGTCATCCACCACCTACACCTGTCACCTCAAAGTGTACTTCGCAAGATGCCTCTACAAGCACGTTCTTGGGGACGTACTGAAGCGTAGTCTCCTCTCCATTCCCACCGCTAGCCCCGCCGACCCGGTTCCCGGCTGCCACCCCGAATAATCCCGTGCTAGACATCGGGTTGGCCTGGAGCTCACTGATCTTGCGCGGCCGTACAAACTCCTTGCCCATGGCCCGAGCATACCACGTTGCCTTGCAAAGTGCGTCCGCATATGCTTTTGTCGTGGCATCTTCCCGCAATTGCTGTAGCGTCTCGTCGCTTAGCGTCCAACGCACGTCGTGCACACTGGCAAGTGGCATCTTCACCACGCTGGATGTGAATTCGCCCAACTTCAGGAAGTCTCGAAACGTGGCGGAGATGGTCACGCTGGCTTCATGAATGGTTTTGCGCGTCGTCGCTTCATGTTGTCCCGGCAGCGGCGGTTGTGGCGCGGAAAACAGCCCTCCGTGCCCAAAGCGGAGGGAATTTTCGTTTTGGAAATACGATCGTGTAGACATAGAGCCCGAAGACCAGTCCTTGACAGCCGCTTCGGCGACGGTTGGCGAAGTGTGGTTGCTTGCGGACTGCGGCGACGCTAGGACGCGGATTACTGCCTGGATGTTTTGGACCGCTGCGCTCACCGCATCTGAAGCTGCAACGAGATCCTCGTCAGCGCATCGTAAGAGAACAGTCACAATGGCAAGTTCCGGCTGCCTATCAACTTTGCCGTGGCCAAGCACGACGACATCGACAGCAGCCATCGCAATCTATGCAGGAACCTTGTTCTGGACACTGCGCACGGCAGATTTAGCGCTCTCAGTTGTTGTTCGTGAATGAACGACGGAAGGGTGGGTCACCGCTGAAATATTGCACAGACACCAGACGACCGAACTGTGGCTGCAAGGCACAGAGGCAGGTGAACCGCGAGGCACCAAAGTCTATCTCTGTATCCGAATTTTGCATACTTTACCCCGCAGTCGTCTTAATTGCACATTTTGGTGTCTCTTTGTCGCATTTGCGCTGGGGGCATCGCAAAGAGCCTCTTGGGAACGAACAGGGACCGTATCACCCTGTACACTGCTGTGCTGCTTGCAAATACTCCGTGCACTTTTCCATGAGTGTCGCATTGCATCTTTCCTCGATAAGAATCCCGATCTACATACACGGCGGCCACGAAAAGCACGCGAGGCACGGAAGGCACGAGAGGCACGAGCTACAAGCCTACCATAAAGTCGTCTCCGTCTCTTGAAACCGTCTCCCTTACTCGTATCGCCCTTCTGGTCAGTAAACAGTTCCTGTGGCTGTTTCAACCTAATATCGCCAGCAGCTCACAGATACTGGACTTCAAAAAGACTTTTTGCGAGCGGATCGCGGATAAGCAGTGCACTTCTGGCCGCCGTGACTGTCCAAATGGCTTCGCCGTCGTGGCACGATCGGCGTCTGGATGAACTCATGACCCAATATGGAGCAGTACCTCCCCCTTGGTTCGAATACCCAGACACTCATCCATATGACATTGTGTGGCGGATGGGCGACGGCGAGTCTTATATAGAGCTATTTTACACATGGTGGAATCTTGAAAAGGAGGTTTGGGTTGAAGTGCGACGAATTGAGTACTTTCGTCGCTGGCCCCCTCCCCCTCGATGGTTGAAGCACATGATCGACTGTGTTTGGGACATTCGGCATGACACGTTCGAGGATGAAGAGCTGTTCGATTATAAACCCTACTTTGCCCGCACGAGTGAGCTAGGGTTTGGATCGTTGGACGATTATGAACGAGACCTCGCAGAGTTTGGGCAAGAAGATGCATAACCACATGTGACTTTCTGGCTCCGTCACTCAATTGCTGCGTGCCAAAGACAAGTTGCTTTGACCTTCCCCGCTCTATGGAGATAAACAACGATCCTCTATGCCTCAGCTTGTCTTCAGAAGTCCTCATGTTGCCTATATTGCGAGGTAGTGTGGTATGGTACGTGGTCTCATATCCCGTTCTGGCGACGAGAGGCATCTTGGACCAGTGCGCACGGCAAGGCCAAAGGTAATACCAACAAGACTGTGTCTTCTCTATTATCTCGCCGTCGATCGGGATATGGGTCGGTCATGATGCCACAAGGTCGGCGCAATATGAAGTCTTCCTCCGACGCACTTCGCCTATGAAGACAATTGCCTTTTGGCATCTGGACTGCTGGACTGCCCAGGTGCTGGATGGGGATCCTGGCCAATCGAGGGGCATTCAACTGTCCATTTTCACGGGTCCGCTGCGACTTAGTGCTTATTCGCACAGGTGGCAGTGAAGACCGATCAATGCTGCTGGCCTGTCGTGGCAAGAATACGAGGCAGCCAAGGACGCAAGGGAGGATGTTGGATGGGAGCCAAGGAAGGCCAGAAAACGAACCGACGCACAGCGACTGGCAAGGCTGCGTCCGCCCGAATGTCGACTCAAGCCGCGAACACGCGTATCTTGTCCAGATTCGGTGTCCGGCTTGCCCGGCTCGATTCGAAAACAAGCAGGTGAGATGTGGCGACGGCGACGGCGACCGACCAGTAACTCGTCCTGCGGGGTTTCCACCTTGGATCGGCCGGCGCTGCAAGACAGGCGCTAGAACCCCCCGGCCCCTCCAGGCGCACATGCGGGCTGGCGGGTTGTCCGGGAAAGCCGCTCAGTGAGCCGTCGCCACGAGAGGTAACGGCGCCCCGTCTAAGCCCGACAGGTCCGTCGCGTCCGTATGCCGCTGACGCAAACAGGTGCTCTGGCGTGCATCTACGGGAGCTGCCAGGAACTTCTTCACTCGTCGACGCAACAATCGCAGTCGGTAAAGAAGCTCGTCCGGGGACGCGTTCCTGACGAATGTGGCCGGTGACTTGGACTGTCCGAGAACGCGCAAGACGCGTGGCCGGGCAGCACTAAACAGGGTCGCTCCAAGGAAATGCGGCCAATCGGCCTCTGTTTCGCTCGGCCCACGCCAAAAATGCACAAGCGGGTGGTGGCTGGCCGAAGGCGCCGAGCGCGCCGCCCGCGCCGTCTGACAGGGGCTGCTCACAGGGGCACGGTCGCTGTCAGCTTTCCTGCCACGGAGAGCCGCCCCTGACACAATCCCTCCATCGAGTTGGACATGTTGGTAATACAGCTGGCATGAAATATGCGCTGCGCATTTCTTGTCCCTTTGGTCTGAGGAGTTGAGCGAGAAGCGCGGGCTCAGCGGTCGGTTCTCAACCGGCAGGTTGCGTGACAGGATTGAACGCTTTCCCCAAGCTGGACCTGCCCCTGACAGTTGCATGTTGCACAGCCACGCTCTTTCTTCGGTGTCTGCCGTTTCCAGCTGTGCGGATGTGACTGGCAAGCTGACTTCTGACGCGGCTCATCTGTCGACCACTGGGTTTCCGCAGCTTGAGCCACGCCTGCCACTTGTTCGCTGCATTGTCTCGCGACCAAGTCCCTGCCGCCAATCCCAGAGCCCAGGGCGACGAACTCCAAGCAAGTGCCTACAGGTGGGTCGCAACACAGGCGAGAGCAATATATGCCTGTTACGGCTTGCCCGCTGGCGGCAATCATCATAAATGTAAAGTGAGCTGCTCGGGCCCGCGTGGTCATGAGGGGCACGCTGTCTGGGTTCTGTTCTCGGGCCTCTTGAACGGACCCTCGTCTGCTCAATCGTGGGCCACCAATAAGTATAGACGCACTCATCTTGACTGGCGAGCGTGGCAGCCAGTCTACAATTCGCGAATTGCCCCTTGAAAGAGCTCAGAGGGCTCAAGAATCTGGTGCTCTCGTCCCGGGTTGGCTCCGGAATTCCATGCCAAGTGTCTCCGCTAATGCAGGAACGAGTTTTCAAGCCGCCATCTGCTCCGCAGGCTTGCTCCGCCCCTCACTCGGGCTGAGCTAGGGAATCGCAGCAGCAGGAATCTAGGATGTGGTGACGAACAAAGCGGCACACTGAATACGAGATTGCCAAGGACAGTTCGACTCGGGCATATGATGTAACTAGTCTGTCGATTGGGGGCTGTTATTTGCGGGCACGGATGCCTCCCTGCGATACACCCGAGGGATCGGAGCAAGGCGGCGCACCAAACCGCTTATCGCCCTATCCTTCTTCGCACCCGTCGACTGCCTGCCGGCCTCCCACCCACCTACATCCTCCCAGTCATCTTCAATTCACTGCGGTTCAAGGGCGCGTTGAAGGCGTGGTGAATCGTGTGTCCAAACACCACGGCGCATTCGCTCTCTGCTCATGCTACCTTGGCCAAACGCCAGGTGCGGTTCTATTGCGGCTTTCTAGCCCTCCGGTGGGCTCCGAATTGCCCTCGCTGTGCCGCTGGCGGTTGTCGCCGGCACAGTCAGGTTGATCCAGCTGTCGAGCCAGTAACCAGTGAAATCCGCAAACATGTCTGGATATCCTGGTGGCCAGGACGGCTACTATCATGACGACCACGGCCGTCGGGCCGGTGATCATGATCCGCAGTATGACGATGCCCATTACGGCCAGGGGAACAATACTCATGCCCAACACCACGGCTCTGACGGCTACTACGATGAATCGTGAGCGAGCAACCTATGTCAACAGCTTGCTAGCTCATGGCTGACATGTATTTACAGAGGTTACTACAACGCGGAGCCCAGTAACCCATATCATCTCGATGGCGGTTATTACAACACCCACGACCAATGGGAAGCGGATTATGACAACGACCACTACGGCAACAATACGTACGATCAGTACCATGACGAGCCGTACGGTAATCATCGGGGTGCGGGAGACCGCGGGGAAACCTTCAGCGATTTTGCGGAGGGGTATCACGGCCCGGCGGACGACTACTACAGCAGCTATGGAGATGGCGAGCGAGATTACCGACCCTCTTCCGCCTGGGATGGTTATACCGACAACCAATCGTCGCGTCATTCGGCTGGCAGCCACTATGGCCCCGCTCAGCCTCTTGAGCAGCGCTCGCGAGAGCCATACCCTGCGTGGTCGTCCGACGCCAATATCCCGTTGTCAAAGGAGGAAATTGAAGACATCTTCATGGATCTGACCGCCAAGTTCGGGTTTCAGCGCGACAGCATGCGGAACATGTATGATCATTTCATGACACTCCTTGATTCAAGAGCGTCGCGCATGCCCCCAAACCAGGCCCTCCTCACCCTTCACGCTGATTACATCGGCGGGGACAACGCAAACTATCGGAAGTGGTATTTCGCCGCCCAGATGGATCTCGAGAACGTCACCGGATTGTCAAATGCGCAGACCCAGAAGTCACGACGCAAGAACAAGGGAAAGAAGAAGAATAAGAGTGGCGGCGATCCCGAGAACAATCCTGACATTCTCGAGGGGCTCGAAGATGACTATACCCTTGAAGCCTCCGAACAACGATGGCTGGCTCGCATGAACCGCATGTCACAGCACGACCGCGCACGTCAGGTTGCTCTCTATCTCTTGTGCTGGGGTGAAGCAAATCAAGTCCGGTTTATGCCCGAGTGCCTCTGTTTTATCTTCAAGTGCGCGGATGACTACTTCAACTCGCCCGCTTGTCAGGCCAAGGTGGAACCTGAGGACGAATTCGCCTTTCTCAACAACGTTATCACGCCGTTATATCAGTACTGTCGCGACCAGGGTTATGAGATTCTCAACGGCGTTTACGTTCGCCGCGAACGGGATCACAAGAACATCATTGGCTATGACGACTGCAATCAGCTATTTTGGTACCCCGAAGGCATTGATCGTCTTGTTCTTGAAGACAAGACGAAGCTCGTTGACGTACCGCCTGCTGAGCGCTACCTCAAACTGAATCAGGTCAACTGGAAGAAGTCTTTCTTTAAGACTTATAAGGAAACGCGTTCCTGGTTTCACCTTCTCGTCAACTTCAATCGCATTTGGATCATTCACATTACAATGTTCTGGTTCTACACTGCGCACAACGCCCCAACTTTACTGCTCGGGTCAAAATACGAACAGCAGGTTGATAATCAGCCGCGAGGGTCTCAGCAATTTGCAATTGTTGGGTTCGGAGGAGGTCTGGCGACTCTCATCCAAATCCTTGCAACGATTGCCGAGTGGACCTATGTTCCGCGCCGATGGGCCGGGGCGCAGCATCTCACGAAACGATTGCTCTTTCTCATCGTCATATTCATCCTCAACGTCGGACCTGGCGTCAAAGTCTTTATGAAACCCACACCTGTCAAGGACGGCGGTGTGGACGTCGACCTCATTGTCGGCATTGTCCACTTCATTATTGCTCTTCTGACGTTTCTCTTCTTCGCCGTCATGCCCCTAGGGGGCCTGTTTGGGAGCTATTTGTCGACCAAGTCGAGGCGCTACGTTGCGAGCCAGACTTTCACCGCGAGTTGGCCGAAGCTTTCCGGGAATGGCATGGCCATGTCCTTTGGACTATGGGTTGCAATCTTTGGCTTGAAGCTAGGGGTCTCATATAAGTCCCTGACGCTTTCGTTCAGAGATGTTATCCGCTACCTCTCCATCTTCCATCCGGTATGCCAAGGCGAGAATATCATTGGCAAATCCCTCTGCGAATACCACCCCGTCATTTTACTGTCTCTCATGGCCCTGACCGATTTATTCTTCTTCTTCCTGGATACCTATCTATTCTACGTTCTCTTCAACACTTTATTTTCGGTTGTGTAACGGGCTGGGCCCGTGTGGGTCTCGGCTCCGCTCTCGACCGGGGATCCACATCGGCTCCGGAGCTCCCTTTAAAAGCTCGTGTTCTGTTCTCGAACTTTCTTCTTTTTCTTCTTCCTTTCTTTTCTCCTCAGCTTTAGGATACTCGTTGCAGTCGCTCAGCTAGTTGTCAATACACTGAGTTGAGACCGTTACAGGTTGCGCGGTCATTTTATGTCGGGTCATCGATCTTGACCCCATGGAGGAACATTTTCTCTCGCTTGCCAAAGAGAATTTACTCCAAAATCCTCGCAACAACGGATATGGAGGTCAAGTATAAGCCCAAGGTTCTAATCTCGCAAATTTGGAACGCGGTCGTTATTTCTATGTACCGCGAGCACCTACTTTCCATCGACCACGTTCAGAAGCTCCTCTATCATCAAGTTCCCTCTGAAGAGGAAGGAAAGCGGACACTACGAGCTCCAACCTTTTTTGTGTCGCAGGAAGACCACTCCTTCAAGACGGAGTTTTTCCCTAGCTACAGCGAAGCTGAGCGCCGAATCTCGTTCTTTGCACATTCGTTATCGACCCCGATTCCAGAGCCTCTCCCGGTAGATAACATGCCAACATTTACTGTTATGATTCCTCACTATAGTGAGAAGATTCTGCTTTCTCTCCGGGAGATTATTAGAGAAGATGAACCTTATTCGCGGGTTACCTTACTGGAATATCTCAAACAGCTACACCCTCACGAGTGGGATTGTTTTGTTACCGACACCAAGATCCTGGCCGACGAAACTGAGCAAGCCAAAGGTGGCTCAGGAGACCAAAGCGAGGCAAAGTCTAAAATCGACGACCTACCGTTTTATTGCATCGGATTCAAGAGCTCGGCTCCTGAGTACGCACTTCGAACGCGCATTTGGGCATCGCTCCGCTCCCAGACCTTATACCGCACTGTCTCCGGATTCATGAACTACAGCCGAGCCATTAAGCTTCTATACCGAGTGGAGAACCCAGAGGTTGTCCAAGCCTTCGGTGGCCGGTCTGATCAACTCGAAAAGGAGCTTGAGCGAATGGCGCGCCGCAAGTTCAAGATCCTCGTCTCGATGCAACGATATTCCAAATTCACCAAGGAAGAGATGGAAAACGCAGAATTCCTCCTCCGTGCGTATCCGGACATGCAAATCGCCTTCCTCGACGAGGAACCGCCCGAAACTGAAGGCGACGAACCCCGCATCTACTCTTCCTTAATCGACGGCTATTGTGAACTCCTCGAGAATGGCATGCGAAAGCCAAAGTTCCGAGTTCAACTCTCTGGAAACCCCGTCCTGGGCGACGGCAAGTCGGACAACCAGAACCACGCCTTGATTTTCTATCGCGGGGAGTATATCCAGCTCATTGATGCCAATCAGGATAATTACTTAGAGGAATGCCTCAAAATTCGCAGTGTCCTTGCCGAATTTGAGGAGATGCGTCCAGACACCGCCTCACCGTATAGTGCCAAGGCGAAGAAAGACGTCAAGTCGCCTGTAGCGATTCTCGGAGCCCGCGAGTATATCTTTTCTGAGAACATTGGCATTCTTGGAGACGTTGCTGCCGGAAAGGAACAAACATTCGGGACCCTTTTTGCACGCACCCTAGCCGAGATTGGCGGCAAGCTCCATTATGGGCATCCGGACTTCCTCCATGGAATATTTATGACAACGCGGGGTGGAGTATCAAAGGCTCAGAAGGGCCTCCATCTCAACGAAGACATTTTTGCCGGCATGAACGCAATCCTTCGCGGAGGACGGATCAAACATTGCGAATACTACCAATGCGGAAAGGGGCGCGACTTAGGCTTTGGATCCATTCTTAACTTTACGACAAAAATCGGAACTGGTATGGGAGAACAAATGCTTTCCCGAGAGTATTACTATCTTGGCACGCAACTTCCCCTCGATCGCTTCCTCTCTTTCTATTACGCCCATGCCGGCTTCCATATTAACAACCTCTTTATTATGGCATCTATTCAGCTCTTCATGCTTACCCTCCTCAACTTTGGTGCATTTAGACACGAAACAATCTCTTGCGACTATAACCGGGACAAACCTATCACAGATCCTCTAACGCCAACTGGTTGCGCGAATACCGATGCCCTCATGGATTGGGTCTGGCGCTGCGTCATTTCCATTTTTGTGGTGTTTTTTATCTCGTTTATCCCCTTGGTCGTGCAAGAAATGTCAGAACGAGGGGTTTGGCGTGGAGCGGTCCGCTTTCTTAAGCAGCTCTTTTCGTTGTCCCCCTTTTTCGAGGTATTTGTCTGTCAGATTTACTCAGATTCGGTGCAGCAAAACCTGGCGTTCGGCGGCGCACGGTACATCGGCACAGGGCGTGGCTTCGCTACCGCTCGAATCCCATTCGGAGTTTTATACTCGCGGTTCGCTGGACAATCCATTTACTTCGGAGCAAGGCTACTACTAATGCTCTTATTCGCCACTGTTACGGTTTGGCAAGCAGCCTTGGTGTACTTCTGGATTACTTTGATGGGGCTCACAGTTTCTCCCTTTCTCTTTAACCCGCACCAATTCGCATGGAACGACTTCTTTATCGATTATCGCGAATTTCTTCGCTGGCTTTCTCGTGGAAATTCCAGGAGCCACGGGTCTTCATGGATTGCTTTTTGTCGCCTATCGAGGACGAAAACCACCGGATACAAACGCAAACAACTAGGTCAGGCTTCATCAAAAACGGGAGCAGATGTTCCACGAGCGGCTATGGCGAACATCATCTTTAGCGAGATCTTTGAGCCGCTCTTCCAGGTTGTATGGACACTCATACCGTATCTCTACATCAACGCACAGACAGGCGTGGAAAGGAGGAACAACCCGAACGTCAAGAACATCCACGCCACGGACTCCCTCATTCGAGTTTTGGTTGTGGCTCTGGCCCCAGTGGGCGTCAACGCTGCGGTCCTCTTTGCCATGTTTGGCATGGCATGCTGCATGGGGCCTGTTTTGAGCATGTGCTGCAAAAAGGTCGGTAGTGTTTTAGCAGCTATTGCGCACGGCGCCGCTGTTATCTTTGCAATCATCTTCTTCGAAGCCATGTTCCTTCTGGAAGGCTTCAACTTTGCGCGCACACTTGCCGGCATGGTTGCGGCAATCGCCATTCAGAGGTTCATCTTCAAGCTCATCGTCAGCCTGGCCCTTACAAGGGAAATGAAGACGGACGAGTCAAATATTGCGTTCTGGAACGGCAAGTGGTATTCAATGGGCTGGCACTCGATGTCCCAGCCAGCACGAGAGCTGCTTTGCAAAATTACAGAGCTGAGCATGTTTGCGGCCGACTTTATTCTGGGCCACTGGCTTCTGTTTCTGATGATGCCCATTGTTGTGGTGCCACAAATCGACAAACTTCATTCAGTAATGTTGTTTTGGCTGCGGCCAAGGTATGTCACACTTGACTCCGTTCCTCAGTGACGTGATCCATTGACTGACTTGCTCAGCCGACAAATTCGGCCGCCTATCTACTCGCAGAAGCAGTCGAAGCTCAGAAGACGGCGCGTGATTCGCTTCGCCTGTCTTTACTTTGCAATGCTGGCCCTGTTCGTTGGCTTGCTGGTAGGACCGGTTATTGCAGGCAAAAAGATGCCTCCGGACACACTGAATAGTCTCGGAAACTCAGTGTCCCTAGGAGGCAAGCTCTATCTGTTGCAACCCAACCTGGATAAAGACAACACGAACGGCACCACGCAGACCGGAACAGGGCGAGACGGTTATACCGGCGCGTATACGCCTTCCACAGCAACTACGGCAGCAGCGTCGGCTACTGATGCATAAAGCAATGTCCAGCGTCGCTAGAAGATTCTACATGATGCAAGCTTCGAAACATTTCATGGGAAAAGGGCGTTTTAAAAAGAGCTAGTGGTTTGAGTGTAGTTGTAGTATAGACAGTCCGCTCTGTGTCATGGGATGCTGGTCGTTCTATACGTGGTAGTACAAGGCAGCAGTCGTCATCAAACCCCTGCACACATCGACGACTCTGAGTGCAAGGATCGAATAGACTAGTTGCTCCAAGAAAACATGAATTGCTGCCGCATTGCTCCTAATCGACATGTTTACCTGGCTCAGTTTTGAAGGGGAGAGAAGGACTGGTATCTAAAAGGCTCTCTAAGAATGCGTCGAAGGTTTTGGTCAACAAAGGGGTCAGACCCAACAAGCTCGATGCCCGATCGTCGTCAGGCTCGAAACCTGTACCTCCAGTCTGCGGACACTGTGCCCGATTACTTGTGGCCAACTTGACGCCTCACTTCGTTCCATATAAACCTCTTCATTTTTCCTCTACTTCTTGTGCTGCCCTCCATTCAACATGTCCGAGGAGCTCGAGACCCAGTTTGGAGCTGCAATCGCGGCAGGCAAGATTCATGGCGCTGTCATCCTCGCCACCGATGCGGCCGGCCGGTTTGTATACAACAATGCTCTGGGCTATAGGGTTCTTCTTTCAGGTGAAGAGAGACCGCAACAATTGGATGACGTCTTATGCCTAGCCACAGCGACTTCACTAATTACTACCATTGCTGCCTTGCAATGCGTGGAGCGCGGACTTGTCACCCTGGATGGTGGTCTGTCGTTGATAGCGCCGGAGCTTGGGGCCCCAGAAGGCCATCATGGGGTATTCTGGCGAAAAGCCAACACTACAACCTCCTGTTGTCGAGATAACGCTTGAGATGCTGCTCACGCACAGTTCTGGCTACGTTTATCATTTCTTGGATCAGTACGTTAGCAGGTGGTACACTGCATCTGCATCTCACAAGAAGAATAACTGTCAAAGAGTGGAACAAGCCTTCAACTACCCCCTCGGCTTCCAGCCAGGCGGTGGTTGGCAGTACGGGCCCGGACTGGGCTGGGCTGGGCGCGTTGTCGAGCGTATCACAGACAGCACGCTTGACGACTATGTGCACGAACACATCTTGAGACCACTCGGCATCATTAAGGCCCAATTTTATCCCGTTACGCGCGATGACCTGCGTGACCACCTCGTCGACCTCAATCCACAGGATCCTCAGTGCTTGGGCAAGGCTGTGCTGGGTGGTGATGGCGCACTGAATAAGTACACCAAAGGGGCATTTGGCGGCCACGGGTTGTCCATGGCCGGGGTGGACTTTGTGAAAGTTTTGCGCTCGTTGCTCGCCAATGACGGAATGCTGCTCAAGCCTTCCACTGTTGACAGCATGTTCCTGGAATATTTACGTCCTTGCGCGGAGTTGAGCCTCCAGAAAGTGCTTTCCGGCGAATTAGGCACCTTCTTCCGTGCAGATCCTGCCGTTGAGATCGGGACCAGCCACGGCTTAGGCGGGCTGTTGACACTAGAGGACATTGCGGGCGGGTATGGAAAGAGCACACTTACCTGGGCGGGCTCCTTGACAATTGCCTGGTTTGTTGATCGTAAGCATGACTTGTGTGGAATAGGTGCTATACAGCCCTCACTGCCCATTCGCGGCAGCGGTACGATTCTCGGCCTGAAGGAGACATTGTACAGGGACATTTACGCCAAGCATAGAGAATGGAAACGATAGCAGGAACTACTGTAGCTTCTCTATTAGATCAATTATGGAAAGCTGCTAATTTGAGTTGCGTTTTTCTTGATGTGGTGTTTCATGAAGAAAAGAAACAAGACGCTCATTTCTATCGAGGTCAAGACATGAACATGAAGCTTTCGGAAGAGTTCCCTCGTTTTTGGCTGTGCCATGCCCTATCCTAGTAGTTCATATCTTCGCTAAGGCCCTTCGTGTATCTCGTGTGACTTTCCATGGATCATGTATCCGGATTGCGTGGCCGTTATGACAGTGACGCCCTCAAGAGCTCTGACCTGATGAGCAGGCCGAGCGACCCACGATGCTCTTCGTCGCAATGCGATTCACCGCCAACCAAGTTGATAAAATGGGGATCTCGGAGGGTCCCCAAGCGCGGTAAAAATGGCAGAACGCACAATTTTCGAGCTGTGCCTGTGGACAGAGGATGGGGGAAGGGAACGCAAGTGGTGCTGTCCTGGTGTAAACGCGCAGGGAGTTTGCTCACGATGGCCGCGACATCCCTGGCTGCATTCATGGACAAGAACCCGCCAATGCTCGGTTTCGCAAGTGGACGCCACCAAAATGGCGCTGCGGACTGGATTTGGGCTCGACCTGCTCCTTCAGCATGGGCCCAAGAATTGTGTTGGCCATTTCCGCCGGAGGGTTGCCGACGCGAATGGTGTGCTGATGGTTCCAGTCTGTAATCCAGGGGCCAGGGCTTCTCTACACGCGCCGACATGGTCCTGGGATCCGGCATGCTCATAGAAGAATCGCCCATCGAGAAACAGCTCGGTGAGTTCCAGCATGACTAGCTTCCCCTGCATTGCTTCCAGCAAGGTAGCGTCGGGTTCTACGTCAATGAGTGTCGGTCCAATGCCTCATCGCAGCAGATCGGCCACAAGTGCAGGCCGGGGCATTCAGATCCTCAGCTTCTTCTGTGCATCGCATAGTTGACTGTGCTGGCCAACCATCTTGGGGGACGTGCCGTACAGCTTGGAGCCAAGAGCAGAGATGCGGAAGTAATATGTCGGAACGCAAGGTGTATCGCCGTACGTCGCAGCCGCGAATCGTGCGAGAGCACCCAGGAGTCCAGGACCTTCTCCGGAGTCGGCCGCAGTCGCTCAGGGCGCTCCCCAGAAGACGTGAAGCAAAAACGCCTGGCCCGCCCTGTACGTCGTGCTAGCCCTTTGCTCGTCCAGGGGGCGCTAAAGCAACATGTGTCCACTGTGAGAGTCCATTTCAGCGATGCCACAGCACGTGCCCCGACGGGCTTGACACGGTGAGGCAAAGAAAGTAGCAAGCGTTGGACGGTTCTTGAGCTGTATAGCCACAAGGGCGTCGTCAGAGCGTAGAATTATATCTCATTACGGCAAGGAAGCACGATGAACATTTAACTGCAAGACGTGTTTGAACGCTTTCATTTCACCTTAATCTACGAAGTAGCAGGGCGCACGGATTGGTCTTCCCGCACTTTACTGACACCACTGTAGCCCGCTGTTTCCAAGCAGCTCCAGGGCTGGCGCTCCTCGAGGAATGGGCTGTTTCCTCTCCGTCGCTGATGATCAAATGTCCACCTCCCGATCTAGTCTGCTGTCCGGCCTATTCTCAGAGAGGGAATCGTTTTTCGAAGCGCTCCTCGCTCTAGTGTCCTGTCCTATTGCTTTCGGTTCATCGGCCGGGCGTCAGAGGCGGCAAACTGCGTGCCCCTACATGGAGAGCATCAACACCTGTAGGTGCACTAAGATAAATTTGACTGCCTGGAATCAGGCATCACGGCTCTTTGGTATTGGCTCGGCCGGCATTTGAGGCAAAACAGGTCGGGCAAAGCCTAGACTGCCCGAGCCCAACCCCCCCGTAACGGCCTTTCTGCCCAGCGAACTGGGTTGGTAATGTCAACACGATTGAGTTGGGAGGCTCCTGAACCCAGGCATGGTGACGCGAGCGCGTCGAGTGGCTGCAGGGTGCATGTTGAGCCAGCCACTCGCGGACGCTTCGAAAACTCGATTCTTGGTCAAAAAGGGGCATATCAGCGTCATAGTTAGGTAGAGCTCGAAAAAAAGCTGAGCACGATGGAACTGAATTGCTTATATTCCAGCCCTCTGCAAACGACTTGCGTAAGAGGTTGCTATTTACGGGTGACGGTGACAGAGACATCGGTGGCGCTCTTGATGCTGCTTGATGTAAACAGGGCCAGAGTACGTTTGTCCCGCGAGTACTGCACCAAGCTGCCGCTGGGCGAGATCTGGACACTGTAGCCGTTCGGAAACTGAGACTGGGGCAAGATGATCTCGGTCGGCGCCTTGTTGTTTGTGTCGATCGTAAATTGCAGTTTCAAAGTGCCCGAGCTTTCGGAGAAGCTGAAGCTTGTGGGGGTTCCAGCAACGGCGGCGGGGTAGGCACGGCTGTAGTGCGTCGCCAGCTCAGGGTAGGGCTGCCCTGATGTGCCGTTGTACAGGTTCTCGTACGCCCAGCCGATCCAGGAAAACATCTTTTCGTCGGTTGCCGACATGGCGTCAGCCAGGCCCTGCATTTGTTTATCATCGCCCATCCAGAATGTGAGCTCGGTGAGCACGCCCGCGGTCTTGAGACGTTCGTTGTCTTTACGGCGATTATCCAGCGTGGTGGAGATGGACCCCAATTGTGGAGGATTGTAGTAGTGAAACGAGTGCACCGACTTCGAGCCGTCCCCGAGCGGGACATTGTTGAAGCCCGACAGGACATCCAGGGTAGCGCCTTCAAACCAGATGAGTGTGTCGTTATCCACGCTGCGAATCTGCGTCGCCGCGCGGTTCCAAAGCCCTTCCATGGCTTTGTGGTCGGCAACGCCTGGCACAAGGAGTGTCGGATCAGCCCACGTATCGCCGACCCAGGGCTCGTTGAGCAGATTGTACCCGACGACGTTGGCCGTTGTGCTGTACTCCGACGCGAGCTTTTTCCAGTAGGCCGCAAATGCGTCCCCCAGGCCGTCGTAGTTGTTGTACAGCCTCCCAAACGCGTTGCCCAGCGCCACCGACGTGTAACTCAAAGACCAGTCGACTGTGTCGCACAGCGACTGGGGCGTTGGGAAGCCATTTTTATCCACGGGGAACGGTGTCAGTTTGAGGGGAAACGGATACATCTTGCCCTTTGATACCCAGTCACTCTTGGCAAACCACTTTAAGATCAATTGTTAGTATTGGTCGTGCCCCGGGCGGCCGCATCAAAGACTTACATCGGGTGTGCCATGGCCGCAAAACTGTCGCGACAAGCAGTCCTGATGTACATCGACCAGAACGTAAAGTCCATGGTCCTCCGCCAGCTTCGTCTGCTGTTTCATGATATCCAGAAACGTTTGGTTGTACTGGCCACGTTCGGGTTCCGCGCCGGCCCAGCTGTGTCCCAGCCGCACAACGTTCAGGCCCAAGTCTTGCAAGACTTTGACGTCTTGCTGGCCAAACGATGATACGCCTGGCACCCACTCCAGTGGCCGATACCATGGTGGCTGCTTCATCACAACATTGGTTCCGTGGAAGAACCGCGTTCGCCCAAACTCATCAATGATCTGGTGTGTGTCTTGGTTCACCTGGCTGATACGGGACATGCCTGGATGAGACTTGTACCAACCCTCGGGATCCTGGGCAACCACAATGGTCGGGTGCAGCCCTACCACCCACAGCGACGCCGCAATAAGAGATTTGGACAGCATTCTAGACAGAAAGGCCACCGACAGAGTGGCATGAGATGACGACAGCTCGATTCAACGATACCGCGGGACCACAGACTGCACGAATATTATATAGACCTAAGGCTCCTCTGTGCGGAAATATAAATGCCCAGCGCCCGCTGGTGAGTGACCCCGGGGAGGGGTTACGTCTCCTCCGTTGGTCTGACCGTCGCGTAACGCCTTGATGTCAAAGTAGACGAGCTCCATGAACCATGCCTATGCTAGGGTCGGGCCGTGCGCATGTGGCGGGGCCGTTCCCGGGACTGCCACCGATCGCCACCATCCCGCCAGTGCTCCAAGACTTGGGCCGGACAGGTTGATTCCTCCGATCACTCCGGCCACACTCTCGCTCCGTCTTCATTCGCGATTCGACAGCTCGTAAGGCCATCAGCATGAGTCTGTTTCCAGGGAAATGCTCATGGGCCATCCCCGCTTCCACAACGCACGGTCGACGCTATGTCACCTTCCCCGCGCACACCGCGCGGTGCTGGCAGGCGCCAGTCAGGACGTGATGTATCCTTAATCCTGGAGAGGCCGTCTTGGCCCTCAAGCACGCTTGTGAGGCACACCTCGGACATACAGTGACCAAGTGCAAATCATGGAACATGCGACGGTTGCGCCCACCGAAGCCATATTCGACGCGGCAGACGATGGCTACCTCGTGCGAAGCGATGCGGCTGGGAGTAGGTGGTGGGTGTTGTCCAACCCTTGGTGCAGAGCCAGCGCGAGCCATTGTCTAAGGTCCGGGGGGTTCTCTCCCGCCGAGCGTACAACGGCGAAGAATCGAGAGCAGTCATCTCTGCTGGATGCGCAAACGCAGATTATGCGACTGCGTTGAATTTCTCGTTTCACTGTAAACGCAAACGTCTCAATACGTTCACCAGGCGATCGGACTACAATACCAGACCACCGCATTGTCCAAAGCACTTTTCTTTACCAAGTTGGTGTCCTGCGCTTTCGGTGTAGGCAGCGTTTCTGGGATCTTTGATGACGATATGCTCAACAACGTATCTACATGTGGGTTCACGCATGCCATCGCTCGCAGCGAGGCCCGATAATGACTTGATGATGAATCATAAGGTGAAGCGGGTCGTTTCCAAGCCCGTATGCCACGCTGCGCGAGGTCCCTGGGTCTCCCCCCAAAAAAGGTCCCAATGGCTCAGTTCAACCCCCGCAATGTGGCGCAGGACACTCCGACACACTTCAGGATCCCCCACCGGCCCGCTGCTTCCAGTTGTCGCCTGAGCGCGCGGCTACTGACCGAGGCTTTCAGCATCAAACGAGCCAGATGAATCGGCGAGAAATCCCCTTAATGCAAGTTAAAGTCACCTTGCGGCTGAAACATCCCCCGCAAAGTGTAGGCGATTTGGGTCGCTATGCGGTGCGGCTTGACCCGCCTCAGACGGGCAATGACACCTTGACGCAGGAGTGGAATTATTCTTTGGTGCAAACCAGTGCAGCGGCGCCTGCGAACCACTGTTAAAAGTTGTCTTGATGACGACAGTTCATTAATTGAGATTGCTACTGGTTCCTTGAAACGAATGGCCGGTTGGCTCGTTCTTGCACAGCCGAGCGTCAATCGAGCCAGCCAAATAGCCTGGCTGCGAGCAACCCAATCACAGGCGGAAACACCCAGTGTTGAAGCTCGCCTCCTCCGATCAGCAGCCGGCTAACAAACCCGTCAACAACCGGCAAAGCCACAACAACGCACAACGATGTGCCCATCAGCTTCTCGTCGCCAGAGTTCCATATGAAAGCAAGCAGCGAGCCGACAGTCAAGTTGCGAACGCCCCAGATGCGCATCAGGGCGCGATTGAGTTTGTGGGCTGCGAGGTCGGCGTGGCTTGGAAACCCCAGTGCCTTTAGGTGGGCGTCGGGCCGGGTGAGACCGTTGAGGCCGAATCCGAGAAGCATCGTCGCTAGGCCCAGGGCGGCACGCATTGAATTCGGGTGTTGCGACATGGCGCTCGTCGACTTGTACTGTGTTGAAACTTCGGGCTTTTGAATGTGACACGGCGGTGACCGGCATGCACCACAGATGAGGTCCAACCTTCAAGCGAAGTAGAGAAAATATGAAGGCCTTGGCTTTATGATCGGCTTTGTATAATCACTTGGGGCGGTTCTACATGAAGAAGAAGCCAAAATCGCCCATTTTAAATAAAATGTGCGACCCAGGAGTTGAACTGCGTTGTGATAGGCGTCGGTAGTCTCGCGCTACCGAGCTCCGGTAAGTCCGGCCTCGTCTGACAAACAATGCTCATCAGGGATCCCAAATCCCCACATCGGTTTTGCTACAAGGGAGATCTTTGGCAAGCACTCTGATTTGTAATGAATGGCGACCCGGTAAGTAAAGGTTGCGCCGGCTCTATTCCGCAGCATTGTTGCCTGTTTTCTTCTTCCACGGGACCGCGCAATGTGGCGGCGGAGCTGCAAGCATATGTGCGCTGCACCTCCTCCCAGCTACGGGTTGCTAAGCCCAACTGGAAGCATGCAAATACACGACTTGAAACTTTAGGAGTATAGCGGGTCACATGAATCACTCGGAAGCACGTCCATCGGTGCCACAACTGGCCCGCAGAGTAATTGTTGAAGTGCAGAAGTCGAGGAGTAATTGTACATTGGTGTGCTGGACAGGCAGTTGTAGGGATAAGCAGGGGCGTCAACCACAACTCAAACACGCACAACACATGCACAAACTCTGTCCTTCCAACAATCATGGCTCGCATTGTCACGGCTTATCGTGACTTCAGGCCACCGTCACAGCACTACAAGACGTCCGCCACATGGATATATGGCCGATTAAGCAGGGGTGATGATGACGATTCGCGCGGGCCGATTGCACTGCACTCTGCAAGCCTTAACCTTGAGCAACAGAGAATCTGCTGGACTTTTATGGCAATGTTTCGAACTCCAGATGAGCCAGGCAGTAGTGTAATCACTTATAAAAGGACATCCTTAGAGCCCAATTGTCCAACTCCTATGTTCTGCACTCTACCGTACAGTTCTTCAACTCTGTTGTCCCCTACTTCATAGCCGTCATGAATCTCCCTGCAATAATCGTTTGGCTTGCGACCCTCCAGGCGCCTGGAGCCTGTGCTTTAATTCAAAGCAGAGACTCGCTTGGCTCTCCAAGAGCTCCGGATCAAGCTTTGGCTCCCCTCGCCACGATTGGGACAAAAGAGCAGCAGCTCGCGCGAGTTCCTCCACGTGCCGACTCGTCTCTGGCTATTAGGGAAGAAGATGCAATTAAGAAGCGCGCTGTCTGGTACCTCGTCTTCCTTCTTGTCGCGGTGAGACAGCGGAATTGCTTTCGACGCACCTTGTTGGCGCACCGCAACAACTTAGCTAACTCATTCCAATTTAAAGGCTCTTGCTACCGCCTTTGGTAGTGGTGTATTCCTCGGAGTTCATTTGAAGAACATTCAACTAGAACAACGGAAACATGAGCCCACTAATGGGCGCCGCAGCACCGTTTTGGAGAACGATGGCGCCGTACGCGGCACCATCGACAGCCTGTTTGCTGCATGGGCTCGTGGATTTGTGACAGTCGTGGAATCCCGTCGTCGATCGGATCAGCTCGATGAGCCTGTTCACGGACGGCTTTCTCGGATTGAGTCAGACTTCCCGGATGCCGCAACATGGACCAGGATAGACTCTCACGTACCCGTCGACGGCGACACTACGTTGCAGCAAGCTGCCCTGGACGCTAACAACGGGACCGACTTCCTCCATGTTGCTACCTATTACCGAGATGGTTCACCGATTTATACTCTCCACCACCGCCTCGCGCATCCCGACGATCTCGGCACGGAAAACGACGGCACGTATCAACAACTTCAGGTTCGAGAGGCGGCCCGCCAAAAAGTGGAGGCAAACAGAACCTTGCTGGACTACCTCTGGAAAGAAGGCATGAAGGCTGAACTTGCGACCGACCGCTATTATGATGCGGACGTGTTTGATAAGGGCTCCGCCACCGTGGCGACGGAATTTCTGCGCGACGCTGATTCTGAGGCAAACTGCATGGACCTGTTTCTTGAACGTCACGATGGCGAATCTAAGCTATCGAAAGATTTTTCGACCCTTGGAGTCCTCGCCTTCGGATCGGGTGGTCAGCCTTTCAACTATAGTGGAAGCGCAGCCGGATGGATTTCGGAGTGTGGGTTCGGCAGCATAGAGTGAGGGGCTACATCTCAGGCTCCAGATGGCACCCATGTAGCCGCAGCTGGCTTCAATAACAGAAACTAGCAGTCTCATCTGCTCGGTACACTCGGTTGATACTCCAAGACTAAATTCTGGGCTCGATCCCAAGACTTGTGGTGCCCGCCGTGGGGGGACCAGTCCATACTGAAGGTTCGCCGACGTGCGAGTCGTCACACGAATGTGAAGCAAATGCCCTGTGAATCTGTGATTGTTTGTAGTACGGTAAGTGTATTGTACAGTACTCTTATGTGGATCTCTCATGCGCAACGGTAATTGTTGCTTTGGCGACCTTGCCGCCATGTCTCCCCCGCGGTTCCGTAGAGTACCTCTCACATTACTGTACGTACGCTGCGAATCTACGCATGCGACTGTCCCCGTTTGAAGTGGTGCAACCGATCTTGGCGAGGGCGATAGGGCGCAGCCAACCTAATCACAAACGTTATCGTCTATGAGCGCGCGGTCAAGGTGACACTACCTTCTTGATTCGTCCAAGCACCAACACCCTTACCCCGGCATTATAGCCAGGGCTTCGCCAGAGGCCGAAGCGGTCCAAAGCATCAACCTAAGCCTACACTGGCAGATTACGCGCAGAAGTTCATCTAAGCTTGTTGCCCGTACTTGTGTGACTCGTCGTTCACGACTTTGGTTGCACCAACGAGGTGGGACGCACACAGCCGCTGAAGCACTGCACCTCAGTTGGTCGGGTCTGCAACCCAACTGCCTGCGGGGATGGGCCTTGGCAGGACTCTCGAGCTGCCGCATACAGACAGCATCCCCGGAGATTAACAACTGCCGCCCCATCGTTACAAGCTGTTCCACCTGCTAAATCAACTCTCCGTTAGTTAAAGGTCATGTGCAGTGTGGCCTTTCGTTCCCACCACGCCCCAATGTCTGGGCATCCTTGCCAGGCAGCTGGCCTACCCAGTCGGAATGTATCCAAGGTTGGGCGAGATGGAATGAGAACAGACACCGTCCCGATATTGGCTTGCAATCCTCGGCGCATTCCATCGCATGCGGCTAAGATCGTGTGAGGTAGGAGCAAGGGCGGGGAGCCTTGCTATCATCCTCTTTTGTTAGGTGACAATGACCCAGATACTGTCCGTTGTCGCCGTTTGTTTGGTGGATGATGCGTCGCTCTCAACGGGACTGCCGCAGCTGCCATCGTGATATGCTGGACGGTTCTCGCGAGCAAGGCGGTCGGGAGCATGAGACGGAATAGGAAAGAGACGTAAGGAAGGTGTCCCCTTTTCCTTCAGACGTATCCAACCGAAGAAACTATATAAACACCACGGCACAATCGTCCATGAACATGGCGGACAGCAACAATCTATATACTCTGGTTCAATTTCTAATAGCCTGTACTCGAGTTCTCTACTCCGTCTTCAACATGAAGTTCAAGTCCCTAGTCCTGGCCGGCCTCATGGCTGGTGGAACAGTCGGCAGTGCTGTTCCCAAGGCGCCCTACCACTTCGGCTGCGGTGCCCCTCCTCCGAGCGACAGCCATAGAGCAGTCTCAAAAGAGCTCGCGGTCCAAGAGGCAGCCTTCAACAGCGGTCTCCAGATCAACGCGGCCTCCATCGTCGTCGACACGTATATCCATGTCGTGTCCATTGATCAGACCGCGACTGGCGGTTACCTTAGTGTAAGTAAACAGTAGAGCCCCACAACGCTTCCGCCGGTTCGAATCTAATAATGACGGTACCTCTTCTCGCACAGCGGGAGACGATCGATAAGCAGATGCAGGTGCTGAACGACAACTTTGCTCCCAGCGGCATCGCCTTCACCCTCAAGGATGTCGACTGGACGGTCAACACAAACTGGGCCCGCGACCGCGACTCCCTCAACATGAAGAAGAAGCTGCGCAAGGGAACTTACGCCTCTCTCAATCTGTACTACCAGACCGAAGTGAGTGGCAACTTGGGCGTGTGTTATTACCCCACGACTGCGCAACCAGGCACGACCGCCTTCTACCAGGACGGTTGCACCATTCTCTTCACCTCGGTGCCGGGAGGCTCCGCAACAGGCTACAACGAGGGCAAGACGACGACGCACGAGGTTGGCCACTGGTTCGGCCTTATCCACACATTCGAGGGCGGCTGCAATGCGGGCGACGAAGTCGATGACACGCCGGCGCAGGCCTCGGCCACGTCGGGGTGCCCTACTGGCCGCGACTCTTGCCCGAACCAGGCTGGGCTGGATCCCATCCACAACTACATGGACTACTCGTATGACTCCTGCTACGAGGAATTCACGACTGGGCAGGTGAACCGCATGAAGAGCATGTGGACTCGTTATCGCTCGGGAAAATAGAGACACGGTCCGATCACATGTATACGCCCGGCTCTTACGGGGAGTCTTAGAGCTGCCGCGTGCTGTTCCGAGGTTCGCAAGATCGAACGGTAGGGGGAGATCGCAGGGGATGCAAGGCGTCACTGTTCTTGGCTAGTCGTTCGACTTTGGACTCGAGCCAGTTTGTAGTTGAGTATCAGGACAGACGACACGATTTTTGGATCGTCGCACTGGAATCCCATTGCACGTTTCTCAAGACATGAATGCCCAGAGCGGGTGATGTATGCCAACATGAAACGCAGACCATTACATAGTTGCACTGTCTCCGACTTCAGTTCACCGTCGCATTCCCATTATCTCTCCTGTCTGCACCCGTGACAGTTCCTCCCAAATGATTCGAATCCGTCGAAAGAAGACAACAGTTGGGTACACTAACGGTGAAAGCTCAATCCTCTTCGGATGAGTACTTACAACACGTCCCTATATCTCGATCATAACAAAAAGGCCAGGATTTTCCAGCCCTCGGCATTTATGGCAACGACGGATGCGATAGACGAGACTGGCGAGGTCATGGTAAAACGCCGCCACATCCTTTCGACGTCCTCGAACGAGTCGTCCATAACGCTTAACAGGCCGGTGCAGCGGGACGGCTCGAGCAATTCCCCTACCACCACCACAGTATGTGCACGACTATCCGGGCCACCTCGCTGTAGGTATAGACACGGTGCAGGCAGGCCGTAACATAGATGCTAGCGCACGCACAGTTTCGTGCGCCTATGGCCATCAAATGTCACCAGGGTGCCACCCATTGTCGATGCCCACGTCGGCCGGTTGGGAGGCCGGGGGCTTGTAGCGAAAGAGATTTCCCCGTGCTTTTGAGCTTGCATGCATACGAGTGACTACAGTGGCTCACTACGATGGAAAGTCCCTTCTTAGGAAGAATGATCATATTCATGAGGACATTAGGTAGGTTGGTCAGTCAAGGCTGCGCCGGATCTCCACTCCCTTCAGCCATGGGCGGCCTGTCCACAATCTTGCTCGTGTCAGGAGCCCAAATTCGCCTCCCGTCATCCTGGCTTCAACAGTCTGGCAAAGCCGCCATCCAATTATCTACAGCATGAGCCCACCGGCGACGGCGGCGCCGGCCATGTACGCGATGGCCGGGGCTCGCGTGGCCGCCGCGCCACCGGTGCTGGTCGACGACGCAGCAGAGGCTTGCGTGCCGCCGCTCGTGACGATGCTGGTGATGGTGCTGCTGCCGCTGGTCATGGTAGTCGTCTTTGTCACCGCCGACTGCGTGGTCCCGTTGGATCCACTGGCCGACGTCTGCGCGGGCTGAGTGCCGCCCGTCATCGTCGTGGTCAGCTGGCTGATGTCGGTGGCCGCCGTGGCGGCGACGGTGATGCTCTGGACCTGGCCCGTGGCGGACGGGTTGTACTTTGTGCTGGTGAAGCCGCACGTCGACATGATGTTGTCGATGTCTGTGTCCGAGTGTTAACGCTTGGCCCTGCTCAGCCCATGTCGGAAGCATGATAGCACGTACCCTTGAGGTCATCCTGGTCGGCGCGGTTGTCATCGTCGTCGCGCCTCCTGCGGCCGTTGGCGCTCTGGTGCATGCAGTCGGCACAGAGAGCGGCAATCTTGGCCACGTCGAAGCTGCGGTTGGTGCAGACGCACTGGGCCTCGAGGAGCTTCTCGTCGCGGTCGATGTCGCTGCGCAGGTCCGTGTCGCAGCGGTCCGAGAGCTGGCCAATTGGGCCGCAGATGGTCTTGCACGAGGTCGGGACGTCGTCCATGTCGAAGTCGACGCTGGCACGCGCGACGAGCGCCAGGGGCGCCAGGGCGGCGACAATGGTCTTGGGGTACATGATGCTGGGAGAGAGTGCTGCGAGTGATGTGGGAGGTGGATGCCAGCAGGGGATCACGGTCGAGCTCAGGTCTGGATGACTGGTGATGTGGACAAAGGGACGGGAGGTGACAACAGGTGGTGATAGGGGGAACGTGGGTGACGGGGGTCGAGGTCATTTATGTTCAGTTCGTGGTGGTACGTCCCGTGTAAGTCGCCCGGCGGGAAGGATGGCTCTGACTTCTGAGGTTGAGGAGCAGCGCCACACGTCATGGCGTTGGCAGGAGAGGGAAGGGGAATGGCCCAACGGGGCTTGGCCGGTGGTCCTACGTCACCCGCGCAGCAGCGACGGGAGGGCGGTTGCCCATTTGAGATGGGCATGGATGGATTGGATGGAGGGATGCAGCTTCGGGTCTCGGTATTCTTAGCTGCTTTGTACCTCAGTACTTCGTACTGTACTGTACTATTGACTAGGTACGTCTTTGCACTGACAGGATGGAGGAGCCCTAGGTACTGTTGACGCTACCAATGCAGCCATGTACAGAGGAGCACAGTGCTCGTGCTCCTTACTTGCCTCCACATTCAGGGCAAACATGGCGAGTGATCGGCCATCGTGGCGAGCCGCGTCAAAGACAGTGATGAGCGAGCCGAATTTCGGTTACCACTGCAAGTGACTGGTCGACGGACGGAGCAGGCGGGAAACGAGTTGCTCCTGTGGCGCATGGGCGCTTGCCAGTCGCCTCGAGCAGCAGCCAACTCGGCCTCGCAATCGCCAACCTCGTCACCATCCTCCATCATCACGATTCACCACCGCCCGGCAGCAGGCCATGCTTGCCTTCATTCATCCTCTGCAAAGTGCCCACCTAAGTTACCTCTCAACCATCCTGATTGAAGACGGGAGGCCCGCCAAGGCTCCGGCAAGTGCGGAACCCGGCGAGGAAACTATGTGTCAAAGCTGCCACTGCTCCTCGTCGGCATCCCGGCCGCCGCGTCTCGGCTTGGCGTCGTCAAGCGTGCGTCAAGCCCCCGGAGGGGCCTGCCGCCGGGAATAGCAAGGGGGTGGATCGGCATCGCACCGCGCGCTCTGCCAGCCAACACCCATGACGATGCCCTCACAAGGTGCTTCCCATCTCGCCTGCTCGGTACATTTTACTGTACAGACGGTACTCCGTACCTACGAACGTACTCCGTCCTGTGCCCCGTAGGCTCGCCTGCGTGGGGTAACGCGGACGAGCTCCTTCGCGGACGGTTGAGTGGGCAGCGTCCAGGCTGCTGTTTCAATAGCCCCTGATCCATCAATTCATCATCCATCTTCCATCATCTTTGCCCTCCCGCGCCACTCCCCTCGCCCGCTCCCAGCCCGGCCAGGCCAGGTCAGGGAGGTACACGTAATTGCCGTCGCGCTGCGGCCGAGCACAGGTGGGCATATCATGTCTCTCCAGCGATTCGGCCGGCCGGGCTTCACTGGGCAAGGCCCCAATGAAGGCATGGATCTTGACTCTCGTCTCGACGCCGATCAACACTGTGGCACCGTTGATGCCGCGACGTCGCGCCGCGCCCGCAGCCAGCCCTCGTTGGAGACCTTTTGTCCCACTCCTCAACCATGAAAGCGACCACACCCACTCCGTCAACCGGCAGGTCGAAACAGGGCAAGGCAGGCACCCAAAGCATGGCGGCTCCTCCAAGCCACCAACACAGCGCGACGATCCGGCCAGCGCGGCTGGCCCAACCGCTAATAAGGTTCTTTCCCGTGGTTGGCGTCGACAACGGGCTCACGCGACATGTTGCCAAACTGGGCCAGTGCGGGCAGCGGCAGCGGCTTTGTGGCTGTCTCTCCCATCCCGCCGCCGTCGTCAGCCACCACCAGGGCACCATTTGCACGGCCATGGCCGCCCAATCCCACCCACACTCCACCTGCTGCATGGATTCCATGCTTGCCCTGTTCTGTCCACCGCGTCACCCACGGGAACCAGGCATGCTGGGCAGTTTGTGCCATCGCGGGACCCGGCAAGCCCAAGCCCGTCGATTGTATGTATGGCTCATGAATCCGTCAATCCGCCGGGGCGAATGCTCCAAGACCAGGGGACGTCAATGCTTGCTCTCGAGCGCACAATGCCAGGCCACAAAACTGCACGCGGCCACCAAGCTTGGCGGGCTGCCCGCCATCCGACTAGACGTCGGCATGCCGTTCGACTGGGATGCAGCCTGTAGACCGTTCATGGGCGACGCGCAAGCGAGGCAGACTGCTCCCTCCCGGCCTTCGACCCGGTGAGGACATCGCAATGCACTGCACCGTTACGCGCAAGCTCCTCGCTATTTTTAAATAGCAGATGCTGCAACGCCTCGTTGTCGGCGACCGCCGCCGCGACCGATCGTCGAGGCTCCACGCGTCCGACTGAGTACGGGTACAACTGAGCACACACAATGCATGCATCTCGCAGGTTTTGTCTCTGTCTGAGAGTGCCTTGCCAAGACCTGGCGGCCGATCCCTACGAGTCAAGCAGCAAGTCAATCACAGACCTTTGCTCGTCCGCGCCCAACGCGCGCGGCTCTGTCCACCGTCTAACCTCGAGCAAGTCGTCGCCGTCAAAGACAGACAGGTGGATCACAAGGTGCATGTCAGGTCTTGCTCTGTATGAAACCGCCCGTGGCTACGGCACTCTACATGCGCTCCTTCATCTCCTGCTTAATCCGCGTCACCGTGCCCGCGCCACCGTAGACAAGCTGCGTGTACACCATGGCCACGCTTGCGCCTGCGTTCAGCACCTGCAGCGCCTGCTCTCCGTTGGTGATGCCCCCTGTTGCAAAGATGACCTTTTGCGCCGTTCCCGTGCTGCGCGACTTCTCGTCCAGCATCTTGCGATACCGACCGACCAGGTCCAGCGTCCGCCCGAACATGGCCGGCCCTGAGTAGCCGCCCTGCTCCGCCAGCGCCTGCTCCTCCTTCGCCGTCAGCTTCACGCCCGTCGGCACCAGCCCTGAGCGGCTCTTGGTCGTGTTGCCGACGATGACGCCGTCGACGCCGCTGAGCTGCACCGCCTGTACGATGCCCTCCATCTGCGCATCCGTGTCCTCGTCTGGCGACACCTTGACCATGACCCGCGGCGGCGTCTTGCGCGCCGTCTTCTGAGCCTCCTCCACCACGGCGCTCAGCAGCCGCGTCAGCGGGCCAGTCGCCTGCAGGTCCCGCAGGCCTGGCGTGTTGGGGCTGCTCACGTTGACGACGAGTACGTCCGCGTAGGGTGCCAGGCGCCGCACGCAGTAGACGTAGTCGTCCGCAACGGCCTTTTCGTCTCGCTCGTTCGTCTCCTTGTTCTTGGCCATCTGCACCGCAAGCAGCCGGCCCGCCTGCAGGCTTCCCGGCGGAACGCCCGCCTCGCCATTCAAAACTGCCGTCTCGCTGACATCCAGAGAGCGTGCGAAACGTCGGAGCCTGTCGCGCAGGCGCATGGCGACGGCGTCGGCACCCTCCGAGTTGAGGCCGCAGCGGTTGACCATGCCGTCGATGCCCGGGACACGCCACACGCGAGGCCTGGGGTTGCCGCCCTGCGCGAGTGGCGTGATGCCACCAACCTCGACGAGGCCGGCGCCGAGCGCGAACAGCGGGTCGGGAATCTCAGCGCCCTTGTCCAGCCCGGCCGAGATGCCAATCGGGTTGCTAAGCGGGGTATCGAAGACGGTGGTCGACAGAGCGGGATCGCTGAGGGAAGCATCGCGTTCGCGGATGTGGAGGTTCAGCTTGTAGAGCGTCTTCATCATTGCCGTGCCGGAGTGGTGGGCGTCTTCGGCGTCGGGATAGACGACTCTCAGCAGCCGCGGCACGACCCATCGGTGGACAAAGGCCCGCGTGTCGGTAACGTAGAGATATGCGACGTATAGCGAGGCCGCGAGAGCGCTCCCGTAGAGAACGACTTTGGCACGGCCGCCCTGGGCGCCAGCGCCGCCCGTCGTGGTCGAGGCATGGCGATGCTGGGGGACGCGCGGTTGTGCCTGGCCGAGCCGCACCCTGGGGCTCAGTCGGAGGCTGCGCAGGCCAAATTGCGATCGCAGAGTCGAGGCCGACATGTTCTGCGGCGACACAAGCCCGTGTCGTGTCTCAATGGCATGCGGCGGCCGGTGGTGTGATGTTGGATCGAAATTTTGGCTTTGGACCGCCGACGCGGCATGAAGCAGCTCCTCAGACAACACGGACAGTGCCCGGGCGTACAAAGCACGGTAATGCGCACTGTACCTTGCTTGTTGGATGCCTGGGCACTCGCATCGAGGGTATTAGTGGCCTTCCTGGGGCTGTATGAAGAGCATTCATCACAATCGCATCGAAAAGGAATGGCACGCAATGCTGCTTGCCTTTGTCGCCCAACTCCGCCATGCCAAACGAGAGAGCCACGACGTGGTCGGCCGCAAGGCGTGGTCAACCCTGTCGGTTGACTCACCGCACACGCCCTTTTGGTGCCAATTGACAAGCGCTTGTGGCGTACAAGAGCAATAGGGGTGTGCTCAACAAGGCGGCAATCACACAGGAATGAGTCGTTCTTTATCGGATCTGCCGCCGCCGCCCGCCCGCACAAGCACACACAACATCGGCACAATGCGCGCCCAAGTCGTCAAGTCCCTCTCCGTCATCGTGTCGCCGTTCCACGTCGGCATCCGGGGCTCCAAGACCGGAGCGGGGCCGCTGTTCCTGCAGCAGCACGGGCTCATTCCGGCGCTCGAGGAGCTCGGGCTGCCGGTGCGCCGGGTCGAAGTAGAGCCCGTGGACGAGACGGAAGACGAGGTGGCTCGGTCCTTTGAGGTGCTGCGACGGACGGCGCGGGTCGTCGCCCAGGAGCGCCGCGCCGGCAGCTTCCCCGTCGTGCTGTCAGGAGACTGCAGCGGCGCGGTGGGCGTCGCCGCAGGCATCATCGCATCCGGGGCTGACGTTGATGGAGGCGCTGTGGACGGAGCGCGGCTTGGCTGCGTGTGGTTCGACGCGCACGACGACATACACACGCCCGACACGCTCACCAGCGGCTACGGCGACTCGATGCCCATCTCGCTGCTCGCCGGCCGCTGCTACAAGCGCCTCCTGCAGACGGTCCCGGGCCACCAGCCGCTCAGTCTCGACAACCTGGTCCACGTCGGCATGCGGGACGTGACCGACGAGGAGCGGGCGCGCGTCGTCGACGCCGGCTTCGACGTCATCTGGGGCGACGCTGAGACAAAGGTCGACTTCAAGGGGGAGCTGGGCCGGGCATTGCAGCGGAAGCAGCTTGGCCCGACCATGGTTCACCTGGACTTGGACAGCTTGGACCTCTCGCTCGGCAAGGCCAACAGGTTCGGCACAGCGGGCGGCCTTCTGGAGGACGACATTACGGGGTGCCTAGACGAGGTGGCGTCCCGGACGGAGCCCGTGTCGTTGACGATTGCGTCGTTTGACCCCTCGTACGACGGGGCGGACAACATTGCAAGGGTCGCGATACGAGCCGCGCAGACGTTTCTCGCGGCACTGTCGAAGGCGTAGGTGGCCCAGGTTCTGCATGTGAGGGACGGAAAACTGCCGGTTGGCGGTGGATGTGGGGACGCTGATGCCGGAGACTTCGTGGTTGCAGCTTACACTCGTGTGTCATTGGTGTCTCTCGGCCGCTGGACCTCACGGGGTGGTGAGGTCCTCGCCGGAAAAAAAACCAGCAATTGGTTCAATAAATTTGCAAAGCACTGCTTCGTGTCTTTACTACTTGCCGTCCGTCCGTGTGTCACGGCGCTGTTGAAGCGGCGCGCGGTTGTGGAATCTCACCACCCACGCCCACATACACAGGGTAGCCGCCCCCAAACTCCGACACCCCCGCCATCGCACCAACGCCGACGCGCCAGATCCATGTCACCGCCGAGTGTGACGGAGACAGGCGGTTCAAAATGCGACGGTGCACGCAACCACGTTCCATTCCGGCCAGCAACGCCGGGGCGGAGCCTCCCGCTCTCCTCGCCATCTCATCCTCGCCTGTGACGCCAACGAAGACGACGCTCCACGGCTGTCGACCGACCACGGCAATGACCACGGCGACTGACGCCCGGGGTGACGATCCTTGAGCGTGGCCATCCTCGCGAGCATCCGACGAACACCGCCGCCGTCATGTTCAGCCAGTACTACCTCGGGGTCCCGTCGGCGGCTCCCCATCGCGCGCCCAAGCTGAGCCACAAGAAGTCTCGCTATGGGTGCCAGCGGTGCCGGCAGCGGAGAGTCAAGGTGAGGCCATCGCCCCGTCTGTCCCGTGGATAGGCTGTCCTGCTGCTGACGCCGAGGACGACAACGGCAGTGCAACGAAGCCAAGCCCGTCTGCGACAACTGCGAGCGGCATCGCGCGACCTGCTTCTACGACCGCGTCCCGCCCCAGGAGCGCTGCATGGTGCCCGCCGCGCCCTTCCCCAAAGGCACCGCCGAGGCGCGCGTCGCCGCCGCCATGGCCCGGCCCGAGGACGCCGTCGCCGAGCCCGACGACCCGCCCGAGACGCGCGAGCGCCGCATGATCGAGGTGCGCCTCATGCACAAGTATGTGACGGAGACGGGCGAGACGGTCGCCATCGACGACAAGACGCGCTTCATGTACGCAACCCTCGTGCCCAAGCTGGCCCTCGGCTCCGACGCCCTGCTCTACTGCATGAACTCGCTCGCCGCCCTGCATATCGCCGTCTCCTCCGGCGATGACCGGGAGCCCGCCGCCGTCGACGCCCACCGCAAGTACCTCTCAATGGCCCTGCGCGAGCACAACAAGGCCCTCGCCAACATCTCCGAGGCCAACGCCGACATCGTCTGCCTCACCTCGTCGCTCTTCCGCGTCTGCTCTTTCACGCTGCTGCAGGAGCGACCTCGCGTCCCCTACGAACCCCCCGTCGAGTGGCTCATGATGAACGCCAGCACATCGGCCGTCGTCCGCGCCGCCTACAAGCTCGTCGGCCAGGACACGCAGTCCGTCGCGTACCGCATGCTGCACACGAGTCCCATCATCAACAACCTCGAGGAACGCTTCGGCGAGGCGCGACGGCGCGGACTCGAGCACATTATTGCCCGGGAGCCACTCGGCCGCGACGCTGACGAACCCTGGGACGACGAGATCCAGGACGCATACGAGACGACCCTGAGCTACCTCGGAGGTGCCGTCGAGGCCGCGCGCGCCGGCGAGGAGCACGAGGTCTGCCGCCGCCTCATCATATTCCCCATGCTCGTCAAGGGTCGCTTCATCGAGCTGGTACAGGAGGGCCACCCCCGCGCCATCGTCCTGCTGTCATTTTATTTCGCGCTGCTGTCCCGCTACCGACACATTTGGTGGATCGGCGACGCAGGGACTCAAGAAGTGCGAGCCATGGCCGCGGCGCTGACAGGAGACTGGCTGGCCATGATCCGTTGGCCTCTCGAGGTCGTCAAGACGGGCAAGATTCCACCGCTGCCAACAGACAACGGGTGACGCAGGATGTGGAAGCAGAGAGGAAGAACATGGCGGGAATGAGCGCTGAGGGGCTGGGCAATGTGGTGGCTTTTATACGACGCTGCTCGTTCTCGCTCTCGCTCAGTTCCTCGTTCCCGCCCAATCAGGCTAGCACTTAGGCACAACGCTCAGCGTCACAATCACCAGCGCTGAAGTGCGTCCTCAGACTAGCATGCCTGGAGACGCGCAGGTGTATCATTCTGAGTATATCTGAGAGTCATCGCACGCGATGACGCCCCCGAGGCTGTAGAACATGGCTGCTGTTTTGGTTAGCACAATAGAGGCACGTATGGGCAGCAACCGCCGGATCGATATCGTTGGCAAGTGCCTGCAGGCATTTTGCGTTTTGTAGTTTCTGTAGCATGCGAAAAATCCATCAGCAAAGTTGCCAATTGAAGCCCCCGCGTCTTCTGCCATGTCGAAGACGCTGTCCATCGAGTCCATGCAATGGGCTTCTTTGCCCGGACATTCGCGATGACGCTGTGCTCCGAGACCATCTCGCACCAATGTGGAGAACCATGCGCGCTCTTCCTGGGGACCACCGCGGCTCTGCCGGTTAGCGACCTCGTGATCAAGAGAGACGTCACGAGACCACCCCTCGTCCAGGCCTAATGCTGGCTTGCTGACATTGACGAGAAATCGCGCACCAGGCTGAGCAAGATAGGCATGCCGGACGCTCAGACTAAAAGTGACTGGAGTGACTTATCGTTCACGGAACCCCTGCGAGATAGTCGTGAGAGGGGACATCGATTCACTTCCTGCCGTGACTGGGCTTTTATATCCAGCGGCCGCTTCATGCTCTAATCTCACGTGCTCGTCCGGGCATATATATCCATCTCACCTCGCCAAAAGCTGGAAGAGGTCATGCTCAAAGTGCACACGTCGAAATAGGCTGGCAGTCTCGCATCGGCAACAATGACAAGCCACGATCGACCGTCGGCGCCCAAGTTCAATTTGACAGAGTCTGACTTGGCTGAGAAAGCAAAGCAGAGCCGGAAAAGGACCGAAGCAACTCTGGCTGCTATCCTCGGCTCTGTCACAGCTGAGCAGGCCACGTTTAGCAATGTCATTGAGGCCGTTGAGTTCAACAACAGGCTGAGCGAGTACCAACTCCTGGCTTTGCTGCAGAATGCCGCCCCAGACGCAAACATCCGAAAAGCGGCCTCACAAGCCTGCCAGGCCATTGAGCATGACAACCTTGCTATGGTAGAAAATGAGGAGCTCTTCACCCTTGTTGATGCCGCAAAGCGAAGCGTCAACGACGACAGCCTCACAATTGAAGAGAAGAAAATGCTGGACACCATGTATCGCTGGTTCACGGACACCGGAGCCAAGATGGATACAGAAGCGCGAGATCGCTTTTCCGAAATAAGCAAACGAAGCATCAAACTACGCAACGCGTTTATGGACAACATCGCTTCCGACCCTGGGGGCTTGTGGATGACGGAGCAGCAGCTCGCCGGCCTCTCCCGCGGAAAGTACGAGAGCTTGGAGGTCGGCCCGGAAGGAAAGCGTCGTGTTATGCTGAAGAGGCCCGATGTTCAAGCCGCCCTGAGACAATGCCACGACCCGGAAACTCGAAAAGCGGTGCTGATTGCCAGCGAGTCCATTTGCCCGGAAAATGTCGACATTTTCCGGGAGATTGTGCTACTACGAGACGAAGCAGCACGACTCGGCGGCTTCACCTCATTCGCGGCGCAGAGCACTAGCAATAGATTGGCCAAGTCTCCCGCAGTCGTAAACAAGCTACTGCAAGATCTCAAACGAAAGCTCCGACCGCTCGTTGATAGAGAGATGCTCGAGCTCGAGCAGCTTGCGCCACGGGGAACACCCTTGCATGCCTGGGACTTTGACTACTACCATCAGCAGTTACTGCGAGACAAGAATGTCGACCACGACCTCTTGTCAGAGTACTTTCCAGCGGATTACACCATCGTCCAAATGATGGGCGTCTTTCAAGAGCTCTTCGGCCTGAAGATTGAGGAAGTTACGGACAAAGAAGAAGGCGATACGTGGCATCGAGACGTCAAGATGTTTGCAGTATGGGACGAGGAAAGCGATTCGTTCTTGGGCTATCTATACACGGATATTTACCAGCGGCCAGGCAAGTACAATGGCGCGGCAAACTTCAACATACGTCCGGTAACTTGGCTCCAGCCGCGCACGATTTGAGTCCTCAACACTAACTGCTCGGCCGCAGAGCTACATTGATGAGAATGGCAATTGCGGGCCTGTTGCGACGGCATTAGTCTGCAACCTTTCCCCTCCTTCTCAAGACCGGCCGTCACTTTTGCAGCACTCTGAGCTTGTCACTGTCTTTCACGAACTTGGCCACGGTGAGTTACTTCATTGCCTCCGCTCTAGATAGGTGAAGTAATTGACTGACATGCTATTTGTGCCACAGGCATTCATGACCTTCTCGGAAGATCCAAGTACGTCACGTTTCATGGCCACCGCGCGGTGAAAGACTTCATCGAGGCTCCGAGCCAGCTCCTCGAGTATTGGTGCTGGACACCCCAGACTCTGAAGCGGCTGAGCTGCCACTACTCTCATCTGTCGAGCCAAAGCGAATGGGCGTGGCGACAGCACCAAAGCAGCGCAGAGATCGACCTGCCGCCGCGCGACATACCGGATGGCCTCATTAACAGTCTCATCGCCACGAAGAATGTCAACGCCGGGATTCTCGCATCGCGCCAAGTGGCCTTGGCGCTGTTCGATATGAGAGTTCACGATCCTCCCTCACACGCGGCTCTCGAGGGAATGGACATTCCTGGTGCGTTCGACTCACTGCTTCGAGAGCTGACAGGATTGAGTCGCCTTGAGAAAGGGGCGACATTGGGACACGGACATGTGACCACCGCACATTTCGTATGGGGGGTCGAAGCCAGCTATTATTCGTATCTTCAGTCAGTCTTCCCCGGCCCGATCCTCTCCAGATCTGACATTGATTGTGCAGGACGCGCATATTTGCGGCAGACATCTGGAAGACTTGCTTCCGCGACGACCCCATGAACGCGGCGGCAGCGCGTAGGTATCGAAAGGTCATACTGGATAAGGGAGGCAGCGGCGATGAAGCCAAGATGCTGGAAGAGTTGCTGGGGCATGCGCCATCGCTAGGGCCGTATCTCGAGGGGATTGGCACGGCAATCTGAGCCGTCCATGGTGCAAACAGAAGTGCAACCCATTGTCATAGCACAAAATTCGGCTGCGAATCGGACTGTGATGATGCGGATTGGGTGTCAAAGCATCTGTAACGCAGAGGCGCCAGGTATCGGCACATGGTATTATTTAGAGCTAGGTAGACTCGACAAAGGGAATAGCAACGCAAGGAGGGATATCTCTTCAAGTCAATTTCCACCGCCCATCCTCCACTCAGTTCCCCATGGGCTCGAGCAAAAGCTCGAGAAACACGTTATGATCCACTTAGTTAGAGCTCGCAAGGAGTATGTTGACGGCTTCCTCCCATCGTCGGGAGATGGCAATCTCAGTCACGGTGCGGCCGAGCTCGTCCTTGACGCTGAGGTCGACGCCGCAACGCTTGCACAGCTTCTTGAGGACAGAAGCGTCGCCGCTCTCAAGGGCTTGCATGATGCCGTTCCAGCCGCGGTACATCTTGTTGGGGTCGGCGCCCTTGTCGAGCAGCATGTCGAGCATCTCGTCGTAGCCAGCGGCGCCTTCCTGGCGGCGACGCAGGGCCTTGACAACGGGCAGGTGCTCGCCCGGGGCGTTTACATCGGCACCGCCCTCCTTGATCAGGAATGACACGATGTCGCGGCGGCCCTCGCGGATGGCCGTTGTCAGCGGCGAAAAGACGCCGCCGTTGCGATCCTCGACCGAGACGCCTGCAGCGAGCAAGAGCTTGACGGACTCCAGCTGGTTGGCCACCACGGCGCGCTCCATGACGCCTTTGAAGGCGCGAGGCTCCGGTAGCACCGCGAGGATGCGGCGTAGCATGTCTGGGTTGCGCACCGCCATGCACACGGGCCAGTCCTGTCCGCGGACGTTGGGATTGGCGCCGCGTCGGAGGAGCTCGTCTACCATCTCGATGCGACCGTCGCGGATGGCGCTCGTCAGCGCGGTGCGACCGTTGGGCGTCTTGTCGTCCGGATCGAGCCCCTGATCGAGCAGCCATCGCAAGGCCTCGCTGTTGTTGGACGACACGGCCGTTTCGAGGATGCCCCTGGGGGAGTTGAGGTTGGCACCCGCGGCCACAAGCGCGGGCAGGAAATGCACGCGGTTGTGGGTGATGCACTTGAACGCCGGGTACTCGCTCGCCGGGACGTTGGGATCGGCGCCGCGACTCAGTAGCAGCTGGAAGATGTCGCTGCGGTCGTCGCGGATGGCCGTGCAGAGCGGCGTGTAGACGCCGTCCTTCTTGGCATTGGGGTCGACACCGGCCTCGAGGAGGATGCGGATCGACTCGAGGCTGTTGATGCTGGTAGCGAGCTCCATGACACCAGGCGCCTTCTTATAATCGGCCCCATGCGCCAGCAGCAGCTTCAAGCACGCAGGTTGGTACGTGGACGGCCACAGCATGTGCTTGGGGCCTGGCAGGTTGGGGTTGGCACCACCCTCGAGCAGCAAGGCCACGATATCCGCTCTCCCCGCGGTGACGGCGTCGAAAAGCACCGTCTTGCCCTCGCGGTTCTTGGCATCTGGATCCGCTCCGCAGGCGAGCAGCATGTCGACCAGTGTCTTGGGCGTCTTCTTGCCCACCGACTCGATGAGGAGCGTGCTGCCATCCGCCGTGGTCTGCCTCGCGTTGCCCCCGTACATGAGCAGCAGGTGTGTAAGGCGCACGTTGTTGGCGACGGCGGCCACAGTCAGCGGTGTCTCCGAGTCCGGGCCCGCCGACAGGTTCGGGTCCGCGCCGTACTTGAGCAAGGCGACGGCTGCCTCGAGGAACGAGCGCTCCACGGCCGCCACGAGCGGGCAGACCTTGTCGCGGTCAGTCTCGTTGGGGTCGCCGCCGTACAGCAGCAGCAACCGCAGGGCCTCGCCGTCCTGCACCACGATGGCTTCGTTGAGCGCGTCAGAGCCGCCTCCCGCGCTTGGCGAGACGCCCCGGTCCAGGAGCTGTGTCAGAAGTCTGTGGTCCTTGGCCCGAACGGCACCGAGGAGGGCCTCGTGGGCGTTGGCTTTGTCCGCATCAATCTTGCTACGGGGCCGCCGTCGAGGCATGGTGAAGGGCTCGCTCTTAACGCGGGAAACCTTGCTGCTCTCGAGGTCTAGGCTTGCCAAATCACCAACGAGGGCTTCGAGCTCGAGGCTTGTCTCGGGGACCTCATCGAATGTGCCCAGGCCAGGTGTCGCCGCACCTGCGCCGAATTTGCGCTGCTGTGGCAGCTGTAGCGGGTTCCCGTCATACGAGCCCGTGGTAGAAGGGTCCGTGTATCGCGTCAGCGGGCTGTCTTGATCCCCAGACGAGGCGCGACCAAAGTTGCCGCTCTCGCCGCTCAGAGACGAGTCGTGGCTCAGGGGGCCAACCCTGTCTACCCTCGAATGCTGGACCTGCTGCTGAGATAGCCCTCCCTGGGGTATGCTGGGCAATCGGAGCTGATCCAAGTCGTTCTGATGAGGAGCTGAACCAGGTGGCCGGGTATACACGGTTTGGCCCTTCTGGAGGTCCTCCGACGCGATGCTGCCTGCGCGCTTGCGCCTGAGATCTGCGGCCTCGAGCGCCGACGACAAGCCGATATAGCCGATTCCGAGCTCACTTTCAATCTTGTCGGCCGTCAAATTCCACTGGAACATGTAGGCACTCATCTTCAAGTCCTCGCGCGTCTTCACGAGCGACGTAGTGTGACCGTCGAGGCCGCTGTCGCCAAACACTCGCCCGAAGCCACGCTTCATGCGACCCATTGCGCCTTTGCGCTCGTAGTCGAGTTGCTTTTGTACAATCTGGTCGAGTGCGCGGAACTGGTTCAGCGCGGTGCGGAACTTCTTGTCCAGAACGGTGATCATGTCAAGGGGGGCCGACTGCCCCTGGCGCACGGCGTCGGAGAGACCGGCTTCGATGAGGAACAGCACTTGGGACGTATCGAGCAGATCGTTGGCGAGCACGTCAAAGCCGTGAGGGAGGTGCTTGACAAGTGTAGTGTACTCGGCCATCTTTTCCGCGACGCGGTCGGCCGCGGCGGCCGTGTTGCTGCACAGGTGGAGGCATTGCGTGTGCGCCTTGGACGAGTGTGCCATGGTGTTTCCGTGGCGATGGAGCAACGAAGGCGAGGGCGCGAGTTGTCGTAGGACGTGCTGCTGGTTCACTGGCCGAGGCAGCGGCCAAGAATTCGAGGACGAGTTGTCTTGGAACTGTTGATGGTGCGACTGTACTTGGTGGCCCAGCCCCAGCGGTGCATGCGCCGACACAGTGGCAACACTGCTTGTGGAAGCTGACGCTGGCAGACCGAGGGCCTCCCTCAAGTCAAATACCGAAGGCTCCTTTGGAGGAACAGAGGGCGGCGGACCCGTCGAGGAGGTGCGGTCTGACAATATTGATCTTCTGTCGTCGAGGGTGAGATCCTGCAGCCTGTAGGTCATGATGGTGTAAGAGCACCCAGGCAGAGGATAGTAGTACTCGCAAGAAGCGAAGTGCGAAAACCAGGGGTAATTATCCGGATACCTAGGAACCCGAAGTTGCACTGATTGTGCGTGGGCGGATCGACAGTAGAGGAACAGCCCGAGGTCAGACGGAAAACTGGTCGTGGGCACGAGAAGAAGTGAACGCCCACGAATTGCCACGATGGCGCTGAGCAAGCATGGCTGGAAGCGTCCTGGTGCGATATAACGTTTGTCTGGGCCGTCCGTGCCATGGCCTAGCCTAACAATACCCAGTCTTCCGCGTCTCGCCGTTCAGGGTGGCGTCGTTGCAAGTCCAGGGTTCCTTGCCAAGGCTGCGCTTGGAGCCTTTGGAGCATCGTTAACGAGGAGCTGAACACCAACGAGAGGCTTTGCGGCCTTGACCCTTCTTGGAATGAGTAAGTCGCGCAATGTCAACGCATGAACACGGGACCGCAGAAGGGGAAAGGTGTCTGCGACGCCAATTTCGCCAGACTCTCCATGCCAATCTCGCCAGGCTCGCCCGATATCAGTGTCCCAACGGTGTCTGAGCTCCTGTGCGAGGCGCGGTGGGATGGCGGCCAACGGGACGGATTCCATGCGCTTGGCTGCGATGGTGGCGTTTGACTCGCTTAGTGGGTTTAAACTACCAGATGAAGCCGCAGCACCATGGCGGAGCGGTAGCGGTTCGGGCACGGGACTCATGAGCGGAAGGCGCACGGTCGTGTCTGAGTCCCCGGGAGTGGGAAGCGAGCCTGCGAACCAATCCACCCATGGGCGGAGCCATAAGAGATGCCTGCCGTCTTGTGTCCAACGGCGGTCCTTCACGGTTGAACGCCTTTGTTGGCCCTGTTCCAAAGGGACCGTTGGGCGCGCCACGCGTTTGATCGCCACGCGACCTCGAAGCAAGGGCGGGGCGAAATCCTGATATGTGATCGCATTGCCAAGCTGTCTGAGAGGCAGGCGTCTGCGGCTGCCGTCCATGGCATGCCTTTTCTCAGCACTTGCCGCCAGCCACGCACGTGCAGTCGGGACGATATGGATTGCGGGGGGGTCTCGAAGCCAGGTTTGTGGATCTATGTAGCGGCACCATCAAGCCGGGGTTCAGACGACATGTTCCAGGCGGGACCTCCGTGCAGAATCAGATCTGGTGGGGTGTTTCTGCCAGGCTTAAGCACTTGGGAATCGGACGATGCCATCAAATACCATCGCCATCTTGCCTTCAGAACAAAGCTTCGTGTACTCGAAATGCACTCGGTGAAAAAACCGGAGGTCCCCCTGCTCACTCATCGTGTCCAGACCCTCTGTCTTTACGAGGAACGAGTGGCTGAGGCTGCTTGCTAGTCATGACTCCGCATCGCCTGTGTGGCCCCCCGGCCGGCATGGTTGCCGCCAGCCAAGCCAATTCGGCGCTCGCCCAACGATTGGCAACCCGGCTTGGAAGCTTCGGCTAGTGCGAGAGCTAGCACCAGGCACAGAACCGCCCCTGACCCGGTGCTCGGTCTCGTCAAAGCTTGGGGCCCTGACCAGCCCCTCCCCAACGTGGGGAGGCACGGAGCATCCGAGCATCCGAGGGCAGGGACGCTGATGAAGGGCCCCCGCGGATGAAGGATCGAGTCCGGCGCGCGCACTGACCAGCACTCGCCTGCTGCTATCGCTCATCCCGTGATCAACGGATGTGCGTGCGGCTGGCTGAGCTCCACGGCTGACGATGGGCTTCCGAACGGCCGGGAGATAACACAACTGAACAGCCTGAATTGGGGCGCCGGCTGCGACCCGAACGCCACCACGCCGCGGGAGTTGATCTCTGGGTTGCAATTCTTGTGCCACCACTCAAGTTTGAGCCCTTGGGGGCAGACTGTTGGCAGAGGACGGTTGAAGCAGACGGAACCAAGTGCATGGAGCTGGCGCGCCCGGACCCAAAGCTTGTTGCTGGAGGATGAGCTGCTGCTGCAACACATCAAGTTAGTGTGTTCCCAGTCGCCCCATCGAAGGAATCCTGGCCCCTTTGCGACCCGGTCGGTCACTCTGTTTGACCTTCGCGGCGCAGCGATGCCCGTCCCAGTTGTTCTCGCTGATACTTCACGCCGGCTCCCCTTTCATACAAAGATTAGATTGTATTCGGAGACAATTCGGAGACCAGGACCAACGTCAATTTTACCACGGCTTGTTTGCAAGATGCCAATGACGACAATACTTACCAGCTGCTCTCCCCGTTCATTCTGCCGAGCAGCCTTTTGGGCGTCGCGTCGGCCCGAGTGCATCACGAACAAGTCCGGCCTTAGCGGTCGATCGGCGCGTGGCATCCATCACGGGCCGGCGCCACGTCGGCTTGCTGAAGACTGCCATGGCGCCTCCTCTGCACTCGCAAGCCCCGACGCCTCCCGCCACACGGACCTCCCACTACTGTCTGGATTACAGTGGATCAATTTCCTGGAACGGGCTACTTTGGCCTGGAAACCGGCAGGGCAGGGGGCCCTGCGCGCCTTGCGAGTGGCCTCTTTTTATATCGTCAGCGCGACAGGCTTGAAGTTGTTGGCATCCCCAAGGCGCCCATGACCGGTGCGAGAACCCTTGGCTTCCTCTCCAGAGCAGACCGTTCGGCGACTTTTGTGCTGCGCGGGCGAAGCAGCGATCGCCGTCTCCACTTGACCAACCTGGACAGCATCTGTCGGGCAGTCTGTCACGTCAGCCGCGCAGGTGACAGGGCAAGATTCTTCAGTTCCCATTGACAGCGACGGTGATCATCACGAGGGCTCGAGCGCCTGCAGCGTCATGAATCGGGCTCCCCACTGCTCGACGAACCTGGGAACCGCCCTGTGCCCTACTTTAACCACACGTCATCATACCCTGGGTCAGCACAAAGCCAAGCCTCCTTCGCGAAAAAGGACGCGTAGTCAGAGGGCCCGAGCTTCGTCGCCTCCTGCCAGCAAATGGGCGCGCGCCTGCATTGATCAGACGTGCAGGGGCAAGACCCGGGCGCGGTCGCCATCGGTCTGCCGCACCTCAATTGGCACCATAGTGTCCTGGCCGCAGCAGCCCTGAAGGCCACGATCTAGCGGCTGTAAGCCAGCGGCCGTGTGGCGTCGATTGTGGAAGATGGCTGTCTTCAATTGCTGCCACAGCCCGCTGGCTGCCCACATGCGAACCCGCGCCGAGACTTTCGTGTGGATGCTTCCTCGTACTGGATCAATACAATAGTAGGAAAGAGGTACAGAGTGACGTTTCTTATTCCCAGGGGTGATAAACATGAGTAGTGCTGTTCGTAGAGCCGACTTTTGCTGGGTGCAGAGCCCACCCACCACGGCAGCAAGGGCAGTAATGGCAGTAACGGCAGTAATGACAGCAACGAAAGCAACGGCAGCAACGACAGCAACGGGAGGAACAGTAGAAAATTACTAGCAATAGGCAGAGCGCCGCTGTCGTCCCATGCTTGCACACTAAAAATTGCTAGTGTAGCACGGGGTAAGGGCGTGGCCGAGATAAGGGTAGGACGGCTCTACAACTAGCAAAAGTTGGCTCTACGAATAGCACTACTCATAACAGTTTATACACATAGTGGACAATGTATAGGTAGAACAGTAAACACTCAGACAGTAAATTAAACGAAAACACGTCGCCCGCTGTACCATTCTTATCCGCGGTCCTATGAGCATCACTGCTCCACGTCACGGTCCGCAACTTCCTCCTCGGTCTTCGCCAGCAGATGTCTTCGCCTCAAAAAAACCCTTTTCTGCCATTTCCAAACCTCGCAAGAGCAAAGAAAGAAAAATAGTAGCGCGAAAACAATGCCCCATTCTTTGTCGATTGCCCCATGCAAAAAAGCATCGTGGTTGAGACCAGGTATGTAGATTGTGGGAAATACGACGATGAAGCCAATGACAACTGACCAGAACAGCGGCTTGTTATTGGTGAGCCTTTGCCTCCAGGCCTTATTGTCCTTCACGACTCCATAGAAGAACGAGCGCCTGTTGTCAATCAGCTCCCATGCAAAGAAGAGGAAGATCCACATCATAATAACGTAGCAGGTCGACCGAGCACGGAAGGCGGCGTCACACTGCTGTGAATACTCGATGTTGCAGTCGTCACCTAGTTGGCCGCCATAAAGGCCATACAAAACGATGACGAAAGAGCCAAGTAGGCACACAGCCATGACAAGCCCATACACGGCGAGATCAGCCAAGAACTCGGGGGGCAGCATGCCGTGTTTGAGCTACACGAGGTCAATATATAAGGTATATTGTCTTGCTGGCGTATGCCTCATGTGGAGTACTCACATTTTGAGGTGGTCTCCTGAGTATATCGGGTGATGCAGCTTCGAATCCAAGGCCGTTTTCCGTGAATGCACCTGCCACGAGCATCATAAACAAAATTTCGACGGGCGAAAGTGGGAAAACCGATAGGTCGTCTCCATCTCTGAATGCTAGACCAACTAACAGCGTGATGACGAGCCCAACATTCGCCGCCAATACGTGGAGCATGAACTTCTGGACATTATCGAAGATCCTTCGTCCTTCTTCCACAGCATTCAGAATACTAGCGAAGTTGTCGTCCATGAGAATAATATCTGAGGCAGATTTTGCAACGTCGCTTCCGTTGAGGCCCATGGCGATGCCAATATCGGACCGCTGTAGGCTAGGGCTGTCATTGACACCATCGCCAGTCATCGCAACGTAGCGACCACGTCGGTGTAAAGCATCCACCATGCGCACCTTTGTCTTAGGGGTGCATCTTGCCACTACCAATGGAAGCTCAGCCAGTTTGTCAACATTCTCGTCAGACAGCTTATCAAAGTCCTGAGCCGCCATAACGGTTGTGCGAGCTGCGTCTGCGGAAAGGACGTCCAGCCGGTGGGGGAGAATGCCGACTTCTGTGGCGATAGCACTCGCTGTGTCGATGTGGTCGCCTGTAAGCATGTGCACCTGAATGCCAGCTCGGTGGCACTTTACCACGCTAGGCTTCGATTCAGGTCTAGGGGGGTCGTAAATGCCTATCAAGCCGCGAAATATGAGGCCACACTCGACACGATCCCGCGGAAGAGCGGGTTTCTCGGGGTCGTCTTGCGACCACGATGGCACAGGCTTACTTGCCAGGGCCAGCACCCGCAGACCCTGTTGTGCAAGAGCCTTCGCATTCGACATGATGGCCAGCTTCGTTTTGCCGTTCATGTCCTCGGTTCGGTCATCATCCCTGGATATCGTAGAACAGCGCTCCACGACTCGTTCTGTAGCACCCTTGGTAAAAAGCTGCAGCTCGCCAGAGTCTCGATACTTGCAAACAACGGACATGAGTTTGACAGTCGAGTCGAACGGAAATTCTGCAATCTTCTCCCACTCGAGCATGGGAAGAGCGGAATTGTTGCGATGCCCGAATCGAAATGCAAAGACCAAGATAGCTATTTCTGTCGGATCACCTTTCGCTTTCCAAGACTCCATAGTATCCTCGTCCGACTGTTCCAGGCTTGCATTGTTTGCCAAGGCTGCGATATTGAGGAAATGATAGAGTCCACCAGACTGTGATTTCTCTGTCAGGCAAAAGTCTGCTGGATCGTTGTGGTCTGACGGCTGGCCTGCAGCTAACTTTACTTGGCCCAAGTCGGGGTTGTAGGGCTGGTCGCCCGAGTCAACAAAGTAGGTGCCATGGCCGGGAAGCCATGCAGATTTGGTCACCATTCTACCCTGAGTCAGAGTCCCAGTCTTGTCCGAGCAGATGTCTGTCATTGAAGCATCAGCGCCGTACATGATCAACGTGCTCTGGAACGTACTGGTAACCCCTCCAAGGGCCTCTAGAGATCGCATGTTTCGTACAGCCACATGTCTTTGCATCATTACCCGGGTTCCAACGGCCATGGTGACCGTCAAAACGAGGACTAATGTCGCCGGGAGGGTTCCAACGGCAACAGCAATCGCGTATATAATGACATCGCTGCGACCATCGAACTGGAATCAGGCAGTATCAGCGAGTGATCAACTTGTTCAGTCGTTGGAGCATACCTTGTTTGCGGCGAGCACAATAATGGCACATATAATCGCGAATGCGAAAACATAGAGAAAGAGCTTCGAAAGCTGACGTTGTAGGGGCGTACCAACTGTCAGCCCTAGAAATTTCCCGATGGCTCTCCAGACCTTGAATAAACTCCTCTTCGCATGTGCGAAAAGGTGTGCTTTATTACCATAACCTGGCCTGAGCTCATCCTCGTGGCTTTCAACTTGGTTCATCCTAAGTGCGGCTGCTATGAGGCCAATCTCGGTGAAACAGCCTGTCGCAAATACGACCGCACGTCCGCGGCCTTTCGTCACGACTGTAGAAGAGAACACAACATTCATTCGATCTCCAGGAGAAATGTTCGGGTCGTTCAATATGGCAGAGTGGTTCTTCGGAACCGGCAAGCTTTCACCAGTGAGTAAGGCCTCGTCCGTCTCCAGAACAACGGAGTCAACCAAACGGGCATCCGCTGGAATCTTGTCCCCGGTCTTAAACTCGATGATATCTCCCGGCACGATCGTAGTTGCTTCTCGGGTCTCATACAGGCCACTTCGCCGTATATGGGCGGTCGGTGAATGTAAAGATTCCAACGAGGCAACAATTCGGGCAGCTTGTAGGTCTTGAAAGAACCCGATGACGATGTCGATGAGGATAAGTGCCGCTAGGACTCCACCTTCGACCCAGGCCCGAATTGCGAAGCTCGCGGCTAGAGCTAATGCGAGAACCTGATACCTGTCTTAGCATTGATGATTTCCTTTTCGTTGATATTGAAGTCTGTGCGGCTTACAACAGTCATGGCATTGAAAAGCTGGCCGATGAGAATCTTTAGTGGCTGAATGGCCTTTTCTTCGCCGAATTCATTTGGTCCGAACTTGCTCAGACGCTCGGCCGCTTCTTCTTCGGTCAGGCCGCTCTTTTCGTCCGAGCCCAATTCTCGCACAACATCTTGGGCTGCAAGTGCGTGCGCCGCGCGAGACAAAATTTCGTTGCCGCTGGGCGAAACAGCTTTCTCTGGAGTCGCAGATGTGCCGAACATGATGTGTCTTGCTCGCCAAATTGCTACAGATGCAGACGCTCGTGGCTGAAGTAGACGTCCAGCAAATATAGTAAAACTTCTAGCTGCACGCGACACTGTACACGGCATTCGATCTACATCGTTGGAAGGCGAATGGCTGTCTACTGACCCCGAGTGCAAGGAGAAAGCGTCCCACGCCAGTCAACATAGCAATGGTCATCCCAAAAGTTTAAAAGCAGCTGAAAGATGAAGAGTGTTTTGTCGCGATCGCTTTATACTAGCGCAGCGATCATGATGAATGGGAAACCCTAATTAGTAGATTGACTTTGTTTTACAATGGAGCCGAATCGGGAAACACACAATCCGACATTACGCACTATGAGTGTGAGAGCTCCAGTTCATTTCGTGCAGTCACTAAGATCATGTGGCGTCTATCAACGTTGGCCTTGAAGCTAAGTTGTTGGTCAAGAGGCCGGGTATTAGAGTTTTTATGCAACCTCTTCAATTGATTCACCACGATCTTCAAATGTTTGACGGATCTGAGAACACGTGAACGGCGATCTTCAAGCTCCGTGCTGTTCAATGGACCTTCAGAGCTGCTGAACTGCCGGTATTTGCGTGCAGCAGTTCATTCTCTAGTAAATTCCTGTTATGCTTTTGTCTGAGGGATCTGGCTCTGTACATTTAAAACCTGCATGCAGTCGCCATGAGTCAAGCTCACCCTCACGACTTCATAGGGGAACGTTGTCTCATCAATTGCGCCTCAAACTTGTCGCACCTGGCATCAAAGCCACAGTGTCACGATGGTTATCACAAAGGAACAGCATCAGTTTGACAGTCATGCATCCTCATACCAAAAGAGGAAGTTGGGCGTCGCACTCACGCAGGAAGGTCACTTTGGCCCCGCGCTGACGGTGAGTCTATTGTCCTTCGCCAGAAGAGTTCATCACAGGCCATGAAAGAATTGATGTTGGTGCTTGAGGAAGTAAGGCTACCCTCAGCCGGCTGACTCTGCTTCTTCGACACTTTCAGGCTCTTTACATTGGCATATCCGGCACCTTTGGCGATAACGATGAGGCTACCGTCGCCCTTGCGATACATGACTCTGTTTATCTCGTCGATTTCGCCGTCGAGCAAATCACCCTCAATGACGCCATGCGGCCCGGTGATGACCTTGTCGCTGAGAAAATCCTTTCAGAAATTACAAAATATGAGCACGAGAATTTTGTCAAATTTGTCGGCGCAGGATTATCCACCATGATGAAGTACATGAGCCCGTCTCTCTGCTCCCGTCTGTGGCTCGAGCTCGACATCGTTCCGATCGTCATGCGTCCCGAAAGTGACAACACGACTAAGAACCTCTGGGATGTCAAACTTGTGGACGAGCAAGCAGACTCCATGGCTCGCAAATGCATCATGTATGAAATTCTTTGATCACGATTCACGATCTCGACGAGACGAAGCTGACCCGAGCTTTCGCAGGCGCTTTGGTCCTTCAATGGCTCCCCTTCTGCAAGTAGGCCATCGTGGCATTGTTCAAACCGACTCAGCGTTCAGGGCCCACTTGTTGACCATGGCCGACTACAAGACCACCTGTGGCAAGGCGACATGGGAGGCTATTTTGACGTATGCCGGGAAGCTGCGTGACAAAGGGACTAAAATTGCCTTCTTTAGCAGTACCCCTCAAGGCGGCGGTGTTGCACTCATGCGCCATGCTTTAGTTCGCTTCTCGCGGGTTCTAGGAGTCGACCTGACGTGGTATGGTAGGTAAATGCCACTCCGAAGGAACGTGCCATGTTGTGTTGAGCTAACGGAGAGGGAAACGCAGTTCCTAAGCCCAGACCAGGAGTATTTCGAATCACCAAAAATATCCACAACATTCTTCAGGGGGTCAGTCCAGAAGATCAGCGAATTACGGACCAGGAAAAGGAGTCTGTAGTCGAATGGATTGTCGATAACGCTCACCGATATTGGTTATCCGAGGGTGGTCCCTTGCGGCCGCCGGAGGAGGGTGGTGCAGATGTCATTGTGGTATGTTTTCGACTTGCTTGACTCGAGTGGAAGCCGGAGTAGCCTGGCTTCATACCCCTCGAGCAAACTCCTGTTTCTCATTAACGCTTGCTCAGGTTGACGATCCGCAAATGCCTGGACTTATTCCTCTCATCAAGAGGTTGACACCGAATCGGCCCGTCCTCTACCGGTCGCACATACAAATCCGCAGTGATTTGATAGAAGTACCCGGATCGCCACAGGCTGACATTTGGGACTTCATTTGGAGCCGAGTGCAACTAGCGGACATGTTCATCAGTCATCCGATCCCAAAGTTCGTGCCCCTGAATGTTCCCCGAGAGAAGGTCGCATATATGCCAGCAGCCACGGATTGGCTTGACGGATTGAACAAACCGTTGAGTCGCTGGGACACTGCATACTACGGTCATATCTATAACATGCAGTGCCAATCTCAAAGGGTGTAAGTGGTGCATTGTCTCGCGACTCTCATGCATGCAGTGGCTGCATCGCAACGTTTTTAGGTTCCAAACTGACGTGACTTCCTGCAGGCCGGAACTCGCATGGCCGAAGCGTACGTGATGACATGAAAGCCAGGACGTTCAATTGCTTACGGTCGCACAGGCCGATATATCGCTCAAGTTGCGCGGTTCGATCCCTCGAAGGGAATTCCGACCGTCATTGATGCTTACGCCGAGTTTCGGCGGTTGTGCAACGACGCTGGGATAACCGATCCTCCACAACTCTGCATGTAAGTTTTGCCACTCCCAAGCGACAGATCATTTTCTTCACTTGCTTTCAATGTCTCATCCAATCTAAACAAACCTCAGTTGTGGCAACGGATCGATTGACGACCCTGATGCGAGTGCCATTTTCGACCAAGCCATGGAAAAGCTGGAAGACGAATATCCTCATCTAATCGACGACTGCAGTGTCATTCGCCTTGAGCCCAATGATCAATTGCTCAATGCAATCATCGCCAATGCACACGTCGTCTTGCAGCTCTCGACGCGCGAGGGATTTGAAGTGAAGGTCTCTGAGGCGTTGCATGCAGGGCGTCCCGTCATTGCCACTCTTGCTGGTGGCATTCCGCTCCAAGTACAGGATGGAATCAATGGTTTCCTCGTCAAGCCATCCGATTGGCGTGGTGTGGCCAGACACTTGATTGAGTTATTTGGGGATGAAATACTTCACCGTCGTATGAGCGACGCGGCTCGAAAAGGCGTCAGCGACGAGGTTGGAACAGTTGGAAATGCTCTTTCATGGTATTATCTGGCAAATGAATGGGTTGAGCGGGGGCCTAAGATGGATCTTTCTGGCGGTCAGCGATGGGTCAATGACATGGCTCGCGAGAAGGCGGAGAAGCCGTATGTCGAGGGAGAGAATCGGCTCCCGCGAGAGTTTACGAAAGAGCAGGTCACGGTCGGACGTGTGGATCATGTAGCCGAGTATATCATTCCCAGTAGTTAACGGAAACATAACAGAATGTATCATCTATAGCCAGTAATGACAGAATAGGAAACACGAACGATAATACCCGCAATCTCGTGTAATAGCTTGACTCTTCGTGACCTGAGCAATTGGGCAAGCGTAGGATAGTGAGCTGGCGGCAGTCATGGCGGATGTAGCAGAGACCCTCGAGCCGTTACTCCTTGTTCATATGCAACCGCCGAAAACCCGTTCACGAGATGGTATAGCTGGGAGGGACGCAGTAGGGGCTGCCGTTCTGCGCATCAAACTTGCAGACCGTCTTCGGGGGGCATGTGCCCGCGAACTGTGATCACGTTAGCTCCTTTCATTCAAAGCTCAGAGGAAACGTCATGAGTGTACGTACCACCCACTGGCCGCTGGTGTTGCACACATCCCACGACGTGCTGGGGTTGCCCGGCCCGCACTGGTAGGTGGCGGGCTTGCACTGCTGCGTATTGTCGGCCGGGACGGCGACGGTGAGAGAAGCCAGAGAGACGATGGCAATGGCGACAGTCTTCATTTTGACGAGTGGTGTGCGGGGAAGTGTATGCTTTTTGGCTGAGTGCGGTGCGATGTGAAAGTCTGAAGGTATTGAATGCTTTGCTTGGATGCTTGCTGCTTGATGACGAGGACAGGATTCGGAAACATGGTAGCAACCCAGGACTTATATAACTTTTCGGACGAGATAAAATTCGTCGTTATTACAGGTGGTATACGAGAGAATTTGCTATTTTTGGGCACCTGTCGGCGATATTACTTGTGTCGACGATCTTACATGTTGCCGGCATGGACGATACGAACGTTCAGCCTTCGCGACATCACCCTCCGAGCCAGCATACAGTAATTTCACACCCCCAACCAAAGTCAGCAAGTGCCGAAATTACGTTGCAATGTCCCAAGGCTGTCCCGCGTCGAGTGGCTACGACACTTGACAGCTCGGCAGAATCTCACACCTGCCTAGCGCCACAAGATTCCAGCGTCCGAGAGGTGAGCAGTAGTCGCGAGCCTGAGATGGAGTCCGAGTGCACGCATCGGCGCTGTTCCAGGAGCCTTCGTGTCCGGGCGGCGCGATGCCAGCGACGCCAACCTGTACGCCTCCGATGAGTGGCGGCGCATGGGGATTTGATGCTATTCCTAGCATGGCGCCACCGAAACGGCGTCAGGGAACGGCAGACGCACAACGGCGCGTCTTTGACGAAACTCTGTTTCAGGGCCAGTACTACTAAGCCAACGCCACGGCAGGCTAACAAGCTGTCTTGGGGCTGCGAGGCTGCGGACTCGCCGCTGCTTGGGGCCCCTGCCGTTGTTCCCCAGAGGACCCCGACATCCACGAAGCTCGGCAGAGCGGCGCTACGGTGGGGCCGAAGAGGCCTTTGGGGGCAGCGCCGTGGACGCGCAACCCTCGGTGCATCCCGGCGCCGACGATGGTGGCGTTGCGAGATCCGAACCAGCACGCACATGCGAAGTAAGACTAGGCAGCAAAACGCCGGTCGGTCTATGACCCGAGCCGATACGCAAACGACACGCAAGGCTCCCAGGTATCCAAGCGCGAAGTAGAAGAGCATGTGGCCGGGCGACATACGCCTAGCCGGTCGCCGTCTGGTCCGAGGCCGAGGCGGCACAAGACTCGGCCTCTTGACTTGAGGCGGGGCCGTGACTCTGTGAGAGGCCAAGTGCTGTTGAGCCCCGGTTCCGCCGCCATTCATCAAGGCCCCAGAAGTAAGTTGGCTCACAGATCGTGCATATCACCGTCGCGAGGCAAACGCGTCACAACAGCAAGCACTATCACCACCAGCGCCACCAGCAGACATGCCTGCACTACTTCGTCGAGTCGTTCGGTCAGATGCGCGGCTTAAAGTCGTGCCGATGTATCTGGTTACAGCGGGACGTGCCAGGCATCAGACACATCGCCCGGATTGCCAAAGAAATCGTGACATGGCTCGTTGTGTTGTGCCACGGTCCAGGTTGACGATGTGATTCAACGCGCAACATCCTCCCCTTGTCGGCTTGCCTCGCTGTGCGTCTACTTCAGCTTGTGAGAGGTCAGCACAGCTAATAAATGTCGCAGCTGGGGGGGGTAGGCATCCTCCACAGCCCGCCTTCTTTCCCTTCTGGAATCTTCCGAGTTGCCTTACAAATTACTGGACAGACACGTGTAGCACCAGTGGAGAGCCATAAACCCGCGCTGGAGCTATAGCTACCTTAGTAGACGGGACGACCGACGCAGTGCCAAACCCGCCCAAAAAGCGCCTGAAGATCCCCGCCAACCCCCGCTGGCTAATTACCGCCCACTGGCTAATTACCGCTGCACCGGCTGCTCGCGCTCCCACCCGTGGACATCACTACGGCAGGTACCTACCAACTGCAAGTCCGACCGGACCCCGCCAGAAGCTCCGCGGGGCGGCGCTGCGAGCCTCAACTCCGCCGCTCCTCAACCTCCATCCGTTGGTCCCCTTCCAGGTTCCATCCTCCCCCGCGACCTTCACCCTGCAACACCGTGTGGTGCCGTTACGGTGAAGCAACCGCCATGCGGCGACCGGTTGACTGATACTAGCGCTACCTGGCAACAGCAGGCCTCAAGGTTTTTCCGTTTGCCGCCAGCGACGGGCATAGGCAGCAGCCGCGAGACAACGCTTGCCCGCTCGCATCACCAGTTCCCGCTTCCGCGTCTCTTCCAGCGCCCGCCGCCCGCGAGTCGGCAAGTCTTTCGCCATGTCTCGGTCACTCCAGCTCAAGGAGGAGGGCAATCGCCACTTTCAGACTGGCGACTATGTCGGCGCTGAAAGCCTCTACTCTCAAGCGTGAGTTGCCTTTCGTCCCGACGCGTCCCGCGCAACACCACAAGGCGGGATACACGAATCGGAGCCGATAACTGACTGCTTCTACCCAGAATCCTCGTCGATCCCAAGAATCCCGCCCTCTTCACCAACCGTGCCATGGCCCGCCTCAAGCTCCAGCACTGGGACTCGGTCATCTCCGATTGCAACACCTGCCTGGCGCTCGCGCCCTCCAACATGAAGGCCAACTACTACCTCGCCCAAGCGCAGCTCGCCATCCGCGACTACGATGCCGCTCTCGAGAGCGCCAACAAGGCCCACGAGCTCTGCGCCGCCACAAACGACCGTTCTCTCGCCGCCGTCACCGGCCTCGTTCTGCGCGCCAAGAAGGAGCGCTGGGAGAGCCGCGAGAAGCGGCGCGCCAGAGAGGCTGTCGACCTTGAGCGTGAGCTGCGCGAGCTGCTTCAGTCGAGGCGCGACCAGCTCCTCGCCTCCGAGCCCGACGAGGCTGAGAAAGATACCATCCGCGAGGAGACAGACGCCAAGGCCGAGCTGCTCAAGGACATGTTCGAACGCGCCCGCGCACAGGCCGGCGTTCGTCGCGAAGTGCCCGAGTGGGCCATCGACGACATTTCCTTTGGCATCATGGTCGATCCAGTCATCGTAAGCATTCTATGTTGCGCTCTCCTGCCACGGATCGACGACTAACTCATTGCAGACCAAGACGGGCAAGTCATACGAGCGTGCCTCCATCATGGAGCACCTACGCCGGCACCCCAGCGACCCGTTGACCCGAGAGCCGCTACAGCCTTCCGAGCTGCGACCCAACCTCGGACTACGGCAGGCCTGCGATGAGTTTCTGGAGCACAATGGCTGGGCCGTTGATTATTAGTTAGCGGCTGGCCGCCGAGCCTCCGCACTCCACTCCTGTGGCAAGATGCATCAACTCACCAACATGAAGCATGGCATGGCGTTTTGGGTCGGCAAATGCAGCGTAGCGTCGGGACAATATTGGCCATGATGACTTTGATAGCGTTTCTGTTCATTCTTGAACTAGCGAAGACATTATTCCGTGTACGCGTTGTCCTTTCGGATCAGCCTCCACTGCATGCCTTTCCTCCGCAGCAACATCACTGCCACCACTCCAAGGCCCCCGCTCCAGACCCCGAGCACGGTAAAGTACCAGCCTCGACCAGCTGCGTCCAGCAGAGGCTGGAGAACCGCCACGCCGGTTGCCGCCATGGCGCACCGTGTGACACTCGTCGCAGCCGCCGCCGTGCTCGACTTGTCTGGATACACGTCTACGAGCAGCGTGCTGTACGTTGTGTAGAAGAAGGTGCCCCAGAAGCCCTGCATGAACTGCAGCACCAGGGGTACCGCCGGATGGACTGCTCGCTCAATGACCCAACCGTACGCGACCATGGTGCCCGTTGCCACGGCCAGCATCCAGTAGCTGCTCCGCGAGCGAGCCCGCTCGATGGGAAATCCCTCACGCGCTCCTGTGGCCACCGCGTCAGCCTGTTGTCCAGTCTGTGTGTCGACGCGGCCTTGTTCCCGGACGGTAGCGCGGTAGTTGCGATCCATGAGGCGTCCAGTGAAGAAGCTGCCAGAGATGATGCCTACGCCGCGCGGGAGGTAAGCGAGACCGATTTGCAGCTCGTTGAATTCGTACGCGTCTTTGAAGATGTCAGGCACCGCGGCAACAAAGGAATAGTCGACGGTATAGAATGATCCGTGGAGCCAGAGCGTAAGGATAGTATCGCGGTGGAGAATGATGCGGAAGCATGCGAGAAGGTTCTCAAGAGTCTTACGGAACGGGCCGGTGCGTTTTACCTCGGGTCCTGCTTTGTTCACTGAGGGTTGCTGCGGGCAGGCTCTCTTCTCTGGGAATTTGAGCGCCTTACTCTTTCGCACATGATGTCGCAGAAGCTGCAACCAGCTCAATTGCCAGCGAGAAAATCGTGCCGGATCGCCACCGTTTCCGACCAGTCCCCTCGCTGTTTCGGGGAGCAACATGCCGACACCGAGGAGCAGCACCACGCCAACAATTAGGAGTGCCCAAAAGACCCAGACGTGGTCGCCTCGCGTGTACGCGACGGCGCCGCCGACGACCGGTCCTACGCACGCACCGAGATTCAATGCCATACCTACTGGGCCAAGCATCGCGCCGCGCTTGGCTGGGGGGCAGACGTCTGCGACAACGCCAAAAGCGAGGGCGTAGGCGGCACTGGCACCGAGGCTCTGGACGGCGCGGAGGGTGAGCAAGGCGGCATATCCATCCTGATTGAGCGCGAGGCCCAGGTTGGCGAAGACGTAGAGCGCGAGAGTAAAGAGGAAGACGGGACGGCGACCATGCGCGTCTGAAGCCGGGCCGAAGAGCGCAGGAGAGAGCGCTTGAAAGACGATGTACAGGGTCAGGGTGAGATTGATGGCTTGCGCCGAGGCGTCGAACTGGCGTCGCAGCAGCGGCAGCAGTGGCAGGTAGATGGTGGCCGTGAGCGGCGAGGTAATGGTCGCAAGCCCAAGCAGGAGGCGAAGGCGTCTGATTTGCGAGCTCGTATAGGAGGTATATTCCGCGGATGTGTCAATACTGATGTCGGAGTCGTCTCGCTCTGGTGCGGAGGTTGTCTGTTGTCCAGGGTTTGCGGCGGGCTCCCCGTCACCTCGTGCCGGGCACAGTACACCTTTCGGCGACTCATGGCGTGGTTCCCTCTCCTCCATGGCGGGCTTCAGACATTTCTTCTCGCTGTTGAAGTAGAGAAAGAACACTGGTGAAGCGACACTGGCGGCGTGTAACATGTACGCGGGGTCGTAATGCAGCCTGCAGGTAAGCGCCGGCCCTCCAGCAAGCATGACCGGTGACTTTATCACTAGCCACCTTGCCGTCCCGTGTCTTTTCGCACGGCCGTTGAAAGCTCCAACAAGTCGTGATTGAGGCTCAATTCGTACACCAATCACAGTGCGGCTCGTGCTGTCCAGAGCTGGTGATTCATCCCAATGCACTCTCAGTTCCCCAATTCACTGTCGCGGGTTGAGGATCTCGCTCGATTCAACACTTGCGGGTCCGTTACTAGCTCTATTTACGATGCTATGAAGCCAACTCTACATCAATTGAAAGTTCTTGAAGTGTCAAAACTACAGTCCACCACTACGACATGCTCCTCCTTGGGCCAGAACAAGGTACCCTCTTCGGACAGACGACAGCGATGTAAACTTGAGCCGCCCACCCAATCCCGCGGCAGGAAATAATGACGTTTTGTCGATTGGTCCAAGCTTGCCAGAGGGCAGGTGTGAAGCCATAAATTTTCGTCGAGAAAGGCGAGGTCTGAGTCAAAGACTATTCCCAGGGGCATGTGCATGTCATTCATCAAACGCCGGGGCAGACTCTTGAATGTTAAGCCGTTTGAGGCCGTCGCTTGGGAGCCTGCCAGGCTCGCAATGTCGTCGATGACAAGGATCCTCGTCACCATGCCATTGTTGCCATCTGATACCTTCGACAAGAGAAGCAAGTGGGATGCACTTTGAATGGCGTGCAGCACGCTTTCGGGCGAGGAGCTCATGCTAGTTGCACCATCCCCAACGGTGTTGCTCTGGTCCCCTCCACGTCCACAACGGACCTCCTCAGATGCAAATGTGACCGATTTCTCCAAGCTCATAGTATTCCAGCTATAGTGCAGCAGATCTGTGTGTCCAAAGCCTAGCAAGTATTGCGGGCACTTGGGGTGGCAAACCCAGTATCGTCGTTCTGCACTCAACTCGATGCTGCCCAGCGACTCGCCCGTATTGACGGCGCAAAACAGACCTTGCCTCTCTGTCCACAGGAAAAGAACACTTGAATCAGGGCTGAATAGAAGCCCCTGGATATTGCTGTCCTCGAGGTTGACTTGTGGACTTGTGAGGGCCTGAGGCTTGACGCTGCCGCTGTGCAAATCAAGCCGCACCACCTGAACTTCTCCCGCGAGGTCCGCGCAAGCAACGCAACTACCGTCTAGGCTCCAGGCAATGTGACTGACATCGAGAAAGTTGTAGAATCGCGCAATCTCGGTCCCCCCGGCGTCTCGATTTCGGAACAGTAAGACCCCTCCATCTTCGTAGCCAGCGCAGTACGATAGCGGACCATACCGATCGTCGGGTGGCAAGCACACTGTCGTGACCATCTCGGCATGGCTCACACGCGCTTCGGAGAACTTCGAAGTGGCCGTCACGGACTGATCCTCACTGTTGGTGTCGCTCAGGTGCTCGTCTCCTTCCTGCAACGCACGCGCCAGGCAGTTTGGCTCCCACGCATTGACGCTTTTGCCACGCAGATCGTAAAATCGCCTGCTGTCCGGGCTGAAGACGAGGCCAGTAACAAGATCTTCGGATGATAACTGGTACACGACGGTAAAGTACGCCAAGTTCCAGAGACGGATGGCGCCGTCGCTGCTAGATGTGGCGAACATTTTGCCCGTCGGCGCTGCCGCTACCTCGTCGGCCGTGCGGTGCGACTCAACCGTCTCGTTAGAGAGCGGATGCCACTTGAAGACAACGCCATCGCGATAGATGCCAATGATGTGCCCGGTGATTGGGTTCCAGGTGAAACGATCAACGGCGAACCAGTTCGTCGACGGCCGCCGCTGGGGTCTCCCGTCTGCAGATGCTCTGTGGCACTTATTCAGACAACGCCCATCCGAAAGTCTCCAAACCGAGAGCGGAGCTCCACGATATGATGCACCAACATGCTCGCCATCAGGGCTAAACGCTAGGCACATTGGCGAGTTCAACGGGCCATCGGCCTGAGATGTTTCCTTCAGCAAGTCCGGGTTGAGGAAATCCCAACCTTTTCCGAAGTTGTTGCAATCAATCACCCGAATAGCATTGTCGTCGCTCCCACATAAGAGGCGTGAGTTATCCACAGAGAATGCCATGGCAGTGGCTTTGCTGTACGCCGGGCTCGCAGCTGACGCGAGGAGCGTGCCAGCTGGAAGTGTCCAAAGCTTGGTGGTCTTGAGTCCATACGTTGCCAGCTTCGAGCCATTGTCAGTCAGTGTCATGGCGGTTATAGCTTCTCCATGCATTACCCTTCCCACCTCTGCGAAGTTTGTTGAGTCCCAGATGTGGACGACATTTGTGGAAGCCAGGACGGCGACGGTCCTGGCTGCACAGCAGAGGTCCCAAGCTTGGGCGTCGCCGGCCATGGACAGTCTTCCAAGGTTGTCATTCCAGCCTGCTTGTGCTCCTTGATAGAGCCTAACGATTGAGTTTCTCACATCGTAGCAATACTGGTGTATGGCTGTTGCTGGTGGGCACATGGCCGGCACCACGTCGTAGACGACGGTGGGATCTGTGGTGAGCTGCCGGCCAAACTTGCCCACCAATTTCAGCAGGTCAACTGCCCAGTTATCGACGCACTCAAGGTCAGTGATCCGGTGTAGCATAGGGTTTCGAGATGCATCTCGCTTGCGAATGCTCTTAGCGACGAGGCCCAAAACTTTGGAAGCTTTGGCCAGAACATCGAGGCGCTTCAACAGGGCCAAGGTTTGTATCCAGGATAACACGGAGGTGCTGCGCAAGAAGCGCACGATAGTATCCAGGAGCTCAGAAGAATTTGAGGTGCAATGACCGAGGTGATATGGCCAGCCCACTGCGGCATAGAAGATAAAGGGATCGCCTGCCTGCAGAGCATGCTGGTGCTGGACGAGCTGGACCCTCAAGGTGGGATCGTCGAAGACCAGAATCGCCTTTCTGAAGAGCTTCACATGGGTGTCCCGGCTGCTTATGTGGAACTCGCTGGTCTGGCTGCCTTTGAAGTATTCTCGGGTTGTGTGATGCAGCAGTGAGACTCTACCGCCGCTGTCGACTTGAATAAACTGCCCGCAAGCCGTTGCGATGGTCCGTCGCAGATCGAGAAAGCCGGAAAAGTCTGGTCGAAGCGCACGAGACAGCTCTGTCACGGTAAGTGCCCTCTGTGCACACACAGTCCACTCGAGCAAGGCTCGGATGAGGGGCTTGTTCGCCTTTTTAGTCGAGCTCAAAAGATTTCGCTCCATTCTCTGGTACAGCTCAGTCATATCGTCTGGTGTTTCATCGAGAACCTCATCGATGCTCTCTTCTGTGTGGCATTCCATGATCTCATTCATGACGAGCTTGGCCCATAGGAAGTTGCCTTCTGTACGACTCAGGATTTTCTTCTGAAGCTTCTGACGAAAAGCAGGGTTTCCCGGAAGATGTTCAATCTCTCGTGAAACAAATACTGCAATGTCTCGCTGGCTATGCGCCTGTCCTGCAGTCCCGACGCGCAGTACCGGCAAAATTTTTGATGCTCGGTCGAAGGCTATCGCGAGCGAGTCCGTACTGCGACTGACAACAACAACGGTGATGGGAGGTCTGGACGCCGTCAAACTTGCCAGACAATCGAGGAAAGGTTTCGGTGCATCGCATTCATCTAGAGCGTCAATTATCCAGTATATTGGGCCGAAGGCTTCCATGTTGAACAAGATGCGCTCAAATGTATTCCGCCAAATGACCATAGGATCATTGGACTCTAAGCCGAGGCTCTCGAGGGATGACGCGAGCAGGCGCCTTTTGAAGTCAGGCATATCTGCAGTGAGCTGGAGAACGAGAGCTCGCAGTGCGTTTGCAACCGACTTTCTCGAGTTTTCAGAATGTTTGAAGAAGAAGTACTGGCACTTGCGCCTCGACGCACGCAGGTGGTCCACCAGAAATGCGGCCAGGACCGACTTACCGCTGGCTGGCGGTGCGCTGTACCACAGAATTTGAGAGGTGGGAGGATCTTCGAGGCAATAAGCGACTTGCGAGTCGTCAAGAAACCATCCGCACGTCTCGGGGATCCACTGCCTCCGCAGAGAGCTATAATCGTCCTCTGATGTAACGCATCGGCGAAGGAAGGCTTCGATGGCTGACCGATTCGATGGCTCAGCGGATGCGACAGTGTCGTCGCCCAGCACAGACACCACCAGCGACTTGATAGCATTCCGGACTATGACGTAGTTCGAGTCACTGGGGCTGTCAAACTTGCATATACTGTTGTGGTCGGCCTGCAGCGGACACGAAATTTCCGTCGGGTATCCCAAGATGGACGAATCCTTTTCCAGGATCATCAACTTGCGCGGTCCAATGGTCGTCGCCAGAGTTTCGTAAAAGGACCATATGGAGAGACTGGGAGCGATATGTCGAAACTGCTCGTTAAGCTCCTCGAGCGCCATGGAGCTCTTATTGAGATCGGAAATGAAACTCTTGGACGCCTGCATCGTCGCTGACACGATGCGGTTGAGCGTGTCTGCCAAGTTGGTGCCCCGGTGAGGCGTCGACAAGAATATCACCGCGGAAACGGACCGGACGACATCCCTATAAGTCTCGTCGTGGAGGCCGAGGAGATATGCTTTCTTGACGACAAGGCCGCCCATGCTATGCACAATGAAGATAATGGGTCGCGCGCCGACATTTAGACACGCACCTTCCGTGTCCCGCGCAAAGCGCATTTCATAGAGCAGCTCCTTTGCAAAATCTGTGACGGTGGAGATGCTCTTCGTCGACCCTTTCCAGTTGGCATTGTAGCCGAATGTTAAGATTCGCGTCGCAGACACGTCGGGCTCGAAAGGCAGCCAAGCACCGGGCCAGAATCGCGCGGCGTCATGGTTCTTGGTCCACGTTCGATGGCTGTGTCCCCCAAGACCGTGGACGAAGATGATGTCGGACGAAGCGTATCCTGGGTCGTGCACGACGTGGAGACCAAGCACGGGTGGCGTGGGAGAGGGACTGCGACCGCGAGCGCTACCAACGCTGGACGGGGCGAGGAGCTCCCCTCGTCCGCGAGACGAGTACAGAGGGACATCGGAACTCGAGCCTAAGCTCGAGGCATCCGACGTCTTTCGCTCCGGCTCGCTCTTGCTGTTTGACTTCGACAGTCGGAAGCGCTTGAGCTGGCACAATAGTCAGAACCGGACGCCCGCGACGTCTCAGTTGCTCACCGACACCCGGGAGGGGTCAATCTCACCATGATTGTGACAACATCGGCATCGGGCTCAGCTCATGCTCGGCGACACTTCAGCTAGGCAAGGGACCGGCCTACAATGGGAGTATTGCCAGCGAGGATAGTCCAAAAGAGAGAGAGCGTCTCGCAATCGTAGGACTCTTGTCCCTCAGATCCTGGAACAAGCGACACAGACAAAGTCCAGAAGTGGGAGCGTGAGTCTCCCCGAGACGGCCGTGAGGCGGGCAGCGGAAGGCTGGTAACACCCATGCGATGGCCTGCATGATGGCGTGGACAGCGGAAATATCAGCCTCACCATCGACACTGCATGAGGACGCCCTGGCGATGCATACAACCGGTGTGAACGCGCCATTTTGATAGGGCGAAGAGGGCGCTTACTGTGTCGCGAGCCTCAAGATGCGGGTTTGGCGCGGGCGCTTGCGAGGTGGGAGCCCGCACGAACTACTTCTTTGGGCGAGTGACAGCAGGGGGCTGCGGGAGCCCAATCCTTTGCACGACGCGCCGGGCGGCTTCCTAAAGTCTGCACTGGTAGCCCCCCGCAAGACACTCGTCCCCGGAGGAAAGCAAGATAGACCATTCAGCTGACTTGCTCTAATAAACCGCCTCGCTTCCCTGTTGTAGAAGTCGCCATTTCTCACAAGCACCATGTCGCTGACGGCCACAGTCAATCCGCTGGAGCTGGGCTCTGAGGCAAATCCTCCCCAGGATCTAGCGACGGAGTTTGAGGTCGATAAAAACGTCCTTGCGAATTTCCCCGACGGAACAAAAGTCTTGTCTGCTTCTCCGTTCGGCACTTCAGCATGGACAGTCACTGCCAAACTGCATCTGCAACTGCCAGATGGGGTCGAGGAACGATACTTTTTAAAGACCGCACCGAACGAGCACGGGCGAGTCCTCCTCGAAGGCGAGTTCCACTCCATGTCGGAGCTCTACAAGTGGGCGCCGGAACTCGTCCCTAAGCCTCATTCATTTGGCAAGTGTGCCAGCGAGAAGTCCGAAGCCTACTTCTTCTTGTCGGAATATGTCGAGATGACGAGTCGCATGCCGGATCCCAATCAGCTCTGCCAGAAACTGGCCCGACTTCACAAGGAGAGCGAGTCCCCGACGGGGAAATTTGGGTTCCATACGACGACCTGCCAAGGCCGGTCCGCGCAGCGTGTCGACTGGGAAGGCAGCTGGCGTGTCTTCTTCACCAATCTCCTCCAGCACGTCATTGACAGAGACTTCGAGCTCAATGGCCATTGGGATGCGCTTGATCAGCTGGAGAAGCGGCTGATTACAGAGGTGGTACCGCGCCTGCTCGACGCTCTGGAGCAAGACGGGAGGACTGTCAAGCCAAGCCTCATCCACGGAGACCTTTGGGAAGGCAATACGGGCACGTCGCGCGAGAACGGAAACATCTACATTTTTGACGCGGCGGCATTCTACGCGCACCACGAGATGGAAGTTGCAGACTGGCGGTGCTACTACAACAAGATCAGCAACAAAGCTTACACGAGGACGTACCAACGGTACAACATCCCGAGCGAGCCCAAAGCCGAGTGGGAGGACCGCAATCGGCTGTACAGTACTTACTACAACGTTATCTACTCTGTGAACCATGAGTCCCAGGGCAAAGCAGTGCGTCAGCTGTAGGTGTTTCTGTGTCTGTGGATTGGTTTCATCGAATGTAACGAGATGCACCGGGCTAACATGAGCGTCTAATTCACCAGCGCTTATAATGACATGTACTTTCTCATCGACAAATACGCACCGTTTCCAGATGGCGGCGGACCGAAACGCCTCGTTGACACGGAAATGGCGACGCTCTCTGCCGAACGCGATCATACAGTCTGAGTTGAGGCGGACGTGGCCTCGCGCAGTCGCGCCCGATGGAGCAGGCTTACAATGGCTGTGTATCAATAGCGGCAAATCCACGACATAGTTGCCTCTGCTTGAAGCTACAAGATACCTGTCAATGCTATCCCATCAATTGCGTCGGACGGTAATGTTTGCACTCGAAGCTGGGTGCCATGGTGCCTACATGCGCTGGGCAATTATAGTAGGACACCTCTAGCCGGGCGGCTGGAGGCGTCTGTATTCAGTATGGAGTTGGGTGCTGACGGGAATGTTGAGCTCGCTGGGTGATGAGGCTGTAGCTGTAATAACAAACGGGCGCCCAGCCGCCCGATCAGGCCTGGGAGGGTGCCCGCCCGAGCCCCTCAGCGCGTGCCTGGGTAGTGGGAGCCACCCGACCTCACTGTCCAGGCAGGGTGCCACCCGTCTGAAGCTCGAATTGCCCTCCACTGGCTTTGCACAGCTCAGATCCGTGGCGCGCTCTTCGAGGTTCGGCGAACCCTTAACCCAGGCTTGAACCCTTCATCAGCATCGCAACTTACAACCCGCGGCGGATGCGAGCTCGGAAGGCGAACAACATCAACCGACGGCACTGCTGAACACGCTCTGGACTTGAACGGCCAGGGCACCTGAGTGAGGTGGCGGCATGGACGACAATGACGACACTCGGGACACAATCGAGCGCCCAGGAGTGCTCCGTCAGGGATGGAAGCAGAACGGCCGCGTGACAATTGCCTGCACCGCATGCCGCACCCAGCATCTCCGCTGCGACGCCGCCCAGCCAGTCTGCTCGCGATGCCGCGCCCTCAACAAGCCGTGCGTGTACACCAACGTGCGGCGGAGTCGTCGGAAGGTGGCAAAGGTCTGGGACAGTTCGCCATCGGAGCCCAGAGCCCGGCATGAAGATGTTCACGATGGCATACAAACAACCGACATACGTGATGTCGCCATCCCGACACAACAAGGACCATCGAACCCGCCTCACCGGCGGACAGGTGCATCCTCGGCGCCATTCGTCCCCAACTGCTCCGTCGAGGCCAGCTCCGCCATTGATGGATTCTACTCGTACTTCTTCCCTGGCCATCCGTTCGTGCTCCCGAGGACTTCCTTCATCTCTCAGGTCGACCGCGACCCTGCTTCGGTGGCCGACTTGCTCCCAGCCATGGCACTGGTCGGCTCTCTGTATCTCCGCGATGCGCGATCGTCGTCGTACAGACAGGGCGTTGAGCAGGCACTGTGTCAGCAACTACCGCCGACAGGATTCTCCGTTCAGGCCCTCATGCTCTTTGCCCTCGTCCTGGAGTGGAGCGGTGAGAATGAGCGCGCGGAATCGACATTGGGGCAGGCCAAATCGTTGGCGTTGTCGATTCAGATGAACCAGAAGCCCTTTGCAACAAGACACGGTCAGGGCATCCCAGTGATGGAGGAGTGTTGGCGGCGGACATGGTGGGAGCTCTATGTAATTGACGCTCTCTTTGCTGGCATCCGCCACCAGCCCACCTTTGATCTCTGGAACGTCGACACGGATGTTGATCTGCCCGGAGAAGAGGCAGATTACATTGAGGCCGTAAGTATCAGTAGCCCATTCCTGGTTACATACATAGAGTCTGATTCCAAGCAGAATATCGCGTCGCCTCGCACGCTTACGGAGTACGAGGACCGCGGCTTCGACCAAGTAGACGTCCCGTTTTCTTCCTTCGCGTACCTGGTTGATGCGGCCCGCATCCTGGGAACCACGCTGGCAGCCGGGGACGTCGCTGGCGGGTCGCCCGTCGCCCTGGTCAAGAATGCCGAGGCCAACATTATGAGCTGGGACCTGCACCTACCGCAGAGCAAGCGAGACCCCGTCCGTCCCAACGGATCCGTCGACGAGGTGCTCTTCCGGGCGCACATGGTCATCAACACGCAAGTTAACACTCTCTGCTTGATTTCCTCTGGCTACCTTCAGCTAATAACTGATGCAGTGTTGCGGCACACCTACACAGGCCGAGGTCACTCCTCCATTACAGCACAATGGAGCTCCTGTGCTCCAAGTACGCGCCTCCTCTACCGGCAGAAGTCCTGGCGCCAGAAGAGAAACACCATGACAGGCACACACACAAGGCCATTCGTGCAGCCATTGCTTTCATTGACCTACTCACGGTACCCGCGTCGGCGACTTCGCACAGCCCCTTCGTCATGTGCATGGGCTCCATGGCGATGGCGACGCACATGTCGGCGTGCGAGCTCCTGCTTCGCGGTGACGACTACGCGCATGCGCGGGACCGTGTGCGTGTCTTTCTCGGCATCCTGCGCGCGTTTGAAGGAGTGTGGCCACAAGCATGCAAATGGTCCGGCGAGATGAGGCTCATGGCCAAGGCGGTGTTCGCGAACCGTGACCGGGACGGAAACCTCCTTTCAGATCCACTGGGGGCGTTGACCCAAAGCTTGGGCGATGGGTTCCAGGGGGTCCGGGTTGAGGATTTGGGCACCGGAAGCTCAGGAGATGACTTGGACATGCTGCTCACTGATGCAAACTTCGGCGAGATTATTATCTAGACTATGGTCTTCGCCTCACTACCCGTCCACGATTATGATGCAAATTGTATCACGACTTTGCCGGTTCTCCCCCTCTGCCGTCCAAACTCCCACGCGTCGACAGCCTTGTCACTGGGAAACTCTGTCACCTTGAGCGGCTTCACAGTGCCAGCCTGCAACAATTCCGCGACTTTTCCGAGAGTCTCTCCAGAAGCTGTGACAACAAAGTACACCCACTTCACCTGCGGCTTTGCCTTACTTAGTTCTGGTTCCTCCTTGCCAAAGGCCCAGGGTGGAGGCGGATCCGCTACCGTCACCACAGCGCCGCCATCCCTGACCGTCTTCGACGCCTTCCGAAGCGTTTCACCGCCCGCAGTGTCGAAGACGGCATCGACGCTGCCAACCGATTCCTCCCACCCGGCAGTGTTGTAGTCAATGGCTGTGCTCGCGCCGAGCTCCTTGATGTATGAGTGGTTCCGCGAAGAGGCCAAGCCAATCACCTCTGCGCCCAGGAGCTGCTTCGCGAGCTGTACCAGCTGGACACCCACTGCGCCTGATGCCCCCGTGACGAGCACCCTGGCACCCTTTTCAAGCTTGGCATGCTGGACGATGGCCTCCCACGCCGTCAATACCGGGATCGGCAGCGCTGCCGCCTGCGCATGCGAAATGGCTGTGGGCTTCCTCGCGACCTCGGCCTGCGAGGCGATCGCATACTCGGCTTGCCCTCCCTGGCTCGCGTCCGCGGCGAGCATGGCAAAGACCTCGTCGCCGACGGCCAACGGGCCAGCGTAGGATGGGCCCAGCGCGCTGACGACGCCCGAGATATCATGGCCGGGGATCCGATTGCGCGTATTGTAGACTTCGGGCCAAGAGACCTCGTCGGCCGTGACGCCAGCAGCGTGCACGCGGATGAGGAGGTCAGAGCCGCTGGCAGTTGGCTGGGGCAGGTTGTCGGTGAGGACGACGGATGGGGCGGACTTGTCGCCCAGGATCTGAACGGCCTTCATGTTGGGTTGGGGCAATGTCTTTGTCTTGTTGAGGGTGAAATCCCGTCGGTATGCCAATGGCAATGTTCTGGCGCCCTCCGAAGCAGCGTGCGATGAGCGCGTTAAGTACCCCGTCAGTCGTCTCACGCCGCCGCTGCCGCCGCGGCTCATGCGCGCAGCCATTGCAGCTGACGTTCGGGTCAAAGTCAAACTCGCTCGGGCCGTAGTCACAGCACGGTGGGATTTTCAATACGTGAACTATTGCTCAACGCATCGTGAAATCGCCCAGCACGCCCGCTCCGGATTGTAAGCGACTGCTCCCTCCCGCTTCTCTCACTGCGTAGCGGCCATGAATCGGGCATGACGCGCAGTCGGGTCAAGGTCAGCCTGTAGAACGACACACCGCGCTGCACCGCTGGCTCTCCACCAAGTTGCCCGACCCGAGTACAGGCAGATACATGAGACCAGCCGGGGTCATGACCCAGAAACAGGTACCGTCATGTACTCGGGCCATTCGGGGCGGGTGGGGCGCACGTCCGACCCGGTGTGGGGCCGTGTCTCCGTTCTTCAACATTCAGTGGACCCAGAGCCAAACGGATAGCCGTCTCGGGTACCCGGCACCCAACAGAATGCCCTCGGCCGCTGCCAGCGTCATCAATGGATGGATGAAGGGATGCCATTGAGGAGCGGAGCCGGCACTCGGTCGGCATGCTCGCATACCAGTGCCGCGTCATGCTCACTTGGTTGAGTCGGAACATGAAGTCATCTGTGATCTCACGTGTGGACGATTCATGACATGATGCATATAAAAGACACAAAGGGCGGCAGCTTACCCCCGACTTCATCACTCACAAGAAGCTTTACAAGCAATCAACTCTCTGATAACAGACAGTCCGTTCTCACGCTTTGCACACCCACATACTCGCGCCATTACGATGTCGGACCCCAAGCAGTTGTAAGAGATACCCCTGGTCTCTTCCAGCGCCCCTGCTAATAAGGCTACCCCATGACAGAACCCGCCCCCGCGAGATCGTCAAGGTCGCCTTCGACTACGAGCTCGCCAACTGCCCTGGCAAATCTATTATCGGCCTGCAACTCGAACTCCCACCCGGTGGTTGGACGCCTCCCCACAGACACGGAGGCGCACAGGTCGTCGCTCTCATTCAGGAGGGTGAGATGCTCAGCGGAATGAACGGAAACCCGCCCAAGGTATACGGACCTGAGCAGACGTTCATGGAGCTTCCCGGGTGTCATCACACCGTGGGAGACAACAACAGCGCGACCGAGCGCTGCCGTTTCTTGGCCATCATGGTCGTTGACACTGAAACGATTAAGACGGGCGGATATGCGGCTCTCACGGTGTTGGACGAGGAGTGGAGGAGCTAGAGTCACCATGTCTCAGCTAGTAACGAGGGTTGTGGCTTATTTGTCGCTGTATCTTCGTCTAACCACTTAATCCACCTCGCCGTCGCACCTCTCTCTACCAGGGCAATGACCTCTATGACACCAAATCTTTCTGCAATAGTGTTCACATTCGGTAGCATGCCGCGTTACTATCAAAGCTCCGCGTCGCCACAATCAAGCCCTTCGTTGCCTGAAGAAGACTCACGGTCGGTTTCACCAACCACTCTGGGAATGGATAGCATATTAAGCGACACAAGCCAACGTGGTTGAGTTCCGTGGCCAGCCCTCCGTGACTTCGCGACTGTTTCCCACCCATGATTCGTAAGAAGCCCAGCTCAAAAGAACATGGATCTTTTCCAGTCTTTCTTTTGCGTCGCTCTGCTCTGGTCCACTTGCCACGTCCTCCAGGAGCTCTCGGTGGTATCTGTCACCTCCGTCGGCGCCACTGACTGCACGCGATGTCTGTCGATGTAAGCTTGCCCAGGCCGAGCAAGGCCCAGGCTTCGCCGATGCTCGATTGACGAATATTCATCCTGTAGTCCCCACTGCGAGACTGGCGGCGACGGCGATATCACATTGATCGGAGGGGACGTTGTGTTTTGCGCTCTGAAGCCTGTGTGCGTGCTCTGCTCCTCGCTTGCGTAAACTGCACGCATATAGCCGTCGACCAGTGCCGTTTCCGATTCCCTCCGCATGGGGGCCTGCTCGTCAGGAAGACGGCCAAAGGTTCCTCGACCGTTCTTCCTTCGCCGGTAGCAACAGATGCCTAGCAGCAACAATGTGGCCACAAAGGCTGCCATGTAACAGGTTAGCGAGATGATGCACGTTGGCAATGATCGATTTGCCCGTACCAAGTGTCCCAACGACGATGCCGGCATCGGCCCCAGCGCTCAGACCGGATGGAGTGCTGCTCCCAGAGATGGCTGCCCTGTCAGTCGCCGATCCAGGCGCTTGACTGTCGACTTCGTTGTCCGTGACAACTGTGGGCTGCTGTGGCACCGCGGGTGTGTCTATTGCCGCTGACGTGCCGCTGGCTGTCTCCGTGACCTCGGATGTCCTCGTGGCTGTCAATGTGCTCGAAGTCGACGGTGTCTCGAAGAAGTTCCCTGGTACCAGGGGGAAAGTCGTCGGACTCAGTGACAAAGAGACAACCGGTGTGGATGAGTTCGCCAGTGACGTCGTAGCAATCGGCAGCGTTTGCGTAGAGGTTACTTGGACCACGGAGCTGGATATGAGGCGCAAGTCTCCGGTCAGCGCAGAACTGGCTTGGGTGGATGGAGGTAGGCGATGCGTCGCAGTCGTTTCTGCATCCGAATCGGAATTTGAGAATTCATCGTAAGCAGAGCCAGACTCAGACTCGCTGCTGGGTGACTGTTGCGGAGACGCCGAGGTATTGGATGGATTGACGCATCGCCTGCGCCGCGCTTGTGGTCTCGTCGGAAAGTCGTTTTCGCATTCAGATCCACTATCCGACCCGTCTGACGCATATTCTCGACGCGAGATCCGACGCCGCAATTTGCCACCGCCAGCCCGCCGTCTGGGTTTGTGCTTAGCAGGTAGGTCATCATTAGTGAATTGTGATGTACTGCCAACACACCTTGTAGTAGTTGAGCGACGTGCTTCTGCGTCGCCATCGTATGGATCAACGACTGCGCGAGAAGTCATCTCTGCAGGATTTTCTCCGCTAGGAGGCAAATTACCGGCGCCACAGCGAAGTGCTTTGGTTGTAGAGAAGAAATTAAAATACAAGAAAGGGTTCCAGAAACTCCTTTGGCACGGGAGGTCCGCCGGGCAAATACACATACGCCACAACCGAGATCATGTCGAGGCTTGCCACTTTAAGTCCCTGATCGGTCCTAGAGATGTTTCGCTAGCTTGTTTCGTACCCTCGACCACTTTCACGTTTAAGTCGGATCGCGCGACCAAGTTCCGCATATAGCCTACTCTGCGGCGCGGAACGTTTCAAACCAGGATCTCTCCATTTCGACGGGCAAACACCATTGGCCTTGATGCTTGCTGTCGAGGCAGTTTAATTTTTAGGCTCGGTCTCTCAGCATCTAAAACCACTCTCCGGTTTCGCAAGACAGGTTAGAAATCTCATTTGCTCCCAAATATATACAACCGCAATGCATGGATGGCGGCTGTATCCCCACGCTAGCCAAGTCGGATCGCGAAATCCGGGGCAGTTCTGAAATCATCGTTTCAAGAAGTGGGGACCACACGCCTGTCCCGGCCGTGATACTCAAAATCTCGAGGAAAGAGTCGTTTCTTGCTGTTACTCGAAGAGTGCGTGCGACCTAGTCAGGTGGATCATCAGCAGCATATCCTTGTGAGGCCACAGGTGGGTATGCCTCAAGTGCCTAGCCCATGACCTCTCTACACATGCGCTGAGGCCGGCGCGCTTTGAGGGTTGACTGATGCGCTGGAATTTGGGTTTCCTGGGCTTCACGCCGGCTCGCAAATTCTTGTCGTTGCAGCGTTTCGATCGCTTTATCGTCTCCCGCCGGACGAGTACGCAGCATTCTGGCCAGCGAGCATGCCGCATGCTACTTAACGCGCCAGTGACGCGTTGCATAATGGAGTATCGAACATTGACGAGGTGATAGAAAGGTGGGAGGCTGGCTGCCGTCAATAGGACGTCTGCTACTCGGCTCGGCATCCGCGGGCATATGCGTATCAATGCAATCAGTGCACGTTGCTGAGTGTGGCCCACCAGAGAGCACACACCACTCACATGAATACTGCGAGTCATATCTACAAAGCGAGGGCTAAGACCACGGTCATGAAATTTAAGCCTAAAAGAGGCGCAGTTGGATCGACATGTGAATCGCGAGATCGTGTGGAGCCTCATAACCCGATTCTTGTATACTTTTCGGGCAGGACAGACGGTATTAGCCAAGGCCGCGGTTGTGTTCATTCATATATGCGAGCATGTTAGTTCCTGTCAGCATGTTAGTTCGCCATGAAGCTGACATGAACGGGGCCTTGCGCTCAGCTCGCGCGCCAAAGTGGACATCGTGAGCCGCAACATGCGCGGGGGGCCCACATCTGTATGGCATCACCCAACTTGCAAGTGCCTACGTACCGTCTTGGTACCACCTGCCAGGGGTGCCGCGGCTAAGCGACGGAGCCGCGACTCCAAAATCGAACGACATCCCATGCGATTGGGTGTAAGTGGACGGAAAGGCCGTTGGACTGCTAAGATGAAGTCGCGGTGACAATGTAGAGGGCGCAAAGACGAAGTAGAATGCCTACCGTCGACCCATCTAAAATTAAGCCTACATTGTAATTGTGCCCAAGGCATTTGATGTCCCCGGGGGAACGAGGCGGGCCGCCATATTCAATGATCAACAATAAAAGGCCAATGGTGGCCTCGGTTCTATGACCGTCTGAAGCAGCTCTCTTCTCATTCCTTCAGTTACCATATCCCGACTCATCGACATCCAACAAGATGAAGTTTGTGACCCTCTCCGCCCTCAGCACTTTCGTGGCATCAGCATTCGCGGCCGATTGTTTCGGGATAGTCAACAAGGGCCTTGCACAAATGGCCGACCCATACTGGGATGCCCGCTATGCCATGTGCCATAACGAGCCGAACACAGGTTGCGGTTGGCAGAAGGAGTGCTCGACATACGCATCGAAGAACTTCGGTCCTGGCGGCAAGCTGAAGCTTCAGGTCACCCTGAGCCGCAAATACACTGGGAACAAAAAGGGATTCAAGGACTGCTGGGTATGAAACACACGCACACCACTGCCAGTGAAGAGACCCGATGAAAGCTAACCAAACCGTTTCTTGCAGCGTGCGACTGAGTAAGTGCCAAAGTCCATTCTATATTCGAGCTTTCTCTAACGATGAGCAGAGACATGATCAATCAGTGTGTCAAGGGACAAGAGAGATACGTCAGCACTTGGACATACAACGGTCAGCTGTATCAGTTTGACGCAGTGGTGGTTGGAGCCTAGAGGCGGGCCGTATCTAAGGGTAGCAACCCTGGCCCGGCAGCGGTGAGACTTTACTCTTCATGAGTACGTACGTACATACATGCCTTCACGAGCCGGGAAATTATCAGCACCATACTGGATATGCGGGGACCTCAAGCATCACTATGGTATTATGTGCCGACCATGAGGTATAGCTAGAGATATGATGACTCCACTTCAGTGCTCGCAGGTGTTATAAGAAGACGCGCAGCTGAAATATATTGATTGAGCGCAAGTTCATTATTCGTAACCGCCGTGCGGTATCGTGTATGGAGAATCTGACGCTGACTGGCACCAGACTCTCTGGCTTCCATCGATCATTCCACATCAACATCAAGGCTCTGCTCTTTTGCGGCATATGACCTCGCCGCTCGGCACCGCAAACCACGCATCCTCCTCAGCTCCCCAGCGCTTCCACACGTCCGAAGTCTTCTTGAGCTCGTCTTCGGTGGCCACGCCGGCCTCCGTGGCCGTCTTGGCAAACGCCGAGGCCACCGTTCGCTCCGCCCACAGGCCACTCCACCAGACAATCTCCTCGGGGGTGCTGTAGCACCAGCTGGTGGAGCTGGCGGTTACGTCGGCCGGCGCGAAGCCGGCGTGGCGAGCCCAGGCGTGCACCATGCGTCCCGCGTCGGGCTCGCCGCCGTTGGCAGCCGCCACGCGGCGGTACAGGGCGCGCCAGTCCTCCATGCCATCAATATTGGGGAACCATGAGAAAGCGCCGTAATCGGACTCGCGGGCGGCGACGATGCCGCCTGTCTTGGCGACGCGACGCATCTCCCGCAGGATGCCGACGGGGTCCTTGACGTGCTGCAGCACCTGGTGACAGAAGACGACGTCGAAGCTATCATCGGGGAAGTCGAGGGCGTTGGCGTCGCCGACAACGAACTCGATGTTGGCGATGCCCCGTTCGGCGGCGAGGGCGCGCGCCTTTTCGAGCACATCGCCCGCCCGTTCGAGGCCTGTGACGTGCCCCTGCGGAACCAGCGCGGCGAGATCAACGGTGATGGTTCCCGGTCCGCAGCCGACGTCGAGGACGCGCATCGACGGCTTCAGGTGTGGCAACAGGAAGGCGGCCGAGTTGGTGGCGGTGCGCCAGGTGTGCGACCGCAGCACCGAGGCGTGGTGGCCGTGCGTGTAAGTCGCGGCCTCGGCCTTGGGTGCGCCGTTTGTTGCTGACATGGCTACGGGAGGGGTTGTGGAGAGGGCTCTGCGGGCCAGACTCTGAAAGCAACAATGCGTTGGATTCCAGAGCTGCGACTATGTTGTTGAAACAATCCAAGTGAGGCGCTGGTTGGAGGCTTTATATACTTGGTTTGGTTCAAGTTTATGGTGGTTGATCAAGTCCGGTGTCGGAGCCCATGAACGGCAGGTGCAATCCACAACGGCGCCGTCTCCGCACCGGCAGCCGAACGGCGTCTCCACAGCCGCCTTTGCCGGCCGAGTTGATGCCATTGATCTCCGTCTCTACGCAACACATACTGCCATGACGTATAGACCGACCAGAAGCAGTCGGCTACACATTGCAACCCGTTTCTGTCGACACATTCTTTCATCTAGAGGTGGCACATTGGAGTACGCCCTTGTCAATGCAGGACACGAGGACATGAACACCTGACGCTTCTGCTTGCGTCTAATTAAAAAAGATCTAGGAGGCCAAGCGTTGTGTTCATGAAATCAGCAGCCCAAGTATCCGCATCCGCGTCTACAGACATCCCGCTGCCTCCCAAGTCATTGGAGGCCGTCACTACTTTCGTGCCCGTCGTGCCCCTCGCGTCTCCCACGGTTCAACCTGTCCTCATGACAGCCTTCAGGCTCTCGACAACCTTGGAGTACGTCATTTCCGTCTTCTCAGGGCTGTGCAGATTCGGCTTGATCGTCTTGTCGAACCCGTGCGCGACACCTTCCACCTTGACGACCTCGACGCTTCGCCCAGCCAACTCCAGCTTTCGTCCGAGGGCCTCTGTTTCCGGTGCCAGGATATCCCCAGAGCACACAAAGAGGAGAGTGAGCGCGGGAAACGACGATGCATCAGCGTGCATTGGCGAGGCCCTGGGCGACGTCCGGTCCTCGAGTCGAGGGACGTAGCAGTCGGTGAAGAAGCGCTGGAACCAGATGGGCAGCGGCTCGATGGGTTCCGGGACCACCCGGTCCTCTGCGGGTATGTTGAAGTCAACGCCCGGGTAGAATGCGTAAACTGCCCGGGCGTTGATGTTCTTGAAGTCGCGTCGCAGTTCGGACGCCGCCACCAGCGCCAGGTTGCCGCCAGAGCTGAACCCGGAGAGCGCGACACGGTCGACGTCGAAGAGGCGCTTCTGGCTCTCGACCCATCTCAGCACGTCCTCGGCGTCCTCAACAGCAGCGGGGAAGGGCCGCTCCGGTGCTTTCTGGTAATCGGCGTCCAGCACGAGAAGGTCGGCGTCGCGTGCCACCCGCTCGCAGAAGGCGTGGTCCATTCCCAAGTTTGGGATGATGTATCCGCCTCCATGCCAGTTGACGACGAGGCCTCGGGGCTCGCCACTTTCGTCGTAGTTGGGCGGGTAGTAAATCCAAGCCTTGATGAAGCGACCCTTCTCTCGTGACGGTATGCGCACCTCCTTGCGCTTACACGTCGCGGACGGTCGGAAGTGAGAGCGCGTAAAGACGTAGGTGAGCAGGCGCAGGAGCGACGTCACCGCCTTCAGCCTGATATACTGCACAAGACCGTGGGGAGACGCCATTGTTGCTGGGTGCGAGTGATGGTGGTGGAAATTGCTCAAGCACGACTCATTGTGGCCTTGATTGTGCTGAAAGGCCTAGAAAGAGACTGCCAGAAACGACCGTGGACTTGCAGCCTACTTTTCATTTTATTGCCCGCCGTATTCTGACGAGCATTTCATGCGTGGCAAACGCAATCAATTAGGGAATGTCGCAGCCAAACGAATGGAGATTGCTTCACCGAGCCCCCTCCCCCACTGTAAGCCGGCGAGCCGCCCGGCCGTGAGTCATCACCGAGCGTCCGGCGGCAGCTAAAAGGGATTCGGGCTTTCTGTGAGATTATAATGTCAGTGTTGGCGGGCGCGATGCTACGCAGGTAGCTAGCATCGTCACCGATGGCGCCACAGCTGTCATAAGCGCGCGCGCTCAAGACACCAAGGATGGCAACCAACCAGCAAGACTAGTTGGTGATCCCCGGATGACTGCGCCGCCCCCGTCACCCGTGTGTCCAGAACACGACGGCCCAGCGGCATCTCTGCTCCACGGCGCCCCTGTGCGGCCCAGCTTGCGGGAGGATGAGCCGCGCGATCAACGGGTATTGAACGCTACGCCATCTGCTGGCCAATTCGATTGCACAAACAAGACTGGGGAGTTTTCAGTTGGATCTGAGGATTTGTTCCATTCAGGCTGTTAGTCAGCGCTCTCACCGCCGAGCTGAATTGCTGACGCTCCAAGGGGTCTCAGGGTCTCCGACGCGACGCGATGCGATCCTTCCTTCACCTTGCGCCCAGCGTCCATAGGCTTTAACTTCCAGTGCACAGCCATTCCAGGGCACCGAAAGGGGTCGAAACCGGCTGCAGTGCGCACTCTGCACCGGTGCGGTCGCACGATGCCACAGGAAGCATCCAGCGCAACTGGCATACTGCGCCAGGCGGCTGAGCAGCCGCCATCCAGCCATGCGCTCTTGATCGTGGCCGCGGCCGTCGTGTTGTGGCTCTGCTGGAGCCATTCGCGGGGCTCGCACGAGCCCAAGGCGAGCCAGCTGATGCCCGCCTACGTCCCGCTGGAGATTGGCCTGAGCACGATCCTGTTGCAGTGCAAGGGGCTGGTTTCATACCTGCCGTGCGTCTTGCCCTCATGAAACTCGCGCCGCACGACGGTACGTGTGCTGACATGGCCATAGCTTTGCCCTGCGCCGTCGAACTGGGTCCCTGTTTGGCATCACGCGCCGACACCAGATCCTGTACAACCTGCCCGGAGTCGACAAGCTGTTTGCGACGGGCCACCGCACGCTGGACACGAACCCGTTGGGCCTGAGCATGGTCCTGCGCGTGTTCGGCGGCCTTGTGCCTCCAGAGCTTCGCCCAAACTTTCCGGCAATGTGCAAGAAGCTCTCCACCCCCGTGGAGAAGGGCTTTGTAAACGATGAGGCGGCTACCGCAGCGCTTGCGAGAGCCGACGTCCCTGGCAAGGTGGGCGACCTGCTGTCGTTCTCGGAGGAGCCAGCGTCCCAGCGCCGCTGGGAGCGGGCGGCAAAGATCACTGTCATGGCGCAACCTGGCACTGGCCGCTCGGCAGCCGTGGAGCTGGATCTAGAGAATCTGTTGCGGGATCTGGGCGCATGCATCTCCATCCCGCAGCTATATGGCCAGGACTTTCTCGACCGCAACCCCACCCTTCTCGACGATTTCTGGAAGTTTGACAACCATGCCTTCCCGCTGCTTGTCGCAGGGGCGCCCAAGTGGATCCCTATCAAGTCATTCAAGGAGGGCGTCGCGGCGCGGCACCGCCTTCACCTTGCGCTCGGCGGCTTCTTTCGCCGTCTGGACCAATTTATGAACAACGAGTCGGTCGACTTTGATGCCGACATGAGCGACGTCAGTGTCGTTGCCAAAGAGAGAAACGCGGCATTCAAGGAGTTTGGCGTCCCCATTGAGAATCGGGGGAAGCTGGAGACGGGCACCTTTTGGGGCCAAAACGCAAACACGCAGCCGTTGGTCTTTTGGTTCATCCTGTACATCTATGCCACACCCGGGCTGCTAGAGGCGCTACGGAGCGAGGTCGAGCCTTGCATGGCCGTGACCAGAGACGGCGCGATAACGCAGATCACGAGAGTAGACATCTCGGCGCTTGGACGTGAATGTCCGCTTCTCAAATCGGCCATGTTTGAGACGTTCCGGATGGTGAACGAGCCGACATCGATACGATACGTTGCCCGGGCGCTGCTCGTTCCCGATGGAGAGCATCAACATCATCTGGAGGCCGGGACTTGGATCTCGGTCCCCCACGCCGGGATTCAGCACGAGCCGTCCATCTTCCCCGAACCGGACAAGTTCATACCAGACCGGTTCCTCGAGGTGGACGAGCGGAGCGGCAAGACGGTCGCGAGGTACGGCCGATTGAGGCCCTGGGGTGCTGGCGTCGGCATCTGCAAGGGGCGCACGTTTGCGGAAAAGGAGATTCTTCTCATAGCCTCATGCTTCATCACACTGTGGGATATGGAGCCCCCAGGTGGCGGACCGTGGCAAGTGCCGGGATCGGTGCCTGGAACAGGCGTTGCGCGACCCAATGGAGCTGTGCGTGCCGTGCTCAAGCGACGCTCACATGCATCGTGGCGGCCAGACGTGGAATAACAGTTGTGCCTCAGCAGTGTGTCTGCCCGGAGCATTTGGGGCACCTTCCATCGCCCGGTGAATACATGCGATAGATGATCGATCCATGCTCTCTTTCTTCTCGACTTTTCTACCCGTTGGCTGGCGGCGTGGTGTTCCCAACAAAGCTTACCCGAACCCGTGCACACATGCAGTGCACACCGGCATCACCACCACCTGGTCACCATGCCACGACATGCTCGGGATCCCTTCTTTCCTCAGAGCCCTGTCTGTACGACCATGCACTGCAATCCTTCATAAGTGATTGAAGCGATGTCCCCAGGGAGTCGGCGCCTCAGACTGGTGGCGCGACGGGCATGTGTAAACGGCATGTGTCCAGCTCCCTTCTCCGTTTGAGCAAGCCCGGCAGTTCGAATCCCAAATGAACGGGAAGGTTGGTTCTACGGGACTCTCCGCGAACCTCGGGAGGCTGGGGGCCGGCTCCCCCTTTTTTTTTTTTGAACGTCACATCACAAGCAGGTTCACGGCGAAACAACTAAGCCGCGACGGTAATGCCTAATGGCTTCCCAACAACGCATCTACTTTGGTGCGTCGCGATATCTTTTTGAAGCTTGGCGCACGGCTCGAAGTGTTGCAGCTAAAATTGGCGACGGCGCGCGCGCCCATATCCTGCACATAAGCCCGTATCAGTGCAGCAACGCATGGAGCCACGTCGCGATATCGGTCAAGGCCGGCGTCATAGTCATATCGCTAATCACAAAGTCAAAGTCGGCATATCGTTTGTGTCGTGTACGGAAACCCTCTGACCAGATGGCACTGGAGTGACAGTACCTTCCAGTGTCATGTAGTTTTTGGACAATCCGCCCCCCTACCTCTCCTGGCTCATGTACTGGCGTCATGAATCCGAGATCGGTTACTCTAATTATCCTACTGCGTCAATGCTCGTATGGGTGATGGCGGCGGGCGACAAATGCTACGCAATTGATCCTGTCAAGCAGGATGCTCCTCTGCAGCTAAGGCCCGTTGTTTGCACTACGCCGTATCGCAGCGGATGATGTATCTCGCGTCCGTCATATCCTACACGGTCTTATAGACAACAGACAAGGAGAATCTCTCATCGCTATATTCTATCTTGTCTCCGCTGTTGGTCTTTTTGTCCTACTTCTTGTTCTGTCGTTGCCTCAACACGTTCGAGAAGCGCGCATCTTCATCCATCCACCATCGTCGCCGGGAAACATTGTCACAGTACAGCCAAATCCTAAGGCGCTCCGAAATAAGTTGGAGGCAAGCCATGCTATACGCGGCAACAGTTGCGAGCTTCGGGTTCGGTTTGACGATATTTGTCCCTCCTCCGTGGTCGTCTCTGGTTCCAGTTCTCCAAGTCCTGTTCGAGGTATGTCAAGCTCTGGCCAATCGGTGCTTCGCCTAATCAGCAACAGTCGCTTTTCTTCTCGGCTGTCAAGACCTTCAGGACTCCACGTTACCTTCTGTTATGCTCCCCTGCATTCTTTGCCAATATTTGCGTTCATTGGGGTGTGGTACCCTTGCTCTCCTCACCGAAGCTTACAGTCTCCCCATATGCCTTTGTGCTTCTGCTATTTCTCAGCCGGATGATGCTTGATGCGCACCTCTTGACCACATTGTGCGGTCGCCGTGAGCTACTTTGGGCGCGGAAAGGAGTCCTTATGTCTACACGCAAGCTCGCCCAACTTTGCCTGGTGATGGTTCTCTTGCAAAGCACGGGAATAAAGGTTATCACTTACATCAAACCGTTATGTTTCTAGGGTACTTTGGCATGATTAACGCTGGAGGTCATGCTGTCATTTCTTATAGCTTTGTTGTCGAGACGGCCAACACTTGAATGTGTCGTGTACGAACCCGAAGGAGCACTCTGCCTAAATTCGCTGCTGCCCAGGGCAGGTACAGAAATTGGAAAGCTGTCGCATTCAGCTTTCTTTCTCTATATATATATATATATATATATTTAGAGGAGTGCTATTTGCACAGATAGTAAAGCCTAGCCGCACAGATATTCCACATTCAATATCGTTTCTTGCAAATCCCGCGCGGCCCAGCCCGCTAAGCAGCGACAGCAACCATGACGACAGCAACGATAGCAACGACAGCAACGACAGCAACGACAGCAACGACAGCAACGA